CAAGAACATGGCTTCTTCGCCGGTGATTGGGTTAGTGGATGGGGCCATCGAGCATCAACGGGAATTGGAGAGCGATGAGCAAATTCCCGCTTCTCCGTCTCCTGGAGATGTAGCTGCACCTCCACAAGAACAAGAAAATGCAGATCAAGAATTAACGTCTCCTGACTTGTCACAACAAGGAATTCCCGTGAACAACGTCGCCTCGATCTTGGATGACGCCGTTGGTTCGACGGCTGAAGAGGAAGAAAGCTTTGCAATGATGGATGAAATTCCCACGGAAGGACAAGAACAGGCAGAAGACCTTACAAGGATGTATGAAGTTCACACGGGAGATTATCTGCCGATTTTGTTCGGATCTCCTGTGTCTCCAGAACAACCTGTTGTTCCATTGTGGTCTGATTTTGTGGAACAGGGAGGAAATGAACAAGAATTGGAAGCTCCGCGTTCTCCAGAAAAAGACGTCCAAGAAGAATACGAACCAGGTGGTGATGACAGTAATGAGAACGTCGGAAATGCTGACCAGGAGAATCAGCAGGCCAATGATCAGGATCTCGGTGGAAACAACAACATCGTCGTTCAAAACAACAACATCGTCGTTCAAAACAACAACGTCGTCGTGCAGGACAATAATCAACAAGTGATTGCAAACATGTCTCCCGCTGTTGATCAAGGAAATACGGCAAGCATAGCCGTGCAAACGCCGGGCGATGATCAACAGGCGCAAGTAGATAGAGAAATTGATCTTGATGCGCAACCAGGAATTTACAACCTCGCTCCTGGAACTTACAACGTAAACTTCAGGATCTCGGAAGAGCGGCCCTGCAATATCCAGTAAAAGAACAATTCGTTACCAGCAAGGCAGAATAGAATCATCCGGAATAACATCAGAAGAATCCAGCAGTAGTCGCGAAAAGACGGGATTGAAGAGATGTGAAAAGGAGATGATTATCCGAAGAAAGATATTCGAACTATCTTCAGATTAGAGCGTGAATATAACTATCACATCCTTTTATATCAAATGGGTAGTACTTCTCATTCAATAGATGAAAATCGCTGTTTCAGAAAAGACGTTTTTTCCAGAACCAAAGCAATACGCGCTTGCATCTACTGAGACGTAGGATGCTAAGTGATCCATCAGTTTCAAATTCCTCGGTAAAGTTTTTTTGCTGAAGAACAACTTATTGGAAAAAGCAAAGAAATAAAACTGCCAAATATTCATCGGTGAAGACTGGATTGTCAATACTTGTTCTTTGGCAATAAGAAGAACACTGGGACACACAAGTAACAAGACCTATAAAAGACAGTTTAATAAAAAAACTCATTCAACTTTTTGTCTCGCACGATCATCGGGCGCAATCTTGAATTTTTATATCTCTCTTTTTTGCTGTCGCCCCACAGCCAATTTTTTGTTGGAAGTTTTCGAGGAAGGCAGCACGACACTCATGCGGACAGAAAAAATCTCTCATTTTAATCAAAAACAGTAGAAGAGATTTTCGTGAAGACGACAACGGCCTTGCTTGTCTGTCTTAACTCGACTTCTAGAACTAATTTCTGAATAAAAAACTGAAAAAAGTAAAAAAAAAACACTTAAAAACCAAAAAACACAAAAAATAACCTTGCTTCGCACTCTCGATCGGCTCTCTGTTGATCTCCTTCTGGGTAAGGACGAGCGGAGACTTATCTCCAGTTCGTGTCTTCACAACATCACGGCTTTTAAGAAGAATCGGCTTAATCTGGTCTGACGTGTCGGCTTTATCGTAGGAAGACATTTAAGTCGCACATTACTTGTTGCCAATCGTATGTCGTTGCAGACGCACAGATAAATCGTCTACTTTCGGTGAACTCGTCCGTCGTTGAGGAGAGCGCTCAGCTGCGGATTTCTCGGAATTGTTCGATGACCAGTTTTAACCCGTTTCTGACACTGTGCTCTTAGGACCAGACGGTCCTGCGACTGGCTCGAGGCTGGAGCCAATAAAAAATGCACTAATGGCCATCAACGTGTATAATATTTTAGACTACAACAATTTTCCCAATTAATACAAAGAAAGAGAATGATTCACACGGAGAAACTCCTTCCAATTTAAAAAAATGCAAAAAAATCAAAAAATGATGCTGGCAAAAATTTGTCTACCAGATGCATTCCAAAGTGGCACCACGCATTTGATCAGCAAGTTTCTGTCACAGGCTTTCACTTTTCTTGATATGTATTTCTTTTTGATAGTTGAAATCTGCCGAATTTTAAAATTTCAAAAAATTGCAAAATTTTGAAATTTGGAGTTTTCAATTCAGAGCAATTTTTATACAGTTATAAATTGTATATATTGAAGGCAAAGCGATGCTGTATGCCGATGCATTCATGCGCATTAATGAGATAATACGCATTAGCCTTTTTTTTCCACATTCTGAAAAAATTTGAAAAAAGTGAGTCCTTTGTGGTTTCTGGGGGAGAGGGGCTGGAGCCGCATTGGAGGAGGATGCAATAAGACCACTCAGGGCGATTGTTATAAGTGAGATGCGACAGCCGCGAGGCGAACGCCGCACCTCTAAGGGTCCCCGCACCTTACAGATGGACTCGCATGGTTTCAGAGGCCCTCCTGCCGGCACTCTGGGGGGATCGTGCTTCGGACTGCTGGGCGACACAGAGCTTTGCCCCAAGGGGCGACTCCCAACGGTGCGGGCACGCTGGGTACGGGCGAGCCGGCCTCGGAAAAGCCGGGGCCCCAAGCTTCGCAAGGCCGTGCGCCGATGTCGATACGGCGGCGGTTTCCTCGGATGACAACCCCGGCGGCGTAGGCTTCTGGAGCTCCGGCGCCGCAAGTCGCCGCGCCGTGCGTTTCGGTCCCGAAGGCCGGCGCTGCCGTCGGTGGGCCGCGCGGTGGTGCTCGGCGCGCCCCGGAGCCGCGCGCTTTCTTCTCGTTGGCGCCGACGAGCCATGTTCCCGCGCTTTCGACTCTAGGTCCGCTTGCAGATGTTCTGCCCCCCCCCCCGTCACCCTCACGCGGAGGCCTGATTCGCTTTGCGAGGGTCCGCACGATGCTCGTTGCCAAGTGGCCCAAACCGTTCGCGCTCCCTCACTGTGCGACCTGCGCAGCGCATCCATCTCGCGCGTGCGCACGGCTCGTCGCTTTTGCGATTGCCGGGGTACACTACGAAACACGGCCGGTGCGTATTTGTGGCAACGTCGACGACCGTGACAAGTGTTCGTCATTTGATGTATCCTTCGAGCCGCCCGCGAAGGTTCGCGGTGGCGCATTCAGCCTTGTACTGAACCGCTTTGCCCTACTAGCGTCAGGAAAAATACACAAGTCAGATCTGAAATCGTTGCACTTGATCTAGCGCCGCGATCCGCACGGTACCCGCATTGAGCGGGCGTTCTCATCGGTCAGCTTGTCTCGAATGCAAAGAAGAAATCGGCTGGTGGACGACGTAGAAACTCTTTGTCCATAAAAGACTTCATTCAATACGTTCCGACTTCAGCATCGGCGGCATCTCACGTGGCCTCTGCCTGGGGTCGCTGCCGCGTGTGAATACTTACCGCAAGTGGACGAAAATTCTCCTTTGTAGTACCAAGAACTCCAACACGTTGTTGAAACCAAACGACTCTGAGTTAGTAGACAAAAAAATTCGGTCGTCTAAGCAGCTATCATCTTGTACTACAGAGCAGCATCCACAAAACCGCTACACCGTAAATCATGACGTCCATTCGCCCGCCCAAGCCCGGATGCTTTTTGTTCACGTCCGAAAGCGTGAACGAGGGACACCCCGACAAAATCTGCGACCAAGTTTCCGATGCTGTGCTGGACGCATGCTTGTCCCAGGACCCGGACGCGCGGGTCGCCTGCTATCAAATGTAAAAATGTCTGGGTCTGGAAAATTGCAACTTGTCATGCTACATCTAAAGCATGCAAAAATCTGTATTGCATGATTACCAAAAGTCGTCCAGTTTTGACCAAGTCGGGAGGGAGTTTCTCATGCAGGATAGGCATGAGAGAGATCGCACAGAATCTGTCATGCTAGGTCCTGCATTTCAGACCTCATGGGTCATGGAAAAGCAGCATGACAAATCGCGCATTCTTCCAGACCCAGACACTTTTGCATTTCATACCTGCGAGACTAGCACGAAAACTGGCATGGTGATGGTGTTTGGCGAAATCACTACAAAAGCAAACGTGGACTACGAAGCAGTGGTGCGCGAGACCTGCCGAAACATCGGCTACGATTCAGCGGACAAAGGTCTTTTTTTTTTCTCACTCGTCGCATGATAAGTATTTATCCAGAGGGACAAAAGTTTTAGACAAAAACGTTTGGCGGGTCTGTTTGTTTATGGTAAAAAAAGCAGCATTGATGATGGAAACGCTGCGCAGGTCTCGATTATGCGTCCATGGACGTGTTAAACAAGCTGGAGGAGCAGAGTCCGGACATTGGGCAGGGGGTCCACGGAATGGGCACGAAGGCGGTCGAGGACATTGGGGCCGGGGACCAAGGACACATGTTCGGGTACGCGAGCGACGAGACGCCGGAGCTGATGCCGTTCACGCACTCGATGTCCACCCGTCTGGGGTGGCAGCTCACCAAGGTGCGCAAGGACGGCACGTGCCCCTGGATACGCCCGGACGGGAAGACGCAGGTAAGTTAACGGAATATCTACCCATGCTTCGCTCCCCCGTGCCAGAACGGGAGAAGAGGAAGAGGGTTTTTGTATTGTCTTTTTAGAAGCTTGAACTACATTGTATCTTTTGACCCCAAAGCCTTCCTTCGCTCAGGCTTACACGCCCTCAGTGCGTCCCCCGCGATATCGACACTTGCATTATGCCAATTATGACGGGGGTTGTTCTTTCTTCAAGAATTGATAGAGAGAGCGGACTCTTGTTTAGCAGCAGCTTTTGCATCTGTTGCCTCCACCACTTATGTTTCCAGGTCACCGCCGAGTACAAAAGATTGAAGGACGGATCCATGGTGCCGCACTATGCCCTGCAGAAGTATCGTATTGCTTGTGTCCAGGACGAGAGGTAATAGCAATTTTTGCCATGTTGGGACAAATGATGAAGAGTCCTGAATGTGTGGTCATGTGAACAACAGGCTAGCGGTCTTGGCGTCGACGCTTGTATTACGATTTCCTACACTTTTTTCGGCATTGTTTCTGCCAATAGTCACCCTGTTGCTACTACCTCCCTGCGCGGCGTACAACCCATACGACACTTTTGCCCGGGATAAGCCGCGGGTGCACACGATTCTGATCAGCACCCAGCACGCACCGGACGTGGACAACGAGAAGATTAAAAAAGACATCATGGAGTATGTCATCAAGCCCATCCTGCCGGAGAACCTGCTGGATGCCGACACCATCTACCACATTAACCCGAGCGGGCGGTTTGTGATCGGCGGTCCGCACGGGGACGCGGGGCTGACGGGGCGGAAAATCATCATCGACACCTACGGCGGGTGGGGCGCCCACGGCGGCGGTGCGTTCAGCGGCAAGGACACCACGAAGGTGGACCGGTCCGCGGCCTACGCGGCCCGCTGGGCGGCGAAGAGTTTGGTGGCCAACGGGTTCGCGCGGCGGGCCCTGGTGCAGGTGTCGTACGCGATCGGCGTGGTCCAGCCGTTGTCCATGTTTGTGGACACGTACGGATCGGCGCGGTTCGGGTTCACGGACGAGCAGCTGTGCGAAATCGTCAAGCGCAACTTCGACTTCCGGCCGGGCTGCATCCAGCGGGACTTGAACCTGAAAGAGCCCCAGTTCACGAAGCTGGCGGCCTACGGCCACTTCGGCCGCGAGGACTGTTCCCCGGCCTGGGAGGTGGTCAAGGACCTCAGCCATGAGCTGGGCGCGGGCCTGTGCCAGGGAAAAATTCTCGGCATGGGGAACCCGCTTCTCGACATGAGCAACACCGTGGAACCCAGCGTGCTCACGGAATACGGGCTGGAAGCCAACAACGCGGTGCTCGCCGAGGACAAGCACAAGCCACTGTAAGGATTTTTTTTTCGAACTTATTTATCCTGTGTTTTCGACAGGCGAGACTTCGGGATTTGTTCGCAAGTTGCCCCTGTTTTGCGTTGCAAATTCTAATCTGTCTGTAGTACTTAAAAAGCTGCTCAGTTGTACTCACGTTCAACGCAAAGATTTGCATGCACGCTTCCCTCGCGTTTCAACCCTGCACAGGTATGAAACCCTGGACAAGATGCCCAACACGGATTACATCCCGGGCGGCGCTACGCAGAATTCCATCCGCACGGCACAGTGGTGTCTGAAGAACGATAAAAAGGACAGCGGGACCTCCTTTGCTAGCTACATGGGCTGCGTTATCCTGAGTAAAAACGTACCCACACCAGAGTCATGATGGGGATTTTGCAACACAAACCTAGGAGTTTTGTGAGTCACGCATGACAAGTTGCGCTCTGCAGTGTAGTGCAGGTTAGCAAGTGCAGCCGCATCGCAGATTCGTCTGCTCGTCCTGTTCACAGCATCACAAATTCCAAAACACGATTGGAAATGGCTCTCATGCGGATGCGCATTACAAGTCTTCCTGTCTTTGCAAATCTGCATTACAACTCTGGTGTGGGTACGTATTTACTCAGGATATGCGTCGGCAAGGACGGCTACAGCGAGAAGATGAAGGCGATCTGTACGAAGGAGGGCGTAACTGCCACTTACATGGAGGTATAGAGGATTAAGGGTGCTTTTATTGTACAACTTTTTGAATTTTTTATGCACCTGATTTAACGAGCGACAAAGACAATGGCTCGTCGCTGCACGACGAAAAATTGCCGGAACAGAGTGAATTTTATCGTGACCAACACTCCCAATCAGGATCCGTCCGTTCCAACCGGTACCTGTGCCGTCTTGATCACGGGGGAAAACCGCAGTTTGGTCGCGAATCTCTCTGCTGCGAATAACTACAAGCACGAGCACTTGAAGGCGAACTACGGCGTCCTGGAAGCGGCCAGCGTGGTCTACTCCGCGGGGTTTTTCATCACGGTGTGCCCCGACGCCATGTACGATGCCAGCCAGCACTGCCTGGACAACAACAAAACCTACTGCCTCAACCTGTCCGCGCCGTTCATCATGGAGGTGCCGCCGTTCTGGGAAGTGGTGACCAAATTGCTGCCGAAGGTGGACTTCTTGTTCGGAAACGAGACCGAGGCGGGCGTGTTCGCAAAAGTTAAGGGATGGACGGAAACCGATGTTGCGGAGATCGCCTGCAAAATATCAATGTGAGTCTTTTGAAATTGGATCTCGTCGATATTTACTTCGCAAGAACTTTTTGCATCACAATCATGAACAGCGCGAAGATGTTCGTTTCATCGTCATTGACGACCCATGAAGCGTTAACATAGCCGAAGAAGTACAACTCGAAAACAAACGCAAACCAGGCTCCCGTCCGAGAAAGCCAAATCGCGCACCGTGGTGATCACCCAGGGGGCAGACGCGACGATTGTGGCAAAGGACGGCAAGGCCAACCTGTATCCGATTGAGAAGCTTTCGAAGGAGCAAATCGTGGACACGAACGGCGCGGGGGACGCGTATGTGGGCGGTTTCCTGTCCAAGCTCGTCCAGGGCTGCAGCGTGGAGCTGTGCTGCCGGGCGGGTGCGAAAGCCGCGGCGGTGATCGTGCAGCAAAGCGGGTGCACTTTTCCGTAATAAAGCATAAAAATCGGGCGGAGAATGAGCTACCTTTTTTGTGGCCAGAAATCGTATGAAAATGCATATGTATGAATAGTATTACTGATTCATTGGGATGATGATGTGTTTTTTATCCTATGTAAAAACGTACCCACCCCAGAGTTGTCATGCAATTCTGCATGCCAAAAAAGTTTCTCATGCGGAGCCCTATGAGAAGCGTTTTCTATTCGTATTTTGGAATTTGTGATGCTAGAATCAGCATGGTAGGCTAGATCTGTAATGCTTCTGAGCTAGCGAAACAGGATTACACTACGAGGACAAACTTGTCATGCCAAACAACCAAAGCTGTGTGATTTGTCTAGCAGATTTACCAACTTGACTCTGGTGTGGGGACGTTTTTAATCAGGATATTTTTGCGTTTTTCGTCTTTCGAGACCACTTGTAGAACGATTCACTCGTCTTTCTGGGACTTGTATCAAATGCAAAAATGTCTGGGTCTGGAAGATTCTAAGACTTGTCATGCACGGTTTGCAGGAGCCATGATGTCTGTGATGCATGCCCTAGCAGCACAGGTTTTTTGAGGGATTCTTGATGCCTATTCCGCATGACAAATGCCCTCCCCGCGTAGCAAAAATTGGAATCCTTTTGCTGCTCATGCAACACAAATTTTTTAGGCATCCAAATGCAGCATTACAAGTTGCATTCTTCCAGACCCAGACATTTTTGCATTTGATAACTTGAATTTACCGCTTGACTCCGAGTTTTCGATCAGAAAGTAACGATTCACTCGTCTGCGATGTATGGACTTGAATTGCGAAAATCTATCTTCTGTACAAAAACACCCTTTAGGTACAAAGCGCACCTTGATATCAAAGAGCACGTAAAAAAAAACACGCACGCACTTTTTATCTTTTCAAACCGGGGAGATGTTTATGTTTTCTTTCTCACGCTGCTTTTCTATTCATCAAAATGTAGACACGCAGCGGCGGCCAAGGCCGCAACAAGCAGAACTCCTCTACTAGTTCTCTCAGCACCTCCGAATTCTTCGTTACAACTAGAACTATGCTAAAACACAAGCGAAAGCTTATTCGAGTGGTAAGTAAGTATCGAAATCATCAATGCAATTGATGCAGCTCTTGTATCGTGTAAACATAAGAAGTTCTTAGGGGAACGTGTAAACTCATCTACGTGCAAACTCGTGGCACTGTGTCGCTACCAGGCTGAGCACTCAGACCCAGTGCTTGTCTTTGGAGCCTCAATGTTCCTCTATCGCATAACCCAGAAAAATCTGGCCCGCGCGCGCGAAAGAGAGAGGGAGAGGGTTTGTTTATTTGTGCTTGCTTCTGCTTCTGCTTACCAGCTTTCAAGAACTCATACCCTGCTAGTTCCTCCCGCCAGCACCACGGGGTTGCGCGCTCCGTGCCTCTTCGAAGAAGCAAATGTAGTGCCTCTCGCGGAGTTCGATTGCTGCGGCCACAACGCGGTTGCCGGTCGGGCCGACTACGCGCAGTGGCAGATCGCAGCCGCGACGTGTTCTGGAGGACGACCAAGAACCCAGATGCGGCGCCGAAGTTGTGTCAGCGCGGCTGCGGCAGGCCTCGCTGCCCTGCAGCAGGAATGGGATCATCTTATCGGTGTGCCAGTTCTCGCTCTCGTTCGACCGCATCGGGAGCGTCGCGTGACCAAAACGCACGAGGTGCTCGCAGTGACGAATTTGGAAGAAGGTGAGCAGGGAGATGTTGACCAAAAGGAAACGCCTTCGGTCAACACACAAGAACGCAAGCAGGATCGAACGAAAACCTCTCGACCACACCAGCATTTAGTGCAGCATCATAGAACGTCTTCTACGTCGGGGAAAAAGACAGTAGACGGAGCTGTACAAAAGAAGAATAACAGCGAGGACACCAAAAGAAATGCAAAAGCGACAAGGAGTGGCGCAACGGCTAGCGGCAAAAGATCTTCTAATGGCAAAAAAACAAGGGGACATGGCAAAGAGCCGGAAGAAACGGAGCACGCGTCGGAAGAGGTTGGCAAAGAGCCTAGCGAGAAGAAGGGCAAACGCAATGGGGTTCTCGACCGACTGGATCGGGATGCGCCGGTGACTGATGTTTTCAGGATTTACACTGCCCTCCTATTGTCGCCATGCATGATATTGAGGGCACTTACTTAGCATCGCCACATTGTTTTGCCACTACAAACAATGCTTATATCACACACTGATGCGACTCACAGGTTGACAGTACCGGCGGCTTGACAAATGCTCACATTCCAGGCGAGTGGATGAAACGGTACTACGAAGTATGAAACGTGGAAAATAACAGCAAAGCGGTGGATCTGACGGATGTCATGCATAAATTGATACTAGTTTCTTGCCATGACATGCGTCTTTCAGCACTCAGAAGGAGCGAATTTCAGTAAGTACTTATGCAGCGCACAGCGATGCGTCACGTCGTTCGATCCACACAAAAACCATTTCTCTTCTCTATACCCAAACGAGGAACAGACGGAAGACTTTTACATTTCCAACCCGCTAGAGCCAAAGAACAACTACCAAACGCAGACGGACCGGGAGATCGAGGACATAGAGTCCGACCTGGAGCAGGTGAAGAAGCAGCGGGAGAAGTGGCGGGACCTGGAGAAGAAGGGCAACAAGATCGAGTCGGAGCGCCAAAAACTTGCCGACGTGGAGTCGCCGCAGCTGGCCAACTATCAAATGTAAAAGTGTCTGGGTCTGGAAACTTGTGATGCTGGGTGGCGTCTCATGATGAGGCCACAAGTGCTGGCTCAGCATGACAAGTTTCTGAGCTTCTATGTGTTGCCTATTCCGTATGACAAACTGCGCTTCTGCATCACAGAAAAATGGAGCTCTTGGGTAACGTGCATGACAGATTTAAGAGTCATGCCAGACAAGCATGACAAACATGCATTCTTCCAGACCCAGACATTTTTACACTTGATACCAACTTTTTGACCCGCATGCGCACGGAAATGATCGAGCTGCAGGTGCCGCAGTTCGACGAGCTGCTGGACTTGCGCATTCTGATGCTGAAACAAGAACTGCTGGTGGCCAAGCAGCGGGAGAAGGAGTCGCAGACCCGGATGATGTATTTGGTACTGCTCGCGGTTTTGATTATCCACTTCGCGGTTTGCGCCTGCGAGTGCTTCTTCCGCCGCCGAGCGTTCAACACGGTCGCGGGGGCGGACGGGCATGGAACTACGATCGACAGCGACGTCGTGTGCTTCGACGTCACCAGCTTCTGGACGACCTACTTCACGTTTGGGATGGGTCGGCAAGTTATCAACTGTAAAAATGTCTGGGTCTGGAAGATTGCAACTCGTGATGCTGTCTCTGCATTTTACAAAAATCTGTATTGCATGACCAGCAAGAGGGCTCCAGTTTGTGCTACATGGAGAGGGTATTTCTCATGCGAGATAGGCATCAGAAAGCCCACTAAAAATCTGTGATGCCAGGTTGTGCATTACAGACGTCATGTGTCATGTAAAATCTGCATGACAATGTCATGCAGAAAAATGTCTGGGTCTGGATGTCAGACATCCAGACCCAGACATTTTTGCATTTGATACAAGTGTTGAAGCTCCACGCCACCGAAGTGGAGTACGTAACGCAAAACGTCAGCCTGTACTCGTTGCTCTGCAGCAGCTCCACCGTGAACAATAACAGCGCGGCGCCGAGCCCGCAAATGGTGCGACTGGACGGCGGGGGCAATAATAACACCAGAACCAACAGCCAACAGGTTGCAGGTGTTGTGCATTTTGCAGAGCGAGAACAACAGCATTCGGCAGATAAGAAAGAGGATGCAACCACTGCACCGGTACTGCATCAACAAAATGTACTTCCAAACAACAATGTGCAGCTTGATACGCACGCGACCCAGCTGTCCAACGCGAAAACCATCTGGCGCATGAGCTACGCGACGCTGGGTGAGGTGGGCAAGTTTCAGTCCTCGTTCTGTTTCAAGCGGGTCGGTCTGTCCTGTATGGGCACGGTACTGTTTCCCGGGTTCGGCTTCGATCATGATTTAGTGGACGCCATTGTAGACAAGATAAAACTGAAAACCGGCGATCAGAACTTCTGCTCCAACAGCTTCATGAGCAGCGGCATCGGGAATGGAACAGGCATGAAGATGAATTCCTACAGCACGGTAAGCACGGCCACTTCCGGAAGTGGGACAAACGGGGGTGTGGCCGGTGTGGTGATGAATGAGCAGACCCTGGAGAACCAGCGCATCATGCTCATTCGCATGGCGGGCCTGGAGGGAAAGTTGGAACGCGTAATGGAACATCTAGAATCCGGGGTGGATTCGAGAATGATGGGAGCATAAAAACAAGCATAGCACGACGCTGCAGATAGCCATGGTCTCGATGCGTTTTTTCTTTTCCAGCAATCATCAGCAATACATCGCGTAGAGGTGTTGCGAACAAGAAGGAATCTTCACAGAGCAGCTGTGAAAAGAGCTCTGGTGCCCTACGGTTCATCACACGTACTGGTTCTGCTAAAAGCATTTTTTGCGGCACCGGGGCTCTTGATTGAATATCCAGCGCTCATGTAGTCGGATTCGGATATAGCGATGCTTCATAGCATCAACTTCTCACATCTGTGTTCTGAAATACAAGTTTTGGATCGAAACGCAATATTAATTTGCACTCCAGCTCAGATTTTACCTTCGAAAATGGAAGATCGCTGCTTTTTTGCAGGTTGAGGACAGAGTTCGAACGATCCTGGATGTGGATATTGAAATTGATGTTGCAAAATCCATTCAAAACAAGCCATGGACAGATCTTATCACACTGCAAATTTTGATTGAAGAGGTACCCGCACACCCCAAATCAATACAAGCAACTTGATGTTACCTATTTGTCCGAACGTTTTTTGTTAAAGCTGTCTTGTTTATGTCGCACCGACTTTCAACCTTTTCAATTTTTCTAAAAACATCAGGGTCGTGTTTCTTGTTGCGTTTTCGTCCTATTTTCTGTTTGTGTTTCGTTTTTTGTACCGATATGCTACGGTTGAAGATTGATACACTCGCTTTTAACAGCAATACTCGCCCTAAGACACACGACCAGCAACCTAGAATCCGAAGCGACAAAACGATGCGAAGGCACTGCGACTGTGGTTTTCATTGAAAAGGAAAGGAAAATTGGATGGCCTGCGTTTCCCCACACGGCGACCCCCTGCATTTCAAAAAGAGAAGACGACGGCAGGAGAAGAGCTTGCCCGAAGCGACCACAAACTTGAACAGAAAACAAGCACCCGTCGCTGCACTGCGGTCGTTCGACACGCACGAGAAAGATTTTGCGGACTGAACTAGGAAACCAGTCATTACTGAGCGGCAGAAGACGCGGGTATCTTCAAGATGATGGACGACGGCCCCGGCGCCGGGGGCGCGGCGCCACTCGGAGCCGCACCGGGGATGGGTTTGCCACCTGGAAACAACACCAACAACAACGCGAACCCGAATAATGCGCCCGCCGTGTCCTCTACGGCCCCCGTGATTCCGCAAATGGCGCCCGAGGAGCTGCAGAGGTTTGAGTTGCTCTGCAACACGTTGTACCAACTGACCCCCGGGCAGACCGAACAGGACCGGCAAAACGCGCACAAGCAGCTGCTGCCCATCCTCGAGGACTCGTCGAAGATCCCGCTACTCCAAGCCATACTTATGACCAGTCAGCAAAACCACGCTATCATTTTTTGCACCAACGCGCTGACGAAGTTGATCACGAACTTCTGGACCGCGGTGAGCAGTGGCCAGAAGGAACAGTTGAAAGGGTTTTTGTTCCAGTCCCTGGCGAACCAAGGCCCGTCTATGTATTCCAACGCACCCGTAATACTGCAGCCGTTTGTCAGGTTGCTCTGCCGCCTGATGAAACTGGCCTGGCTGGAGGGGCCGCAGCACCAAGACGTCGTCGCAAAAGTCAACGAATTCTTCGAACAGACCAATCTGCACACCATCGTCGGGCTGGAAGTGTACTATTTTGATGAATACCATTGGAGTGATTTTGTTTTTTTGGCTTTGCGAAATTCACATGACACTTTGTAAAGTGAACCCGCATGCAAAACATTCGAAAATCTAAAAACAGGTATATCGAGATCACCCAGGATATGCAGCCTATCTCGGGTAACATGATGTCCCGATACCGACGGACGGCTTTGTGCTTCCGCGACACAGCGTTACCAGAAATTTTCACGCGCGGGCTGGGGACACTGCAGAAGCTTGCCAAGGGAGAGCTGAACATCACGGATAAGCAGCAGGAGAAGGTGCTTGTGAAGCAACTCCTGCGGCTCATCGCCAATTGCCTCAGCTTCGATTTCATGGGTATAGAAAATTTTCATTTGCGTCTATAGCCGCCTATAAAAGTCCGTACTTGTGAAAAGATCATACTGCCCACCAGAGGTAAAACTATAGTGCACCAACAGACTCACACGAGGATGAAAATGATAAACTTCTATCAACAGGCACGATGCCGGACGAAGCCAACGAGGACCAACAAACGGTGATGGTCCCGCACTCCTGGAACGTGCTGCGGGAGGACGGCGTGTGCTCTCTCTTCTTCGAGGTTTACGGGAGCTGTTGCAACTACCAGCGGTTTGACTGCGCCGCCAAGGCCCTCGAGTGCCTGGTGCTGATGGCGAGTTTGAGAAGAAGCTTTTTCTCCAAGGAGGAGGACAGAAACAAGCTGCTCGGACACCTGATTAACGGAACTAGTGGTAAGAATGTCCGTAGTTTGCGTTGATGAAGTACTCAAAGAAAATGATGAACTTTTGACGGCGCATTCAGAGCAAATCCGGATCCTGGTTCTTTGTCCAAGAAAGTCTTTGTTTGTAACAGTGAAAACGTTGACACAAGAAGCTTCCCTTTCTCTCCACAGGTATCCTCGCCTCGAAAATGGGTCTCCAGGACGAATCCTGTTACCATGCGCTGTGTCGTCTCCTCGGGAAAATCAACGCGGCACACCAACTGTCTGAATTGGCCGCCATTGAGGTATTCCAGGTGTGGCTCACACACGTGTACAACTTCACGACGGAAAGTTTGATCGACTGGGAGCGACAGCCGAACTCGAAGCATTACTTGCTGCAGTTTTGGTCCGGGTTGGTCTCCCCCATGATCTACCTGAAGGACAAAGCGCCACCAGCATTGGAGAATTGCATCCAGCAGATCACGATTTCGTATTGTTTTACTTTTGAACTTTGCAAGATGGAATCGATTTTTACAGCAGGGAAAGGAATGCAAGTTGGGGCTGCATTTTTCATCGTGAGCAGCAGGCTATTGAAATTCACTCTCATGTAATTCAATACCCCACAGATACATTGAGTCTCGGCTTGCAATGGCCGACATGAGCGCGCAAGCCGAGGGCGTGCAAGATTGGGCCGACCCCCTTGACGAGGAAGTTTTGAGAAGCGAGCAGCTTGAAGTGCTGAGTAATTTGGCCCGATGCAGGTACGGATTTTTTCCTTTCGATGGTTTTCGTCATGGTATTTGTTTTCGAGAAAATCAAAATGAGTAGAAAAGTGGAAGCCACGTCGTCACATGTGGTCACATGAAAAGAGCGCAAAACAGAATTTCCACTCAAACTCCTACGACAGATACCACGAAACTGCCCAGCACGTGATGAAGCACTTTGAGGACACGCTGAACCGCGCGAAGCAGAACCAGCTGAGCCAGAACCACTTCACGAAGAAGATGTCGTGGCTGGTCTACATGATGGGCGCTTTGGTCGCCGGCCACAGCTCCACCACGCTGGGACCCCGGTCGAGCTCCAGCAGTTCGCGGAACCACGAGTCAAGTTCCAGTCTGAACCCCGGGGACCCGGGCTACGTCCCGCCGGCGCACATTATCAACGGCGAGTTGGCCAAGCGGGTGTTCACGGTGATCGACTTGACGAATCAAGACGTGTCCGGCCAGGAAACGATCGAAACGGCCTACCTGTACTTCCTCGAACAGTTCCGAAAAGTGTACATCGGAGAGCACGCGAAATCGAACAGTTCCTCCGCCAGCGGGCAGCAGCTCGCAACCACCTTGGGCGTGCAGGACGAGAACGCGATCCTGGGGATGCTGATCAACAAAATCGGCAAAAACCTGCAGCACCGGTGTCAGTACGAGTTGGTGTTGGCGAAGTCGTTGGCCTTGTTCCACGAGATGGCCGCGGGCATCAACATTGTCCACACCGCGGAAAGAAGTCCGCACTTGATCGTTAGCGGGAGATTGCTGCTCAAAAACGAAATGGTATAAGTTTCATCGAAAGTGTCTGTTGTAGCATTGGAATTCTTTTTTTGTTTCACCTCTCCTCCCTCATCTTTGTTACTAGCACGGTGAGTGTACTAGTATCACACCGGACTGTACTGACCAACAAACGCAGGTTCAGTATATGATGAAAAACCACGCGGCAGACGAGTTTAAGTTTTTGTACCACAATATCAAGTATGGGAAGTACCGATCACAGTACTACCACACGCTCGGGAAACTCCTTTTCATGGACGGGCGGGAGGACTGGTCCGTACAAAAGCAGCACTTTGAGGACTTTATGCAGCCCATGACGCGCGTCCTGGACGGCGTGCGCACCGTTACCGCGCAAGGCGGTAGCGGTTCCTTGAAGGCGAACCCAGAGGCAAAACACAGAATAATAGGGCTGTGTCGGGATTTGCGGGGGCTGACTCTCGCTTGCCACGGGGCGGAGAGCTACGGGCTGCTGTTCGGGTGGCTCGTGCAGGACGCGTCCATAAGTAACGCGCAGCACAACAGAATCGCGCTGTTTTACAAAGCACTAGATGAGTTCTGGGACGACTACGAAGTGACCACCCCGTTGCTGAAATTCATGGCGGAGTTCTGCTACAACAAGGTATGGGACTGGGAGTTGTTTTTCGTGAGAACAAAAAATGTAGAAAGTATTTGGAGCAAAAAATGCAGCATGCATGGATGCATCATTTCTGTTGTAATCTCAGTCGAACAAAGGGGAATCGGAAAAAATTTTGACCTCATTATCTGAAAACAGACCCAGCGAATAAATTTCGAGCAATCAAGCCCGAATGGGATTCTGCTGTTCCGGGAAGCAAGTAACATTCTCACCACCTATATCCTGAGTAAAAACGTACCCACACCAGAGTCAGAATGGGGATTTTGCAACACAAACCTAGGAGTTTTGGGAGTCACGCATGACAAGTTGCGCTCCGCAGTGTAGTGCAGGTTAGCAAGTGCAGCCGCATCACAGATTCATCTGCTCATCCTGTTCACAGCATGACAAACTCCAGTACACGATTGGAAATGGCTCTCATGGGGATGCGCATTACAAGTCCTCCTATCTTTGCACATCTGCATTACAACTCTGGGGTGGGGATGTTTTTACTCAGGATAACCTACGGGCAGAGGATACTCCAGAAGGACTTTGGAGACTTTGCGAATAGCACCAGCAACAGCATTATCAAATGTAAAAATGTCTGGGTCTGGAAGAATGCAACTTGTGATGCTGAATTTGAATTCCAAAAAAATCTGTATTGCATGAGCAGCAAAGGGAGTGTAATTTTTTCTACGCGGAGAGGACATGTGTCATGCGGAATAGGCATCGCAAAGCCCTCAAAAAATCTGTGATGCTAGGGCATGCATCACACACATCATGGCCCAGGCAAAACATGAAAAAAAAAGATGGTATAAACGCGCTCTGCTTAACTGTGTGAAAGGTGTCGGCCCTGTGTAACCTGCTGCGGCAGGCAGGTGAATTCGTAGAACTGCATCACATGTTAGGCAACGTCCACCGGCCTCCTAGCTTAGTGATGAATTTATATGCGTAAACCCCGCGAATCACGAGCGGAATGCGCACATCCGAATCCGAATCCGTAAACAGAGCGGGGCCCAATGAAAAAAAAAAAAACATGCATGACAAGTCTCAGAATCTTCCAGACCCAGACACTTTTGCATTTGATAAGCATTGGCGCCGTGCCGACACCAAATAGGAACCTCTACCAGGCAAAGTACAAGGGAATAGGGGTTGCTCTCGACATGTTCTCTCACGCGCTCAACGGAGGGTACTTACTACAGCTTGCGAAATTGTGTTTCTTGTTCTCAACATCGTCTCTGCAAAATTTGATCGATGCATCAAGCCAAAAGTTTGATAGGATCTGCAACGGGTCGGGGTCGTACTTCACTGCATTACTTCCAGGTACTGCCTGGCTGGAAAACTCATTATCTAGGATTTTGTATCAGGCTGAAAAATTCATTCATTCCCAGGTACTGCAACTTCGGTGTATTCGAGTTGTACGGCGACACCAGCTTGCAAAAGTCGATGTCTCTGGCGCTGCAGATGTGTCTGTCCATCCCGTCCGTGGAGTTATCCGCCTACCAAAAGACGTTCAAGCCGTTTTACACCTTTCTCGACCTGACGAGCAAAAACCACGTGAAGAAAATTTTCGAGCTCGACGTGTCCCAGCTTGCCCGTTTAATCGCGCTGGTGGAGGAGGGGCTGTGCTCCTTCGACGTCTCTGTTTGCATGCAGTGCTGCAGTATCGTGGACAACATCGTTTCCTTTTTCGTGGAGCACCAGAAGGAAAACCAGTCCACCGACGCGGGGCGATACGTGACCCAGTTCCTGACCACTCAGCCCGACGCGTTGAAGAAAATTCTCGCGCTCATGTTCCAGCTCATCCTCGCCGGGGAGTTTAGCTCGACGTGGAGTTTGTCCCGGCCCCTGCTCGCGCTGATTCTGTTGCACCCGAACTACTACCTGGAGCTCAAAGACCGGCTGATCATGCAGCAAATCGAGGAAAGGCGGGAAAAGCTGAAGAACTTTTTCGAGGAACTGATGCAGAACGTGGAAAACACGCTGTCCTCCCGAAACCGCGACCACTTTACGAGGCAACTGTACACCTTCGCGCAAATGGTCAAGGCGCTATGACTCGGCGGGTCGGCGTGTTTTGGTTTTCCTACTCGCTCTTCAAGTATCGTGCTCCGTGTCGATAACAGGGGGCGGTCGAGCTGCGGGATGAGGAAAAGGTTGCTCAGTTGCTGACCACCAGCGATGAACACAAGGGACTAGCAGTAGTGCGCTGCTCCGCGCACTTGTGCTGCTGCGCTTGTTCATGCCTCTCTTTAGTATCGAAAGAAGTTTCAAGAACAGAAATTATCCTAACAGAAAACGAGTCAGAAAAATAAACCTACAATTCTGCCGGCCAGACAAGGGCGCGCGATATTTTACTCTAGTGTTGTATAGTCTGATGAATTAGAATGCGCGCATTTTACGTATGGATGATGGACCAATATATAGAACAGTTGTATCCATGATAGCGATAAACAGGGTCATATTAAACGAAGCGAAATATTGGCAACGACATGGGCCGTTGCAGCAGTCCGAAAAGCAGTAGAGAAAGTGACTTCTCAAGAGTATGAGTCGTCTTATTCCGCTGCCTGTGGTTCTGGAGATGACACGGCATTGAAACCGGTGACACTACCGAGTTGCTGTTTTTGCTGGTTAGGGTGTCTGCACGACCGTGGTAGAAGTCGGGAATACAACCCGGGTGGAACTCTTACGGGCGTAGCTTTTCACCGCTTATCATTCTCATGGGCTTTGCTGACATAGAAAATGAACCGATAAAGGAACTTTTCATCGCGCAGGCATGGCACCTGACAAGACGACCATGTGCCAAGGAGCGGACGCGCTGTGGGCTTGACACGTTCCAACTTCAGTTGCAAGAGGACCAGGCATGACGCCGACTCCTTGCCGCCGTTTAGCCCGACCCGTAACTAGTATGTTTTCTCCCGCCGCACAGTAGAACTTTAACTTTCCAACCCGAATACGTCTGCCACGCGCCATGCGGCTGTGTCACAACATAATATTTTGCTACACTGACAATGAACTTAGCTTTTCTACTCCAGAGCTAGCCAATCCCACGGCTTTCACTTTATTATATCGCGATTCTTTTTCCATTTACATTTATACGAACTTCTCGAATCATGTACGGCATCGCATACAACGACAATTCAAAATGACCAGTGACAATTCATGATAAACCCTCTAAAAGCACCGACGACCGAGTCAGACGGTCGTGGGCGTAGTACTCGTCCGTAAGGAAATATTCATCACATCCGCGAAGTTAATACCCTCTCCTTCTCTACTCGTGGCTTCAACTACCACGTGAGACAGAGCTGCTTTGTCGCGCGATCATTTTCAGTGTGCGCGCGCAAATTTTCTTCCGCCGCAGGACCAGAAGGTTCTTAAGTATGTTGTTGCGTTGTTTCGTTGTAGCATCTTGACGGAGTTGTATTCGTACCACGTTCTTCAATTACTTCATTCTTGTGGGTAGTATCCATTTTCATCGTGCAATAAAGCCATCGTACTCCTATCGCGCTGCTTCCATGTTTATTTCGTTCGTCACGGCTTGCAGTTCATACAAGATGTCGTGTTTCGTCAGTGAAAAGATCGTTCATGAAGATTCAAAACTACATGATCCGGTCGTGAATAAAGATAATTCGAATCATATGTGGTGGTCTACGTGTGCTTGGTATGTATGAAGAAAAGAAGACTACTAAAAGACATCAGTCTGATTTTCTTCTCTTCAGTCCCTCATTGCATTCCAAAAGAATTACTCCGACTAATATTGCCACAGGTCAGCGTACGAACCCGCCCACAAACGCGAGAAGCAGCTTTTTCGTTTTTTTCGTGTTATTGTGTCCCGCGAAAGTATCGCCAATTTTGTAAAATATGCCAATTTTTCTTTTTGATCTTTACAACTAGTCAAGCTGCGGATTCCTGGCTTGAACGCGAGAGGGAGCTTTTTCATTTTTTTCCCGTCATTTTGTAGCGCAAGAGTATGGCCAATTTTCAATAATTTACTCATTTTCCATTTTGGTCTTCAACAGCAGCGCTGTAAAATGACATTCCGCCCACGAATGTCAATCTTCATATCAGTTTGTCTTTCAACAAATACGAACTAAAAGCGGCGCATTTTCTTGAAGGATGGCGCGGTCTGTGCCCTCAAGCTTTTTCCTTGCAGTCACGCAGCTGCACTTGTCTGTGACGGATGGTATGGACGTCCGGACCGCGAACAAGCTGATGGAAAACTATACCCCGCTGCTGCGACGCGGGCAGCAAGAGCGGAGAAGTAGGGTCGGTCTTGGCGGTCAGTCGGTGTCCCTTCTGCAAAAAAAGCATCGGCGCGGTCAAAAGGTCGGCCTCGGATCCGATACGGATCCTCCAGTCAGCACAGCCAACGTTACTACAACTACCTCCCCGTCCGCGGGAGACGAACCTGAAGAAGTTATGACGGTTCACGCGCAGATGGAGCGGCTTTTTCGCGAGTACCCAGAGCAGTTCGGGCCGGTGGAAGACGGCGAGTCGAACCCCTGCCTGGACCCGCACGGGCTGGAGGTTCCGGTGGTCATCAGGGGCGGCTACAGCACGCACACGGGAGACAAGTGGAAGTCGCAAACCTACCAGCAGGGCGACCCGCCGCCCCCGGACGACCGCATTTGCTTCGGGGGAACCCGGGGCAACCACGTGACGGGCCACTTCTACCTGCCGAAAGTGGTCAACGACGTGATGCAGATCACGCTGCGCCACCGGACGGGCGAGATCTCCTGCGGAACCAGGGGGGGCGAGCATTCTATCCCAGAGAAAAAAGCTGGCAGGGCATATTTGTAATGCAAAAATAAATACATGGGCGGCCTCATAGCATGCTGCTTAGGATACGCAATACAGATCTTTGTGTATTTATATATTTTTGCATTACAAATGTGACCTGCCAGCTTTTTTCTGTGGGATACATTCGACGAAGTGCCAGCACTCCCGATGGGGCCAGCGGCTCGGCGCCATCTCGGCTTGGCTGGTCACGGGGGAAAACCAAGACGCCCAGGCCCCGTTCAAGGCTTCGCAGACGCAGATGAGCCACGACGGGTGGGACATATCAAATGCAAAAATGTCTGGGTCTGGAAGATTGCGAGATTTGTCATGCTTGTCTGGGATGACCAAAAAGTTTGTGATGCGTGTCCAAGAAGAGACCCTTTTGTCTGTCATGCAAAAACGCAGTTTGTCATGCGAAAAACGCAACACAACGAAGCGCAGATATTTCTCATGCTTGGCTGCGCATTACAGAGCATTCACTATATTATCCAACGCAGCATTACAAGTTTCCAGACCCAGACATATTTGCAATGCATAGGACATCGGGGCGGACAATTTTCGCAGCGACGAGAGCGGCGCCCACACCCACGCCGGCTCCTACCGCTACCACACGGTCCGGAGCCGGGAGGAGCTTCCCGGCATCGCGATCAGTGACAAAACCGGGGCGGAGTACAAAATTTGGGCCGTGCAGAAGCACGGACCGAACGACCCGGACCTGTCGTTTCGGGACGAGAGCACCACCTTGGAGGACATCCAATTCCACCACCAGAAGGCCGGGCACCGCTGGGGCCACTACCGGATGGTGCACGGAGAAAACCTGTTCGCCGTGGCGGACAGGGACAATCAGGGAATCACCTGCGCCACAGTCATCGTCTGCAAAATCTTCACGACCACAACCAGCACGACGACAACGACGAAAAGCACTACGACGACCACTACCACAACAAGCACAACGACCACCACTACAACGACGAGTAAAACGGCGTTTGATACCATCTCGAAAACTGTTGTCAGTGTCAATGGTACTACCGACGCGGAGGACGTCGGTGGGAAGCTGACGATTGAGGTGAAAAGTGAGAACCCCTTGGAAGATTTGGTGAAGGGGCCGATGGACTGCTGGTCTTCGTGCGCAGAGACGAACGGAGCAGGTTTTTGCGACAAGTGCGCCGTTGTCGGTGGACCGGGGAATTTCAGCGCAGACTACACCGGGGCCTGCTGCCGCCACTTTGCTGGCCACGCAGGCTGGAACATCAGTAATACCTCATCTCTAGTACTGAGCAAAGGGCGGTGGCAGCCCGAGGATCCACGCGAATGCCGCATTTTGTCGGTGATCGAGGGAACAAAAGACGAAAAAGCTTTTCTCACGCAGCGCTACTGGGACTTTGTCAACTCGGACGCGCACTTGCAAGATGTGCGGGACAGGTTCAGGGGCAAGTTGGTTGACGAGGCGAGCGGGACCGACCACACGGGGTACCACTCTTGTGTGGCCGTGCCGATCTGGGTCAAGGAGCAGAAATCCTGCTTGGGGAGTGGGAGCGGCCAGTGCGCAGAGCTCGGTCTTTGTGACCAATGCCCCGGTGATGTCGCTGAAGGTTTCTATGGCGCCTGCTGCGAGAAGGGGGCGGAATACAGTGGCAATCCAGATCATGTTTGCAACCAAGTGCCGCTCAGTGGCTACCCGATCGCGGACATGTTGAAGAACGATACACACGGCAAGAGCTTCTACACTCCCGAGTGCATTCTAGTGACAACGACTACCACGACTACAACTTCTACTACGACGCCCACTTCTGCCGTGATTACGAACGCCGTACAAGAAGACATGGGCACGACAAACACTTCTTCGACAACAATTTTGGACGACGCTGGTGTTCGGGACTCGAATTCGACCATTTCTACCGTGATGCCCGCTCCCGCAGCCGGCAACAACACGAACACAACGCAAGAGAGCGCAACAATTGGTGGCGGTAACAGCATAGATCTGTTTCCCCAGTCTTCGGCAGAGGTACGCGACGAGGACGGCGGAAAAAACGTTGACGTCGAAGAAGGCGTCAAGGGCGTCGGCGGAAGCTCGTGTTGCTAGCGACTCCAATTCCATAGACTTGAATGATGTCGTGTCACTTACAGTTACAGCCGCGGCATTGGATTTTTTCCAACGGCAGTGGCAGTGTGTCAGGCGAATGCTTGGCTTTGCTAGTTTTCCCCTTTCCTAAAAGCATCTAGCATGCCGCAAGAGTTCCCTTCTACCCTCACCTGATGTTGTGCTGAAGTGTGATCAATAGCGACCCAAAAACCTTCAAAGCATGCTGAAGTACGATCGAAACCATCATCCCAAATATGCACGAAAAAGCGTACTTACATACCTGTATTGTGCTCTCAATCATTCTGGCGAGCCCCTCTCCTGACCCTGGGGCTCACAGTTTGTATCCTATACTGAAAAACTCACACGTAGTGTTAGTAGCCCAATTGATTCGTGCTTCAGAGCCAGCGCTTACTTCTACTTTCGTCTGCAGTAGAAATTTCGCGCGTCCTCAGATCGTCCTTCATTTGCGTCGCCGCTTCTTCATTCTTTAATAGTAGCTCGCTTTCGTGCCTTTCCGTCCAGGGCGAGCTCGCTTTCGTTCTGAAGGTTCACCAAATCGTATCACCGTCGTACTGGAAAAAAAAGACAAGAAAAAAGATTTTGTGTTACAAGAGCATCTCCGTTGCCCCACAGGCCGTTCCCCTCAATATTAATCTGCTCTGTTATAGTGATTCTCGGAGTTGCTCGAGGCTTAATTTTTGTACTCACCTGGCGTGATACTGATATAATTTAGAGTTAGCACAGCGAAGTATTTTTGCAACCACTTACACGCAACGCTATGTGGAGCACGTGCTGCAATTTTTATGTACACGCATGCTCGCTAATTTTCTTGCTGCACGTCGAGCCCATCTCGAGATGCGCCCTAGCTTCACAGAACCTTCTCGTGACCACAGAACACCTTGGTAGAAAGATGTCTCGTTCATCCACGAAAGTGAGAAACGAAGCAACAAAACTCTTGCTGCGGGGAGGATTGGAAAGGAGAACTCCCACTAGGAAAATTGCGAAAAATTATGATGCGGGTTCATTAACTACAGACACCGAGGTTCATGCGGGGATGTTCCGCGCTGATGAAACGATCCGAAGCAGCTCTGTTCTCTCCACCGGCGAGGAAACCGAAGCAAGTGCGTCGGTGTCTCCCTCCCGCCCTTTGCCGACCCCTAGTTCGCACTCAGAGGGAATAAAGACAGCAGCGGGCACGAATGGCGGGGGCAACATAGCGCAGCGGATGCGACAGCTGTTTGCCGATAACCCAGCCAATTTCGGACCCTTGCCTGAAGGTGAGACAAACCCCTGCCTGGACCCGGACGGACTGGAAGTTCCCATCGTGATTAGAAACGGCTACAGCACGCTTGCCGGATCGCCCTGGAATGGAAATAAAACCGACCGGCAGGCGGAAGCCTCACAGCACCCGGATGATTACCGGGTCTGCTTCGGCGGGAGCGCGGACGATCCGGTAATTGGAAATTTCTTCCTCCCCCAAGCAGTGAATGAGGTGATGCAAATCACCCTCCGCCACCGCGATGGGGAGATCTCCTGCGGCGGTCCTTTTGGGAGCGAGTTCTGCAATCGCGACCGGTGGGGTTCTTCGCGGAACGGGGCCATTTCCCCCTGGTTAGTGACGGGCGATAACAACAATTACGCGGAGGCTCCGTTTAAAGCTTCTCAAACGCAAATGAGCCTGGACGGGTGGGACGACGCCGACGCGACCATCCTTCACTCGACGCCCGAAGACCCCGCACGCAGTTCGGCCGCCGGGTCTTTCCGGTACCATACGGTGCAAAGTCGCGACCAGCTCCCGGGCGTCGCGATCAGTAAGAAAACCGGGGCGGAGTACAAAATCTGGGCTGTGCAGAGAAATGGGTACGAGGATCCGGATCTGTCGTTCCGGGATGAAAGCAACACTTTAGAGGACATTCAGTTTCGCGAAAAGCACGCCGCACACCGCACGGGGAAGTATCGAATCGTCCATGGGGAAAGTTTCTTCAACATGGGTGCGGCGGACGGCATGAAGGACCACAACATTGGAGTGACTTGTGCGACAGTGATCGCCTGCAAAATCTTCACCACCACAAGCACAACAACGTCGAGGCAAGCGGCGCAGGCCGCACCGCTTAGAGAAGACCTCCTCAAGCACGCGTCGTACGTACCGCTTGAAGAGGACCCGAATCCGATCCCCAGTGGTACGACCGCAGTAGTAGAGGAGGCGGCGGGTAGAAGTTCTACCGCTACCACGACAAGCACGAGCCTGACGACGGGGATGCCGTCCGGCGACACCGCAACTGAGTCGACCACTGTACCTCCGTCCGAGGGTCGTGATAGCATTAGCAGCACTGCGTTGCTAGGGGAAGACGGTGGCGTTGACGCAGCGGTCTTTCCCTCAAAACCAGCAACCACAGAGAGGAACAAGAATGACACAGCCGTGGATGTCGTTGCCTTAGAACTCAACGTGCGGATTGCAGCGGCGGCGGGGACCCGCGCCGACGTGATCGAGCGTGTGCGCGAAGCCCTGCGACCGGCAATGGACGCGGGAATTGCTGCAGAAGGCGCGGTCTCGACGGCGGCGGAGGGGGTAGCTAACGTTGTGGAGTTCGGCGACACGGTCTCGCTGCAGAAGGCGCTTTCCACCGCAGTTGCCCTCGCGGAGAATGTTGCCGTTGTTAGTAGCAGTTCGGTACTAGAGCAGGATGGGGATGGTTTGCTGGCTGAGAGGGGGAAAGGCAGTGAAATTGCACCGTAGCCACACGAACCGCCATCTTGAATTGACAGAACAGTTGCGAAGTTTGTGCGTATCTTCAGATCATCATGTCGTAACTTCGTTCAGTTTCACTCAACGAACTATGAGGATTGCGCTCCCGATCTCAGCGGAACTTAGAGCAAGTAAGTCGATGCCCGTGATTTGACCCGCTTGCAATAGAAGTTTCTTTCCGCTTGCAGCCTGTAAAGCGTTCTCGTATGGTAATGTTAACAGCCGGTCGCTCTCGCCGTCCTTCTATTCCTTCGCGTTGCGTCTTTCGTTTGCGTAGATCATGTCAAGCTGTGTCATCTCTGCCATGGTCGATTTTATCGAAAGCAGTCGATCATCAACCCAAGCCGTCGTTCGTCTTCGTTCCTTTTCATCAATAATTTTATAGTTGTCGTACTTGTCAAGGCCAACTCCAAATGCAAATCGTTAATGATCGTTGCTTGGTTGTCGCTTGCTTGCTACGTTTGAAATGTAGTACTTTGATGACTAGTGTAGTTTAGTTCTTCATCGGCCCTGAGTCGGATCCTTCCCAAAAATTACCAAATACACAGGCAGGCAGCCCCGCTCCGGAGGAGCGCTGGTGGCTTGTTTTACCCTCGTACCCCGTTGAGATTTTTTTGACAAAAAAACTTTAAGATTTGAGTTGAGCTATATATTTATCCCACACCCCCGTTTATCACCCGACAATGTCGTTGTTTCTCTTGTTTCCCAGTTCAAGAACTAACCGATCCAAGCTCGCGTGTCGCGGCTTGCGCTTTTCTACTGCAGTGATAACATTCGTCAGCAACTTCTTGACATTATTTCCCACCGTAGTTGTAGCATTGCCCTTCTCGACTTCTACAATACAGGCAACTAGCAGCCAAAATGGTAAAAAAAGCTCATCTGCAGGAAGAAGGAAAGATGATACTGTTTCAAGAACCGAGCATTCAAATTACAAGACACAGACTCTTTCAGGATTCGGTAGCAAAGGGTCGTTTTTGGCGCACGGAGCTACCCGTCGGGCGGCACAAACGCCACAGCTGAAAGGTCAGCAGATCGACGAACCGGAAAGAAGTGCGATAACGTTAGGCAGTCACCAGAGTTCGCAGGCCTCATTCGCAGAATCAAAAGGCCGCGGGGCGGATGCAGTGGAGGTGCTCAAAAAAAATGCGCAGTCGAGCAATAGCCTTCTCGCGAGACGGAGGCGGATTCGCGTCGAACAACGTGAAAAACAAGTACTAGACCAATCACCTCCGGCTGCACTCTTGCAGAAAAACTACGGTACAAAAGTGAGTCTGTTGCGCAGAAATAAGCAGATAGTGCCAGTATCTTCTCCCGAGGGACGCGAGGGCGCAGCAGAAGTCAATCAGGCTTCAATTGGTGTTGTACTTCCAGCCGAGCAAACAAACACAGTGCAGCTGGACCCCGTGTACGACGTTCCTGAAGTGTACAAAATCGCGGATTCCGATCCCTGCAAGCTTGCGGGGACCGGCGGCGAATTCGCCGTGGGCTTGCTCGGGTACAGCGAGCACATGAAGGGCGGCGGGGTGTGGGAGTCCACGATTGACAGTGCGGGTGGGAGCAATGTGCAGAACGATCTGAAAGAGGTGATATGCTTCGGCGGCGACCCTCGCGACACGGTAACCGGGCACTTCCTGCTGCCGAAAGAGGTGGGCTGGGTGACGCAGTTCACCGTGCGCCACGTGTCGGGCGAAATGGCCTGCGGAAAGGACTACGCGAAGCCGGACTGGAATGGGGAGAAATGGATCGGTGGGCCAGCCGCGGGGAGAGCATTTCGGTGTGGCTCGCCGACGAGGCTTGGGACTCGATCGCACCCGTGCGCGGAAATGCGAGCGACCTGATAGCAGCAGAGTGGGGTCAGCCGCACGACATGTTTGCGAACGCAGACGGCAAGGCCCGGCAGGGACAGTGGCGCTACGACCCCGTGGAGACGTTTGCTGACCTTCCCGGCCGGGCCGTCAACACGAAAACCAAGCAGGAATTCAAGGTGTGGGCGGTGGCCGCGCGAGAGGGTGGGGTGTTTGACCCAAAATGGTACGACACCAAAAAGAATAAGCCCGACTGGAAGCAAGATATCCACTTTCGGAACGAGGACCAGGACTTTGAGCCGGACCACGACTACAAAATAGTGCACGCGGAGAATCTCTGGGCCACTGAAGAAAAAGATAACCAGGGGCTCACCTGCGCCCGCGTCTACGCCTGCGTGAGTTCGACAACCACCACGACTACGACAACTACTAGCACCACGACCACTACCACAACAACGACAACCACGACGACTACCACCACAACGACGACCACCACAACAACCACCACGACCACGACTACCACAACGACAACAACGGTAGTTCTCTTGTTAGTCGGAGCCCCTCCAGAAGGTAATTCTCAGGCTTTTTTCTGATGATGTTGACGATGATGTGGAATACGAAGAACATATGACAGTAGACTCAGAAAGGTCCGGGAAGAGCTTTTATTTTTTTTGAGATTTTCGAAGTTTGTGTCTGTTGCTTAGCGTTCGGTGGCGTCAGCAGAGGTCTCCATTTTACTCAGCCTGTTTGCTAATCTCAAGCCCACTTAGTCCGTGCATTTCATATAAAACAGACGTTTGCGGCATGTGGCTGATGCTTGTCGGCGCGTGTCTGTTCTTTCTCTGCTGTACTTCGGCGGCGGCGGTGCACGTCGTGCTCCGCCAGACCCCTGACGAGGCGGGAATCAGCTTCGCGGAGCGGTTGCGGCAAGAGCAAGACAGGTTGGACGATGACAGGCCGGATGACGACGACGACGATGGACAAGGCAACGACGGCACGGGTCGCCGGCGCGATCGCCCTTGGCAGTCCGCGGGTGACTTCGGCACGGGCGACGACGAAACGTCAACTTACGACTCCGACTCAACTGACTCGCACAGCTCCCGTATTACAGTGAAAAATGCCCCCACCCCCAGAGTTGCAACAATTTGTGATGCGAAGTTTCCAAATGAAAACTTTTTGTCATGCATGAAAGGAGTATGAATCTTTCTGATGCAGAGTCTAGGCACGTATCGCATGTCTTGCATGACAAGCGCCGCTCTTGCTGGGGTCTTTTGCAATACAAATTTTTGCTATTCACGATTGGAAACCTGCGATGCTCATAGATGTAAGAGGGCGTATGTTTCATTTGGAAAGGTTTGCAATACAAATGCTCTCAAGTTCGGGGGTGGGGGTGTTTTTCATTGTCATATCCCGCGGCGGAGGTTCGCCAGGGCGACGGGAACGAGCGCAAGGGCGAAGAGATCGGCGACGCGGAAAGGCGGGAGGGGCGAATGTGGCAACCGATAGCGACGTCGACTCGGACTCCAGCGCCAATTATCGGGCCGATCGCCGGGAACGTGCATTGGCCCGGAAGGAAAAGAAAATGGAAAGAACGAAAAAACTGCCGGGTTCGGACCACGACGACCCGGGGGATAGGCCGGGCCAGTTTCACGCTGGCGACGAAACTATGACTGCGGGGCGGGCAGAACTTAGGACTGTGATAAAGCCGGACAAGCCCGGGACATTGACGGAAGAAGACAAGCTGTTCGGACTCGCGGCGCTAGCACTGCATTCCAATGAAGATGAGGAACCTTTTGTCGCCGAACCCGCTGACGATCTCGCGGAAGCGGCGGACCCTCCTGCGGGAGCAGATGCTTTGCAGCGGCGCAAGGAAAAAAGCAGGGCGGCTTCCGCAGCAAAGCCGGGCGGCGCCGCACCGGAAACTACGGAGGAGGAAACTGATTCCAGTCGCGGGCGGGACGCGGTTGCGCAGAGACGAGCGAACAGAGCCGCAAAGGCGATGGCCACGCCCGATGAAGTTGGTACCGAGTCCGCGCCGGAAGATGATGCATCCGGCGGTAGTTCTAGTTCCAGCCCTGAAGCAGGCAAGCCGAAGAGGAAACCTAAAGCGAAGGCCAAAAAAGCGGACGCTCCGCTCTCGCCGGTAGAAGAGAGCACCGCGGCGGACCTTATGGGACGCCTCGCCATCAGCCAAAAATACGCGCGGAAGCTAGCCAAGGCGCTGAACAACGACGACACCGCTCCTGGCAGGGCGAAAATGCCCGTTCCAGCGACCGCAAAAGACAAACAGCAGATGGAAGCCGCGGGACTGAATATCGTGGGTGCGCCTGCAGCTGCGCTCGAGAGTGTGCGAGCGCTCATCAAGGATGACACCAGGACCTTTACAGAGATGCGCCGCGGAAGTCAAGATGTTACCAGTCCGGCGATTCCAAAAATAGCCGCACCGGGAACCATGTCTCTGGATGCGGCACGTCAACTCGAGGCCGGCGAATTGACCAGGAACGATACGACTTTGAGCGACGACGCAAGCAGCTGCCAGTCCTCGGCGAAGTATGGCGGCCTGAAAAAAGCTCCGAAAGCCAAGGCGAAAGGAAAGAAAAAAGCCGCAGCTAAAACAGAGGACACACAGGAGGAGGAGACCGGGGAGGAGGAATCAGAGGAGGACTTCAAGGGCGCGGTGACGTCAAAAGGCCTCCGGGAGAAAAAGAAGTTGACGCCAAAAAAGACGAAAAGCTTCAAGAAAACTGGGACACCAGCAAAAGGAAAACTGGAAGTGCCACCAGAGCCCGATGGCGGGCATTCAACTCTACCCCAGGGCAAGGTCCTCGGCGGAGAAAAAAATCTGCCGGCGCAAACTAGATCCACAGAAGAGGACGGTGATTCTGACGCGAAGAAGAGTGCTAGTTCATCCTCTTCGGACGGTGAGGAGGTGGCTGTGGACATGGGTCTGTTCCACACTGAGGGAGTTGCTGCAGTCGATGAAACGGCAGCGCAGCGCGAGCAGCGACAGAGCCAAAAAGCCGAGAGGAAAAGACAATACAAGGAGAAGCAACAAGCGCGGGAACAGGAGCTGCGGGACGAGGGTTTGCCGACGCGTGACGATTACGCGCGGCTTCTGCGGAAGCGAAACTTGGACAAAGACTTGGCGAAAAAAATCGCGAAGAAGCTCGTGGACCCGGGGGCAGACCCAGAGGAGGAGCTCGCCGAATCGGACAGGCAACAGCTCCGGCAGATCGGACTAACGGAAGAAGCAATGGACAACTTTGGAAACCTGCGGCTAGAACTCGGTCGGGCGATCGAGGCGGAAAACGAAAGGAAGGAGCAGAAGAAGATGGAAATGAAGAAAGCCAAGGAGAGCAAGCAAAAAGCTGACCCATCCGACGTTGTGGAGTTGGACGAGAAGGAGGCTCGACTGGCCGTCAAGAAACTGAAAAAGGCTGACTCGGCGTTGAAAAAGGAACAGGCAAAGCAAGTCAGCCCGCTGGACAAGACCGACGCGGAGCGAACGCTGCGTAAGGCTGGGGTGGAGAAGGAGTACGCCGCACGGCTGGCGGCCTTTTTGGCAGATGAAGGTTTGGACGCGGGCCTGACGCTACCGGACGATCCTCCGTCCGGCGTGGACGTGCAGAAGCTGCAGGAGCTGGGCCTCGGCCCTGGGGAAACGGTCGGCAAGATGCGCGGCGCCGTGCGAGAGCACAAGAAACGTCTGAAGGAGCTAAAGAAGGAGAACACGGTTGAAACTGCCATCCGCGCTAGCGCTGCGGAAGCAGCGGTCGGCGTGGAGGTAGCGGTTAAGAAGAACCGCAAGAGCGCGTTCAGAAACCGCGCGCCCTCAAATTTGCGCGCGATGCCCGTCGTCGCGCTCCCGGACCGCGGGGAGATGCAAGAGGTGCTGCTACGCGCGGGGTTGACGCAGAAAGGAGCGAAGACGCTGGCGCGGCGGCTCGCGGACCTCAGTACGGAGACCCTGTACACGCTCCCGGTGGACACATCGCAAGACCTGGAGGTTCTTGCCAGCCTCGGTTTCGGTAGCGGGGAGAGCGCCAGCCGGCTGCGCGGCTGGGTGAAAGCAGCGGCGGATGCGAAGCACGGGAAAGCAACAAAACTACTGGACTTGCAAACGAAGGAAACAACGTTCCAATTCGACCGCTCAGATGCGGAGAAGGCGCTCGTCAGAGCCGGAATCAGTGCGATTTCAGCAACTAGGCTGGCGACGAAGATCGTCGAAACACGGGATCGCGTCACAGCGGATTCGATCTTTCAGGACGTTGATGAACCGACGTTGAACCTCCTAAAGACCCTCGGATTCGGCGGAACAGAAACTGGCGTGCAATGGTCTGCGTGGGTGAGACACGCGGTGAAGAAGGACTTCGAGAATAACCATTTACTGCCTACTCTTACCATCGAGGAGACCATAGCAGAAAAAGCGCTCATTTCCGCGGGCATGGCGAAACAGTACGCCAGGAAGTTGGCGAAGCAGGCTGCGGATGCGAATTTATCCGCCGAAACGCCACTGTCGGACGCGAAGACAGAGCGGGATATGCAGGTGCTAAGGCAACTGGGCCTGTAGTTCGGCGAAGCGGAGACCGTGGGCAACTTGCGCTCCTTCTTGAACCAAAAACTGGACCGGCAACTGGACCAACAGGAACTCGCGCTCCAGCAAGTATTCCCGGATTTCGGCGAGAAGGAGGCGGCGCTCGTAGCCATCGGCTTCTCGAAGGAAACCGCACGAAAACTGGCAGACATCAAGAACGATGCCGATCTGGAGGAGTTGAGAGCGGAGGCAATTTTTTCCGACCACGAGTTGCAGCTGCTCGAAAATTTCAGTTTCGGAGAGCCCGAGAAGGCGGTTGCGCTGGAAACGTTCGTGAAGAAGCGCATCGCGCAGAAGCGCGTGTCTCTAAATCTGTCGGCCATGCGAGCGGTGGACGTGGACTTTGGGAATGCAGAGAAGGTCTTAACCCTGCAGGGGTTCGAGCCCGCGGTTGCGAAGAAGGTCGCCAAAGCGGTGGTGGAAAAAGACGCAGTGAAGCTTCAGAGTATTATTCTCGACAAGGAGGGAGTGGAGGGGGAGAAAGTGCTGTCAGCGTTGGGAGTCGACAAAGCAGGTGCCGCAGACGGTGACAGACTCCTGTTGAAATTGACTGACCGCATCGAGGACGACTTGGAGACGCATGTGGAAACCTACCTGGGGAAACAATTAGAACAGGCGGAGAGAGAACTGGACGCGAGAAGGAGTCGGCAGCGGGCGTCTCGGCGATCAACAGCGGCGGGGAGCAGACCAGAGCAACTTGTGGGATCACCGCCGGCCGCAGAGGGTCCTCTCGAAGGTATGAAAGCAGAACCCAGGCGGAAAGCTGCGCCGCCATCTGCCATTATGCGGCTGTGCTGTTGCTGTCTTTTGGGTCCGGAACAAGAGGAAGAAGAACTCCACTTCGCGGACGGAGCGTTAGGGGAGCCGCTGTTGGAGCAAGACATAGGAATAGCGAAATCTCTACCCGCGAGGGATGACCACGACCCTCTACGTGAACAAGACCAGCAGACTCGCAAGAGCCGTAGGAAGTCCTCACGAACAATTTCCACGAGCGACGTAATCCGAGCACCAGGACCGGCGTCCCAAGCACCAGTAGACGCGGCAGAAGATGAACATCAGTACGACGAGCTCACCGCCGCTCCGGCGCCGGAAGAGGTGGTTGCTATTATGGAGCAGGAGGCCGAAACCGCCCTTCTCGCTGTTGGTTTCGAGAGACGACAGGCACGGAAGCTCGCAAAGAAAATGGCCGAGAAGCACGGCAACGCGGACGAGGCACTGGACGAGGAGACGAAGATGGCGGTTATCAATGCGGGCTTAGGCGCAGAGACCGTCACCATGGGTGACCTGACGGGGAAACTGATGCAGGTGCAGAGTCAGTGCTTCATTCAATCCCTGTCGCCGATGTCGTTCGCGAACTACGCGGGCGGAGCGGGCGGGATGTCGTTGGTGCAGTCCTTCGCCATGCATTCGCTGCAGTCCGGGATGATTTCAGGGGCGGTACCCATCAGCGATCTCACGTCCGGCGGTTTTGACAATTTCGACCCTCGTCAAATGCAAGACGCGCCGGCGAACAGAAGACAGGCAGCGAAAAAGAAAATACTGGAACAGAACGAAAGTGCGAAGTAGTTAGACATGTTCATGTAAGTGTACTTCTTGTTGAAGTAGAAATTAATTATCTGGATGACTCCATTTTCTTCTTCGCCCCGCATGAATCTTCTTCGGAGCGCCGTGATTTGTTTCTACTTCGTCCCGTATACGGAAGATTGTTCATCCCAAGACATTCTTTCTCAATGAGGCGTTGTTTTGCTACACCACGTCCGTACGCTTTTGTGTCGTTCGCCGAGTACTCGTAGAACTGCTTTTCGACATACCTACGTATCTGAAATGCTGACTCTACGACCGCACGCACGGTGAAAGAGATGTATTCGTATCCTCTGAAAAGGAAAGCCTTGCCTACGTACAGTACAACATGAACGTCAGACACGTGGTTCGAAACCTAAAGCAAATCGCATGTATACGTCCAGCTCAACTCCACCGAAATCGTCGCGTTCCTTTTCGTTTGTTTTGCATACAGCCACGATCGTCAGTGTCTTGAAGGAGTGTTTATCTCGCTCTTTCTTCTGTTGCAGAACAGGTCCCAACTTCTTTTTCTCATCAAAAAGGTCCTCGACGGGAATAAAAACAAGCACGAAGCACAAGTAGAACTCCAAGCACATTGAAGGTGCTGTTACCGCTTAAGTTCAACAAGCTACCTACCTAGGCCTAGGGCTCTTAAAAGCTGCTGCCTTCAGAAGATCATCTTTCCGCGAAAGAAGTACAGCGCAAAGATTATCTTTGTAGTACGTGTGAAAAGGAAAACCAAGAGGATGCTGAAGAAGGCCACTATCGTCGCTACTGCTGTCCCCCTTGGGGGGTTTGGAGTCGTCTCCGGCGCTATGACGAACAAGAAGGAGCCGACGCCGACGCATTTTTGGGTCGGCCGAGAAACGGCGCCGAGCGGTTTCATGGAGCAGCAGCGCGTTGACCAGGGAAGTGGGCGGACTCATCGACTGTTCTGGGAGGCAGACTACGGGGAGTGTGTCGTTAACTGTGAAGCGTCATACCCGAAAGCGAAATACGACGGCCGAGCAGCAGCCTACTGCGACACCTGTTGCACCTCGAAAAACGAGCAATCCACTTTTTGTGCGACCCAGCAGCCGTCCCAGCAGGTCGCGTGTGTTGACACGTGTATGGATGGCTTTGTAGTCAAGGATCAACCGGACGCCACCAGTTATTGCACAAACATGTGCTTTTCGAAGTAGAAGGAGCGGTTTAGTCTAGTTTCAAGCGTTCTTGGCGGACCTTTTACTATGAAGCTCAGTGGTTTCTTTCTACTTCTTTACTGTAATCTATCCTCAGTTGTTTTTCTATTTTGATTTTACATTGCAATATATGACGTTGTCAGTGCCCGAAGAAGAACGCCATACCCTTATTTTAGAAAGTTAAAGTACAGTCGTACCCGTATGTGAACCGGTATTTTTTCTGACGTCGGTCCCTCGTATTACGTGGGGTCGATGTCGTGCAGTTGCAGGCGGTCAACTGCTGCGAGGCCATCTATTGTTCATTATGAGTAGTAGAGTCACATCTTCCAAAGACAAGTAGTTCCCGCGAAGTAGTATTTGACTTACTCCCTTTTTCCCGTGCTCAAGCAGAACCAGAACTACAAGAGCATACTCTGTTCGAATCCAGCCCCCCGCATCTAGTGTTTGTTACTGCTCTTGTTTCGACTTTTTGTTAGCCATACTGCATGCCCTGCTCCACTGTGATACTACACCAACAAATGCTACTGCATATCCTACACTCGCTCCACTACATGCCCAACCCAGTAACGGCAGATCCTGCTTAGTTGCATATGCCCTGTAGTTGCATATCCTGCGTAGTTGCACAGGTACATCAGCATCAGCTTGTACTGGACATGACAAGAGGACGCATTACATGCAAAGGCTGTTGTGATATTTGGGTGACTACACGAAACTCGTCGGAGTTTAGATTGTTCTTAAGCCATTCTTTCTCAACAACTGATTGTGTTACCGCTTCACGTCTGCAGGCTTTTGTAACGTGCGCCGAAATTTTTTTCGACAGAGGCATGTGACATGCAAGACGACCGCGCGCACAGGAAGAAGTGTGTATTAAAGGTCGAAAAAGGAAAGCCTGCGTTTTGTCTACGTACAATGCAAAAACGGTGCGCGCGTACGTCGTTGGAAAAATCTCCCGGCGGGGCAGGCAGCTACAGTCTCAACTTACGGTTTTGGGGTTAACTATCGTTTTCTTTTCTTCCATAGGTCGTGATAAAGGTTTTCGTCCGTTCGTTCGGAAGAGGCAAGTTAGCAAGTAGCAGAAAAGGTAGGAAATTGAAATTGAAATGCAAGGTCCTCTCGTGCTCTGCAGAAGTCTTCGTCTTCCAGGTAAATATATATAAATAGCCTGTCGTCCCAAAGCTATCTCTACAAGCACTTATCCTCGTCGTCAGTCTTCGTTTTCGTACTTTGTGTCGTTGTTTGGGAACAATTTGGTCGTGTTGTTGTTTGTGGGCCCGACCTGGATAAGGAAACGATAAATCATCCGCATCCCATACGAAAAAAAGCAGCAGTCTCTCCTGTTGACTTGTGATCTTTCCACTGCCACTGCATCTGTGAGTATCGATTATACTCCCCCCGCTACGGCTAATAACGGAACTGAAGCGCCGTCACTCTCACTGACATACGAAATTCTGCGAAAATGAACAACATTGTTTCCTTTTCGAGGAGGATGAAGATTAGCACGTTTCTTGCACTTCTGGTAGCCCTCCAGAACTACACCGCCTCGCCGCTTCTCTCTGTCCGCGCCTACAGTGTCTTTTTGAAGAAGATTCCCAATGGCGTCAACATTCCCGAATTGGGCGTGGACGCGGAGGGCAATGCGTGGCATAAACCCATGGGGCACACGACCAGTGACGTAGTTGCGCACGCCGACGGAGCCACCACCACGGACAGTTGCAACGAGTGGTACCTGGACTTCCGCGCTGCCGGACGCGCCTGGACGGACGAGCTGTGTCGGAAGGATTCCGACGGGGACGGGATGACGAATGGGCTGGAATTGGGGGACCCTTGCTGCAAGTGGACGGTGGGCCTGCCCACGTGGCAAGGCGGTCGGTACGATCCGACCCTACTGACGTCGCCTAGTGTAGCAAGTGTCAACCAGACGTTCGTTCAGGAACAAAACGCGAAGTACAAGTGCAAGGCCATGCCAACGTACAGCATGCGGGTGACGACTCCCAGGCCGAGGACTACCTCAACCTCGACGACGTCGGCGGCCGCATCGACGGAGATAGCGGACGACGCCGTTTCGACAGAAGACTCGACGGGCGGGGCAGCTGCAACGACGGGCGGGGCAACAGCCAGTCCGCAGGCGCAGGGGGAGTCGGAGGAAGGTGGAGGTGGCGGTGCTAGTGGTCGTACTTCGTCGGGGGGTGATATGATTCACAGTTCGGAGACCCAGCAGAGCGCGAACGGTACTCATGCTTAATAGTGATCGACGGTGATCATGTTCTTCCTACTAATAAATGCACCCAAACATAGAAATCCCTTTATTAGTTTTAATGCCTCAATGTGAACACGTTCTGCACGAACTCCTTTTGTGGCCGAAAGAAATAGAAAATGACTCAAAATCATAATTACACAGCCGTGCCCTGCGCGGAACGTTCCGCCGGCCAGGAAGCCTGCGAGCAAGTGGAGGAGGGCGCGGATGCCTTGTGCTGGTTTGAACCTGGGTCCGCCGCGGGCGGCACCTCGCAATGCCGCGAATGGTCAACGGACACGGAGCAGGCAGGCTGTGCCATGCAACAGGAAGCGGGCGAGTGCGACAAGTTGCCGCGGTGTGAAATGGTGACGTTTGCGGATGTGGCGGACAGGCCGTCGGACGACGAGCTGCTGAATGAGGCCGGGTTGGCGCTGTTGAAAGAGTTGGAAGCCCTGGGTGCAGACGAGCTGGCGCAAAACGGGTTGGCTGTGGATGCGGTCTGTCTCCCGAGCGCGCAGCTGCAGACCTCGTGTGAACCGTTTGCCCCCAACGCGTTCGAATGCGTGCGCCGCGGGTGCACGAAGTACCCCACGAAGGACGACAAAACTTGCACAGGCAAGATCGGCACAAATTTGAAGAGTACCGAAGTTCAAGAAAGCACGAACAGCACGACGACGACAAGTAAAGGCAGCTGCTTTGGAATGTGTTGACGAAGGCTGCTGGATTTTTCGTGATGCAGAGGAAAATGGAAAACCTTGAAGACGATTCGATTTCACTTCCTCCATTTTCATTGAACGCCCTATTCTTTCTGTTTCGAAGTTTGCAGCAACCAATCAGTCTTACCTACGTACTCATTATTTCGAAAATCAATACATGACTAAACTTCAGCCCGACTACCCCAACCCGCCACCCACATGAAGAAAATAACTTACACCCCTTGAATAGGCCCTCCGCTTTCTTTTCACTTGTGTTACCCGTACCCAACCACGAAAGTTTCTTCAACGTTGCGTGTCCCGTGGTACCCTACCGCTTCTAACAAACAAATTGTGTCCCAGGCTTGATGCATCCGCACCTTCACCAGAAGATTATTCGCAGTCAAAACTCGGTCGAAACGATTCAAATTAGCTGATTCCGGATTCATTCTTGTGCTGTTGTACCCTCGTATCGTTCCACTTCCAGATCTTTTTCTCTTAATCGTCGTTTTCGTTCGGAAAAAGAATTCGTGCAGGAAGAAAGCGCTATTGATTGGCTCCTCTCTTTCGTTCCTTACCAAGGAACTAGCTTCCTGACAAAAGTCCAAAACACTTCGTGCACGACGTGGTGTTTATCGCGATCTTGCAAAAGCACACTGTCGTCCAAAGCTGCTTTCCGCGCACATGGGGCCCGTTCCGGCGAGACGAAAAAAATACTTTCGTGCGTATTTACATACTTAAAAAAAAACATAAAGCGTTTAACTTCTTCACTTAACTTCACTGCGCGCAGGAATAAGATGTATGGTTTTCTCTACCCTTTTCCTATGATGACGCTCTGTATGGCGTCTTTTTATGATTTCATGTTTGCTTGATTTGTCGTCCCCCGCACCTTGTTGTACGTCACCTCCTCCCTTGTGGGAAGTGTTGATAAGAAGCAAGCAAATTTCTTTTGGTCTACCCGCTCGTATTCCCTGCCTACCTTAAAAAAGCAGAAAAACACAGGGTGAAATACTTCCAATTTTCAAGCGCCAAGATGCAGCCCTCTAGACCATCGCTTTTGATTCTTGCTCTTTCACAGCTGGCGCTCCTACCCCTCTTAGTGCTGGGACGGGTTTTACTTCACAGGCACAGCCCTGCTTCCAAGCAGCGTCTCGGCGACCAGGAAGCGCCTCGCTCGAAGTCTAGAGCTCTATCAAGCTCAGAAAGGAAACACCCATCCTCGTCACTGTTGCAACACGCGAAAGCACCGGAGCAACCCAAGCCGTTAACGAACAGAAAAAGCGTATCAGACTATCATCGCGTAGTTTCAGCAGCGGAGAGCGGCGGAGGTGCAGCGTTAGCTACAGATGGGCACTATTCTGTAGTTGGCGGGGAAATTTAACCGGGTCCTGCCAGCAGCACCGCCACCACGACCAGAGCCAGCGATGGAATAAGCGTAAGCAGGATTAGGAACAGCGGGAGCAGTCTCATCGCAGCGAACTCTAGAGATGCGGCGAAAAAGAACAAGCGAGAAGATTTCAAAAGCTTTCTCGCACGAGAGCGCACAGCACGGGAGGTGGCGCGGAGTGAGCAGAATGCAGCAGGAGCAGGAGCAGCTGGACGACTGCATCTTCAGCCTGATTTTTTGTCCCCCGCTCCCACTTCTGCATTGCTGCAGAAAAAGATCCGTAGCCACGTCGCTGAACCACCTGCATCCGCACTGCATCCAGCAAAGACCCAGCTTGCGTTGAAGCGGCAGGTATCATCCGCACCAAATGATCCTCGCTCTGGTTCTCAATCGGGACGAGGGGCAGCGCTGTTGCAAAAGAGGAGGCAGGTGGACGATCTCGAACCGAAGCCTGCGACGGAATTTCCCGGAGGTACCGATCCTTGTTTCCTCGGTGGGCCCGACGGTGTGGAGGAGGGCCGGGCACTGCCGCTGGACGAAGTGCTGATTGAAAAGAGAGTGGAAAAAGACTTCCCCGACCCGGACGCGACCGACGATTATATGGCGTGCGTCGGGGGTTCGGGAGCCGGCACCAACTGGCCGGGCTCGCTGGAGGGGCACTTCAATCTGCCGGACAACGTGAAGCAGCTGACGATCCGGTTTGTAAGCGCCGGTTACACAAAAGGTAATGACATGGGTCCGGGGATGACCTGTGGAGTCCCCGCGGCCAATTGCTACCCGGACAAGTGGGGTAGTCGGGACGGGGCGCTGTCGTTGTGGATCGTCCAGCCCGGCGAAAACGGCAACGCCATTGCGCCGGTCCGCGGCGATGTCAACGCCATTCGCAAGGACTGGGCGGGGGCAGACCGGCTGGGCGACCGCCAGGGCGACTTCCGCTTCAAACCGGTGGACACGCTCGCAAATTTGGAAAGCAACGGACCTGGCACTGCGGGGAGCTGGCAGGTTTTCGCCGCGGGTAACAAGGACGCGAACGACCTGCACTTCCGCTTCAAGGATAATTTCGTGCCCGAGCGGCTGCGTGTGGTCAACGGCGAAAACCACTTTCTGACGGCCGCCGGCGACAACGGGGGCAAGACTTGCCTGCGCGTTATCGCCTGCCTACCGGCGACAACAACTACGACTACCACGACGACTACCACTACCACGACGACTACCACAACCACGACCACGACTGTGTTGATCATCTATGCGGTTCCGCCACCGCCGTGGCGCATGTGGCTGTTTTTGGTCTTCGCCGCGCTGTTCTTGCTGGGTTGTGTGGCGGCGACGGCCGTGGGCGTGCTGGCGGACAATCAGTGGCGGCGCAGCGAGTACTCCAGCGAGACCACGACGGAAACGAACGTGCAGTATGAGGAGCAAGAGTAGAACTGGTCCAGCGAACAGAGGAACCGGCGCGACAGCGCGGCGGAACGGACCCTGGACGCAGAATCGTCCACTCGGATGAGCGGGGCAACTTCGAAAGCCGCCACGGCTTCCCTGGAGAAGCGGCGCGCGAAGCAGAGCCAAAAGGGGGAGCTAAGCGGAGAGACGTCGGATTCGGATCGGTCAGGAACCGCCGGCGCGGCGTCGTTGGACAAAAGACGGAAGAAGAAACAGGATGAGCTATCCTGAGCAAAAATGTACCCACCCCAGAGTTGTCATGCAGATTTGCAGCTACAGGAAGATTTGTAATGCGCATCCACATGAGAGGCATTTCCAGTCGCGTTTTGCGCTTTGTAATGCTGTCGACAGGATGCGTAGATGGATTTGTGTTGCGGCTGTGCTTGCTAAACTGCACTACAATACAGAGATGAACTTGTCATGCTGGACCCCCAGCTTGACTCTGGTGTGGGGACGTTTTTACATAGGATATGAGCTTGCCGCGGAGACGAGCGAAAGTGTATTGACCGAGGAGTCCACGGAACAGTCCGAGTCGTCGGCGCGGTCGTCCTCAAAGAGCGTATCAAATGTAAAAATGTCTGGGTCTGGAAGAATTCATGTTTGTCATGCTTGTCTGGCATGACTGTTAAATCTGTCATGTACGTTACCCAAGAGCTCCGTTTTTCTGTGATGCAGAAGCGCAGTTTGTCATGCGGAATAGGCAACACCGAGGAGCTCAGAAACTTGTCATGCTGAGCCAGCATTTGGAGCCTCATCATGAGACGCCACCCAGCATCACAAGTTTCCAGACCCAGACATTTTTACATTTGATAGAACGGGAAGGTGGGCAAGAAGAAATCTTTGAAAAAAGCAGCTACTCTGTCGCCGGAGGAGGAGGCAACCGCCGGTGAGTTGGCGAAGAAGCTGGGGCTGCAGACCGCGTACGCGAAGAAACTGGCCAAGCACCTGGGCGACCCGGACCTGCAGGGCAAGAACTTGCCGCCGCCGCAAAATGCCAAGGACAAAAAGGCTCTGCAAAATCTCGGATTTTTGGGTAACGACCTCAGCGTCGAGCAGCTGCGGGAGCTCGTGAAGCCGACGGAGCTGGTCCCGAACCAGGCCGGCGGGTTGCGCTTGAACGTTGAAGCCGACTTGTCCGCCCCACGGGACGCGGCCTCCGCGGAGCGGGCCGCGCCGGCAGAGCTAGAAAATAAACGAGAGAAAAACATTGTCGGATTGGACGCCGGGGTCGATCTGGATGCGGTGGCTGGCACAGACCCGGGGGAGCATGGTAAGAGAAGTGCGAAAGCTAAGAGCGTGAAGAAGAAGTCGTCCAAAAAGAAATTGGACAAGGAAGCGGGACTGGAGACCGAAGACTCCGCCGAGTCCGGGGAAGAGGCAAAGTTCTCGGTGATCGGCGGCAGGAAGAAGGATTCCAAGAAGGCGCAGCTCGGGAAGGAGAGCGACCTGGACACCGGCAGCGATCGGGACAGCGGGCAGCGAGCCACGAAGGCTAGTCTGAAGGGGTCGAAGGTGAATAAACGGAGTAAGAAGTTGGACAAGGAGCAGACGCTTGCGGCGGCCAGCAGCGATGAGGGGAAAGAAAGGGCTGAGAAGCTCGGGCTGCAGGAGGCAACGGCCGGGGGACGGGCGTTGCCTGTCGATGCGGCTGCTCTTGCGGCAGAAGCGGACGAGGAGTCGGAGAATGCGCTGGCGGGAACAAGGGCGAAGCGGAGTAAGAAGGACTCGCAGCGGCTGTCGAGGGAGGCTAAGTTGTCCGCCGAACGCTCGTCCGAGCCCGGGGAGAAGGCGAGCGGGACGGGTTTGAAGTCGGGGAAGAAACAGAAAAAGAAGGACTTGGGAGGCGACGGCGATGTGAGTACGGAACGAGATTCCGAGCCCGGCGAGACCGCAACGCAGCTGTCGCTACGCGGCTCCAAGAAGGAAAAGAAGAAGAAGCTGGATGCAGGTGCTGATCTGAGCGCGGAAGCAGAGCCGGAACTGGGCGAGACGGCAGGAAAATCGGAGCTCAGGGGCTCCAAGAAGGACAAGAAAAAGAAGCTAAGCGCAACAGCGGATCTGAGTGGAGAATCCGACCGTGCGGCCGGGGAAACCGCAGAAAGTTCATCGTTGCAGACGGGAAAGAAATCGAAGCGCCGTAGCCTAGGGGCGGACAAACAGTTGGCAACAACTGTGGAACGCGTACTTACTTCTTGCTATTCGATTTTGATTTTGTTTTTGCCTTGCCATTACGGCCGTGCAGTTTGCCATTTTGATGCCGCGCAATTTCATCTTGAACGCCTCATGTAGAGAAGTACTTGAATATCATTAATACGTTTACACAATTTTTGCAAAAAATTACTACAACAGACCGACGCCGAGCGCACGCTTCGCAAGGCCGGCATTGACAAAGGATACGCCAAGAAGCTTGCGGTGGCACTTGCCGACCCGAATCTGGACACCGACCTGCTCCCAGCGCCCCCGCCGGGGGTTAACGCGAAGAAACTCGAAGAGCTTGGTTTTGGACAGGGGGAAACGGTGGCGAATATGCGGGTACGGGTGAGAGAGACGAAAAAGAAACTCAAGCTCGAGAAGGAGCGGCAGCTAGCGCTGGCGCGGGAGGCCGGGCCGACGGAGCACGCGGTCGTGGGTCCAGACGGCGCGACGACCGTGAAAGTGGAAAAGAAACAGAAATTGCGCGCGGAACAGGTGGTCACAGCAACGCCGGAGCGCGCCGAAGTGGAGAGTCTCTTGCTACAAGCCGGGATCGGGAAAAAGTATGCGAAGAAACTCGCCCGGAAATTAGACGATCCAGATCTCGATGCGCTCCCCCTGCCCCAGGACGAGAAAGATCTGACCGTGTTGGATTCCCTCGGCTTCACCGGCGACAAGGAATCCGGTTTGACACAGATGCGCGGGTGGGTCAACGCGCAGGCGGCAGCCAAGCGTATGAAAAAGAAGCTGCCCAAGGACTTGGGCACTAGTATGCAAACCAAGCTCGAGTACGGTGCTGCGGAGAAGGCACTGTTGAAAGCGGGTTTGGATACGCAAAATGCCAAGAAGATTGCGGAAAAAATCACAACGTCACCCGAGCTGCACGCGGAGGAGAATCTGGCGAACGTTGCGGACGAGAAAACTTTGAAACTTCTCGCTACCCTCGGGTTCGACGCCAGCGAAACCGTGGGACAAACCGCGAACTGGGTGCAGGCGCAGGTGAGGGAGCAGAAGCGCCAAGAAACGGCACTGACGGCCATGACTTTAGAGCGAGGCATCGCCGAGCAAGCGCTTCTCTCGACCGGCATGACGGCGAAGTATGCCAAGAAGGTGGCGAAGCAGATCGCCAACGCAGACCTCACCGCGGAGGAGGCGCTGGAAGAGGCGGACAACGAGAAAGATCTGCAGATCATGAGGCACCTTGGTCTGTTCGGCGATACCGAGACGGTGGGCACGATGCGTGGGCTCTTGCATCAGAAGCTCGAAGCGAAGTACGGGGTGGACGAGAGTGGAAATTTAAAATTGTCCGCCGACGTGGCCATTGATTTTGGCACCTCCGAGGAGGCGTTTGCCCAGGCCGGTTTTTCTCTACAAACGGCAAAGAAGCTTGCGAAGAAAGTGGTCGAGAAAGAGTTGGAACAAATAGAGGTGTTGAAACAAGACATGAACGCGAAGGAACTGGAGCTCATGGAGACGCTGTACGGCGGTTTCGGTGGCGCCACGGAACTAAATGAGCAGATGGAGGGTTTTGTGAAACGCCAGGTGGCCATGAAGCAGAAGCGCGTGTCGCTCGACCTGTCGACGATGCGGGTCGCGGACGTGGACTTTGGAAACGCAGAAGAGATTCTCGTCTTGCAAGGCTTCCAGCCGGTGCTGGCGAAGAAGGTGGCCCGGAAAATCGTGAACAAGAGCGTTGGCAGTGAGGTTCAACATCTCACGGAGGACTTCACAGCCGAGGAAAAGCAAGCGCTGGCGGATCTCGGCGTTGCCCCAGACGGCAACCTGACGAACGAGGCGCTCGAAGAATTGAAGGACAAGATCGAGGACGAACTCGACGCGAACCCAGCACAGTACGCTCCCTCTGCGAGAAAATCGAGCAGGAAGTCGAAAGAGAAGGGGGTTGAAATTGATGCGGAAGAGAACAAACAGCGGAAGAGTAAAGCGCAAGTTGTTGTACCTCCCGAGGAACCGCGAAAGATGGGACAAAGACCACAAGGAGGACCCCAAAAGGCGGAGAAGCCGAGTGCGTTCATGCAGATGTGTTGTTGCTGCCTGCTTCCACCAGAACAAGAGGAGGAGGACCCATACAACGCCGTCGATAGTTCTAGAGCTAGAAAATCGAAGAAAAAAGCCAGAAAAGAACCGGCGAATTATGAAGACCAGCCCGAGGACGCCGTTCCGTTGTTGCTCGAAGTGGAGAAAACAGACGAGAAAACAAGCGCACAAGCAGAGGACGATTTCGACTACGGGCCGACAGCACAGCTACCGTCGTTGACGGCGCAGGGCGTGGATGACGGCATCTCACAGGTCGTGATGCAGGCGGAGGCCGAGCAGGCCTTGGTCGCGGTCGGTTTTCAGCTGCACCAAGCGAAAAAGCTCGCGACGAAGATGGCGGACAAGGCCGGCAATGCCGACGAGCAGCTGGACGAGGAGGCAAGAGCAGCGGCGGCCAACGGAGGGCTGTTGTATCAAATGTAAAAATGTCTGGGTCTGGAAGATTCATGCTGTTTTTGCATGACACAGAAGGTCTGGCATGGAAGCTCTAGCATCACAGGTTTCGAGAAGCCTCCGTACTGCCGAACCCGCATGAGAAATCCCCCATTTTGGTGACAGAATTGAGCAGCTTTTGCTGCCTATGCATGAGAGATTTTTCTGTGTTCGAAAATGCGCATCACAAGTTCGGATCCTTCCAGACCCAGACATTTTTACTTTTGATATGTTGACCGCGGAAACCATGACGATGGGGGGGTTGACAAGTAAACTGATGGCGGTGCAGTCGCAGTGTTTTATCCAATCCTTGTCCCCAACGAGCTTTGTGAACTACAGTCACCAACGGGACAACAATGGAGCGACGTCGATGTTGCAAAGTGCGGCGATGCAATCGATTCAGTCGGGCATTACGTCGGGCGCCGTGCCCATATCCGACTTGACATCCACCGGCTTCCAGGATTTTGACCCGAACGTGGTGCAGCGAGAGGCTGGGGTTAGCAAAAAAGAGGCGGCGAAAAAACGAATACTTGAGAAAAATGCTTAGAAGATAGAGGTCGTTGTAAACAAGTACTACATTAGAAAGAAAATTCCGTTTCGTCATGTCAGTGTATGATTTTGAGTACTGTACTGCTTCCCGTTTCTTTTTACATTATTTTGGTTTGATCCACTGGTAGAAGAAGTTGAAGTTCTTGAAGTTCCATTGTTCCTCTCTGTACCGACTGTTAAAATGAGAGTTTGATGGAGTGCGCACTTATTTGTGTACTACTACTATGCTCTGAAGAATCTTCAAGAAGTAGACGGTCATCACATATGTGTCCGCACCCGGTGGCGCTCCAGTGTAGCTGTTCTTTTTTTTCCTGTCGTCGTATCAAATTCAAATGCATTTCTGTGTTTGTGGTTTCGTCCAGAGGTCCTAAACTTCGACACAAGATCCCAAAGCTTGCATTCCATCCGGCACTGCATCTGCATGGTTCGGTATTGCTCTTGCGCTAGACACCAATCGACGACAGGACTTTCGGTTTGCGACCGATAAATACGACTGAACTACGCCACATCCTCGAGTGATCTACTTTTCTCAAGTTCGAAATTCTGTAGGAAACAACTCGTTGAAATCACTTCTACGATGAAACTTCCGAAAATTAGGAGAACAATAAACAACATCATCTGGCGAAAATTCTAAAGTTTGATCGTAGAGTTGATATGAATCGATATCACGACATTGTGCATCGCATCCAACTTGGTCTCCATTTGAATACGTGGCACAAGAACGCAATCAGAACACTAGGCCTCGACCCACTGACTTGTGCCTCTACACGCAGCTTTGCACTTTCATCAGCGACACATGATTTCTCTTTGCCAGTAGGCAGATTTCCCCGCCGTACTTCCCATCTTGAAAGCCTACTTTACCAAATACATGCGCGCAGGAGCTGCTTTTCATCCTTGATTCGTCCAAAGTTTGAATCATTCCCTACTGACGATACTTTGACGCACACAACATCTACGAAGATGGCGCCCGCTGCGGCAACTCCCGCTGCGGTTTTCGATGTTACGAAGAAGCCGGAGCCCTACAAGGATCGGGGCTACCGCATTCTAGAGCTTCCGAACAAGCTGAAGCTCGTCCTCATTTCCGACAAAAAATGCGACAAGGCGGCCGTGGCGGTGTCCGTGAAAGTGGGCAGCCTGTGCGAGAAACCCTACAAGACGGACGGGCTGGCGCACTTCCTAGAGCACATGCTGTTCCTCGGGACGGAGAAATACCCGGAAGAGGAATCGTACAAGAAGTTTTTGAGCAAAAACGGGGGCGGCTGCAACGCTTCCACCAGTGACGACTGGACCAGGTACCACCTGTATGTCAAGCCCGAACAGCTGGACGAGGCGGTGGACCGGATCAGTCAGTTCTTCCTCCAGCCCCTGCTCGACGAGAACTGCACGGACCGCGAGATGCACGCCGTGGACAGCGAACTATCGCAAGGAAAAATCCCCCCTCCCCATATTGAAGAGGTAGGTTTTCGAAAATCTGTGTTGCTGATTTGAGGTCACAAATCACGTTTGTGTTGCAAGAAGACAAGGGCAGCAGCTTCCGTCCCATTATGGAGGCGGTTTGTCATGCTGTTGAGCCAACATCACGGACGCTTCTCATGCTAAGCGCCTAAGTCAAAGCGTCTCTGCTCAGGCTTGATATGGGTCTGCAGTCCTCTCTAGCAAGACAGATGTGATTTGTGTACTCAAATACAGCAACACAAATTCCGCTTTCGATATGGGGAGGGGGGATTTTTCCTCACAATACGAACACTCGAAAAACCTGCAGAACGAGGCCAGGAGGGCGCTGCAGGTGTTCCGGAACGTATCGCAAGAAAAAACTGTTTCACTGTAAACTTGTAACGCAGAAAATGTATCTGGGAAGTATTTGTCTTGCCACACATGCAAGACAATGGATTTTTAGCTGTGTTTTCCCTTAGGAATCTCGCATGGCAAATTTTCTCTGTGATGTAGAACAAATTTGCGATGCAAAACCTGCAAAATCCTTACAGTGAAACACTTTTTTCGTGCGATAGAACGAGGCGGATGTGTCGCACCCGCTGAACCACTTTCGCACGGGGAACCTGGAAACTCTGCAGAAGGACAGCATTCGGGAGATTCTGCTCAATTTCCACAAGGACTACTACTCCGCCAATTTGTATGAAATGCAAAAATGTCTGGGTCTGGAAGAATGCAACTTGTCATGCTAAATCTGAAGCATGCAAAAATCTGTGTTGCATGGTTGCCAAAAGTCGTCCAGGTTTGACCAAGTCGGGAGGCAGTTTCTCATGCAGGATAGGCATGAGAAAGATCGCACAGAATCTGTCATGCTAGGTCCTGCATTCCAGACCTCATGGGTCATGGAAAAGCCGCATGACAAATCGCGCATTCTTCCAGACCCAGACATTTTTACATTTGATAATTTGATGGGCGTCGCGATACTGGGACGGGAATCCCTATGGATGTGTCAGGATTGAAATCGACAAAGTTGAAATAACTTGTAATGCATAAAATGGATGAAAGTTGCAACCCAGTTTGCAAGTGGCGCATGACAAGTTTGGGTAGAGCCGAGATCCAGTCTGTCATGCTGTTTGGGTAAGGAAGACGTCTTCTGTCATGCTACTTTAGCAGCTCTATTTCTACCCCGAGATAGGCTTACAATCTGCCTCCCTTGCCTACTCTGCAAGACAGGCATTTTCTGCGTTGCATTTTATGCATGACAAACTATTTCAACTTTGACGATTTCAATCCTGACAGTTCCATAATCCCTGGAAGAGTTGGAGAAAATGGCGGTTGGGGGGATGAAAACTTCCACTCCGGCTACTTCGGATGCGCCGCTTATTGTCTCGCCACCGCAAGAAAAGAAGTCTCCGGATAAAGACGCGGTTGTCGCTCCTAATCCTAGTAATCTCCGGTTCGCCGCCGTGGAAAACAAGGACGTGGCGCTTCCAGAGTTCCCGTACGCGTTTGGCCACTACGCCAAGAACCGCGTCGCGAAGATCGCGAAACACATAATCTTGCCAGAAAGCACGAATCAAGGATTAACAAGTACAACAACATCTGCAAACTACGGAACATCTAGTACAACTTCTTCACCCTCTTCTTCATCCAGTAGGACTATGCCCAACCTGCCTGTTGCCACCTTGATCGAGCCGGTGAAGGAAGAGCGGTACTTCGCCTTCCAGTTTTTCACCCCGGAACAGGACCGGCTGTTTTGGCGGGAGAAGACCGACAGTTTCTGGAGCCACGTCCTCGGCTACGAGGGGCCCGGGTCGCTGCTGTCGTTCTTGAAGGAGAAAAACCTGTGCACGAGCTTGTCCGCCGGTATGTACTACGACGGGGGCGGCACCGGGGTGTTTCAAATCCGGGTCAGCTTGACCAAGGAATTCGCGGAGTCCGGCTTCGAACTGAAGCAAATCGGCGAGTTGGTTTTCAAATACCTGGTGATGCTGAAAAAGGATTTGATACTCAACAACTTTGCAGCGGGTACAAGAACAACTGAACCAAGTTCAGAAGGAACAAATGGTAGTACAACCAGCAGCCCAACAAGTGGGACGTCGTCGAAAAACAGTATCATTCGGCGCATTTGGGAGGAGAAGCGCGACCTGGCGGAGTTGCGGTTTAAATACCGGCCCCTTCCCGACCCGGTGGACTCGGTTTTGACCGCGAGTCGGAACGTGCTGCTGTACCCGAAAGAGGAACTGTTGTCCGGTATCCGGTGTAAGAACGTCCCCGCCCTATAGTCAAGATGGGAAATCTGCTAGACAAATCAACAAGCTTTGGTTGTTGCGCATGTTGATGAGAAGTGTGGCCTCGTAGTGTAATCCTGTTGAGCTAGTTCAGCAGCATCACAGAGCTAGCGCATCATGCTTATTGGGGCATGACAAAATCCGAAACAGGGCTAGAAAATGCTTCGCATGGGGCTCCGCATGAGAAACATTTTCAGCATGCAGATTTGCATTACAACTATAGGACGGGGACGCTTTTACTCAGGATATCCGGGAGCACTTTGTTGTACGAAGACCGCTACAATGAAAGGGAGATCTGCGAGTTCTTCGAGTTTTTCCGGCTGGACAATTTGAGACTGGTGGTCTTCCACGAAAACAGCTGCGCGGCAGATTATTTGTACAACAACGACAGTGCTGCTGCTGCTGCTGCAACCTCCACTTCTACCGGAGGAGCAGAGGTTCTTGCGCCGACGTCAGAAATGTCGAAGGGTGCAGACCACAACAAGACGGAGCTGGAGCCGTTCTTCAGGGTGAAGTACAAGAAGCCGCAGGCGTTACACCCCGTTTTGCTTTCGCAGTGGGCGAAGGTTGACAAGGTGCTGGACCAGCTCGCTTTACTCCAGCAGTTCAACAGTTACGGGGGGAACAAGGCAAAACAGGAAATCACAAACCAGACCTCGTCCGCGAAACTGGCACTAGAAGTGAAAAAATCGATCGCGTTCCTGGAGATACCTGAGGCGTTTTTCGTGATGAAGCCGAATCTGTTCATTCCGGTCGACTTCGAGCTGAAAAAAACCGTCAATTTCAACGACAACGCGGCGAAAAACGGAATCGAGAAATTCTGCGACGTCGTGCCGTTTCACCAAGGAGTCGGACAAGAACGTCAACGAGCAGTTGGCGCATCCAAGGCGTTTGCGGACGACGTGCACAGTTTGTACCGGAAAAAAGAAGTCGCTATTTCATCTTCCAGCACGCCCACAAGAAACAGGATCCTGTTCAAGCCGACACTGTTTCCGTACGACGAGCCCCGGATCTACCTGAAGATCAACCTCTACAGCGATTTCGTGGCGGAAAGTCTCCACAACTACTGTCTGACGCTGTTCACCGTGCAGACGATTTTGGAGTATCTGAACGAGGTGTTCTACGACTGCGAGATTTCCGGCCTGGACTACGACATCGTCACGCACTCCTTCGGCGGGTTGACGATTTTCTGCGGCGGGTACTCGGACAAGTTGTTCGTTTTGCTGGAAGAGTTGTTGAAAAATTTCATGACGGTCTTGGGCGAAGATGAAAGAACAAAAGAAACTGCAGTAAAAATATCTGCGGAAGACAAGAAGTCCAGTCCGGACACGAAGAAGTTGGAGTCTTCGCTGCAAATTCTGATCCAGCGAAAGCTGAAAACGTGGTTCAACTCCGCGTTTAAAAAGCAGCCTCTGGAAGTGGCTAGCTGCACCGTGGATGAGAGCATCGCTATGAACGATTACCCCATGGAGGACATGTACGAGTGGCTCCTAAAGATGACCAACGGCGGCAGGACATCGACCAGAATATCATCGTCTTCGGGGGAAGTTGTAGACCAGCCCTGCGCACTCACGCTGGACGCGCTGCGGACCTGTTTCGCCAATCTGTTCCAAAACACGAAGACAAGGAACGCGAGTTCTTCGTCAGATAGAAGACCGCTGATTGCCGAGGGACTGGTCGAAGGGAACCTGTCCGCGGATGCGATTGCCAGAGTGCACGGCATTCTGGAAAAAAATCTGCCGTTCCTCTATAACAACAAGACAACTGATCCTACGGAAGGTCGTGACAAAAGAAGTCCAACAGGCTGTAAACGTAAAGCGAAGGAACAAGAACAGCAGTCTCCTGCAAAGGGTCTTGTCCCATCTGAAGATTATACCGTTCTTGTGCCCGGTTTCAAGAAAGGCGTGAAGCTGGTCGAAAAAGACAGCAAAATAGTGAAGAAATCGCCGAACGCGAACGACCCAAACAGCGCGACGGTGATGTACATTCAAACCGGCAACTACTGTTTGACCAAGCCAGAAAGCCGGTCCGAAGCGGAAATCTCGAAGGTCATCCAGACCCGCGCCCTCAACATGCTGCTCTATGAAAATGAAAAATCCCCCCTCCCCATATCAAAACGGAAATTTGTGATGCTGATTTGCGGCCACAAATCAGCTTTGTATTGCAGAGAGGCACTGCGGCCAGATCCCCAGGCTAGGTAGGGGCGTATGGGTCTAGCAGTTCAGCATGGGAAACGGGCCCCCTTTAGGCCCAACAGCGTGACAAATTGCTTCCAAAATGGGGCGGAAGCTTCTGCCCTTGTCTTCTTGCAGGACAGATGTGATTTGTGACCTCAAAGCCGCAACACAAATTTTTGGAAACATACCTTTTCAATATGGGGAGGGGGGATTTTTCCTCTCAATATGCTCGCGCAGCTATTTGCTCAGCCCTTCTTTGCGGATTTGCGCACCAAGCAGCATATTACAGTGAAAAATGCCCCCCACCCCTGAAATTGCAAAAATTTGTGATGCGAAGTTTCCAAATGAAAACTTTTTGTCATGCATGAAAGGAGTATGAATCTTTCTGATGCAGAGTCTAGTCGTGTATCGCATCGCTTGCATGACAAGCGCCGCTCTTGCTGGGGTCTTTTGCAATACAAATTTTTGCTATAATTCACGATTGGAAACCTGTGATGCTGATAGATGCAAGAGGGCGAACGTTTCATTTGGAAAGGTTTGCAATGCAAATGCTCCCAAGTTCGGGGGTGGGGGCATTTTTCATTGTAATACAGCAGCTCGGGTATTTGGTGTCCGCCCGCGCGGACTTCGTGAATGGTATGACCGGGATGCAGTTTCGCGTGCAGAGCAGTCACACGAACTGCGCAGAGATCGAGCAACGGATCCTAACCTTCTTCAACAACTTTCGAGAAGAGGTTTTGCTGTCCCGGTATCACGTGAGCGCCCCCTGCCAAGCGACGATCGACAGCAACTTTTTCTACAACATGACCGACAATCCGACAAGTTCCACCACCGCTGGTGGGGACCACGCTACAACAATAAATAGCAACACCACGACGTCCGAATGGCAGCAGTTCCTGAACGGAGTGTGCTCCAAACTCGAAGAGAAACCGAAGAAGCTCGCGCAGGAATTCTCGGCGCACTGGGGCGAAGTGAGCTTTCGCAGCTTCAACTTTTCGTGGAAGCTGAAAGCGATCGAGTTTTTGAAAGCCCTGCCGTTCGAGACCTTTCTGGACTACTACGACACCGTCGTGGCAAAGGCGCCCAAGCTCTGGGTGCACTGTCTGGGACCGAATGACGACAGCTGGAAGGTCGGGGAAGCAGGTAGTAGTGCCGCAGGGGCAGTAGAGATTGGCGAGGAACTGTTCCTGAGCGAACAGTACCAGCAGTTCGTAAACAATGTTGTCTAGCAACCGACAAGACGGTGAACAGAACATATAGGCGACACTGATGATTGTGCTGCATGAGCTAGTACGTATATCCAAAACGATGACAGCTACATCTGGCAGCGCGCCTGCCTGTGCACTACACGGGAACGAGTTCCTCTCGGCTGAAAAGAAGCTAACGGGATGTTCCAGGTGCCTTCGCGAACCGTTTGCGTCGGTTTTCTGAATGTCACATATTTTTCTTTGCCTTCTAGTAGCTCGGTGGCCGTTTTTGCGACTTTCGTATCAGTGAACAACTTGTTGTTTTCCTCACGATCAACGAAAATTCGTCGGATCCGTTCTGTCCGCATCGTTTGTTGCGTCTCAATCGCGTAGGGAGAAGTGCTCAAGATCAATATACGATGGAAAACGTTTGTCAAACGTTTTGTGCTGCAGCTCCGTCGAGTTTCAGGATGCGATTGATGTACGATCAGTAAGATTTCCCGGTCGTGCGATTGAAAGTCGTATTCCCGAACAAGCTCCAGAGTTCAGGCGAGTACTTTGGCAACGACAATGAGAAAACCGACAAGATGGCCTCCTGCACAAAGCCGGCCTCCGCTTCTGCTTGTCCTCGTCACCGGCGCGGCAGCCACGTGTTTCTTGACGCTCTCCTTTCTTTTTCCCGCCCTTACCAACGCACAGCAGCATCAGTATGAGGCCATACCGAAGGAGCTTGCAGACGAAGTGCAAACGTACGTCACCTCCCTGAACTGGAAGGATATTTTTCTTCGAACTTTCTCTCTCATGGGCCTGAATCATGGCTGCATGACGGTGTGCAACGACCAGATAACACGCGCATGCACGAATCTGTTGGCAGAAAGCTTAGAGTGGCAGGACATGGAGGTAGGCTTTTTGTGGTTTATTTCTTGATGTCGAGAAGGACGAAGTCAGCTTAGGAGGTTATTGTCACACGGCCACCATTTGTGAGCGTAACCGTAAGCAAGCATATTAATCTGTGGCGCCTTCTAGTAAGGGAACAACGCACGGAGCTGTTGACGTCTTGCGCAATTCTAATGACAACAGGCTCCCACCCTCGATCTGGACGAGACGATGGAGCTTGCGATTGCACTCAAAACCGAGGCGCGCGCGCACCGGGAGCTGCACCTGATGGGGAAAAACGTCCCGGAATACCAGCCGGTGCTCCTCTCCAAGGACCGGAAGCGACCCTGCAAGAAAATGCTCGACCACGCTTGCCCCGTCGCCTGCATCCGGCGGGACAGCGGCAACTTGCCAAACCAAAAGGGGTACATTCCGGAGTACGAGCCCGGGGCGTTCGAGCCCCAGTTTAAGGAACGGTTCGGAAGCCGGTACAGCGGAAAAAAGTGGGAAGACATGGACTTTCACAAGGAATTCTCCGTTTTCACCGCCTTGCAAGATTTAGTTGGCTTGGTTTTCGCCGGAGTGACATCACAGCGTTGATGACAGAAGTGGAAAACAAGGAGAAGTAAGCACGTGTGCAGGTGGAGCTGCAAGGCCGCAGATTTGCGCGTACCAAGTGATAGAGAAGTACCTCACGACACAGCACTGAGTGCCCCACGACTGACCGCCGCGTACCACTGCGGCCGTTGGTAGAGTCAGAATGCTTGAAACTTCTCCTGTTTTCTATCGTGTAAGTATGTGCAATACACAAACTCCGGTCGTCACAGGAGCACTTTGCTATTCTCCAGGCTGCCGACGAGCTCATCGTCCATCCGTCGCCGCCTGGCGAACAATCGGTCGTCTATCAGTCAGGGATTTCGTTTTCGTGCAAAAGAATTGTCACCTCTCGTACGTTGTCGTGCACTGTAATCGTCCAAACACCACTTTTCGTTCGCGCCGTTTTGTGCGTGCGGGTACAAAAAATCGGTCATCTTATGACATCTTATCATGACCGTATAATCTGCTTGTCCGCTCTCGGAAGCGAAACAGAATCTTCCACTTGTGGCCCCTTCAGCATCCCAAATCCAAACCTCACACGACGACAAGGAAAATTCTTTTTCAATAATTTTTTTGCCTTAGGTTGATGTAGTTTCTCTTTGCGCCGCGCTCGCAGTCGCAACGACGTAAGTTGCCGGTCCTTTCGGCAAGAGGCGGCGGTCATCTCTCACATCAAAGTTGCGAAATCCCCCTCCGCACATCATAAACATGATCTCGCGCCGCCGTTTGATCTTTTTTTTAATCGGGCAGCTACCGCTGGAAGACTACTCCGTCGCGGCGTATGTGGGGGGTGAGACAAACAAGAAGCGCAGTCTGCGCTTTCCTCAGCACAGGCCGCATCTCCAGGACCTCAAGATGCAAGATGGGCAAAGAAACAACCAGCTCAGAAACCTGAGCGGTGGCACACGAAGTACCAAGAAAGGCGAAGAAGTGGCATCGTTTGTGGCAAAGACCGCTATTAAAAAGCAGAAGGACAATTACGGGTTGACGGAACGCGGAACGTGGTGCGGATTCCCGGAGTTCCAGGCCCTGTTGGCGCCGGCGAGCGACCCGGACAGCACGGACTTTGCCTGCCCCGCGTACGTGTCTGGGTTCGCCTTCAGCGGGGGTGGCAGCCGCGCCGCGGGGCTGGTGGGAGCGGTTCTCAAGGTGTACCACGACGAGGAACTGCGACTGCCGGAGTACGTGACCGGCGTGTCCGGGGGCACGTGGGGCTTCGCCACCGGCCTGTTTGTCCCGGGTCCGGAAAGCGCGGAAATATGCATTGCAAAAGTATCGTACTAGTATAAATCGCAATACAAATTTTTCCAGAAGAAAAAATGGAATTTGTAATGCTGATTTCGCTAAGAAACAAGATCTGTCATGCATGATTGCAATTAGTACGAGTGCGATACTTTTGCACAGGATAGGAAAAGCTGGACGCCAACAATCGCACGGGCGAGACGCATATCAACTGTAAAAATGTCTGGGTCTGGAAGAATCCAACTTGTCATGCTGATTTTGGATTCTAAAAAAATCTATTCCGTGTTCCGCGTAAATCTCTACAGGAGAGTGTACGCCGCGTCGAAGGGCCCCCTTCCGTACGGAGCGCCCCGAACCCGTTTTAGCGCACATTTATGATGGCCTTACTGTTCAAAGGAGAGAGTTAGATCACTTTGTAGAACCCAAACTGTTTATGCTAGCAAAGGGCTAGTGCGCTGTGGACCCCCAGGATCAGGTAGACGAGGTCCCAGACCGAAGTGGTAGGCGCTTAGGGTGAACTATGTATGTAGCGCTTAGGGCCCTTCCGTACGGCCAATTTGTATGTCCCGCAACGGGGTTCGCCTAAGTCGGTCACTTATATGCAAGGCGTTGGGTTACCCGGTCGGCAGAGCCGATCCACAACGAACGAACGATGAGCAGCAAAGAGTGTCCAAGTTTTGCTACACGGAAAGAGCATTTGTCATGCGGTATAGGCATCAGGAAGCCCTCACAAAATCTGTGATGCTAGGGCATGCATCACAGACATCAGGAGTCATGCAAAATGTGCATGACAAACCTGGCAATCTTCCAGACCCAGACATTTTTACATTTGATAACGCACTACTTTCCCGGGTTCGGCGACCAGAGCTACCCGGAGTACTTCATCGGCAAAGATTGGACGAACAGCGGCGACGCGAACTCGTTCGGCGGGTTGACGCTGAAGGGGCTGCAGGACAAGCACAAGCAGCGGAGTTGCCCGAGCTTTCTCACGGTAGGATTCGCGCAGTACATCGGCGACGAGGCTTTGTGCGGGAACGGCATGGCGGATTGCATGTGCAGCGGGTGCGACATGGCGAAGCTCGTGGACCAGCACCGGTGGATTCAGGAGCGGATCTTCTGCGGCGCCGAGCAGAGCCCGGCGCGGTGGAAAAGCTTGCCCTTTGAGTTCGTCCAGTACCGGGACCCGCTCACGCACCGGCCGATGTTGCGCCGCAAGGGGCTTCCCTTTCCCATCGTGGTGCAGACCGCCACCGAGAAGGGTCAGACGTTGAAGCCCGAGAGCGGCCCGACGGAGCAGACTGCCTTCCTGTTCGAAACCACCCCGTTCTACGAAGCAGCCAACAAGTACCAATCATCCCGCACCGCGGAAGCGGAGCGCGCCGGCCTGCCTCCGGCGGCGGAGGAGCTGTACGCGATCGACCGGCTGCACTCGCCCCGGGCCCTGTCCGACGCGGTCACCGCCTCGAGCAACCTTCTGCGGGCGGGGATCAGCGAAGCCTTCGGGTTCGAACACGCGTTCTTCCTGGAAAACGAGAGCATGCGCAAGGTGGATCTGTTGCTGAGTGACGGCGACGTGGCCGACGCACTGGGGGTCTACCCGCTGCTGCGTCGAGGCGTGCAAAGGGTGGTGGTCACCATGAACACGAAGGGGGACATCCGGTACTCGCGGTTCCTTCTCCTACGAAGGCTGATGGAGAATGTATCCAGCTCGAGTGAAGAAGGTGGAGACGTGTTGCTAAAACGGGACCACCTGCTGCACTTGACGAGCATGGAGCAAGACTGGCTGTTCGGGCGGTACGAACCATTGAAGCAGGCCTTTCACATGGACGTGCCCTGCTGGCACGCTTGCGGTCTCGACGCGGCGACGCTGCAGCTATTCGGGCTGCGGACGCGGCCGGACGTGGTGCAAACCGAGCCCGCGTCCTGCTGCGGTGAGAAAACGCTGAGTGACGAGAAGGTGCGCGAGCTCAGGGACGCGGAGAACGCCGCACAGGACGCGGCTGTTGCCCGGCGCCAGGTGTTTGCGCCCGAGGCCTTTCTCGGTGTGGCGGAGGCGCTGGAGTCCGCGGTGGCGACTGGGTATGGGGCGGTGGCGACCGTCAAGCTGCGCACGATCGAGAACAAGTACCTGCAGATCCCCGCGGGGCGCGAAGTGCTCATGACCTTCATCAGCCCCACCAACAGCCGGCACTGGGTGCGCGAGCGGTCGGAAACGGTGAAGAGCCTCCTGAACGCGGAGTTCTCCGCGGATGTGGAGCGCGACTTTGCAACGGAGCAGGCGAAGATCCAGAATGTGGACGATGTGAAGTACGCGGCGTTTTTCCGCGGTACGCCCACGGTCTATCCGCCGGAGACCCTGCGCGAACAAGCGCTGGCCTCCGCTGTCGAGGAGCGGGGTACGGTGGCCGACAAGGCAGTGTACGATTTTTTGTTCAACGGCGGAGATTTTGGCGAAGATGTCGCAACGCTCCAGATTCCCGCGAAGATGTTCGGCAGCTTCGCCCTGGAAAGCAGGGCGCGAAGCGAGCTCGCGTGGACCGGCATGATCGGCCGGCAAGTGGACACTCTCGAATTTGGGGAGCTGTGGCTGACCTTGGCGGAAGCGTGTCACGGTGGGGGGTTTGGCGAGGGCAGCATGCAATTGCTATCGAGCAACGGCCCCAACAAGTATAACTCCCTCGAGCTCACGGGGCGAGGCACGTACTTCCCACACGTGGATTCGGGGGGTGTCACCCCGTTGGAGTGCTCGTTTCTGGCTATGGACGCGAACTACTTTACGCTTAAGAACTTCGTGACTCACTTGACAATGGATCTGCTCGACGCCCAAGCAGAGTTGGAGCGCAACGTGCAGATACCCGCCACAGCTACCGAGGCAGAGCGGGCGAAAAGCTTTTCCTGGAGGGACTGCACCGACCCGAAGAGCGCGACTTGTCGCCGGGGGTTCTACACCAGCGCCTGCGACGTCACGACGGAATCTTGCATACCCATGCGGGTCGCGGACGCGCTTATAGAGAAGATGCTCGGGACGCCGGAGTCGAGCGGAAGCTGAAATGATAGGCACAAGCATTCTTGCACCCAGACTATGACGCAGTACCCACAACTAAATTTCTAGTTTCCATTTCTTCATCCCGTATAATTATACCCATGCCTAAACTTTTTCCCCATAAATATGCCTAGACCTCAAAAACAAACGGTTTCTTTTTTGAAGGGACGGTGATGGCTAAAAGTAAAATCGTAATCGATTACAGTGGCGTGAAAGGTTTCATCTTACTGCTTCAAGGTTTGTTGATGTTCTTGGTTTGGTTCTTTCACTTCGACAATTTTCAGATCGTGCATTTTAGTATCAAGATGCTCTCGAAGATTCGGTGTTGTCGGCCTAGTAACAAACATGAATCTATACACAGACAAGTTACGCTTACGACTCTACTCCACCGTGCGCAGAAAATTAATCGTGGTGATCGTGCTAATCAAATTCAAAGTCCAGTCTGCATCGTGGTGCTGGTCAGCGCCAGACTGATGTTGCACCCTGCTGATGTCGTGCGCACCTTTTCGTCAACATTAACATCGTCTCAGTGTAGTACTTACTCGGCCCCCCTCGTTGTTTCTGCAGGACCCGATGAAAGATACAGCCCCACTACAAAAATACAGACTGCCATTTTGTACACATGAGGTGATTTCGTTTTAGACGCGATACCAGTATAATGAGATCTTCTACTTGCATCGGTATTGGCGTACGTATTCACGTTTAGTCTCTAGTTCATCGATCTATCCACGCGACCATCGGAATAGACTAGCACGGCGCGGCTTCAGGGTCGGAAGACGGTCACTCCAGAGAAAGAAGATGCCCCGTGGAGGGCGTCAAACCCGGCACCACGCGGGCCCGGATATGGACGAGCCCGAAGCGGCACCTAGTTCTCCTTCTGAATGTGAGGAGGAGCCGATCGGGGTGCAGGTCCTGGAAAGGCAAAACGGGTCCCGAAGAGTCGCCGGGAGTAGAAGTTCCTTCTACAGGCCAACCGCGAGTGCTCCAAGCGAGCTGGATGAATCTTTTTCGCCTGCGCCAAGGACCAGCAAAAGCACCGTGACGCAACTAGAAGCATTTCTGGACGAAGATGGGAATACGTATGGGATTGGGAACATCAAGACCAAAACGGGGCATATCGAAGGTGTGAAGAAGCTGGATGAAAACAACACCCAGGACCATCTAGCAGCACTAGAAAATCGGCGTATTCTGACCCGGCACCTGATTTCCGACTTTTTCCTGGAGGACTTGGGTGTTTTCCTGGCCGACAACCTAAGCACGCTGCAGTCGTTGGTGAAAGTTGGACGGCGGCACCGGCCCACGGACCTGGAGTTTTTCCTGAACCAGTCGCACCAGATTTTCCTGCGCGCGGTCCGGCAGGGCCTGAAAACGGAGCTCTCCCGGCGCCAGTGGCTGATGTGTTCGTGGCTGGCGATGGCGGGCTGCGAGGTGGCTGCGAATTTGAAATCGCAGAAACAGTTCTATCAGAGATTTCGGGACGACGAGAAGCGGGAGAGATTGATCGAACAACAAATGGAACTCACGGATTCCATCGCATCGTCCTCCTCTGAAGACGAGGAGGACGGTGATACGGATTACGAAACTTCCTCGAGCGAGGAAGTGCGGCGAGAAATCCGGAGACAGCAAGCAGAGACGGCAGAACTCACGGCAGATGTGGAAGAAACCGACGCAATGAACGCCGAGGCAAATTATAGTGCTGCACAGAATGGCGTAGATGTAGGGGCAGATCAACAAGAGGAAGCGGGTGATGATGTAAAAAGCAAGAGGAACGACCAGCAGGAGAACGATGAAGATGATTCGTCGGATGGTAATAATCAAGACGACAGCACCGGAGGCTCGAGGATTGTGGTGACCGCGAAAACTACGAATAGTCCATCTACTGTGGCGGCTCAAGAAGAACCGCATCAAGCAGTAATTAGGGCCCCAAAGACAGTCGCACAACTGGTGAATGAGCCACCGCCAGGTGCAGCAGTAACAACAAGTTCTTCCGATCATTTCAACAAAAATAACGAGAATGTTTTGAAAAATGGCGATCGGATCAAGAACGAAGCTGCGTCGGCCGAGAAAAGCGACGCAGACATCGGTAATGAAGTACCAAATGATCGCCCAGCAAAAGCTACCTCCGCAGCAAACGCAGTAGAACAGAAACAGCAGGACGCAAACAAGAAAGTGCCTCTTCCGACCGTGGCGCAGCTACGGGAGGTCATAACGCGGCGGCACCAGGTGCAGGGGCTCGTGAGCGACACGGCTGCAACTACCGTAACTGCCGGACAACCTCGCGTCTACAAGGAAAACGGGTGGGTCCCCCGGTGGTCACCGAGCCCGTTGCTGGCACCCTTGGCGCGGCTGGATTTGATCCCCGGCATCGCGTACGACAAGCTGCACGAGCAGAACTCCAAATGGCTGAACACCTACGGCGAAAAACAGTGCTTTTCCTGGATGGAAGACGGGTTCAGTGTGAAGGACCGCGTGGAAACGGTGAAAAAGATCTACGCGAAGCTGTACACGCGGATCCATGAACTGCACCGAAGCTACCGCCAGATGCTGGCCTCGAGCAACGCGAGCAACGATGCAAGCAGCGGTGCCGAGGACGTGCGCTTATTTCAGAAACAGCTAGAGAAAAACACGGTGGTGCACTGCCTGCTGCGCTCCTTGATTTGGAACCAAATGGCGGTCTATCATGTCGCGAAGGTTTTGCAAAAGTGCAACGACCTCCCCAGGTTCGAATGATCGAAGTAGTGTTTACCTATTTGGGAGGCAAAAATGCACCGCAAAACGTTATCCTTGTCGACGAAAAACTACAAATCATCAGCTGGTTGATCTCTGCAGGAGCAGATCGGCGAGAGTTGCGGCTCTGAAAAAAAACTTGCCCGGTGTTCTTCTTCAGTCTTTACGCAAGGTGAAAATGAAGTTGAAGGATTGATCCGGAAATTTTGGAAATGGTAACACGGACAGCATTTAGCTGCGCATTGAATAAATATATATATAGATCTCTGCCTACCAACCGATCTCCTGTTCGTTCCACCAGCAGCTGTGCGGATCCTCACTCTCTTTGCTTTCTCCAGGCGCTGCCGTGCTGAGCTTTTTTTCGATTTGTTTCACTAGCACAAGTTCTGTGTCAGTAGACTTTGACAGCACTACTAAAACTAACAGTACTACAAGCCGCGTGCACGACATTTGTCATGCTGAAGCCACATTTCTGCTGCTGCTTGTGTTGCTACTCATCCTCTTCAAATGAGGGGGAGAGGGAAAGTTGTGCACTCTCATAACAAATCCGCGATTAAGCAGGCGGACGTTGAGGGGAAGTTGAAGGAGATGAAAACCACTTGCAACCCGGTGGTGGTGGACAAGTTGAAGGCTCTCATCAAGGAGCAGCAGTGAAAATAAAACGATAGGGAAGATGGAAAGGCATCAATTCGTGAACAACTGCTCAACTGTGCCTTTCACTTTGCACCGCGAGTGCGCCTTGTCATCCTTCTCGATACGTAGAAACATCAAAACCTTCCGAGCGGGCATTGAAACAATTGAAACGGAGCCGCGCACGGCGAACCTTTGCGTAGGCAGAAGGTGTCGTGGGCTTCGCATGGGGACGGGCGCGGTTTTGCTTCTTCTAGAGAGCAACCGGGAAAGTAGATTCGAGTGAACAGCAAATGCGTCCTTTCGTGTGTTCATTCGCCACCTCGCACACAGCGAAGTGGTTTTTTTTTGGAGCACAGCAACAAGATTATAGCACTTCCTTATGTCGAAGCAAGTTGAGCTTTTGGTTTTGTGCAGACTGTTTGTGAATAGTCAGACTTTTCCCGCCTTTTGGCACGTACTCCGTTTTTCCTGACTCAACTCTATTTTTTTTCCCGCCCTACTTTGTTTGGCGATGTTAATTCCTGAGAGATGAAGTTTGTATGGAAGCAAAGCTGACACTGAGTCTCTTTTTTCTTGGAAGATTTTATCACTTAGAATTATCTCACTAGCAGAAGTTCCGTGTCAGTAGACTTTGACAGCAGAAGGATCAAAGGTTGCAGTTGCAATACAAAAAATCCATACAAAGCAGACGTCGGTGTACCTTGGGCACTTTAAAAGATTCCTTGGAGGGCGCCAACTTTGGGAGTTTTTGTTTTGCGACCGTGACGAAATTAGTCGACTAGGCTATCAAGTTCATCGTCGAAACAGAAACTTTCTCACAAGTATAGAAGATGTCAAAAACGTAGCTCATCGACAGATACGAATCAATGAATCAATACCTGGTGTAGGTTGGAACCTTTCATCTTGTTGAAATAAGACTGCTACAAGTTCATCTGAAGCACTAGTTCTAGTTTATTTGAGTTTTATTCTTTTGCTTTTGGAAACAATGAATCTATCCGGATTTTTCTACTTGGTTTTTCACCACAACATCTGGCTTAGTTCACTTTCGATTCAAGATTCGTCAATTTTTTTCGAAATCGGAAGCTGATGCTGCTGTCCGTACCTCCCCCGATTGGCACCGTTACTCCATCTCGTCAAACAAGATTGCCAACGTGATTAACCCCATACCGCAGTACCTGAAAAGTCCAAGTTTTTGTTGTTCGTTTTCTGAATCTGATTGAGCGCCGTTGATGCCATAGCCATTTTCGCAACCCGTCGCATGAAACAAGTACAACACGATGCGGAAAAAAAGCCCCTGCGATGTGGAAAATGGAATGGCAGAGATTTGCATTTCACTAGCAGAAGTTCCGTGTCAGTAGACTTTGACAGCACTGGAAATTTGTGATGCTAAAATTTTTGTGATGCTAAATATGTCTGGGTCTGGAAATTTGTGATGCTAAAATGTGCGTGATGGAACCATTTTCTTATCCAGTAAAGCATGACAAGTTTGCAGAACGTTTTATCAAATCCGAATTCCGCATCAGAAACAGCGTTCTTGTATGACAAGAGAGGCTGCCGCTTTTGTTGGTCATGCAATACAGATTTCGCAGGAATGTAACGCCAGCATTACAAGTTCCAACTTTCCAGACCCAGGCATGTTTGCATTTGATAGACGAAGACGGTGAGCTATTTGGACAAATTTACCGATTTCGTGTATGTGAATACTGGGTTGCAATTCGTCGTGAGTGTTGTCGTGAAGGAAATTCTTTGGGGAAAAGTGTTGAAGCCGGTTTTGTGTTGCACGGTGTGCAGGAGAAGAGATAAGAATGCGGGTGAGAAAAACAGCCAAGGAGCATCCGTTTTACCGAACAGCCCGTCGAAAGCGAGCAACATCCCGTTGAAGCCGATTTTGTGTTGCACGGTGTGCAAGAGAAGAGATAAGATATGAGATGGTCTGGAGGATTATGACTTCAATAATTCAAAAAAATCTTTATTAAGACAGCAAATAGGCACATATCCATCCTGAATCGACTCCGTTTTGGTCCTCCGTTGTCCACAGCTTCCGCGCGTCACCACGTGGCAGATTATGAATGTGATAATCTAAATGAGATCCCAATTTGGTTTTTCACTAATGATCGCGGTGCTATGATGTGTTTTTTTCAAAAAGCAACGACACCATCGCGATTCCGTTTAGGGGACCCCTTTAAAAGGGGTCTCGTAAAACTCTAAGCGCGATGCTACGGCGTGCATTTGTAAGGGTCTTGTAAGACCTCTCTAAAACCGTTTAGCGGCCTCCCTTTGAATCGCGGAGATTCAATTTCGTGAAACCGCGTCTGTATCGGTCGATTTCCAGAAGTTCCGTGTCAGTAGACTTTGACAGCACTGGAAATTTGTGATGCTAAAATTTTTGTGATGCTAAATATGTCTGGGTCTGGAAATTTGTGATGCTAAAATGTGCGTGATGGAACCATTTTCTTATCCAGTAAAGCATGACAAGTTTGCAGAACGTTTTATCAAATCCGAATTCCGCATCAGAAACAGCGTTCTTGTATGACAAGAGAGGCTGCCGCTTTTGTTGGTCATGCAATACAGATTTCGCAGGAATGTAACGCCAGCATTACAAGTTCCAACTTTCCAGACCCAGGCATGTTTGCATTTGATAGACGAAGACGGTGAGCTATTTGGACAAATTTACCGATTTCGTGTATGTGAATACTGGGTTGCAATTCGTCGTGAGTGTTGTCGTGAAGGAAATTCTTTGGGGAAAAGTGTTGAAGCCGGTTTTGTGTTGCACGGTGTGCAGGAGAAGAGATAAGAATGCGGGTGAGAAAAACAGCCAAGGAGCATCCGTTTTACCGAACAGCCCGTCGAAAGCGAGCAACATCCCGTTGAAGCCGATTTTGTGTTGCACGGTGTGCAAGAGAAGAGATAAGATATGAGATGGTCTGGAGGATTATGACTTCAATAATTCAAAAAAATCTTTATTAAGACAGCAAATAGGCACATATCCATCCTGAATCGACTCCGTTTTGGTCCTCCGTTGTCCACAGCTTCCGCGCGTCACCACGTGGCAGATTATGAATGTGATAATCTAAATGAGATCCCAATTTGGTTTTTCACTAATGATCGCGGTGCTATGATGTGTTTTTTTCAAAAAGCAACGACACCATCGCGATTCCGTTTAGGGGACCCCTTTAAAAGGGGTCTCGTAAAACTCTAAGCGCGATGCTACGGCGTGCATTTGTAAGGGTCTTGTAAGACCTCTCTAAAACCGTTTAGCGGCCTCCCTTTGAATCGCGGAGATTCAATTTCGTGAAACCGCGTCTGTATCGGTCGATTTCCAGAAGTTCCGTGTCAGTAGACTTTGACAGCACTGGAAATTTGTGATGCTAAAATTTTTGTGATGCTAAATATGTCTGGGTCTGGAAATTTGTGATGCTAAAATGTGCGTGATGGAACCATTTTCTTATCCAGTAAAGCATGACAAGTTTGCAGAACGTTTTATCAAATCCGAATTCCGCATCAGAAACAGCGTTCTTGTATGACAAGAGAGGCTGCCGCTTTTGTTGGTCATGCAATACAGATTTCGCAGGAATGTAACGCCAGCATTACAAGTTCCAACTTTCCAGACCCAGGCATGTTTGCATTTGATAGACGAAGACGGTGAGCTATTTGGACAAATTTACCGATTTCGTGTATGTGAATACTGGGTTGCAATTCGTCGTGAGTGTTGTCGTGAAGGAAATTCTTTGGGGAAAAGTGTTGAAGCCGGTTTTGTGTTGCACGGTGTGCAGGAGAAGAGATAAGAATGCGGGTGAGAAAAACAGCCAAGGAGCATCCGTTTTACCGAACAGCCCGTCGAAAGCGAGCAACATCCCGTTGAAGCCGATTTTGTGTTGCACGGTGTGCAAGAGAAGAGATAAGATATGAGATGGTCTGGAGGATTATGACTTCAATAATTCAAAAAAATCTTTATTAAGACAGCAAATAGGCACATATCCATCCTGAATCGACTCCGTTTTGGTCCTCCGTTGTCCACAGCTTCCGCGCGTCACCACGTGGCAGATTATGAATGTGATAATCTAAATGAGATCCCAATTTGGTTTTTCACTAATGATCGCGGTGCTATGATGTGTTTTTTTCAAAAAGCAACGACACCATCGCGATTCCGTTTAGGGGACCCCTTTAAAAGGGGTCTCGTAAAACTCTAAGCGCGATGCTACGGCGTGCATTTGTAAGGGTCTTGTAAGACCTCTCTAAAACCGTTTAGCGGCCTCCCTTTGAATCGCGGAGATTCAATTTCGTGAAACCGCGTCTGTATCGGTCGACTTCCAGAAGTTCCGTGTCAGTAGACTTTGACAGTAGACTTTGGACCAAGGGCGCTCGGTGCGCGCGGGACCCGCAGCAGTAGATGCAGAGTCACAAGCAACACGGCCCTCACACACGACGGCGGAGCAATTTGGTAACACTAAGCCCCCCAGGATGAACACGCGGTAGGTGATTTGTGTTTTGCAAATCACAACGCTATATGCGAGTTCAGCCTGTTCTTTTTCAAGGATACGCAGACATACGAGCGAACGGAGGTGAGGGCCGTGTTGCTACAGGAAACAAAGTGGAAACTGAGGCTGGTCTAGTGATAGTTCGCTGCAGAAAGAGTGTCGCTTTCTAAAAGTAAACTTCTCCGCGGAAAAGCCAGTAGAAACGTCTCGCCTTGTCCGCATGCTATGGTCCGAAAATTACACGAAAAAGTTAGTTCTCCTCACTACAACAAGTTCAAAAACTAGACTTCGTACAACTCGCCTGGTCCCCACCTAAAATTGTACTTTTCGCACACGAGTATAACTGTATACAAAATTGCTAGCTCTCAGTCAAGATCGTAATATGTCTTTTTTCCTTTTCCTTTACCTCCTAACAGCGTTTTTATTTTGCAGCACAGGTAGTGGATAACCGTAGCTCTCTCTCTTTCTTCTTTGTTTTCTCTTTCTACTAGTCTGTCCAGTTCCATCTATCTATCTATCTCTCACTGGGGGTCTTTTGAGTTTCTCTCCAAAAAAACTGTTGTACCGCCGCACCAACGAGTGCGAGCATACCAAACGGTAATTCTCGCGCACGCGCACGCGAGAAAGGAGCCACACACCGCAAGCGCCGCCAGGGAGGTGGCTTGCCGCGATAGAGCACGGGCTTGCTGCCCCCGGGATCTATAGTCGACCTCCACATGGCCGAACGCAACACACCTGCCAGAAGACGCTTCCTGGACCTGCATGCGACACCTGATGTGCAGCAAGTGGAACCCAATTGATACCAGGACACGCAACCCGTACAGCGAGAACATACGCGAGACGGCATACCAATCGAGAGACGAAGGGAGCGCGCGGCGAAACGGAAAAAGGATACTAATTCATATGATCTTGTCATGCGCAGTAGTGTTTACTTATATTTATTTTGATTAGTATACTTTGATTTATCTTGATTAGTTTGCATTGATCGATGTGAAACACAGATATGCAAAATAGTAGTTGAAGGATGAGCTCGATCTTCCATTCAGGCGGCAGCACTGCGGTGCTGCTTTGCGGGAAAAAACTTCATCTCAGGTTATGCGCGCTAGTGGAGCTGGCCGGCGTGATCTAGGCGGAAGGTGCCCCGGGGGCATGCAGACGACCCCTAGGCAGCGACGCGGTGTGCTGCGTTTTCCAAGAAGAAAACGCGCTTGAGGTTGAGGAAGCTGTGAGCAGCAAGGGTTCGTGGCGGAAAACAAAAAAAAAGTGACATTTTGTGCGAGAAAGTGAAAGGAAACACGTAAAAGAATTTGAGACAGAGGCGTGAACGTGAAGGGGTTTGGCGATAGCTCTAGTAAAAAAAAGGAAAACAATCGTACTAGTGTAGCGCCCGGCGGTGAAGAACTTGTTTTTTAGCTCCCCTGGTGCTCTAGGGACTTAACCGTACATAGCACGCCGACCGGTAGTACTACTACAAAAAGGGATGAATAACTTATGCCCGAAGAGGCTTAGCATAGTCCATCCCTCGCACTGCTGTTGCGTCAGCAGATGCGGCGACAGGCGTGGCGTTCGCGGGGACCTCATGGCGAGGCTAGTTAGTTTTGCATGGCGGTCTGCGTGACTGCATCGCCGTGGCCGCCACCATAGGCCTGCTCGTGTAGTACATTCCGCGTAGCGCCCACCTTCGACGACCTACAAATATTCGTAGCGCGGAAGCCCACTGTGCGGATCAGTGGCACTAGTAGCGCCTTAGACACCTCGGCCAAAAAAAACAAGAAGGTGGTAAAAATTCTTTTTTATACATAGCGTTACAGTGCTGCAGTTCAAGTAGATCAAAAAGTTTTCGTACGAAAAACAAAAAACAACTAGATCGTAAATTCCCATCGGCGAGTCCAGTGCGCAGCGGGCTGTCCCCACCAGTACACGAGTATATTCCCACTAGGGAAAAGAAGCGTCCGTGTGGGCCGGGCAATTTGCACGTACATGGGAAGTTTGATGGAGGGGTTCAGGGTACATAAAAAAAAAACGAAAAGAAAAAGATCAAAATGATCCAGGCCGAGGTGTAGATGCATGCAAATGGGAACTTGTATTAGACGAATAGTAAAAAGTAAGTGCTTGATAACTTAAACAGGGTTTAGGGTAATCAGCCGGTGCTCTGGTTGCGGCGCGTGAAGCTTTAGCATCGACCGGTATAAGACTTTCGGTGTGCTTGTCGGGTTTTGTTCAGTGGCCGAAATTCCCAGTCCCACCCAATAGGCATGCTATACGGCCCGGGGAATTTGTATCGCGGGCGGGGTACAAGCATCACTGTTAGCCGCCTCTACTAGAATAGTACGCGTGGTCGAGCTCTAGTTCATGAAAAAGTCGGCTGCACTCTTAAAGTTCCGACACGCCAAACCCCATGCTATGCTATGCTATGCTATGTAATATTCTGATCTGATCTGAGCACAAGTTCCGTGTCAGTAGACTGTGACATCACTATGTTCGATTTTTAGATTTTTTTGGAACTTGGTACTACCTTTCTTTGGCGAATTTTTTCAGCAGAGCAATGTTGTTGAGCCCTGTTGTTTGTAGTTGCCATAGTTATAAATATATCTTTCTGAATTTTGTCTTGGCCCCCGACTCTGAGGCTTTTATTCTGATCTCGATATTTTCAAGCGACTGCGACGCGCACAAAAAGATGGTGGAACTGTGCGAGAAAATGCAGGTGGCGCTGCAGGTAAAAAAGATTTTTTTTTTGTAAATTTTGACATCCTGCACCTGCTCCCGGAACTTAGAACTTACTCAACGTTTGGCCTTTGTACCGCCACCGGGAGTTCTAGTTTCTTTCCTTGCACAGGAAAATTTGCCAATATTTTCAAATACGATAATTTCCAATCTCCATTCCCAGGCACAGAACGTCGGGGACTTGGTACAAGTAGTTGGGCAGCTGGCACAAGTGATTGAGCGGCAGCAGGATTGGATTCCGCGAATAACGACCGAGATGAACCTGCTCCAGCCGCTTCTCGTCACCCTGCCCGAGATCGACTTTGAAGGTCGAAAAGACGTCATGACACTGTTCGCCAACATCTGCCGATCGCAGACCGGCATCGCGGGCGGCAGCAGCTCCAGTACCGCTCCATCCTCGGCCGGCGGCGGCGCCACCTCCGCAGGGCCGCCGGTGAACTCAGAAGCAGAGTACACGCCGTTCGAGCAATACGTGGTATAGTCAGAGAATTTTGATGGAGCTACGTCCTTCTGTATAAGGTTATTCCGTTGGGCGTTCCAACTCTCATCAGATCGTGATGCATCAGTGAGCGTGCCCGAGCTCTAGCTAGTATTGTTGATTAAGTGCAAGAACTTCTATGTGCCATCACCAATTTCAATAGCTAGAGTGACTGCTTTCATCCGTCCACAGGTCTCGCAAAAGCTGATCCCTTTGATCGCTGAGCGGTACGCGCGGTCGCCCGAAATTTCACTGAATTACGGCATCGTGCTACGGGAGCTCTGCCGGTGTCCAGGGGTCAACAAGCACGCGCTCGATGAGAAAATCATCTACCAGTTGTTCGAAATAGCGCGCACCAGCGACAATTTCGATCTTGCGTCAGACGCTTTTCTGTCTGTGAAGGAACTTTTGTGCCGCGCGAAGCAGCTTTCCGCGCGCTGGATTTTGGCGAATTTTGACGAATTCTTCCGAAACTACCACGACATTTTGCTGAGCACGTACAGCGAGCACAACGCGCAGGAAGATCTCTACATTTGCCAGCGCCAATCCCTGAAGCTGCTGAGTGACATGCTGCTGGACCGGCAATTCATGCAGATCATGCTGCAATACATAAACTCCGAGGAGTACTTGAAGGTGCACATGACGTTTCTGCGGTCGTCGTCAAAAACCATCCAGTTTGAAGCCTTCCACGTCTTCAAAATCTTCGCCGCAAATCCGAATAAACCGAGGAAAATCACGATAATACTGTATTTGGTTGTTTGCTGTTACCCTTTATCTATCATGATCTGCAGGTGCCATCTGCGTCAAGATGAAGCTGTTTTCAACATGTTGCGTTAGTTCTGCAATAACGAAAAGAAAATAATTGCTTGTGTTGAATTTATTCAACAAAACTGTAATTGCCAGGCACCAAAATCGCGACCGGCTCGTGGACTTCCTGGATACCTTCCTGATACCCGATCGCCAACAAGATCAGCAGTTCATCCAGGACAAAAACACGGTGATTGACAAGCTGCGTAGACTGCAGCACCCAGACACCGTAGCCGCACCTCCTGCACCAGCTCCGACAAGCGGAGGAGGCGCCCCTGCGGCGCCATCTGCGGGAGCTGGAAATCCACCCCCCACAGCAACGGCAGCTGCTCCTGCTCCGGCTGCGAACCAGTCGGCTCCCCCACCTGCAGCCGCGAATGCACCGTTGTCTTCCTCGATATAACAGAGATTCTTAGCTTGTTAAACGCCGCGGCAAGCATTTCTACACGAGCGACAAAAACACGGAAATTCAGTTTTCTGATTGCGACATTACATGAAAGAACGCCATGAATACAAAAGCACTCGCGCAGAACATGAACATCCCTGGTACAACAAAACGGCATTAAGAATAAGCCGGCTTTCGTGTTCTGGGCGCAGTTTGGCCCGAGAACAAAGAGCGTCATGTTCGGTGAAGCTTCTTTACGTCGTCAATACAGTGCTGAGGTAAAAAGCGGCGTTCTTCAAAGGAACCCTAAAGAAAGCTGGTAAAGTAGGCTGTCCTCGGGTTTTTGCTCTATAGCAATGACTGTCTGTGGTCGTCGTGGCAACGTCTTTTGAGAGCAATTTTACCAGATTTGGTTGCAAAAAAAGTACGGAAGACACTAAGGCTTTTCCGTGTTTTGTTTTGGTGAGAAAAATTTGTTTCCGCGCACGTGCAGAATCAGCGACACAAAGAAGGAACTAATACGCGTTTAATATTTCATCACTAAGAACATCAACGAGCATGTTTTTCCCCACATCGACGTCCACCAGCACTCGACAGGCCTCGGTGCCCAGTCGTGTCGTACCTGGAGTTGTTCCTGCGCAGCTACAGCAGCCTTGGCACCGGAACACCTCGACAAGCTGAAGTCGTCGAATTGCTGTCGATTCTCTGTCGATTTTCTGTCGATTCCTTGTCGATTTTGGCCGATATCTTCCTTGTTTTCTGCCTGCGTGCTTGGTCCACTGCCGTGTACAACCCAAGTAGCGCATACAATAAACAGTTCGAGAAGCATGACCACCGTTGTCATGAATATAGAGCACAAGTGTTTGTGCCTAATGCGACGGCTCTGCTGCCTTGCTTCTCGGTGGTCGTTGTCGATTCCTTGTCGATTCCACTCGTTGCGCCCATGTTTCGGGGTGACCTCTGTCGAGTCCGTGTCGATTCTTTGTCGATTCCTTGTCGATTCCTTGTCGATTCTTTGTCGATTCTTTGTCGATTTCGTACAATTTCGTACAATTGTACGAAATTCGCTGTTTCTTTTAGAAATATTGATTTCGTACAATTGTACGAAATTAGGAAAGTGACATTTTCTTTCAGAGCTGCTGATTTCGTACAATTGTACGAAATGAGAAAAAATCGACAAGGAATCGACAAGGAATCGACAAAGAATCGACAAGGAATCGACAAGGAATCGACAAGGAATCGACAAAGAATCGACAAGGAATCGACAAGGAATCGACAAGGAATCGACAGAGGCTCCGCGCCGCTGCTGTGGATGCACTTGGGCGCGCGCGGACACTGGGCGCGCGGGCAGCGCTGCCGCGGCCCGCAGAATGCAAGCACGCCTGCGAAAGTGGCGGACAGTGTTGTCCCCTGTTTCGTACAATTGTACGAAAAGCGGCTTGCTCCTTTAGGTCGTCGCCTGCTGGCGCCGCCATCCCCCCGATGGTAATGTACGAAATCGCTACGCCGCAGGGTGGCGATGTGACGCCACGTGCCACGCCGCTTTTCGTACAATTGTGCAAAATCGCCACGCCGCAGGGTGAGCGGGGCCTCCATTTCGTACAAGTGTACAAAGCAAGGCTCGAGCCGGAAGATGACGCACAGTGCAAAAGCCGCGCAGCCGGTTCGATACAGTAGAACCGCAGCGCGGCGTGCAATTGTTCGACACCGAAAGGGGACGCCAAAAACTGCCAGCGACTTGGAGCAAAGCGCTGGCTTTGTGTGGTTTCAAGTCGCCGGCCTTCTCTCTGGCCGTGTGGCGCACGACAACAGTCGTGAGCGTAGACATTGGAGCACGTGCGTGCGATTTTCGTTTTGGATAAGGAATCGACAAAGAATCGACTAGGGGTTTTGCAAAATTCGTCGGGAGTTCACTGTCGAGGTGTTTCCGTGTCAAGGTGCCCAGTCGTGTCGTACCTGGAGTTGTTCCTACGCAGCTACAGCAGCCCATGCTCTCTTTTATCAAATGTGAAAATGTCTGGGTCTGGAAGGTTAGAACTTGTAATGCTAAATCTGAATGATCCAAAAATCTGTGTTGCGTGAGTACCAAAAGCTGTCTGCTTTTGACCAGGTTGAGAGGGAGTTTCTCATGCAGGAAAGGGATGATAGAGACCTCAGAAAATCTGTCATGCTGGGTCTCGCATTCCAGAACTCATGGGTGATGGAAAACCTGCATCACAAATCTTCCATTCTTCCAGACCCAGACATTTTTACAGTTGATATCTTTCCCCGGGCAGCAAAACGTGCCGGGAGGCGTTCCCGTGTACCAGCCACAGCAGTCTATGCCCCAGTTCGTGCTGCCACAGCAATCGGTGGGTGGCGAAACAGCCAACAGTTCTGCAGCGAGCAACAAAGTCGGGAACTTCTACCGGCCCGCACCAGGGAACAATGTGATCCGAGGCTTGCCGCCACCCGGGCCCGTTGGGGTTCCCGCACCACAGCAACTACCGCAGCAGTTCTTCCCCAGTAGTGGAAGTGCCGGAACCTTCAACATGTCAGGTGCTGGATTGGTGAGACGTAATGGAAATGCGTATACGCAGAACAATTTCAGTCAAGGACATCAGGGGTCGTCCAGGAGCAACTACAGTGTGACTGAACATCAAGTATCGCAGCAAGAGGAACTGCAACACCTACACAGTGCATCACAAGGGGATCCGCAAGAGCACCAGGAACAAGCCAGCCAATCGCGGAACTCCAGATCCTCCTCTTCCCGATCGGGGCCACACTTCGCGCAACCAGCCGCGCGAAACAGTACCACCACCGGAGGAGCAATGACAAATGTAAACAGCAGGTCTGTCTTGACCAACAAAACTACCGGCCCTGTGTCGCGCAACTCTACCTCTCTAAACACGACCAATCTCTCCGTCGGGCAGCAATCTGCGGCGATGAACCAGGTGGAGCAGTTGCAGCGGCAGGTAGCAGAATTACAATCCGAAAACGAGGAACAGGCACGGGAGATCGACAGACTACACAAGATGCTGGCAGAAAGGGACGCCGGTGCGGGAGTCGTCGTGCGAACGCCGGGGGAACAGAATGCAAGCCGATATTCGGCGACGGTAAGAAGTAGAAATGACACGCCCTGCTCTTGTGCGTAAAAAGTGAAGTATTTGTCGTTGTCGCTTTCGTGGCATGCGAAACATTGCTCAGAAACGACAAGCTGCTCTGAATAACTGGAATTGTGTATGAAACACCAAACAGAGCGGCGGGTCACGAAACAGCGCGAATCGCGGTGGCGGGCAGCATCATTTGCACACACGGCAGCTCTATGCGAGCACACGGCCAGCGGTACTGATTTTTTTTCAAATAATACTAGAGATGCTTGCATAGAAGCACCTCCAGGCGCCGCCTTCGGCTGTCCGAATAGATTGTTGCTACAAGTCATCACGCGCTCCTCGCTGCAGTAGCCCAGCGTAGCGTAGTTTTGCCACCAGTTGTGCCCAACATAATTTTGACGTGGAACAAGGTTCCCTACACGCCATGGGATTTGCGTGATCCAGTGGACAATCGCCTGGCTGAGTTCTACAATTCGACCGGCTCCGCCGTGTATCAACTGTAAAAATGTCTGGGTCTGGAAGAATGCAAGTTTATTGTCATGCTTGTCTGGCATGAATTGAGAATCTGTGTTACATAGGCACGAAAAGGCCCTCTTACCTGTCATGCAAAAACGCAGTTTACCATGCGGAATACGTAAGACATGGGAGCCAAAAAATTTGTCATGCATAGCTGCGTAATGCAGTTCGTATACCATTCATTTTTAGCATCACAAGTTTCCAGACCCAGACATTTTTGCATTTGATACCGTGCCGTTTCATCGAATTAACAAGGGGTTTTACCGATACGGCGAGACCGTCGTCGAGCTGGTATCAAGTGTAAAAATGTCTGGGTCTGGAAGAATGCGCGATTTGTCATGCTGCTTTTCCATGACCCATGAGGTCTGGAATGCCGGAGCTAGCATGACAGATTCTGCGAGAACTTTCTAATGCCTATCCTGCATGAGAAACTACCTCCCGACTTGGTCAAAATTGGGCGGCTTTTGGTAATCATGCAACACAGATTTTTGCATGCTGCAGATTTAGCATGACAAGTTGCAATCTTCCAGACCCAGACATTTTTACATTTGATAGCTGGATATCATCAACCATAAACTGATGGCAAAAACAGAGGTATAGAAGCAAGTGGTTTCGCTGGAAAAGAGACGCGAAGTAGTTCGGTATGTGAAATGCTGCCAGTGTATGATAGTTCCATTTTTTCATGCTCATGCCATCGTTCGGGTGCTATGCGAAACAACGTTGAAAACAGGACGGCTGGAACCGAGGGAAGTGGGGTGCGATCGAAAAGTTCATGTCGGCGTACGAGCCAATGGAAAGGGAGCGCATGGGGCTGGATGCGCTGGATGAGGAGATTGACGACGTGTTTTGAAAACGTTGCATGCGACGCACCGTGCTGTTCGTTTGCATACCTAGGAGAAGAGGCCTCGCCCGCCATATTGCAGATGTGCAAAGGAGAAGTTTAATCGAATATGATAGGTCTAACCGCTGATGATATCGAGGGCGGGAGGAAACACAAAAACCCGCAGAATTTCATCCTGTTCGAAGAAACTGTTTTAAGGGGGTTATCGATATAAAAGAAACGCTAAATTCGTCTGTTCTATTGGTGGAGCCGTGTTGTCTTTCAATTGCATCCTTCTGCTCCTCGAAGTGTTGTGTCAGATGTTCACCTTCCGGTTCCACCGAGATGTAGGGGAAAAAAGCGTTCTTTATGCAGTGTAATTTCTCCTGAAAATCGAAAACCGTTGATAAGTGATGTTGAATCATGGTTGCACGACTGTGAAAGGCGTGAAAGAGAAGCAAGTATCTGGAGTTTTCGTAATGCGTACATGAGGACTGCGACGGAAAAATAAAAAATACGAAAGTAGAAGTAAGTTGCCTGTGTACTCATAGTTGTGTCCTCACGAAAAGAAGTTTTGTCAAAGCTGTCTGCGTCGGCAAAAGATATCGAAATCAAAGTGGGCCTAAGATCATTTTTGGACTCATTTAGAAAAAGTTTTTATATCCTCTTGACAGGCGTGATGTTGAAGATGTTGTGCGTTTCATGTTTCAGTGCGCTTGATAGTAAATCCGCAAAGGTTAGAAGTAGAATGAAAAATTCGAGTAAAAGGTCAACGTGTGCTCAATGCATAAATCAAATTGTATTAGTTGCAAACTGGTAGAAAAGTAGGGCTGCATAGCGGCAACACGAAAACATCAGTAACGGAGTATTAGAAAGGAACGAGAAAACAAGATATCATTCGAGGAGACGGTACCGCGATCGTGTAGCTGATACACCAAGCTACGGAAAGTGGGCCAATGGTACAACAGTGACAACATCGGCAACAGTACTGGATTATGCAGTGAAAGCAAGACGAGAACCAAGTTCGCAGGCAAGAAATCTATCTTTGACAACATCGGTGACGAGATCCTAGAAAGACAGAAAGTAGAAATACGGGCGACTAGGGCGAAGTAGAGATGGAGATTCCATCCGACGGAGGTGATTATATTAGAAGCTTTTTCTCATTTGCGGAATGTTGCTCCAGACCGTTTTGCATCTGCGGCGACGTTTTTTTTTTCGTTATGGAAATGAAATGAAAAAATTTGTCAATTTCACTGTGCATGATGTTTGAATTTTGATGCAAACAGGCATGGCAGCGGCGGCGGCTGCCGAAGAACAGCGTCAGCACCAGAAGGAGAAGATGATGGAACACCAGGGCCAGCAGAAGGGTGAGACACAGCAGGAACAACAGGGCAACAGTTTTCAACAGCAAATGGGTATGTTTTACGCAGCGCAGGACCAGAATGCGCAGTGGTACCACGATGCGCAGCAGCAGCAACAGCACTCCTCCTGGCTGCAGCACCCTTCCTATTTTGACCCGGCGGCGCAACAGCACCAACAGCAAAATCCTGCTGCTGCTGCCATGGACCCGAATGCGCTGGCCAGCATGTACGCCGCCGCGGCGCAGGGAGCGGCGCCGGGCGGGGGCGCAGCGGATCCGGCGACGAACTTCATGATGGCCAATATGGCGGCGGCGATGGCGAATATGGGAAATTTTAACAGCGTATCAAATGCAAATATGTCTGGGTCTGGAAACTTGTAATGCTGAGTTGTTAATAGTGAACTCTCTGTAATGCACAGCCAAGCATGAGAAACATTTTCGCTGCTTAGTGTTGCGCTTTCCGCATGAGAAACTGCGTTTTGCATGACAAGCAAGAGGGTCTCTTCTTGGACACGCATCACAAACTCTTCAGTCATGGCAGACACGCATGACAAACCTCGCATCCTTCCAGACCCAGACACTTTTGCACTTGATACAGCGCAGACGCGACCGACATGTACGGTGCGGCGGGGGCCGCGGCTGCCATATCGTGAGAAAAAACTGTTTCACTGGAAACTTGTGATGCATAGAATGGAACAAAGACGCATTTGTCTTGCTACACATGCAAGACATTGAGTTGTTAGCTCTGTTTTCCCTTAGGGATCTCGCATGGCAAGTTTTCTTTGTCATGTGTAAGGAACTTGTGATGCAAACCTGCCAAAATCCTTACAGTGAAACACTTTTTGCTCGCCATATGCCAACATGCAGGACTACTACATGCAGGCGGCCGCCGGTTACGACCACGAGCAGTACGAGGACTTTTACCCAGGCCCGCAGGAAAACGGAGGAGGTGGTGTTTTTCTTGTTGTCTTTCTGTTTTGGTTTGTTTTTTCCCTGCTGTGACTGTGTAGAAGAAAAGGTGGTAGAACGTTTCTTGCTCCTCTCCGTTTCAACATCTTACACACGGCTGTGGCCGCTCTTCATTTTTTGTCCTCTAGAAACTGTGATTTTATAAAAATGAAAACCGCAACAGAAAACATGGATTTTGACTGGACGAAGTTCGCTACCGGCGGAACCACTTCTGGCGAATCCAACACCACTACTTCGGAGCCGCCGAAGAAAGTGGACGGCGCGCTGACAGGAGAACAAGCAAGCCCGGATGTCCTCTCGGTGATCGGTGGGGGCGACTACAGCGGTAGCGGCAAGAAGAAGGACTTAGAACACGTTTCTCTCGACGAAGCAGCTGCGCATAGTCCGACGTCCTACCCCGGCGGTATCATTTCTTCGAAGAGCCACGATGACTTCAGTAAATCTACGACGGACGGGAGCTACTCCGTGCCCGCAACAACCGCCGGGTCGACGACGTTGCCGCAGCTGCTGCCCCGGGCCGACAGTCCCGAGGACTACGCCGTTGAGTACTATCGCGCCGCGGCTGGAGGGGACCACGATGCGACTACCGAAGAACCCGCGGCGGGGACCAAAACGCCGCCGGCCCGCGTGAACTCCTACGCTAACAAGTTTCCCACCCCGGCCGAGGCCATGGTCATCGAGCAGTCGAACAAGAAAAAGAAGCAGCTGTCCAACAAGAAGGGTACCTCCACGACGCCGGGCACCGGCGAGCGCACCACGACGACAGCAGGAGAGGGCACCAACGCTACTAAACGGATCGAGGGTTTGCAGCAGGCTCTGAATTTGGACAAGTCTCTGGCGGAGTCGGAGGACACCACGGCCCACGGGCGGAAGAGCACGGGCCACGAGCAGGAGGACACCAGCGTGGTGTCGCCCATCTGCGGGTTCGAGGAACCGCAGGGTGAGGCGAGCCCGGAAACCCCGGAAGAGGCATGGATGAAGATCATCAGTGAGCAGGTAAACTAACGTAACATGATCTAGTTTTTTTTTGTGTTTCCTTTGGAATAATTGGAGCAAGAACACGATGCTGAATGTCGATCCATGGAAGGATGTTGAACTGTTTGAAAACGTGCTGTCCGTTGGGTACTTATAATTCTCGAACAAATTTTTATTAGACCAGTACAACAAACGCTGTACAGACTCCGGCCTCGCGGAATCTGGACGAAAGTCCGCTGGATCAACCCACGGTTTTTACCCAGAAGTTCGAGGAGTTGCAGTGTATGGAGGCCTTGCCGATGCTGGAAGAAACCAATGCGGGGTCGTTGGGAAGCTTGGAGGACCTTGCGGATGGGTAAAGAAATTGCGAAACTTATATCTTCCTAGTACTAGTAGTAGTACAGTAGAGGGCGATACAAACTTTGAAGAAATTATTCGCAATGTTGTGTAGGTATTCGTTTTGAAGACTCGCCCTGCGTGATCGCGTTGTTGCTCTTCGATTTTGTTGTTCTGCAAAAATCGATCGAACCACCACAGTTCCACCCACGTGCCCCCGGAAGGAGCTCTGCCGCGCACCAGCACCCAGCAGTCCGCCAGCGCTGGTGCGCCAGGAGGGGTGGCGTACCCGCACCGCGGCAAGCCGCCGGTGCATCCGTCGCAGCAGCAGTCCTTCCACCAGCGAGGCAATGGGATCACGATGAACATGGTGTGCCGCTTTTGGTGGCGTGGGAACTGCGTGAAGGGGACCTACTGCGAGTGGGCGCACCAGATCCCCGAGGGCTACCACGCCCGGCCCAACATCAACGACCGCAACATCCCCATCGCGATCGGCTCGGAGCCGAACTCGCGTAATGGGAGCGGCGAGTGGGGAAACACCGGCGGAAGCCAGAATCCGACTTCCGGCGCGAGTCCGCAGATGCGGCCGCAAAACGCGCCGAGTGGACATCAGCAGATGCCGCACGGGCAGCGTGCCCAGCATCCGTCGCCGAACTATTCGTCGTATAACGTTCCGAGCGCGGGCTACGGGCAGGGCGCGTACGGTGGGTACGGGGGCTCTTCGTACCACGGCGGGTATCACGGTTCGTACGGAAACTACCAGTACGGAGCCCAGAACGCTTACGGCTACGGCAAGGGGGGCCGCCAGTACCAGAATTCCTACAGTCAGCAGATGTACAAAGGTGGACACCATCTCACCGACAAGATGAACAACCAGGGAAAAGGGGCGGTTCCCGGAGGATCAGTTACAGCCCCTGCTGGTGACAACAGCGCAGGTGGAGCGGCGATTGCGGGCACTGCTAACGCGGGTGCCGATGCGGGCGGGAACTCGGGCAACCCGACGCCGAAAAGCGGCCCGGTCACCGGGAGCCCGTCAAAGAAGCCGGACGATCCGGAAAACACCTCCTCCGGAGAGCAGTCTACCGCACAGCAGGCGGGCGGAAGCGGAACTAATGGAGCTGCGGCCCAAGCGACAAATTTCGATGGAACTCCTGGCATCGTGTGCCCAATGGCGGGCGGTGCGAATACTCACAGGAAGCCAGGGCAGAAGGACACCTCGACAACTCTGTGTTACTTCTGGAAGATCGGAAAGTGCGAAAAGGGTGACAAGTGTGGCTGGGCCCACCCCCCGGACCTGTATCGGAGCGGGTGCTCCCTAAAAGAGCGCGGCCGTCCGCAGGTGCTGCAGCGTGGCGGGATGGGAAGTGTCGATGTGCGCACTATGTCTATGGTCGGGAGTGTTGGTGCCCCGGGAACGAAGGGCGGGCTTGTGACCGGGAACGGAACCACTGCGCAAGTGGCTGGAGCGGTGGGAGCCCAAGCCGCATCATCTTCCGGCAACGATCAGTGTGCCATTGGGGTAAGTAGTTACTTTTTGTGTCGATGTCCGGTCGTCACTTGGAAACTTGTTGCATCAATAAATCATAGAGAAATAATGGAAATCATGGGCGTTTGTTCAATTTGTTTTTACCAATACTGTTCACTCACTTGCAAATGGTACAAATCAACAGACTGCCGGTGCTCCCTCCGGTGCGGCTGGAGCGAACGGTGGGAACGGGGACTCGGGTGCACCGACCTCCGATGCCGCGTCCTCTAGTACTTCGAACAGTGGAAACGTCCTGATCGGCTGGCAAAACAGCTCTCTCGTGATCGCTAACCAGCAGCTTACCCTGCGCAGCCCGTGGTTGTTGATGATCCTCGGCTGGATGATCACGGTCTTCTGTGCCTGGTATGTCGGACAAACAAAGAAGTAGAGGATGATGGTAGAAGATGTTACTTTGTTATCAAACGAAAGAAAAAAAAAGATGTAAACAAAAAGAGGCTTCTAGTAGAGCGGCGGAGTGACAACCTCTCTGAAGTTTGCAGTTGCTTGCGACAACCTGAATCCTCTACGGACACCGGCTCTATTGGACAGGTCCGCAGAGGCGCAGTATAGTCGTTCTGCGACTGTGCTACGTTTCTGGGAAGCTGGCCAACAAGAACTTCTTCTACACACGACCATGAAATTTGTACAAGTATGGTTTCCTACTGAGCTCTGTATTTGAATTGGCGTGGACGAAAAATGTATTTGGTATAAAGGCAACATATTTCTTAAAAGCCACACCGCAACTACTACACGGCAGATCAGAGATAAAGATACAGTTTCCTCTACTCATAGCTACGTACGCAGATATTCAAAGATGAACATGAGAAGTGAAGAAGTCGATGTAACAAAATATTTCGGAGTCACAACAGCAAAATTAGAACAGGTGAAATTATACTTCATAGTCAGAGCAGGCACGATGGACATTTCCTTATCCTCCACGATGAGGTACAACGCCGAACGCCTGGAGAAAGGACAATAGCGTCACAAATTCTGAACTGACTTTGGAATTATCGGGTCTGGTCGCCCGTGCTACAGCGAAGATGGACGGTAGTGGTTTTAGGAAGGTGCCAGACCTGGTGTAATTACAGATTCTTATGGCAGCAAGTAGACCCGATTGGGACGATCACCAAGTTTGCAAAAAACAGAGACAGACTCAAAGCAGTATGATTCGAGGGTGCTATCTTCACCTCGCTTCGATTGCGATGAACATTTTTCTTCCTAGATCTTATGTATCAACGACCGCAAGGAGGCGGAGGCGGTTTATTCTTTCCTGTAGCATTCGTTGTGCGTTTTTTATCATCCAAGATGCTGATAATTATCTCGCACCCGGCGGTAATAATATTTGCATTCTGAACTGAATCTGTGGCGAGCAAAAAAAGATATAATAAGCTCTAGTATTGTTACCCTTGTGCCTAGCACGAAAATTGAGTAGTTTCGAGCTACTGATTTATTGATTTACGACGGGAGGTCAATAGTAGCGCAGCGAGGTCGACGACGCGTTTTCGTTTGAAGACAATAAGGAAGTACTCCTGCGTGATACTTTATACTGATGTTGATTTGGCTCGGGGGCCGGAATCACCAAGCTTTTCGCAGCGGAGCGTATGCAATAATTTCAAGCGGCACCTACTCTGCTTCCCTTCTGGAGCACGATGTGGTGGAACCAATTCATAGATCTTATCTAGTTGCCCAGCAACGGGGTGCTGAGTCGCACTTTAGAAGGAAGTGCGGCCGAATTTTGTTGGTCTCAGAAAAAAAACTTAGGAACATCTTATTCGAGTAAGAAGATTTATCATCAAAAATCAGTAATGCCGGAAGGCTGGCATTGTTTGAAGTTTGAGATTCTATTCAGTTTAATTCTATCAGATAGGTTTACCGATTGTTGATTGTTACAGATAAAACTTTTGTATAGTCAAACACTAGAGTGTAGGGCGGTGGTAGTGCTTTTGCATGGCGGAACCGGAAGGCTGCTGCCGTCGTTTTCTTACGTATGTTACAACTGATATTCGGAATTACAACGAAGTAGCTCAACAGATTTTTGTTTGTGCTGCAATAAAAGGCAGAAACAAGAATTTCGGCTACGGAAGCACAAGAAAAAAAAGCTCTCTTGAATCACAATCTGACAAAAAAGCAAAGTTTTAAAAAAGTATTGACGGCACAATTTGTTAAACAGAGACAAAACTCCAATTATATCGATTGTACTTCTGTATTTGAAAATTTTTACCTATTTCAGAAAAAACACCTAAACCTAAACTCTCAGCCACTGCAGCATCGAAAAATAATATACTACTACCTGTGACGAAAGGACTCGTAGGCGAAAGTGGTCCTACTTTTGAAGGCGTCGCCTCCAGGAACCATCGTGCGCGGAGGACGAGTTTTGTTCGTGCGGAGGACGAAGTTCCCCGGCATTGTCACGGACAACCAACAAGGATCTAAAGACTTAGTCATTGTGGCGTTTATAGTTCTTGCGCTTCTCAACTCGCCAAACAGAAACAGATCCTTTTCAAGAGCCTGTCTGTGAGAACAAGCGGCGTGCGCGCACGGAGGAAGCTTTTCAGCATCGCTGCTAGTTGACAAGAACTTACTTTTCATAGTGACTACAACAATGTTATGTGCAAAATGAAATTTTCAGTTCGTTAGAAAGGCAAGCGACATTTTTTTCATATTCTTTTCGGTAGAAGTTAGAAAAGCAAAAAAGAAGGCCGCTCGCCAAAATACCGGAGCCGTGCATTTTTGATCCTTCGGATAAGTACAGCTTGGTAGTAACCATCGGCAACTACATCTAGATAGATTGCTCGTTCTTTGTCCTTTCTGCAGTAAGCAACGAAAAAAAAGTGGATGGTCCCGGATCGCGAGCATTTTGCCTTTCAGAACCAAACGTCCCGATCCTGCGCGAAGTGGTGCGCGGGCGGTGCTGCGGATCCTTCGGACAAAGACGTCATATCAAATGTAAAAGTGTCTGGGTCTGGAAGATTGCCAGGTTTGGTTGGTTGGTTGGTTGGGTAGCGCCTGTCGCCGGTGCAGGTCCCGCCCTCCATCGATTGCGATCCGGAATAGCCGGAACACAAGGCCCTAGTGGCACAATCGATCGACATGTTTATTTTGTATGCACGGCCCTAGTGGAGGTTTGTCATGCATATTTTGTATGGCCCATGATGTCTGTGATGCATGCCCTAGCATCACATATTTTTAGAGGAGTTTGCGATGCCTCTACCGCATGAGAAATGCCCTCTTCGCGTAGCACTAAGTGGAGTGCTCTTGCTGGTCATGCAATACACATTTTTTTAGAATCCAGAGACAGCATTACAAGTTTGGAATCTTCTAGACCCAGACATTTTTGCAATTCATACGTCAGTATGGGCTCCGATTTCTCCTCGTTCTTGCAGCGGGACGAGATGTCTCAAATTGACCTTTTATCCTCGGTAAAAACGTACCCACACCAGAGTCAGGATGGGGATTTTGCAGCACAAACATAGGATTTTTGTGAGTCACGCATGACAAGTTGCACTCTGCAGTGTAGTGCAGGTTCGCAAGGCCACCTGCGTCAGAAATCCATCTACTCATCCTGTTTACAGCATTACAAATTTCAAAACACGATTGGAAATGGCTCTCATGCGGATGCGCATTACAAATGGTCCTGTCATTGCAAACCTGCATTACAACTCTGGTGTGGGTACGTTTTTACCCAGGATACCTTTTCGAGCTTGACGACCCCAAGCTGTCGCCCGACGCCCAGGGCAGGAGGACCGCGATCCGGGAAAGGAAGTTCCGGTATTATACGTCTTATTGGTTCCTCAATGAAATGATCAAACGAAAAGAACAAAGTAGGCTACTTACAACTTGATACGATGCCCGAGGACAAGTGGTTCCGCACCTTTGATTCGCATGCAATACCGATTTGTCGCCTCCAGGACCTCTTTCAGTAAGTGGCCCTTTCGTGAAGGAGCAAAAGTTGCAGCAGAAGAAATCCTGATCCAGCAGATGAAAATACAAATCTGAAGATCCTCTGTGCTTATCACATGATGCTCCATCCCCCCACATCAAAACAGGAAACTTGCCGACGAGATGATTCGTAGTGACGCGCACACGTGTTTTCTGCTTCCATACCTGAAGAAAGTCCCCCTCGACAATACGGAGTCGATCGCCCCGGGCGAATTCGTCGAGCCGAAACCGACCTGGTCGCCCGCTTTCGTCGAAATGCTTGAGGAAAACGCCGCGCAGCTGAAAAATAGCAAATCGAACAAAGTGACGCTTGCGCCACTGAACACAATAACGTTGCCCACCAACAACGTGGTGAGTGCCGCTACGATCAACGAAATTTCGAAAACAAACCCGCTGACGCACGCCGGGCTGGAGACGAAATCGACCGCCGCACCCCCGACGCCGCCGGAGGAGAGTAACAAAAACTTGAAGAGCGCAAATCGAGACTTGATGAAAAGCACCATGTCGTTGCAAAGCACGGCTGACGCCACCGCAGAAGAAAGCCCGGCCGTCGATCCGTTGCTCGATAGCAGCGGCATGATGGAGGGAGTATCGAACAGCGATGGCGGTCCTGTCGGAGTAGAACAGTCATCCTCTAGCTCAAAAATTAAAGATCCTGTCTCCAGCAATGATCTTCAACAGCCTGGGGCCGGGTCGAAAGGCTTGTCGCAGAATTGTACTACGACGAAAACAAGCACAGCCTCAGTATCCACCAAGATCCAGAAGCGGGGCATCCCAATAAAGTATTTTACGGAACACGAGAACCTGCGCTGGCAGTGGGAAGACGCTTCAGGTGAGATAAAGTATGCGAATCTAATCGGTGTGGCCGCCGGCCGCGTCTCGGGGAGTGGCGGCGTCAACGACAATCGCGCAATGAACGGGAGCTGGGGCGGAACTTTCGGGTTAACGAACTTTAGATGAAGCGATTCGTTTACTTTTATCACCTGTTCTTGATAGGTTTCATTTTGATTTTCGCCGCATCTTCGACTACCTGCGCCGCCTCCCTGCATCGCCGTGCAGCACAAAAAATTGATGTTAACTTTAGAATGAACCGACCACGACCTGTCATTGATTCAGAGCGACCACCACAAAAACGAAAGTCTTTTTCATCCATCGTGCGACACACAGTTGTATCTGTACCAGCACATCAAACTTCTCAAACTGTCTGAAGGTGGACACGGTGCACTTTTCTGAGCAGGGACCTTGAAAAACCTGCGGACAGAATGATAATCTTCTGAGGGCGTTCTGGAAATTCGCGATCCGACTTTTTTTTGAGATGGCCTTGCTTCTCCTTCTCTGAACACCACCTTCGTTGATCTTACACTGTTTCATGAGGCTCAGGTTTGGTTTTGTCAGGCAATTTTCAATTTATGATCTTCACTGGATTTACTTCATCATTTGGCGGGAGTATGTCTTCGTGGTGATCATTTATCCATCAGACATTGCCAGTCCTTTCTTGTCTTTGTGCGCTTTTTTATGTTCGTAATAGTTGTAAACATCTACATCACGACTCATTCAACTTGATCAGTAAGGATACATCATTTATTCCACCCTACCGGCAGATGCATCAAGAAAGGGTGACCGAAAATAAAGAAGGCATGCCATCGAAGGAAGCAGCAGTTCCGCCGCAACAGGATCCACAGGAAGCAGTTGCAGGCGCTTCTGCCAGCTCGACATCTTCCTTGAAGCGACCAGCTGCGGAACAAAATGCTCCCGGAACAAATGGCACGACTCAACATACCGCCGTTGGCGGCCCCCACCCACCCACGAAAAAGCCTGTCCGTATCTTCGGGATGCCGGGAACTATTGGCGGGGGCAACAACATAATCGCGGGAAAAGCCACGTCTGCGTCCTCGACCAATCCGTCACCGCAGTTGTGGAAGTCGTTTTACCACGATTCTCTGCACATTTACTTTGGGGCGAAAACGCTAGAACACTTGCCTGAAAACATCAACGACCCAGTCGTTGCATACGGGCAACCAGTGGAGGCAAATGTAAACAAGCAAAATAAGAACCGCCTTCGAGTGGCCGCCTTCGACCTGGACAACACTTTGATCAAAACTTCATCCGGCAAGGTATGACCCGCTCAAACGTTACAATCTCAAATGTTACAATAGAGTCTGGGTTTTGTATTGCATGATGAGCATGACAGACTCGGACAGCATTCCACTTTCTGCAATACAAATTTCGCCAGATTGTAGTGCGGATTGGGACTCCAGAACTTGTCATGCGCAATCCTATGGGAGTAAGCTAGATAATGCGCTTCTTGCAACACAAATTCCAGATTCTATTGTAACGTTTGAGATTGTAACACCTGAGCAGCTTATACAAGGTTTTTCCCAAGGATAAGCACGACTGGCAGTGGTTATATCCGAATAATATGGTGGTGAAGCGGTTGAATGAGCTGGTTTGCGAAGTAAAATCAGATTCGAATCCACCCAACACGAGTTCATCTACTTTTACAACTCAAATCTGGATTTTCACAAATCAAAACGGGCTTTCGCTGCACAAAAACAACCGGAAACAGCAGGAACTAAGGTTGAACGACTGGAAGTGGAAATGCGAGCAAATTTTGTCGAAATTGGACGAGAAAACGAGGGACCGAGTCGTCATCATCGCCGCACTGGGGGAGAACTACTGCCGGAAGCCGGGCACCGGTGGGTACGAGTTTGTGGTGCAAGAGATGAAGAAAAGAAATCCAAACTTCGAGATTGACACGCGCACTTCCTTCTACGTCGGCGACGCCGCGGGCCGGCCGGAGCGGGCCGGAATTGCGAAGAAGGACTTTTCCAGTTCCGACTACAAGTTTGCGCTGAACCTGGGTTGGACGTTCTACAGCCCGGAGAAGTGGTTTCTGCAGGAAAAGGACGAGAAGTTCTACTCCTTCGGGGGGTTCGATCCGCGGAAATTCTTCGTGCCATCGGTGACGCAGCTCAAAAACGCGAGCAGTCGAGAGCAGGAGCAGGGAGAATCGCCGGAACACGACCCGCATCAAGGAGAAGTTGAGCAAAACGAGCAAAACACGACGAGAACAAAAGCAGGCTCGTTTCGAAAGCAAGTGACAGAGCAGATTTTGGGCCGTCCTGCTCGTGCAGCCACTTCTGAAGAACAAGTAGGGGTGAACAACAGCAACGATGACAGCAGAAACACTTCTAGTACAAACCTCCACCTGGTTCTCCTGGTCGGTTCCCCCGGGTCCGGGAAATCCACGCTGGCTGAGCAGCTCTTTTTCGACCAGGAGAGCAACCCGGACAGCAAGGCGTGGATCTACGTGAACCAGGAGACGCTAAAGTCGCGCGACGCGTGTGTGGCGCGGTGCAAGTATTGTAAGGAAAAATCCCCCGTCCCCATATTGAAAGCGCATCCCTCTCAAAATTTGCGATGCAGGTTTGTGACCACGAATCCTGTCTGTCTTGCAAGAGGGCAAGCCCAGAGAGTCCGCCACATTATACAGGCGGTCTGTGATGCTGCTCGGCTTACAGCATAGACATTTGTCATGTTAGGCGCCTACGTCAAAACCCCTCGGCTCCGGCTTGGCATATGCCTCCAGTCCTCTACTGCAAGACGCATCCGATCTGTGTACGAAAATCCAGCATCAGAAACTTCGTTTCGATATGGGGAGGGGGCATTTTTCCTTTTGATAGCAAGAAGGGGTTGTTTGAAGAGAAGAAAAACTGCTTGGTGGACAACACCAACCGGGATGTGAAAACCAGAAAAGACTATTACGACCTGATCGCGTCATTCCGGTCCAAGCAAGAAGGGGACGAGCAGAAGAGCACTAGTAACTTCGTCACCGTAACTTGCTCCGTCATTCATTTCGATGTTCCGAGAGAGTACGCGGTCCACTTTAACGTCGTGCGGGCGCGGTGCAAGGAGAAGAGTATTCCGGAGATGGCGATTAATGGCTTTTACAAAACCGTGGAGAGGCCCGAAGTGGGGGAGTACACGAAAGTTGTGGAAAAACAAAAACCCGAGGTAACAAATGCTGCTGCGGGGACTGGTGCGGCCACAGGTAGTGGTACTTCTTGCACCGCAACCGCAGATATGTCTTTGGCGAGCGAGAAAAACGCGGTGAATGATAAAAGAGAAGATCAGTCGTATTTTTATCCCCACAATGTTTTTCGGTTTAGGATGGAAGACTTCTGTTGTCTCCCTCTGAAACAAATGTCCGAGGAAAAAAGAAAGATGCTCACTTTGTTTCAATGAATTTCGATCAACCTAAAGAAGCAAAAAGGAGGAAACTCTCTTTCTCAGCCTCGGTCGCACGTCTCGATCAAATGCAAGGAAAATCGACGGCATGATTGATGTTTGTGTTTTAAACAGGTTTTTTTTTGTTCGGTAAGATCATCAAGACTTCGGTATTGGTGCCAATGAAATCAGCAATCTTACGAAGATCCGCAGCTTTTTTGAAATTTCGATCAAGTCCTGTATGCCGTCGCATTTCCCGGCCTTCGTGGTTTTGACAACAGTGCGCAAAAGCTCAAGTGTAATTTGTTGATAACAAATACTGGCACAGGTTTTCGTGTGGGAACCTCTGTAAAACAAGATCACCTGGTTTCTGACTCTGTCCTAGTGGAGCACTCCTACCGCTACTATAGAGATAGAAAAACCCCTACCTTTCATAGAGATAGCTTGCTTTTGCTACCCCTACTTATCATTGAATCACTGGAGGCGCATAATTCTACGCGGTGTTTTTGTTGATGCGTTTTTACAAATTCATCGTACGTGCGTTTCTTGACATTTTTGACCCACCGTCTCCGTCCACGTACAAATTATAAGTAACTTGCCGACTGCGCAGTCAGTTTTCACTTGATGAAGTGCAGGACCTTGTTGCTCTACGCTTTCCACATCTCGTAGAAAACCACTTCTGGAAGAAAATAATCGCGCAGGTAAAAAAACGCAAAGTTCGACTCTAACAACGTCGATTCAGATATTCCTCTCATCAAAAATCAAAAACCAATTTAATAGGAACCAGTGATAGGTGGAGAACTCAAATTGGAATATCAGATTTTGGGGCGTTCATCTCATAAATATTTTTAACGAAACTCGAGCGAGAAGTTAGGACGATTCTAAATGCATATGCATATTCAGCACGTCTCGAAGAAACTTGAACTTCTATTCTCAGACGAAGCAAGAGACAATTCAAAAAATGGCTCCTGCTCTTCTTGATTGCGGTCGTTCTATTTCGCCTCTTTCTTCAACTCCCAAACGTGGCGGCAGGACCTCCGCCTCTACAGGAGTAACCCCAAAAAATACTCAGACCTACCCAAAAACAACTTTTAGAACAAATACTACCCAGTATAATTGCAACAAGAACGGCACAAAGAAGTCTTTGTCCGAGACCACTTCTTCGGCCCACAAAAGTGGTGGATCAACACCCTCTTCATCTACCCATTCGAGAAATTTCCTTGCCAAAGTAGCCCTTTATTGCGCAACCAGCTCGTTCAGTGGTTTAGGTTTTTTATCACCTGCTCTCGACCCGTATTCATCATCGCTTTCAACTAGGAATTATCATACAGGCGGTGTAGGAGGTGTCACCGCTCTCACCGTTGCTAAGACCAAATTACAAGTAGTAGGAGACGGCCACGAGCACGACCCGGAACGCGAAGACGACCCACCGTTAGCCCGCAGTACCACCGTGCGTTCGGGAGCCAGCGGCTTTTCTCTGCTAAACTTCTTCCAGGGCATTGCCGGACGAGCCTCCTCCTCCTCAAGCTCCTCGACGTGGACGGCCACCACCACTGGGACGGCCACTAGTTCTACCCCTCGCGTCGAGGCAAACAACTCTAGCGAAGAGCAACTACAACCTCAGCAGGGCGGCCGCGGGGAACGGCACGAGCACCAGCTCCGCGGCGTGGGGCATTTTCCCGGTGTGGAGCACCGGCGGGACGAGGATTCCTCCAGCGAGGAGTATAATACCAGCGTCGAGCAGCACGAGTCGCAAGACCGTCGGGCAGGAGGCGCTCGACTTCCGAGGAGCGACCAGGCCACGCGTGTTCGTGGAGGAGCTACTTCATCATCTAGCAACAACGACCAGGGCGGACACGACGAGGAAGGCAGTGAAGGGAGCGAACAGAGTAGCGGTGAAAGCGGAGAAGAAGACCGGAATTCGTCCGACGAACAAGACAACCAAATGACCTCGAACAGTCTGATGTCCGTGAATCCTTTTGGGAACGTCCGCATGCCGATGAGCGCGGTGGTCGGTCCGAGGTTGTTGAAAAAGGTGGACCACGACAAGTTCCCGCAGAAATCGGTGTATGTGGACACCGAAGAGGAGCTGAAGGACGCGGACTGCGTCGTCCTGTACTTCTCCGCGCACTGGTGCCCCCCCTGCAGACAGTATTGAAAATGAATCCGCTATTCTGATTCCTCCGCATTAAGTATTTTATTTCGTGGTCCTGCTTAGCAATGTCAAAGTCAAAGACCACTAGTGAGCTGTGCGTAGTCACGATCGACGTTCTCATACGTTTGTTCACGCACATCATTCATCAGAAAATTCGGGGCTGTAAAAATATTGGTTTTTAAGTTTTAGATAAATTAATATCATTCCGGAGCGTGTGTGTCGGGAGCGGCGTCCCCCTGTCGGGTTGGAGCGGATCCGGGACGGGCGCAACGCAGCGGCGGATTTTCGGCGACAGGCGACGCCCGCGAAGACGGCATTTTTGGACAGAGACCTCCCGGGGCAGCGTTTTTCGGACCATACAGGTAGAGGGGGCGGCCGGTTTCGGACGACAGACACAACCAGTGGCGCAATATTTTTTCCAACACACACATCCGGCGGGAAAAATATCCGTCGATACAGGTTCTCCAGTAATTAATTAATTTCTGAGAAACTGAGTTTCTGAGAAATTAATTAATTCCTGGAGACCTGTGTGTCCGCTTCAGGTAGAAGGAGGTTGGGGCGGCGCCGGATCCCTCGCTGCCCTCCACTGGATTCCACCACAAGCTGGACGAGGGCAAAGTCGACGACGGCGCTGGCCGGCGCTCCTGGCTGCCAGGCGGTCCGCGAAGCTGCAATATCTTATCTCCATTAATCATTGTAGCCTATACATCGCAAATCCGTATCACCTATGTGCCGCTTTTAGCGCGAAAACCATGAGGCTGCGCTGGGTTTCGTTTGGTTGATGGTTCGCTGGAGTAGATGCCGCCGGTGTTGGTGGTCTGGCTGGTGCGCGCGCAAAGATTTGGCGCGCTTCACCGTTGCGCCCACGCATGTACTCGCTGAGCGCGCTTGAGGTTGCACTTGCGCCCGCAGTGACCCACCTGCGCGCGCGCGCAGCGCGCGCAGGAAGATTAGCGTGCGCTACACAGCCCAACCTAGAAAAGTGAGGGCCTTTGCAGCCTTCACGCGCAAGCGTGTTTATCGGTCCCCGGGCGCAGCCCCAGCATCCCCGGCAGGGCGCCAGACTGGCGAGCGCAAGCGTGGCCCCGTCTTTGCGCGCGCGGGCGGGAGGGCGCAGGAAAATGCCAGCCTGCGATGGCGCGCAGCCCCAGCGGGGGCGCGCCGCCGTGCCTTGGCCGATGACAGGCCCGGTGGGTGCGCCGCTTCATGCTTTGGCCGGTTGCCTGGCTTTGAAGATCATTCAAGCCGCAGCCAAGCCATCAGCCAACGCGCACGAACGTCGCCTGCTCGTCGCCAACTTGCCGAAATCAGGGGCGAGCAGGAGAGCGGCTCGGCGCCGTTCCGACCTCCTTATAGCGGAGCGCTACACAGAGGCGGTCCGGGAATTAATTAATTTCTCAGAAACTGAGTTTCTGAGAAATTAATTAGTTCCCGGATTGTGTGTATTGGAGAAAAATAATTTGGGCAACATCGTGTGTGAGGAAAAAAATATTTTTTGATGGCTGTCCTGTGTGGGCCTGCATGTGCCCAGGGTGTGTGTGTGTCTGCTATCAGTTCTTGTTTATGTTGAAGTTAATTCGCGACCTGATGCACATGTGTGGCAAATTTAATTAACGCAATAGAACACATATGCTTTTTTTAATTTCTACAACCATTGAAAACAAAAATCATATACCAGGTCTGGGGACTTTCGCCGCTCCCGACACACACGCTCCGGAATAATATTAATTTATCTAAAACTTAAAAACCAATATTTTTACAGTATCGAAAATTCTTACAATACTGCTCAGATTCACCCCCCGTTTGATCGAGAAACACCTCCGAGCGCATTTGCTTCGGAAATCGGTGAAGTTCGTGTTTGCTTCCCTGGACAATAGCCAGGCTGACTGGAACGAATACTATGGGCTGATGCCGTGGCTCGCGTTGGATTTCCCGACGAGCCAGCAGCGCACGAAGGTGTTAATGCAGCAGCTGGGGCTGCGCGGCGTGCCGAGCGTGGTCTTGTACTGGAAAAACGGGAAGATTGACGTGAACGGCCGCGAGCTGATCACCCAGCCGGACTTTCTGCAGAGCGTGAAGATGATCGGTGCAGCCGGAGGGGCTTCTTCCTCCGCCTTCCTAGCGCAGTCCACGGACTCGGTCGCGTCCGGGCACACGACCAGCACGGTGCTGTCCCCCGTGATCCAAACCAGCACTCGGTCGCGCATCTCGCAGCTGGCCCAAACCGAGCAGATCGACGCCGAAGTAATTTTCACGGACCCGAAAGCGATCGGGGAAGAGCTCGGGGAGAGCATTTCCGAACCTTTCTCCATCGAAGTGGACCCGAGCCAGACTGAGGAGGAGGCGCTCACGACCTTCCGCTACCAGTTGTTTTCGCTGACCAACATCGAGCCCGAGCAGCAGCGCGTGTTCTTCGACGGGATAGCCGCAGAGGGAGCGGCGTCCACCTCCTGCACGGTAGATCCGGGGTTGTCGGACTTTTTTGCAATCCTCGACCAATTGAAGGAGGCGCAGCACCAGGGGAGGAAGGTGAAAGTTTACGTTTTGGGAAACTTCTCCGGCAGCGAAGACGACCCGTTTCAGTTCGCCGGCAAGGTGGTCGACCCAGACCTGCAAACCAAACAGCAGATGCAGGCGATGCTGCAGGCGAAGGCCGGGGCGCTGAACTTGGCCCCGCACAAGTGGAGCCGCGTGTTCGGCGATGCGACGAAGGTCCGCGGGTACGAGGATCGGGAAATGCAGACCGCGTGCTTGCTACAGATCCCGATCCCGAAGCTGTACGAAACTGCACTGGAAAGGGCGAAGTCCGGCACCATGGCCTTCGATCAGGCGTTTCTGGACGTCTTAGTCAAGTGGTATTCATCAATTTGATGTTCACAATGGGGTCATGATTCATTGCAATACCATCGACATCGGGGAACAAATCAATCTTTTGAATTTATCCAGTATAACGTCATGCCGAATGCTGCTCCCGCGACGTAAGTGTGGCTTTGTACTAATCAAGGGTATAAGAATGGGCATACCTCCCTTATCGCGGCAGTCTCACTCACACACAAGAATTCCTTGAATGTCGAATCCATCATGTAATATCAAAAACTTAGGTTCAAGCACGAATTTTTCTCGTGGCCTGCGGCGAAGCCCAAGTCGATTCACGTTGAAAACGGAGTGTGCTCCGGCGTCGGCGGCTGCCGGTCAAATGAAGCGGAGGCCATTTTCGCGAGCCACAACACGGAACTTTATCGTTGCGACACGACGGGCAAAGAGCAGCGCTTTCCGCGCTACAACAACGTCTTCAAACTGCTGCAGACCCGGCTCGGCCGGTGCGGCGAGTGGGCCAACTGCTTCGCGGCGATGCTCCGGGCCGTGGGGTTCGAGACCCGCTACATCGTGGATTTTACCGACCACGTGTGGAACGAAGTGTGGCTGAAAAGTAGGGAAGAATGGATCCACGTGGACAGTTGCGAAGCCACGATTGATGCGCCGTTGCTCTATGAGCAAGGTATTGATGATTTTCCGCGAAAAATATACGACAAGTTTTTTTCTCTCTTTCCGATCGCCTGGTCATCAATCTTGAATCAAGGCCCACATGACTATGTTATTGGTTAGCAAGCAGGAGAGGTGGAGGCTCGCTACAATTCTTCGTAGCTCACTGTACTTATGGTGGTCCCAACACGACCAAGATCAGTGCATTGTATGCAAGCATCAAAATCTTTTCAATATATTCAGGTTGGGGAAAGAATCTGGAGTATCTGTTCGCCTACGCGCGCGACCACTGCGAAGACGTCTCCAGGCGCTACACCAAGAAGGGTCTGCCCGCGCTGACGCGAAACTTTTTTGCCGATGAGAACGAGGTGAAGCGACTCTTCACGGTGGTCCGGTCGCATTGTGAGGACGAGGATCTGGCGAGCCTCGACGGGGGCGACGACGTGAAGAACAAGCGGCGTGCGTTTTTGGACAAGCGCCGAACAGGGGAACAGAAACTGCTGGAAAATTGCTTCGAAAAGTACAATGCGGGCGAGATCGACGCGAAAAACCTGAATGCCCGCGAATCGGGCGACCAGGCGTGGAGAAGAGGGCGCGGAGAGTTGGGGAAAACTAACTTTGGCGGCAGCCACGCAGATACAAAAACCTTCGCGGACGAAGAACAAGAAAAGGAAGTAGCGAAAGTCATCATCTGGGACGGCCAGTTTTGCCATGGATTGCAGGTATCTATACGATTTGGGGAGTGTCTGGAACTTGCACTTCACTGTTGACAGAAGTGAAGATGCAAAAGTCTTATTACCACTGGAGTTCTTGTTCTTCTATTGAGTGTTTTTTTTGCAAAATGATTATACATAGTGTAAGTAGTATAAGTATTCATCTGGTGTTGACTACTTCTGTAAAGAACCCCCGAAGAAGCTGAATTTGAAAAAATCCACTTTCAGCTAATCTACCGCGACGTGCCCAGCTCCAAACACCCGCCGCGTTGGAACGGCGATGCTGCGGACTGCAAGAGGAAGGAGATCACGCTTGCGCCTGGCGAGAGGATCGTCAAGGTTTGCGGCGGCGCCGGGGCGATCGTGGATCGACTGGAGATTCACACCTCCGCGGGGCAGCAGATCAGCGCTGGGGCGTCCACGGGCGGTGAGAAGTTTTGCTTCGAGGGCAAGGACATTTGCGGCCTCTACGGGGGCTTCGGCGGCCACGTGCACAACATCGGAGTGGTGTACAGAAAGGAACAAGAAAAAGAAGCAGCTCAAACGACGACCTCCACGGTCGACACAACATCCGCGTCGAGCGCTTCCTCCACTTCTGCCACGGAGAAGGAGACTTTTACTAGCGGCGCGTCGAAGAACGACGGAGGAGCAGCAGCTTGCGCATCTACAGCGACTTGCACGAGTGGCACCGCTGCCACTGGCGGAACAGTCATACCACCGACCAACACTTCTAGCACCTCCACTAGCGGACAAGACGGCGACATGGTGACGACCTGTACGCCGGATGGCGTGTGCACCCGAGGAGCAGTGCGGAAGGAGGCGACGGCGACCTCCGCTGCAGCGTCCTTCGCCCCGCCGGCCAGGCCTACGTCCGGGGGACCGAGTCCGGAGCAACGGCAGCAGATAAAAGACGAGATCAAGCGACTTTTTAACTATTACATCAGCGAAGCCGGCGGGAAAATGGAAAACCCTGAGGCCGCCGCCAGGGCGTTCAGGGAAGTTTCCGCGAAAAAACCGGCAGCTTAGGCTCTTGAAGCCGGAGTTGCTTCCACTGTGTCTGAATAAACTACGCAGGCGACAACGTAAATGATGAAAGCACGAAGATGTCTGACATTGATTTTGCCCCCCTTGTTTTACGACAACGACTACGACCACCGTGACATTTTGCTCTTTTTTGCGGCTGCTATGATGCTCGATCTGCTGTACTTATTTTCAGCCAAATAAGCATCAACAAAGTTGCGTCGAGAGGCTTTGTTCTTAGGCACCTCGTGGAGAACAAAGAACGCATTAGTAATTACGCATTGCAAGAGTGAGTGGCTGTTTTGTTTTATCACCGGAGAACAAAGTGCTTGATCTTTCTATGTTGTGACCCTTTCCACTACGAGTTCCCTTAACACCTCTCGTCTGCTTGCGTCTTGCTCTTGTTTGAGGAACAGCAACACTCCAGTCGTGGCCTGACTTTCGCCCGATACGACTGCACTATTTTGCGACACTACTGCACCTTTTTTTTGCATTTCAGGCGGGCAGAAGCCATCGGCTTAGCACCCTGATTTGCACCTGATATGATCCAAGATGCGAAACGCAACCTGTTGCTTACATATAAATACGCGGATTGAAAAAGAATCTTTGCCAGAAAGTTAGTACCTGCTTTCATTGTCTTTCCTAGCAGGCTGGCGCTTCGTCTGCTTGTTGCAAATTGGTTGCAAAGTTTTTGTTTGTTATGTTACTGAAGACGTCAAGGAGGATCGATACTGCATGTAGCTTTCTTGTCTCGTTGATGTCGTCCTCTCTGCGTTGTAAGAACTTCTTGTCGTTTCGTCTAACTTTAACAGTTCTGAGGATTGTAAAGTGTTGCCAAGAAGTCAGTAGCTTGCACATTCTCGTACTCATATCGGCGTTTATTTCTTTCGTGCACCCAACTTTTTCTTATTGTTATTACATCCTCTGAAAGTAAGCGCACGACACGGGTGTCGATGTCGTATCGTTCAGCGAATTCGTATTTATCGTCCAGGTCGTTCTTCATCTTCATCTCTTCGTGTGGTGAAATGGTTATATGTCAAATGAGGACATCGACATTTTTGTGGCTCTGCTGCGGGACATTTATGTACAACACTTCAAATTTTTATGTACCCGGAGGACTACAGGTATTCGTCTCAACATTTATTTGGCTTCACAACGAACGAAGGAGCAGTCTCTCTCATCCTTGGTGCCGCTGGTGTACAGCGAACGAAGTGGTAGTTGCAGCCTCATCCTTTTTGTGTTTGTCATCAGTAAAAGTCTTGTTTGTCAAACTTGTGCGTGTGAAGAACCATGTCTCGCTTCGCGTGCCCCAAGATTTGTTTCGTCAAGCGGCGTTCCCTTATTGCGGCTGTTTTTTTTCCGGGACGTGAGCTAACGAAAGCAGTCGGGCTTCTGTTGTCGAACCAGAATGAGAAAAGTGACGGACCTCTGCTATCGAAAATAAATGCGAATAGACCCCCCGCAGCGGAGCAGACTGAAGCGCCGGAGCAGGCGGACCAGCAGGATTTCTTGTTGCAAACAACTACATTAACGGCACGGCCGCGCGAGAGGACCACACGGAGTCTGCTAGAAAGCAAGCAGCGATTACTCTCGACAACGGCGCAAACACAAGAACGTAGCCGTGAGGTGCGTCATAGCTTGTTAAAAAATACAACATCTGCGTCCTTCCTAGCATCTGGCTCCGCTGCACGAGGGGAACGAGGACACTCAACAGCCCTTGCAGGAGGCGAACACTTTTCCTCTTCGAGCAGTACAACTGCGCAGCGCTGGAAATGCCACCATTGGTATAACGCTCCAGCCGACGAGGCAGCATCCTGTGCGTTGCAACCTGGCTTCGTTTTGCGGCATTGGACCGCCCGTATACCGGCTTCTTCTGCAAAATGGTGGCGCACACATCAGCCTGATTCCAACGTAAAGATAGTTGAGGCGCCTTGGTGGTACGGCCGCGACCAACGTGATGCTACTTATTTCAACCACGAGTTACTGTTTCCCTTTGACTTCACGGGGCGGAAGTACGAGGGATGCACAAACGAAAAAAATGTCATGTGCTTGTGTTGTAAATTCACGGGCGATGAGAGTGACCCGGAGTACCCGAGGAAAAGAAACGGGCTGCTACTGTATCCGCAGGTCCGAGACGGAATTTCCATAGACGTGGAGAGGGAGAATGCTTTTGCCAGCTATGCTATGGAACATGAGGTGCTAGAAGGTTCTGTTGCCCCGCGTAGCTGCTCGGTCGACACCTATCCGACGGGTTTGTATGAAACGGGATCCGGATATGAAGTGATTGGTGCGGACGACAAGCTGCCGGGCTTTCGGGAAGCCGCGCGAACGGAGGAGGGGATGCAGAGTGCACACGTGCCGGCGGTAATGCTGCTGGAGGTTCCGCTCTCCGGGTCCCGCACGACGGCGGGAGAAGCTGAGGGGCTCGTGGATTTTGTAGATCGCAGCGACCGGAAGCTCTGCGCACACAAGCAGGGAAAGGTCGTCACCTACGTGGACGGGGTGAATTTATTTCGGGACAATGCTGCCGGCTGGGTGGACCTTGAAGGTGCGGAAGTATCCAGCAACTTCACAAAGCTGCTGGATTCGCTTCCCGAGGTCGAACAGGCTGGCGCGGATGTTGGAAAGAACGTGAGAAAGCAGTGGCTCTACAACTACATGGGAAGGCAGAATTTCTGGTGCCCGCAAAAAAACGAGTCCAGCGACGAGGGGAGGAAGGCTGCGGCCTCGCACGCACGGCAAAAGTGCGCCCTCGCCTGCGCCCTTTTTCCCGCCGGCTATCAACATTCACTCCCCGGCATCCCGGCCGCCACGTGCCGCGGTTGGGAGGTGTTTCGTTCGCGAAATAGCATCCGAGACACAGAGTTGCCGGCTGTCTTGCATCACGAAGGCTGGCGATGCCGGCTGTTCTCCAAGCCGCCCGACAGAGTGGAGCTCGTCGTGCACGATGGATTAAGGGATGATAAAAGGCCTGACGGTCGTGACTACAACCGGGAGCCGGATACTACAGCGGTTGGCTTCCCTTGTGACGCCACTACCTGGATAATTACCGCTGGTGAATACAAGGGCGAGGAGAAGAATGGCCCCAACAAGGTGGACATCAGCAAGGGCAGCAAAACGGATAAGAAACGAAAGGACGGCCACACGGATCATCGTGTCGGGCAGGAGCAAAAGAATTTCGCACCATCGGCGGATGGTGCATTTTCGGAGGACGACCCTCGTCCGCTGCGTTCGCCCCGCCAGCGCGCCTGGAAGGAGTGCAACTTAGAGGAAGACGCACGACGCGGAGAGGCCTACCGGTTTGACATGGTACGGAAGTCCTCGTGGCGGGAAGCCTGGGAAGGGGAGGAGCTTCTGTCGGGGATTTCGCACATCGTCCCGCTGGGTCCTGCAGCCGTACCCGTGCAGTGGAGGAACATGTGGACGCGGTGGAGCAAGGCCGAGTGGAGGTACGATAAAACGGTCGCGCAGTGGGAAGGACTTCTGGCCGAGATGAAGAAAGAAGGATCGCAGCTGGCGGAGCAGGTGGTAAGTAGAGATGAACAAGAGCGGCCCGTCCACTTGCTTGCGAGTCAGACCTACGCTATACTGGGGCCCCCCCAGGGTTTTTTTGCCTGCGAGCTGCTGTGTCGCATCACCAGCGGCTGCCGATCCTTCACACTGGATGCCGACGCAGAGGTTCCTTACTGCCTCCTGCGCCCGTTTCCCCGGGACGTGATCCGCTTTTATGGCAAGGGAGTGGAGGACCTTCTTGCAGTCGAAGACAAGGCACAGACGGACAGGCACATCTATGATACCCCTGTCTTCGAAAGACACACGGGTAGTTTGTCCTGCGGTGTCGACTTCCCACCGCCTTTTTTAACAACTAGCACAACGGCGCAGAGCAATGGAAGTCGTGAGTCAGCTTCTGGGGGCGCGGACGGCGGGAACCTCCCATGGGGTGAAACAACAGAGGCGCCGGCGGGAAAAGGAAAGGGAAAAGGAAAAGGAAAGGGAAAGAATCAAAGTCACAATCTTTATAATTTCTTGTTGCCAGCCTCTTCAAGCACGCTCGGGGAAAAGCAAAATCAGACAGGCGGGGGTCGTGCAAATCCAAGTTCAACGGATCCAGCGTCGAAGTCACATGTGCCAGAGGTAGACCACTCACACGAAAGCTGGGCGGCACCCGGTCCGACGTCGTTTGGCAGTCATGGGGGCACTAGCACCGCCCTGCATGTCCTGGCGGGTCTCTCCGGTTTCGCTTTAATCAGCGCCGCTCTGGCGGTTGTGCATTACTTTTACTACCAGCGTTGCCTTGATGGATACAATGACAATAGGGAACCTCCCAGAGTCGGCTCCTACGACGTTTCCGAACAGAGCGCCGACCGTGGGGGTCTGCGGCAGGCGGCGGCGCGTGGCGACCAAGAACAGGCGCGAATTCGAGAGTGGGCGGTATCAAATGCAAAAGTGTCTGGGTCTGGGAGATTGCGAGATTCGTCATGCTAGTCTGGCATGACTCTGAACTCTGTGCTGCATGGCCGCGAAGAGCTCCTCCTCCCTGTCATGCAAAAACGCAGCTTGTGATGCGGAGTACGCAACTCAGAACCATGAAAAAAACTTGTCATGCTTGGCAACGCATCATAGTGAGTTCACTATTCCCTTTCTTGCATCACAAGTTTCCAGACCCAGACATATTTGCAATGCATAGGCGGCGATGTTCAACTACAATCCGGAAAACCACCCGGACTCATTGTACGCGGTGGTGAACCACAGCGGTCCGATCAGCTACGACCTGTCTACGGCTTCGTGTCGGTCGAATGACCGGCAGATCCGAGATCCAAATGTCTTGTCCGCCGAGCAACCGGGGGAGGCCCCGGGGATGCTGCAGAACGACCTCTCCACCTCCATACTGTCCGGCGAACAGGGGCCGCACGTCGCTCCAAGGATATACCAAGCCCCTGTCCCGCCCGCGGTCCCGAAGCTCGGGTCCTAGTCCCCCAGGGCAAGTTGTAGCAACAAGCTATTAGTGTATTTGTGAAACTCAAACTTTCATCGGATACGCGCGGAAGATTGTGTCATCTCTCTCGTGTTTCTAGCGGTACTTCGAGAAAAAAACTAGCTTGACAGAGCCACTTTGAACCTGTACCTGAGAAAAACTGCGCTGGTAAAGAAACAAAAAAGCTAGTAAACGTTGAAGGACTACTATGTCTACTCTAAAATCTGAAAAAGAACGTCATCAGCACCATCATGATGTCAAATAACAAAGGAAGCTGAAAAAAAAATCTAAAAACTCGTGTTCCACCATTTGACCACCACCTCGTACACAGACCTTGGCTTGTGGATTCTGTATGAGTAACTCCAATTTCGATGTATGAGAAAGACGCACGCTTCTTGAAACAATAGAGCATGAGCCGAGCCGCTTCTTAAAGAATGAGAAAATTCAGTGTCATTGCGAGAATTTAAATTCGATACAGAGATCTGGAAGATCATCAAGTACTTGTACGTATTTTTGCAAAAGTTCCGCTGAAGTCGTTGTACATCAGAGCCTGACCAGCCCCTAAATGAGGCATCACGCTAAGGATCTTTTTGCGTTGCCAAAAAATGCCCGTATCGAGATCTTCCTCTAGATGAAATGTTTGCACTCATTGTCCGCGAGATCAGACACGCAGCGAATTCCCCGCTTCGGGAGAGAATTGAAATGATCCCAAGTGTGCTCGTTGTTCTGTAAAGATTTTTCAAATGCCAATGATATATGGCTTCTAAGGTCCCGCGAGGAACGCAGAGCCCAGAAAAGATCTTGACGGCATTTCTTGAGGGTTGTGTCGCAATTTTACGTTCTTATTTTCTTTTCCAAATGTTGCCAGTGACCGAGACCGTCGCAATGTAAATCTGCGAGGATTCGAATTTTACTACTCGTTTGTACGATTGTAAGATTTCTGTATGATCATTAATCCCACAATCTGTCAAACCATCACGAATATTCGCAAAATTTTTTTTTCCCGAAGTCTTTCCCTGAATGGTAGTAAAAAAATAAAACGCGAACAAAAAATCTACCGGCACACAAGTGTTGTAGCTTAGTGTTGGATTCTTCTATCGAGTTACTGCCCTAGTTTACGACAAGCTGACATCGCAAAAGATAGTCGTAGAGTCACACTTCAGTACACACACACGCGAACACAGGTAGATTTTGACAAAAAAAAATAAAAACGCCACACAACACCTAGCGGCAAAGTCTTTCACACTCTTTTTGCAGAAGATTTACAATGCCCTCAGTTCCGTGATTTTTCATTTGTAAAATTGACCCCCATTTTAATCTGAAGTCGTGCCTAAGGATTTTTCTTTACCACGTATAAGTTTTTACCCCTTTAAAGCCGAACTCATCCTTATCGCAGATCTTTCTCGAAGATACGCATTGTCAGTAGACTGTGGCCGTGCTGCGAAGCAATTCTTCTGAAAAACGAAGCAGTAGTTCTGTAGAGTCTTTTTGTTTGTTGGCAACTGAATTCCCTCCAGGATTCCCGGAGCAGTGGCATCGCAAGCCTTACAACCAAGCACAACGTAAGAGAACGAAAAAAACGACTGTAACCGTTGTTAAATGTATCAAGGAGGAAAACGATTTATAATCAAAGTGCGACCGCGAGGTTTTACAATAGAGCGATATAGTACAACTTCTGGCTGCTAAGTAACTGTCACAGTTTTCTTTGCAACGCCAAAGCACGCATCTTCTGGTTATTTATTTCCAATTTGGACAAACTGAGGCGCAGGGGTGCAGGTTTGCAAGAAAGACTTTGATTCCTCCACACGCTTCAGAAGCAGCGTTAGCATAATTAGTGTACCATATCGCGACCCCTATCTGCCACACCAGCAGCTTTCATGAAGGAATCGTAAATCGAAACTTTCGTCGATTGAAGCCGCTGCGTTGTGCTTGTAGGAAGTAGTACGTATTTATCCTCGACGACCACGTGGAGAATTTGTACTAAGCAAAATAGAGGAACAATAACACCGACATATTCATCATAGCGGAGTACGCGCGTTAGTAGCGGCAGCTGCATAGAAAAGATTATAGCTAGTCACAACTGGAGAAATTGAAAAATTGAAACGACTTTTTTGTCAACCATAGATACCAAGTTGTATCTCATTGCCTGCGCCTTTTTGTCTTTTTATTATCCAGCAGGTTCAATATCAATTCTGTCTGGCTCTGAGCTATCTAGGCGATATAGCTTGTTAACACAAACCTTGACTCAAGAAAGAACAGTTTTTTCAAAGAACTTCTGCCCTTTTTTGGAATTAGTTTCGTACACTTGTAGGATCTTCAAATACAACAGTTGGGAAAGAATATTTCCCAGCGCCTACAGCATTTTACTCAACCGCAGACCTGAGAACACTAATTGTTTGAAAAGCGGTCTTCGTGTCTGTGCGCAACTTGCGAAAGAAAGAAGGAAGCGAATGACACCAACCTTCATAAGTAGTCTGTGACAAACATACTGGACAATATAGACTCTGTGTCGCAGAAGAACACGACCAAAAGTTCTCTTTGCGTAGAGAACTACGAAGGAGGGGCGGACAGGAGTACTAGCACTACCACTTTCCCCTGATTATTTTCTTCGAAGAGAATAAACCAACTTGACCACGCGTAGCCCTCGAAGCTAGAAAACTAGGACCCGACGAGCTGCACGTAAAGAGACGTGTCAAAATTCATCGAGTGGCTCCCTTTTATTATTTTTCTCTATAAACACCACTAGCTACAACCGTGTACAATTCCTTGACCTACATCTACAAAAACTCCTTTCGCCTATAAACGTGGCATCCCGTTGCCACATAGTACCAACGACGAGAACAATCAACGTACTAGTACTAAAATCTGAATCACTGAGAAGGAGGATCACGCTACTTGGCTAGCCTTATGGAAAGAACTACATAACGCAAAAGAAAAGATCGTGAGCACCAAGTCCCATTGAACAAAAGGTCTTTGCAACAGAAGTAGCAGAGGATCAACACAGAACTTGCGATATTGATTGAGAAGTAAAGGTTTTCCTGTGCCGCGCACGTAGGAAAATCTGAATTAATATGTCATCTCCTACACCAGTGGTAGAACAAGCACTGCTGGAAAGCAAGAATCTTTTCGCGGAACAAGTAGATTCGACCGCAAAAAAAACGGCAGAAGCCTACCAGCCGGTGCAGCTGTCGCCGACCGTCAATATCAAAATGGAGAATAACGCAGCAGATAAGATCAAAATGCTGTCGCAACAAGCTGACAGCAGCCTCAACGGCAGAGCACCAAATAGTAAGGCGTTGGCAACTGCTGGCAGTGGGTGCGAGGATTCCCTGGAGGCGAGCACGGCCGTGCCTCTGGAGGTGCATTCCAAGTGCAACACGGATTCTTCTATCTCCACGCTGAAGACGCTCACCTCCTCCAATTCGGCGGAGAGTTTTGTCCTGCACAAAACCTCCTCGCCAACCTCCGATACGCCACCGCCGTCGAAAAAGTTCTTCACCAGTGATGACTGCCCCACCACCGCGTCGACGGGGATCGAAAACAAGTCCGGGTCCACGATCACTCCCTCGAGCCCCTTTGGCCTGCTGCAGAACAGCAGCCAGCTGAACAACGAAATGACCAACGTTATCCTGAGTAAAAACATCCCCACACCAGAGTCAAGATGGGGATTTTGCAACACAAACCTAGAACTTTTGGGGGTCACGCATCACAAGTAGTTGCAGTCCGTAGTGTAGTGCAGGTTCGCAAGGCCAGCTGCATCAGAAATCCATCTACTCATCCTGTTTACAGCATTACAAATTCCAAAACACGACTAAAAATGCCTCTCCTGGCGATGCGCATTACAAATGTTCCTGTCATTGCAAATCTGCATGACAACTCTGGTGTGGGGACGTTTTTACTCAGGATAAACGTCGCGGCGGTTGCTTCTCCTATGACATCAACGGAGGAGAGATCCCGCAGCACTTGTGCAAGTGATGCGGGACGAGGTGGCCGTGGTGGTTCAACATCTTGCATTCCAAGTACAACTACCGCAGAGCAGACCTCGACGTCGATTCAACATCTTCCCGGAGAAAGCGCTGCCGCTTCTGCTCCGCAAAGTAAAGAACTCGAGGAGCAGACCACAATAGAAAGCGGTGATCACCCGGAGCTGGTTCTGGCCCCTGCGATGCAAGAGAACGAGCAGCAGGCGGATGAGAAGAAAGTCACCGCGACGTTTGCGGCAAACCGCATCAAGACCACCATCCAGCAGAGCCGCACGGCGGAGCTGGATTACGTAGGGGAAAAAGATGAAACTGCGGACGAACCCGCTGCGCGCACGATTTCCGCTCCGGAGACCAACGCGAGCACTTCGAAAGATCATGGCGTTCTTGAACAAAGCAACGAGGACGTCACCTTGGCTGCTGCTACCCCCTCTCCTGCCGCCACAGCAGGAGCCCCTGCGGCTGCAGTAGTAGTTCCGGGCAAGAACACGACCAGTGCTGGTGCGACAACAGCAGCTGGCACTACTAGTGCAACTACAAAGGCGGTGGAACAAACTACGAGTACTTCTGCCAAGCCGAAGCACTTCAGTCGCTCGGTCTCCACCCGGTTTCATCCGATGAGCCGGCAGATGTCGGGCGTGAGCTCCGTGGACTCTCCGGCGTCCTTGCCCGTGTTTAACGACCCGCGGCGGTCGAGCGTGTACGCCAACTACGGGGGCGAGTTCTCGCTGACTGGGTCTGCCACGACACTTATCAAATGCAAAAATGTCTGGGTCTGGAAAATGCAGATTTGTCATGCATATTTTCCATGCCCCATGAGGTCTGGAATGCAGGACCTAGCATGACAGAGTCTGTGAGGTCTCTGCCATGCCTCTCCTGCATGAGAATCTCCCTCCCAACTTGATCGAAAGGGGATAGCTTTTGGCACTTATGCAACACAGATTTTTGCATGATTCGGATTCAGCATCACAAGTTGCAATCTTCCAGACCCAGACATTTTTGCAATCCATAACACTGGAGCAGTCGCTCGCCGCGCAAAACTACAGTGGCGGGGCGACCGACGACCGGGGGTTGTGTACCCTCACCGAGGAGGCGGTCTGCAGTCTGGGCACCGCGCCCCTCGGTATGAGCACCGCTACCGGTAGCGTCGTGGATCTAAAGCAAGCCGCCGGTCGCGCCTCGACGGACTACGGAACAACTACCAACGGGATCTCGCGGACCGCCACGACCGGTAACGACCCGCTGGTGCCGGGCTCCGGGGAGCAGCCGGCTGGGACCGGGTTGATGGCCTCCCCCCTGCACGAACAGAACGCTGCCTACTTCGCCGCCGCCGCCGCGGCCGCGCAGCAGCATCACGCTGCTGGGCACAACCACTACGAGCAGCAGCACCTGGGGAGTCGCGTCAGCGTGGCGAGTTCGCACGTGACCGCGCACGAGGAGGTTGGGCAGTACGACCTGATGCAGCAGTACCTGATGACTGCGGCTGCCGCCTCGGCGCAGCACCAGGAGGCGATGGCGTCGCTGTCGCGCACGAATTCCGGAGTTGGCTCGGCCGCGCATCACATGCTGGAATCCGCCACGTCCGTGGATGCCGCGGCGGGTGCAGCGGCCCTGGACGCGGCGTACGTTCCCTTTGCGGCCACAGCGTTTTCCCAGACCGGCGCGGGGACGGACCACCTGGACCACGCGATCCCCTCCTCCTCGGCCTCCTCGTCCGCCACGTCGTTGAATCCGGCGGCTGCGGAGTACTACGGCAGTGGGAAATCCGCGGACGACCTGCTGCAACAGACCATCCATGCCGCGGCCGCGTCCACGCTGGTGGCCGCTCAGGCCGCGGCCGCTGCGCAGCAGCAACAGTTGCTGGAGCAGCTGCAGGTGACCGCCGCGGCACAGGCGACCGCGCAGGAGCTGGAGCACCACTTTGCCGTGCAGAACGCGTACACCGCCTTGGTCGGCGCCGGGGCGGGTGCCGCGGCAACTCAGGCGGCCGCTGCCGCGGTAGCGGCAGCAAACGCCGCCCAGCCCCCGTTTTCCCATCCGGAGCCCCGGCCGCCGCTGCAGGACCCGCACAGTGCGGCGTCATACAGCGAGCCAACTCCTGTGGGAGAAGAGAATGCGGCGGAAGGTGGCGCTGAGGAAGCGAAGGATGGATCTGGGACGACTGCTGGTTCTCCAGCTGCCGCTGAGCCCTCCGCGGAGGCCGTGGAAGAGGACAAGAATGTAAAACCCGTACGCACCTCCTCGGCAACGTCCGCGAACACCAGTCCTTCAGCCGCGGAACCACAAAGTTCGACTTCGTCCGCCAAAAAGGAAGCCGAGGGTGACAAGGACAAGCCACGCAGGTAATACGCTTTCGAGGAGTTGTGCTTGTGCATCATGACCCATAAGCGTTGTAGTTCTTGTAGCTCCTTTTTAGCGAGGTTCATTTGCCGCATGATCGATTTGTTGTGCAAATGAGTATGCGGAGATTGACATTTCGTTTCTGTTCTAGTTTGACAACAGGAGTGCGTGATTCGGAAAAATGAACACTATCAAATCCACCTTTCTAATTCTACTTTCCAGGTACGACCTTTGCCGACCGGCGGATACGCAGGGCGGGCGCATGCAGGTCGAGAAGCAGGACAAGATGAATGTGATGGACTCCAACGCGATCGACAACGCCTACACGGGGCTCGGCTTGGGCGTGAACGGCCAGCCGTCTAGCGGGACGGACAGCGTGAAGGGTAGTTCCAACCCCTACTACACGCAGGCACAGTTGCACCACCAGCAAAGTTCCAAGGGGAACCCCTACAGCAAGTACAACTGGGGCGGGAAGCACCAGGGACAAACCCGGCACAACAAGTCCATGTTCCAGTACAATGTGAAGGGCGGGAACGCTGCCTTCTTCCAGAACACGGCAAACACCTCCGCGTCCCGCGGTGCGAACGGCACCACCGGCAGTATCGCAAAGGGCAGCGCGCCGCAGCACCAGCAGGCGGGCTGCGGGACGACCCTGTCGCAGAACCCGAAGACGGTGGACGGGATTACGCAGGCCAGCTTCTCGAAGATGACCAACGGCAACGATTTGGGAAAAATCTCCTCCTTCTTCAACAACACGGCCACCATGATCAAGGACGGAAAGGTCGTTCCGGCCAACGAGCTGCACCAGATGCTGCCGTGGCACGGGAAGCCCCCGGTCGGCTGGATTCACGTCCAGGACCACGGAGTCGCCATGCTGCCGCAAATGGCGAGGAAAGGGTATAGGATTTTGAATCTACAACTTGCTGCTAGAAGATTCTATAAAAGTAGAGCAAATTCAAATTCATGTTAACCTTGAATGGTGTATAATACCCTAACAAGCAGCTGCGAGCAGACGTATTTTTTGCATCATCATGATAGAAGATAGAGATACTAGCTCTCTACTAGCAAGTGCAGAGAGTTCTTTAGCGGTGCATCGCTTTTATCCCATGCAAGTATTTAAAAAACGAAAAAAAATCACAATTACAGCGAACTGTCGCAGCAAGTGATGGACCTGCTCGCGTGGACGTCTTCCAGCGACATGCTGGGGCGGCAGCAGCGGTCGATGATTGTGAAGCCGTTGATCAAGCATTTTCTGTACCTGTCGTGCGACGTGTGCGGGAATTACGTGTGTCAAAAGTTGATCGAGACCGCGGACGCCAACGAGCGGCGCGAGTTGGGGGACTTCATCTTTTCCGCGACCACCGCGGACATGTGGGGCCCGGACGGCGAGGCGCCCAACAGCTCGGGTTTGCTGGAGCCCGTAGGCATGAGCCGCAACAAGGGCCACGACGCCAACAAGTTGATGCTGCACCAACAGGAGGGCAGCCTGAACACCGCGGCCTCCGAGGAGAAGTCGAAAGCCCTGGCGAAGGAGTCTCTGGAGGACGTGATCGTGCGGCTGGCCCGCGGCACCTACTCCTGCCGGGTGCTGCAGAAGTTCCTGCAGTGCACGCCGGAGGAGGAGGACATCGTGAAGTGCGGCGAGCGCCTGGCGAACTTCAGCTACAAGCTCGCGCTGGACCAGAACGCGAACCACGTCGTGCAGCGGTGTTTCTCCAGCACCAAGGCGACCTGGGTGTTCGAGCCGGTTTTCGAGGACCACGTGGTGGAGATCGCGACGCACGTGTACGGGTGCCGGGTCTTGCAGCGCCTCGTCGAGCTGCAGGGCCGGAGCAGCAAGCTGATGATGAAGAAGATCGGGGAGCAGGTGTTGAAGCTGTCCTACCACAAGTACGGGAACTACGTTTTGCAGTACTACGTGTCCTTCGTGGAGTCCAGCTCGCTGCAGGATTTGCGGCAGTTGGCGCTGGACAACATCGTCGAGTTCTGCGGGCACAAGTTTGCGTCCAACATTCTCGAGAAGTTGATCGACGACGCGGCCAAGGCGACGCTGGTGAACGCAGGGGACAAAACGAACGCGGAGTTTGTCATTGCTGTGGCCAAAGCGCTGCAGGAGTCGGACAAACTGGTGGACATCACCACGGATCCCTTCGGGAACTACATCGTGCAAAAGTTGCTGAACACCTTACCCGAGGAGCCGTGCGGCAATTTGATGCGGCGGCTGCTGCGATATCTGCCGACCATCGAGAAGTCCAATTTCGGCCGCCACATTGTCTTCGCGCTGAAGGAACAGGGGTACATGACGCCGTGTTTGGTCGACAAATTTATCGAGGACAACAAGGGCCGGGTCCGAAATCACACCGGCACATCAAACCGGATCAATGCAGCGGCTGGGTCCGCCGCCTCCACAGACGGAGGCGACGAAACGCAGCGTGGGCGGGGAAACACGAACATATCCGGCGGGGGAGAATCTTTGCCTATGGAAACGAATCGTGAACAAGTGGAACAAACGGAGGCCGGAATGACGGTGAGCGAAGCGGTCGAGCAGAACATGAGCAAAAACAACCACCACGCGCGAAGCCATAACAGCACCACCACGACCGCCGGCGCTACAAATTTCTCTCCCACGAGCCACCAGTCGGGAGCTACGGGCGAAGACGAAAGTCACAGCGGCACCGGTGGAGCGCTGTCGCAAGTGGGAGCGACGTCCAATCAGGGCACAGCGCCGGTCGTTGGAAAGAGCATCAACCGCGGCACCAGCAGCAACCCGTACCACCAATACAATCCGCCGAAGGGCGCCGGACAGCCGCACAAGGGTAATAATAGTACCAGTGCCGGACAACCACAACCGCGCACTAGCTGGGCCGGGTCGGCAACTTCCAACTCGTACTACAAGAGCTACGGCAAAGGTGGGTCGTCCGGAGCCACGGCAGACAAGAGTGGCGGCAAAGGGTCCGCAAACACCACGTCGACGCTCTTCCCGGGAACATCCGCTGCGGGAGGCAATTCGATGTACGGAGGCAAGCATGGCAGTGGGGCTGCCCAACAGTATCAGTCCAAAAAAGGATCCTGGAGCAACAACGCAGGAGCTGCGAGCAAGGCTGGCGGAGGGAAGAACGGCAACTGGAACGGTTCCAGTTCCAACGCCGCTGCTGCGGCCGCGGCAAACTACGGAAGCTTCAATCTGCAGCAGCACGCGATCGGAGCCGCTGCCGCGCAGAACCACCAAAACGGCTTTGGCGCAGCGCCGGGCGGTCCGGGCGCAGCCGTGGACCCGCGAGCACCTCCGGCTAGCTATCTCGACCCCTCCGGGTTCCAGGCCGCGCTGGAGCAGGCGGCCCTGTCCGCGGGCCTCCCGCCGAACACGAACTTGTTGCCGCCGTTGGCTCCCGGGAACCTCCCGTATGGGGCGCCCACGGGCACCCTCCCGTCGAACGACCTGCTGACGCAGTTTGCGCTCGCGAGCGCCGCCGCGTCTCAAGCGGGCCTGAACCCCGCGTTAATCGCTGCAGCGATGGACCCGCAGCAAAAGTCGGCCTTCGCGGCTGCCGCCCGTGTGCAGCAGCAGCAACAGTTCGGCGCGGCACCGAACCTTCCGTTTGCAGCCACGAACAACCTGTTAACCGGCACGGCGGCGACGCAGAGCACCCTCGCGGCCAGCAACGCGTTGGCGAGCGCGCTGCTGAGCAACAAACTGATGGAACAGCACCACCAACACCAGCCGCACCATAATATCTATGGGGCCGGCGCGGCGCCCAGTGGTCAACACCCGAGCAGTCTTGTAGGAGGTGTACCACCACCTTCGAACACACACAGCCCTTCCGTGAATTCTTTGACTTCGTTGAACGCGATGCCGGGTTCCCTCACCTCCCAGCTCCACGCCCTCGCCGCGGCGCAGAGCGCGGCGGGCGGTGCTGGTGGTCTGGCCCCAGGTGGGAACAGCAGCACGCTGAACGCGAATGCGGCACAGTTCGCCCCGGGCGCCCACAGCTCTGCTTCCGGCTTCGATCTGTACGGACTTGGCGGACCGCAGGCTGCGGACGGTGGAGGGCAGTACAAGTCGGTCTACGCCCAGCAGCTCGCCAACGCTCTGGCTCTACACAACGCTTCTATGTCGGCCCACGGCTCGGCGACACCCAGCCCCACACACAGGATGGAATGAGTTACTCAGTAGAGCAGTCGTGGAGGTACTTCTTCGTCGAAGCGCAAGCAGTTTGAGTGCTGTGGGTAAGACAGTGAAGGTGTAGCGAGAAGAAGATGAAAAGTGTCCTATTCGAGGTAGACTTCATTACAGCGGAGATCGTTTTTTTTATAGCAGTAGCCGCGTGCCAAGGTGATCTGATGTGACCGGTTTTGCTTCTGAAAATGATCAATCTTCACTTTTGTACGTGCGTTGACTGTTAAAGCCAATTCTTGTTTTTATGTAGATTATCTTGCGGCCAGGGGCGCCGCTGTTGGAAGTGCGCTAACACGAAAGGATTGATCTTCGAAGTCTTTTTATCTTTTTTTTTTTCCTCGTCCATCAAAGATTCGGACTGGTACAACTACAACGTAAGGCAAAAACCTCCACAAAGTTTGGTCCTAATCTTTTTCATTCTACTTATCCAAAGTTTTTAGTATTGAAGTTTGTTCTTTATCTCTACGTATCAGTATCCTTTGACAAACAGAATTTCGTCAGTAGTTTTTTGTTGTTAAAGTGCTCTATGATGTTTTTTCAGCTCTGCCTTGACGTCTGCATTGCCTTCATCCAGTTACAGACGGCACTGGCATTTTTTTTCTCTCACTCTCTTTCATCGAACCAAATCAAAGCAGACCTCGACGCAGCTGCATGTGCATACTGCTCTGGGCTGCGGGAGCTCGAGCTCCAGGCAGACCTGTTGAAGGGTAAGTACTTGCAGCAATGGATGAAGGGAAAGAGGGAAGAATAAATGAAGGTGATCACGGTACAAAATTTACTGTTGACCACCTTGACCCTGGTGACGGTTTTTAGGTTTAGGTCGCGCAGACGCGGGATCACAAGTATTATGAAAAATCCGTCAAGGCAGAAGAACCAGAACGACTTTATTTGTATAAAGATTTGGTATGCGCTTAAGCTGCTAAAGGTAAAAACTGGAAGTGCGGTCTAGGGTGCATAGGTCGTCCGTACGATCGCGCTCCAGTTGTAAGAGATCGAAGCGTTGCATGGTTATTTTCAGATCGATTCTGATTTCGATTTGAGAATTCGCCCTCTCGCTACAAACGTTATTTTCGAATAAAAAGCCTGTGCGTGGTAGCCTTTCCACGCCGGAGAAAAGGTACTTTACGATAATAGCCGTGGTTAAGCAGGACGTCAATGGGCAAGAAGAGGCTATTTTTAGCACAGAAGTACTCAGATTTTCTTCAGATGACCGGTCAATTCCTCATTGTCGTGGAAATTCCTCATTGTCGTGGACAATTTTTCAAGATGATAGTGAAAGACTCCACAACTCGACAGTGCTGCGGTATAGCAGCAGGGAATTCAAGTTGTCGTGGCCTGTAGCGAAAATAGAACAACGATCTCTAGAGGAAAGTGTAGCGTCTACGTTTGTTTGCCTGTAAAATATGATTTTGGGTAAGAAATTGCAACGCCACTGTAGAATCATAAGCTATGGGAATAAGATACGAAGCGCATAAGTCGTTTTATGCAACACAAAGAAAGGGAAACGGAAACCTTCGAGTGAGCACACGGACTATAAAACCGGAATTTACCTCGCCGATGACTCGGTGCTTTCAAATAAGTGAGCGGTTGTCTTCCACATGTTGAAGCAACTACTCACTTCTAGTACCAATGTCCCTGGAGTCCGTCGATTCTTGCAAAGCCTGTGCTCTCTTCAAAGAAACACAAAAAGGTGAACAACATACACATTTATTCGACCGAGAACCATATACCTTTTTCGCACCACCTTCACCCCATTTACTAAGAATCTCTTTACCCCAGTTGTTTCGCCTTTATAGAATTGCGAGCATGGACGATGTCTGCGACGTAGCTGCCCAAAGAAATAATTCCAACAGAAAGCAACTTTCCAGCGTAGCCCTTTTTCTACCCGGATTTCAACTCACATTGCGGAGCAGTCCATTGAGGCTCTGTGAGATATCAAATCAAAAAAAAGAAGCTGAAGCAGCTTCAGAATTTAACACAAAGGGAGGAAAAAGTGAAACGAGGATCGATTGCAAGTAAGTACGTTGGGAAGAAAAAGAATCTTGACCGGGAAATCTTCAGTCGTGCATGATACAATAGCTCCAATTATATGATTGTAGGAGACTTTTACAACGAACTTAGCAAGATCCTTATCAGTCTCAGGCACGCTTCGTTTAATTGGGATTGGGCGTTGTTGCCGACGGTCTACGCTGAGTAGGGGTTTCTCCTCTGGGCTTGAACAATTTCAATTTAATGAAATAAAGGATAAAAAAACAAAATCAAAAACAAGAATGGTATGCGATTCGGCAGCGGTTGCCGAATCTTGGATGATGCTAAGATCTTTGGGCCTTGAAGTCAAGATGATGACAGAAATTGAACAATCGCAGTACATTATTTCGTGCACAATTTTCTTTGAAGACCCTCCTGTAAAAATAAAAAAATCTAAAAACGATGGAAAGCTTGGTCTAAGGATGTAGGAGCTGCTACCGGTTGCTACATTGCTGTACTAGAGTGGGCCACTCCTTTGGTGTTCTCGTGCGCAGGAGCTATGTCTGTCGTTACCTGTCTAAGAAAGTAACGACTCGTCCGATTTTACGGTTTCGATTTCACCAAAGGAATCACGCTCGTGGTAATCGTGTTCGTTTTTGTGACGGAAATGCGTACAATTCATCTTTTATCGTGCTTTGCCTTTCGTGCTGCAACATGGTCCTCATTTCGAATAATATTTTTTAGTCGTTCTCGTTTATGAGTCTACTGCTCTTCACCGCAAGTCGTTCTTATCGTCCTTCCATGTAAACCCGCTTTTGTTTTTATCCTGATTACGGCTAGGTTCACACCAGATCATGCAAGAAATTTGACGACGCTGCACTCTTTACGAAAATATTTTCGCAGGGAAGGAAACCCGCACGTGGCACCCCTGCTTTCAAAATCTAATTTCGTTCGAAACAACTGCGGCCGGAGTGTAGTTTCTTAAAAGTTCTTGCATTCCGGAAGATAAAAGATAAAACGCTACAACGCTTATAATGAGGAGTTTACTTTATTCGCCGGCGACCGCGACGTCGTGGCACTCCTGCCTACTCTCACTGTCGTATTTTTCCATGTTGCAGCACTCCACTAGACCACCGGAATTTCCATGGTTTCAAGATGGAAAAAGTGTCGGAGGACCGCGTCTAGTAGCCGCAACAGTTTCTCCTGGTACGATGTTGAAAGATCGCAAAATGCGAGGTGCAAAAGTTGCTGTAACAACAGAAAACAAAGCAAAAGAGGAGCAGCTGCACAAGACGACGACCGCCGGGCGCGGAGTGACGCGGGCAACAAAATCAACATTTTTTCAGGGTCTGCAGGCTCGTTCTTTCCGCGCGCCACGAGTAAAAAAGCACTTGTGGTGCGACGATCCAGGGGATTGCATTCGCAGGAAGTTCTTTCATGACGGCACAAAGACCGGCGGTCCTCGCGGCGGCGAGGAGGCGGACCAGTTTGAATGCATTCCCATGGCACCTGTTGCGAAGTTTCAGAACCCGGAGACTGTCGGGAAGCCGGTCCACACGACAGAACCGCGGATAGGGGCGGGAGCTAGTACAACTACCAGTTTCACTCCAAGTCCGATGTGTCCTGAGGTGCTGGAATGTTTGCAGCTCGTGGGCACAAGTAGGTACATGATTACAGCGAAAGAAGCGCCAAGAACTGCTACAGAAACGCCGAGCTGGTCGGTGGTGGGGGTGAGCGGACGGAACGAGGCCGATGGTGGTGATAAGAACCACCTCGACGTAGAAGTAGAAGAACTGGCCGGTGCGCGGTCAGGAGAAGATGGGACCACTGACAGAAGTAAAATTGCAGACGGCAGAGCGACTTCGGCCTTCGCAGAGATCGAGGACACGAGGAATGTGGACCCCCCGAGGATGCAGTGTCGCAGGGTTCGGAATCATTTGAGCAAAAATATTGGCCCAAAGATCGGAAGGCTGTGGTCAGACGTTGTTAACTCGAGGTGCATTCGACCACGCAGCAGGACCACCGCCGATAAGCATCTTCTTCCCTCCAACTTCAAAAAAGGTGAAGTAGCATCGCAGTATGAGTGCGTGCAGCTGGAGCTGGACCTGCGAAACCGTTCAAGGTCCGAAAGACCGCTCACGCGAGTAGCTCGTGTAGTTCCGGTGGAGCTTGGGCCGGAAGACGAGCTGCAACCGGCGTCACCCACCTGTGCGCACATTGATTTTTGCCTGAGCACTCTGGCGCGAGGCTATGTAGTTTCGGCCCCAAGCGAAGGAACCATCAGGGCCCGGACGGAAATGAAGCGAAAAGCTAACCACTATCTGAGGGATCATCACATTCACACGCAAGAACAATTGCCCGAGGCTCTTCCAGAGGGCATAAAAAGGGACGGGAGCGCTGCGAACGAGAGCAGCAATATGAAATTAAACCCGGAAGAAAGAAAAAACCTGGCCGCGGAGTTGGCAGATCTGCAAACCGAGGTCGCAAAGTTGACGCACATGCTCGCTGCCGAGGACGCGGAGCAGGATAAATTATTCGCGGCAGTGGAAAAAGAGCTGCAGGAGAAAGATGCTAAGTGTGCAAATATTCAGTCCGATACCTCATCGATCGCCGATCTGCTCGAATCCGAACACGCAAAGTTGCAGAGGCAAGCTCGACTCGCTGGCGACGCTGTCTTGCAGAAAATAGAAGGGTCAGCCTCCTTCGCAGGTCGTGGTGGTGGAAATTCTGGGACACGAGGGGATGGTCTTTTGTTGGAAGAGACGGCGGAAAAAACGAGGGCGCAATTCGACCAGATTTTCGACAACTGGAACTGGTTCTGGCATGGTGGCGATCTCATAGACACCCAGACCGGGGAAGTTTTGCAGCGAGACGCGCCTTCCTTCGCTTCCAAAGTGGATACGTTGCTCGAGCACTGGAAAACGTTTCACTATGGCGGGGCGAAAGAGGATGATGTGGGCGGCAAGGAGAAATGAAGATGATCCCTGCAACCAGAACATTTTGAACTTGAAGTAGAAAAGCCCAATGAAGAAAGTGTTTCCTTGTATAAATACTATCCCAGAACCAGAAGCAAGCAGTTGCATTTAGTTGCTTGATTAAAATCAAAGCCGACGCGGACGATCATGCTGGCGTCGTTCGATATGCGGTGGGAGTCAGCCCCAGCGAGAAAATGAAATTGCAATATGAGAAATCACATGCAATCGTCACCCGAAATGGATTTTTGCTCCGGGAGCGAAGTGTGTGTAAGAAGCAAGTCTGCAGTTACGAAGTTTTCGTTACGAATGTCGTTTCTTCACGTAGTGCACATCGTTTATCGTCCGAATGAACTCAGCTCGTTGCCATCCGGCTTGTGTGTAATTAGTTCCTAATCGTAAAATCGTCCCTTCATCTTTTCGTCGTTCAAAACCATTGCTGCAGTCCACCGGAAAAGCAATGGACATCGTGCGCCGGGCTGTGCGGACTATATTTCTCATGTGTTGGTTGCCACCTGTCGTGCCCTCTCCTTGCTTAGGTCCTCCCACTCCTGGCTCTGCGATGTGATGAAGTTCACAAGAATTTTCAAAAGAACACAAATTAAGATGACAGGGAATACGAAATTGGTTACGTAGAAGGAATGTAAGGTAAACAGCAAGAATGCCCTCGCTCCCTTCATCCACTTGTTGTGCTCTGCAAAATTTACATAACCATTTGCAAAAAGCGCATCTCGATCGCATGTAGCTGCCCTTCTCCATTCACTACTTCAAAGGGCAATATGTTTAGCCTTCTTCCGCGGAGACGTTCTGCTAGGATTTTCTCTTTGCTATCTATGTACAACGCCTACACCTACTACCTTGCGCTGGTAATATTTTTGCTGGCAGCCCCGGAGAGTCTTTGTCTGACGCCTATCTTGCAGCGACGCAAAAAGGATGACGCCGTTCAGCCGAGAGATAAAGTTTCTCGTCTTGCGGCAGAGCGAGAGCAAATGAGCCCCGCAGCAATTTCCTTCCTGCAAAAGAAAAAAACCGTCACGGAAATCAAAGGCTCAGTAGGAAGTGCGGAGCCCGCTGCTATTCTCGACCGCGAGGCGGAACCTGGGAGTCGTTCTGAAAGAGAAAATGCCGGCGCTTTTGATCGTGAACAGCCACTTGGAACAGATGTGCCAGATGCAGCAGCTGCAGAGAAAAGCTCGCGCGTTTTCACCGACGAGGATACTAAGTACAGGTGCGACGACGAGTAGTGCAACTCCAACTGCAAGAAAAGAGCGTCAGGAGCTCCAGAGATCTCTTGACCTGTCGCGGAATAGGCTGACTTCGTTGCGAAGTAAAAACAGTAAGCGGAGTACCAGTTTCCTCCGCAGAAGGGACGCAGGAACATCAAAGACTCTCGCGAATGACGATCAGAGCCAAGCAGCGAACGAAAATTTATCTTTCGCTGCAGAGGACGCTGATATGCACCTCGACTGGGTGGAGACCTACTTGCAGGACGTACGCAAGTTTTCGCAGCACCTGTGTGATTGGTACCCCCAGCTGGAGCAAGACTTTGCCAAGGGACTGAACACGATGCAGCACCGCGGCATCACCAAACTGGCGCCGAAGGACGCAAGCGGCGGCAAGGAGCGGACGGTTGCGTTCAAAACTCATTTGGTGTTGGCCAATCCGTACTTGGATCGACCAGGAGAAGACGTTGATCCTTGGGACCTGCTTGTTGCTGAGGACGCCGTCGGTGCGACGGTGGAAGATAGGCTGAACAGGGTGCTTTTCGAGTGGTACGGAAGCGACGCAAAGGAGAAGCGACGAAAGGCGGCAGAAGCAGAAGCGACAACGGATTACAAAGCCTGGCAGGAATGGAAGGTTACTTCAACGCCATCACCTTCAAAGGGGAGTCCTGCTAGTGGTACATCGACTGCAACAAGCAGCTTCACGCAAAGGAGAACAGAACAGGCAGAACCCGCACGAGAGGCCGAAGAGCACGCGGCTGCAGCTTCAGCGTCCAAGGACAACAGATGGGTAGAGGTGAAGAAGGTTTTACTCTCCCCACCGGGGTCGTCGTCCGCAACAACGACCTTCACGAAAGACAAAGAGAAGCAACGCTGTTTGCTGCAAATGGCCAGGTTTTTGCGGCGCGAGGGGCAAAACTTTGTTTACGTTGTCGAAGATGAGGAGGGTCGTCGTACAGGTGCATCGTTGTTAAGCACGGACGAAAATAATGATAAGACCCCGGACGTTGACCATCAGGCCGCGGCGAGAAACTACACTTTCCATGGTCTTCTGGCTGCAAACTCTGGCGGGCGAGGGCATTCTGTGAGCCACACGCAGGACAGCAAGTGGGCGCCCACACCCTACGGTCGGGAGTCGATCCTCAGTGCCAACAAGAATTCCGAGGGCGCTGCCGGGCTGGGTTTCTACACGGACGCGCTAACCCGGGACCACTCCTTGACACAACTGAATTGGCCGCTGTGGTCGAATGTAGGACATCACAAGCCACTTGTTCCCACGCCCGCAAAACCTCCCAGCAAAACCTCTTTTCTAACGCTAGCGCACCAGCAGGAGCAGGACTACCAGCAAGACCGTTCTGCGAACAATGTAGGAGAAACAAGCGAGGCGGATGAATTAGAGGGATTTGTGAAAGCGCGCACGAATTACGCCAACTTCATCCACTCAACAGACGGAGAGAACGTCGACTTGGACCGGCGGGAGAACGCGATGGCGAAGTATAACCACCCGGGTTGGTTCCTGGGCGGGATGACCTCCCCGAAGCGCAAAAACATCGTGATCGTCCTGGACCGCTCGAAGAGCATGCGGCAGTTCGACGCCTGGGCGCAGGCGTGTCTGGCCGCGACGGGGCTGCTCGAGGCGTTGCAGCCCACGGACCGGTTCGCGGTCGTGGCCTACACGGACTCGCTGCAACTCAGCAGCTTCGAGCTCCTCCCCGCCACCGCGGCGAACGTCTTGCACGCCCGCCTGTGGCTGCGGCATCTGGGCACCCCCATGGGCGGCACGGACCTGTTCTACGTGCTGGCCCCGGCCATGGCCCTCGCCTTCTTCGGCGTGCTGCCGGAGCCGTGGCGCCACGTGTTCGACCAGATCGCGGACCTGGAGGTGGCCGGCGGCTTCCCCGGCACCGCGTTTAAGAAGCCGCCGGCGCCGCTCGCGGGAGACTGCCTGCAAGCCGCGGACTTTTGCGAATCCACCGTAGTGCTACTGACCGACGCGCCCCCGCTGCGGTACATGCGCAGTCGGCTGTGGACAACCAAGAGCGCGGAGATTCGGAAGCGGCCTGGGATGGTGCAGGAGAACATGGCCGAGAAGCTGGCCCTGTTAGAGAAGTGGTTCCCGCCCGAGCTCGACGTTTTGAAGCTGTTCGTGTTTGTGCTCCGGCCGTTAGCAGGAACGAGCAGTTCATCTTCCGGCAGTATTAGTCCTCATGCAAGTGGCGCAAGCACCGCGATCGCATCTTCAGCCGGGCAGGAGGACTACACACCGCGCAAGACCAGTGCCAGTCGAGCAGAGTTGGCCAAAGCCGTGGAAGAAGTGCGTGCGTACGACGAGACCCTGGCGAAACGGTGGAACGGGAAGGCCTATTTCGTGCGAACTAGTGCACTGGAAGAGACCGGGTGGACGTTCACGCGCTTCTTCATAGACGTCCTGGGCGGCAAGCGAGGGGCTCTCGATGAGGACGGTGAGAACTACACTGAATCTGCCCCCTCGTCCGTGTACTGGTCTTCGCCCGAGATCCCGGACCCGAAGATCGCGAAAAGAAGCAGTAATAACAGGGGTCTCACCGGCCCGCTGGCGTGCATCCAAGTGGACCTGGCGGGCGAGCACTCCGGAAACCTCGTTGACATGAAGGAGGCTGCAGTGGACGCGCAGCGGCGCACTAGTAGCGCTACAACTACTTCTGCATCTACGTCGAGTGCCGCCCCCGACCTGTCCCAGTATCAGCTCGGCGTAGGCCCGGCCCGCGGGTTGTTTTGCGCGAACCTCGCCTTCGTGCTCGGCTATCCCTCCTGGACGCACATGAAGTGCAGCTTCGTGGACGCGACCACGGGCCGGTCGCTCTACGAAGACGCAGTGGCGCGCAAAATCCAGAATCGCACAGCAACGGCCTCGGAAAGCGACAGATGCACGGCGGAGGCAGCGGAGGCAAGGTGTAAAAGCAGCAGAACCGACTTTAAACACGAGTGGGCCGCGGGTGCGGGGGAGGCGTACTACCCGGCAGTCGATCCGTACCCTTTGCTCGACACAAGTATCGATCCGATGGCATACGGCCCTGCGTTGGGTCGGATTCCGCCGGGTTTGCCGTTTATCCCGCCCGCAATCAGAAAACAGATGAAAAGGAATGAAACTAGAAGCGAAGAAGAGGGAGTTCATCTGGAAGAAATGCTGCAAGAGGCCGACGAACTGCTTCCGGGGTGCCTCAAGTTTGACGAGGCCGAGAGGGCGGTCGCGCAACAAGTATTCGCGACAAGTGCTGGTAGCGCGAAAAACCTGGAGGACGACAGCACGGAGCTGAGTGCCCCTGGAGGAAGAGGCGGCGGAAAAGGGAAACTTTCAAGATTGGGACAGCACATCCTGGACGAGAATCGTGAGGCGGAGAGGGAGCAGAAACAGCTGCAGCTGCTGTCTTCCAGTTACCTTTTGCTGTTGATTACCGTGTGTATCGTTGTTCTCGTCCTGGTAGGGGTCCTGGTCGCGTGCTTCTGCTGTCAACAGGCGGAGGATCGTCGCGCCGTGCTGCCGGCTGGAGCGCGACGGCCGAAAGTGGTTGTCATCGTAAAGTCCCCGGTTCTCATCGCGGGGGACAAAGCCATGCCGGCAGGCAGGACTGCAGCACGAGCCTCGGCTGCGGAACGACAACAGGAGGGCATTCTTCATCATACCGGTGCGGACCACGACCACGTCCTTGGTACTACCGAGCAGTCCCTCGACCTACTCCGAACCGGGCCGGCGGAAAGTGCGGTGCGCACGTCGGGTGCGAGTCTGAAGAGCATCAAGAGCGTGAACAAGAGCCGGACCAACGCGAGCCTTGTCTCTGGCGGGAGCGCAGGGGCGGCCCGCTCGGGTCCCACACTGCACGCAGAAACCGTGGGCCCGGTGCTGCCACCCTGCACGTTCGAGACCGCAGAGATGGCCTTGCTTTCCCTGGGCCTCTCCGCAAACTACGCAAAGGCGCTGGCATCGGCGGTCGCAAGGGTGGACGTCGGCGACGGCCTGACGACGCAAGAACTCCCACTGTCTGATGGCCCATCAATCGATAGGAGTGCTGCTGCGCCACTGCGCTTCAGTCTCACGAGGGGGTTTGTCGGCGCGAACAAAAGCAAATCCACCGGTGGACCAGTGGAAGGGCACACAGATGATGATGATTCTCAGCTACAAGCCGAGCCGACGACCGCGGATTTGCAGATTTTGGAGCAGCTGCGAACGTACGGCGACGTGGACTCCGTTGAAAAGTTGCAGCTTTTGTTCGAGCAGAAGTTCAAAGAAAAGTTCGGACACGACGAAAACGGAAATTGGAAGTTAGACATTGAACCGGCCCATGATAATCTTCCCGGTAAGGAAGTCCTCTTCACGGCCGACGACTACGAGTCTGCCCTGCGGGAAGCCGGGTTTTCTCCGGCGGTTGCTAAAAAGCTCGCCCTCTCTGATGTGCTACAAGAAACCTCCACATTAGATGCGGGAGAAGAACACGTGGTAGAACAACAAAAAGCGGACCAACAAGACAAAGATAAAGCTGTTGCTATCTCGTCCACCGACCAAGAACAAGCGAAGGTTCTTGACCTTTCGGACACCGCCATGACGGAGACTGATTTGACTCTTCTGCAGAAATTTGGGGTGCTCACGGTCGACGACCCGACCTTCGGGGAGGCGGAGCACGTGCGGGATTTGCAGACCCACGCTACGCTGGCGGAATGGACGAAGCGACGAGTTGCGGAGAAGAAGTACGTGACCTCCGGCGACGTGCACAGGTTGAACACCCAGCTGCTGGTATCGCAGGGAAAAATCCCCCCTCTCCATATCGAAAAGGTACGTCGCAGAAAATTTGCAATGCTAATTTGCGACCACAAGTCATCTCTGTCCTGCAAGAAGGCAACTCCACAGGCTCCGCCGCATTATGCAGGCGGTTTGTGATGCTGTTTGGCCTACAGCGCAGACGTTTCCCATGCTAAGCGCCTACGCCAAAACCTCGCTCCTCAAGCTTGCAGTGGGCCTGCAGTCCTCTTCAGCAAGACAAATCTGATTTGTGTACGCAAATCCAGCATCACGGACTGCGTTTCGATATGGGGAGGGGGGTTTTTTCATTTTGATAGCTGGATCTGTCAACCACGTGCGCGGACCTGGAGTTGGGGCAGTCGGAGCGTTTCTTCGTGCTCCAGGGCCTCACCCCCGTGTTTGCGAAAAAAGTCGCCAAAGCGGTGCTGCACGAGGAACCGCGCCAGGTGTCCGAGGTGCTGGCCGAGGCGGGCGACGAGGACCGGGAGAAAATGGATCGGATCTTCCTGCAGAATAAAGAGACAAGGCTTGGAATGGATGCTGGTGCCGACGACAAAGAGTTTGAGGCCGCAGCATTGGGTTTCATGGCGGGGGGCGGTGATGAGGCTGACAGCAGGCGTAGAAGTAGCACTAGCGGAAGTGCAGTTGTTGTACCAATGCCTTCTATAAAGAACGCGGCAGCGGCAGGAGGAGACCATCAACCACGGATGTCAGCGGCGGGTGCGACTACGCCGGCGGAATCGGTTTCGTCGAAGCCAGTTGTGTCTCACAATCAGTTGAAGAATTTGCTGAAAACTGAGGTAAAAACATTCGCGAAGAAAAGAACGCGCGAGCAGCAGGTGGCGCGTCTGAAAGGATTGGTTCAGGAAGAGCGGCAGCGGGAAAGCCAGGAACCCAGTTTTCTCCAGCAATGCTTTTGCTGCTGTTTCCTCCAGCGCCAGCAGATGAACCAAAACGTTGTAAAAGTGCCCAAGATGATGATGACGCCGCGCCCGCCCACAGGCACAAGCCCGCGGCCGACGCACGAGAGTGTAGGCACGGTGACTCCGTTGCACGTCGTGCTGGACGAGAAGGATAACCGAGCGGAAGCCTCCGGCGGGGGCTCTCTTGCAGGTGACTCGTCGCCTCGAGGCACTGGTCCTGGGGAAAAAGTAAAGCCGACGAAAAAGCCGAAGAGCAAAACTTCATTGCCAAAGAAGATCAAGAAAACCACCGGTGGGCCCGAGGAGGTTGTAGAGGACGCCACCACAGAAGAGCTAACTGGTGGTGTCGTTGCTGCTGAAGCAGGTTCGCCAGTGGAACAGGAACGGGAACAGGTCGACAGCAGTGACCGCAAAACAAAAGGAAAGAAAAAGAAAAAAGTAGCTGCAGCCACACCAGCAACGGCGTCTACGACACAGAAGGCGATATCAATGCAGCCCGGGGACGAGGGGCAGGAATCTACTGCAGTTGTCTCACGACCTATTGACGAGCTTTCAGAGTCAAACATGCCGAGCATGGTGGGCTCGTCTCTGTTTCAGCCGCCGAACAGTTCAATGACGTCTTTGACATCCGCGCAGGGCAATTCGATGGTACCGATATCCGACTTGACAAGCAACGGGTTTCAGCAATATAATTACTCCGGAATGATCGGGGACGCCAAGGAAGACAGAAGGAAAAAAATACGAGAGCAAGCCGCGCAAAAAATGAAAAAACGCGATGCGGATGGGGCGAAATAATTCGAAGGCTTCGTGCTCAATCGAGTTGCCGGCAGGGGAGAACTTTGTTTTTTTTTTGACTCTGCGTTTCTCTTGCGCTTCTTCGGAATCAGAAGGCTTTCGTTGTGCATTCTGTTTCTAAAGTAGATTTAGACTATTCACTCAACTAGTATTACTACCAAGCTCTTGCTTCATCCGTTTCATCCGTTCATCTTCATGTGGAGTTAGAATTACCTTGCGTATGAGTATGATCGATCCCAGGGAGGATGCGATCCCGATTCCCCAATTCCCTATACAACTTTCCTTGATGTTGACGGTTCCAACGTCACCGAAACAGAACATTGCACCTGAAATCTAAGCATGCAAAGTCATTCCTTGTTTCAGTCCCGAAGCACACTAAAAGTGTAGGGTTACTTTTAGCAGGAGCACAATGTACAGCTCCCCCAGCCGTGGGAGGTGGTTCTGCGGTATTTTTCAGCCGACCATTATGCGTTTTCGTACACAAGAACTATGTCCAGCAATGCATGGCAATGTTGGAAATGGAACTCGTGAGATGAGACAGATAAATTGAGGCGGCGCGGGTACTGTTAGCTCACTTGCACATGAGAAAACGAGAAGCTACCTTGCATCGAGTACAGAATTCCAGTGTACAAGAAGTCTTCGTCTGCTTTTCTTCGGTCTTTCATCTTTTTCCTTTGTTAAACAACTCTGATCTGTGGCTGTGTCAAAAAAAAGAAGGATCTTGCACCACTTCGTAAAAGGAGGTTCTCTCACCAATCGCGCAGCGAATAAAGGGCGCAAGATGCAAGGAGTTGCCGCGTGACCCAACCTACGCAGCGGAGCAGTAATCGCGACTTTCATCTTTATGCAGAGTCGCATCAAGAAACGAGGAGCGACGTGGTTCAAATCCATCCATGGACGACGATCCGAAGATGATTTTCTGCCGAGATGAACAATGAATATCGACAAGCCGTCTTGTATGATCGTCAAGGTTGAGGACCTGGAACTACGAAAACCATATAGCTAGTTGGAACAGAAGGGAAGCTGCCGGGGCTCCTGCGGTCTGCAAGGGGAAATAAGATGCAGTCGCAACAGCAGTTGGGCGGGCCGCTGCACCAGAATGGGGGTGCTGGTGCCGGGCAACCGCAGCAACAACAGAACAACAACCTTGTTCTCGAAGAGGAAATGGACGAGAACTACGAACCTACGGAGGAAGAAATTGCCGAGTACGCCGCGTGGCTGGGAATGGATCTGGAAAAGGACAAGGACCTCCTCTGGATCGCGAAGGAAGGCCTGAAAGCTCCGCTTCCCAACCCGTGGAAACCTTGCCAGACGCAGGAGGGGGAGATCTTCTACTTCAATTTCGAGACCGGCGACTCGGTCTGGGACCACCCGTGCGACGAACACTACCGGAAAGTCTTCGACGAGGAAAAGAAGAAGCGGGACCAGATCGCCATTCAGGCACAGGCAGGGAAGCGGTAGTACTGCTGTAGTTTGGGCGACGGTTTTTAGTAGTGCAACTGCAATAAACGGGTCGAAGACGAACCAATAGATACAAAAAATAGATGCATGGATTGTTAAGTAGCATAATTCATGGCAAAAAAAGAAATAGAGAAGTGAACAAACGCGTAGCAGAGGCACTGCGTCCTCGTGCGAAATCGTGGCCAGGATTCTGACTGTGACACGTATGTGCTTTCTGAAGTAAAAATTTGAGTTTCCACGGTAGTTGTCCATCTGTGCAACAACTCTACACAGCTCCTCGGCCGCTCAGGACAGCAGTTCTGACGCGAAGGACAAAAAGGAAAAGAAAAAGAAACGAAAGTCCTCTGTCGCGACCGAACTAGCCCCGCCAATGCCCACGCCCCGAGCTATGGCCGCGACGACTACGGGAAGTTCTGCTGGCCGACCCTCGTCCAGTCGAAGCCGATTGAACTCTGCGAGGGAAGAAGGTTTATTTGCTTTTCGTTTTCGGTTCAACCACCATGGTCAGTACGTGTCTAACACACTATGATAAGTAACTTACGTGTGAATTATGTTATGCATAGTTGAGTTGCAGCATGGATTCTGAAGAATTTTTCCGACAACGGAAGCAAAAAACGAACCACACCAGCTGCCGAGCTGGCCACACCAAGAATCAGCCCGAGTCTCGAGCTAAGCGAGGCAGACCTACGATTTCAACAACGAGAAATGGAGTTTAAGGACAAAGAACTGAAGATGGAGACCGAATTCAAGTATTTTTTCGTACTCAAGAATACTCCCACTCGCATGCTGTGCCTGCTTTTTGCTCTTATAAAGAATCGATTCGCTTTATTGCACGTTCTAAATTCAGTGTGGAAAATTAATGCGAATTATGTCTGTAGTTTGAAGTCTCTCAGTTTGTAGTACTTATCTTCAACGATACTATAACATAACGATAGCTGAACGCATGATCTTGCAGGAAGCGTCGCAAGGAGAAGGAACGGGAACTGGAACAGAAGATGAAGCAGGATCTGGAACTGAAACTGGTCGAAATGAAGCAGCAGATCGAGAAAGATTTCGCTCACGAGCGCCAGGCATTCGAGGAGAAGGAAGAGCGCACGCTGGCGCAGTACAAGAGCAAAGTGCTGCAGGAGAAGCAGTTAGCGGAGGACTTCGCCTTGATCCAAGAAAAACAGGAAGCACTGCAGCGCGAAACGAGGGCCGCGCAGGAAGAAGCGGCTGCGGAGAAGCAAAAAGCGCAGGAGCTCGCCGCGGAAGTGGAGGAGAAGAAAAGCGCGGCGGCTTTACTGGAACGGAAACTGGCGGAGGAAAGAAACGAGTTTGAGAAAAAACTGCTTACCGAGAAGGAAAAGCTGGACGCTAAGGTGAAGTCCATCGAACAGAAATTGCGGGAGGAGAAGAAGCAGGCACTGGACGCGGCGGATGCACTCTCTTCGCGGCAGAAGCAGGCGCTCGAGGAGCGGCTCCGGCGGGTGAGCAACCAAACCAACGAAGAAAAGGACTACCTGAAGATGCACTACGAGAAGATGCTTCAAGATTTGGAGAAAAAGTGCGAAAAGCTGCAAAGCGAAAACACGATGCTCGTCGCCACCTCGCGAGGAAAGATGCTAGTAACGGGCTCGGCGTCAAGCGGGGAACTTTTACCAGATAAAAAAGAAAAGGAGCAGGACCAAATGAATCTTGGTCTTGAAGAACAAGCTGTTCAAAGCAGTTCAGCATCTGCCGAAGTGGAACTACAAACCGCAAGACAAGACATCGCGGTGCTGGAACAGAAAGTGCAGCTTCTCGAGCAGCAGAAGCAGGACGAGCTGGCGGAGTTCAAGCAGACCAAGCAGGAGTTGCAGAAACAGGTTGATTTGTGGGAATCCAGACACAAAACGGCCATGGCCAGGGCCGATGAGCTGGAGCTCGTGAAGATCCGACAGGAGCAGGCGGTCGACTCGCTGAAAAACTCGCTCCGGTTCGCCGAGGTGGAAAAGACGGAGTGGGAGCAAAAGTTCGAGGAGGCAACGAGAGAGAAAAACGCACTGCTCACCGAGAAGTCGGAGGTCATTCTGGAAATGAAGGAACAAAACCGCGATGAGGTGGACCGGTTGCGGGCGCTCGTGGACGCACTGCAGCTCGAAAACACGAAGTTTGAAAAGGAAAACGAAAAGCTATCTGCGAAAACCAAAGAACAAGACGCGGAACTACAACTACAAAATGGGCCCGCAAGTACAACAAAACGGAACGCCGACGCAGAAGTGCGGGAAGCGCAGCAGAAAGTCGAGCTTCTGGAGTTGCAAAAGCAGGAGTTGCAGAACAAGCAGAATGCGATGGAGAGTCTGCTACAAATTGAAAAGGCCAGAAAACAGGAGATTGAAGAGCAGAAAAACGACCGGATCCAGGAAATCGAGTCCCGGCTGTTCCAAGCGGAAACCAGGGCCATTGAGGCGGAGAAAAAAATCTTGGCCGAGCGCGAGGAGCTTCTCGCGGAGAGGGCTGCGATGAACAAAAGGACCGAAGCCGAAGCCTCGCCTTCATCCACCCCCGAGGACGAACAACGAAGGCCGCAGGACGCCGGGGTTTCATCACTTTCGCGCCGGCATCAAGTGGAGGTAGACCGAGAGAGCACCAAAAAATCCTCGAACGACACGATATTCAACGACCAGCAGTCCAATCTTTCCTCGAAGGGGCATCAAGAAAACGAAAATCCCTCGTCGCAGCAGTCGCATCACCAACCGGGGGTTCTCCCGATGCTCAGCAGCCCCGAGCCCAACGCGTCAGACGACGGAACGTATGCCGTCTCGGATAAATCCGCGGGCATAAAGTTTTTCGAGGGCGAGCAGGAGATTGACCGATCCGAGGTCATGGAGTTACGGGTGGAGAAGCAAAAGCTGAGAGAGGAACTAAACGAACTGCGGGTGAAATTGACGGAGGAAAAGCGGACCAAGGAGGAAGAGGCAAAGGCGCTCGCCACGGACTACGAAGCCCGGCTTTCGGAGTACGAAAAGTCTGCAGAGCAGAGTAAGGAGAAGCACGCATTTGAGCTGAATTTGAAAACGCAGGAGCTGCTGAATTACGACCGGGAGATACAGAGCAAAACGCGCGAGTTAGACCTGAAGCAGGTCGAGTTTGAGAACGAAATCGAAGCGAAAGACGCCGAACTGGACTTTTTGAAACAGCGGGTCAAAGAGCAACGCGAACAGCTGATGAAGCGAAGTAGAGAGCGACAGGTGGAGGCAGAAGTGTCTGATACAGCTGCGCAAACCTCACGTCGCAATGCTGACCACCCTTCGACCACCGAAGAGCAACTGCCAGCAGACGAACCTCCCGCGATTCAACAGGAGAGTGCGGGTCCACAGTTTTTCAAGGCCATTCCAAGGGACATCCTAGCGCGAAGCCCACCTCAAGCGACGAAAGCCGATACGCTCTCGCCTTCCACGAGCAGCAAGGTGCGCGAGCTCGAAAGAGAGAATGAACAGTTGCACAACGAAATTTTGAGCATCAACCAGGAGGTGGAGAAGCAGCGACTGAATTTCGTGCAGCAACTGCAAGTATCAACCGTAAAAATGTCTGGGTCTGAAAGGATGCAAGGTCTGTCATGCACATTTTGCATGACTCCTGATGTCTGTGATGTATGCCCTAGCATCACAGATTTTGTGAGGGCTTCCTGATGCCTATATCGCATGAGAAATGCCCTCTCCCCCTGGCAAAAACTGGACCTCTTTTCCTGTTCATGCAATACAGATTTTTGTAGAATTCAGAGGCAGCATCACAAATTGCATCCTTCCAGACCCAGACATATTTGCAATGCATAGCAAGAGTCGCAGCAGCAGCTGGTGACGGCCACGGTGAAGATTACCGAATCCGGTCTGCAGTTCGAAAAGATGCAAGCTTCGAAGGAAGGTCTAGAGAGGGAACTGGCAACTACGAAGACGGAGCTCGCAAGCATCCAGACGGCCATCGCCAGGGAGGCGAAGCTGCAGAAGCAAATGACTCCGAAAAAGTCCGAGGAGAGTTCGCCCCGGCGGTGGAAGAACGGCAGGCAGTTGAAGGACGTCGGCACATTGGCGGATGGAGAGGACGCAAAGGAAGACGCGTTTTCTACGTCCGACGCCGCAACCGGAACCGAGACGGAAGGCGATAACCAAAAGCAGAAAGCGAACGCAGCGACCAACACGTCGTCGCCTCCTGTGAAATTCGAATCCCAGGAGCCTTCTTCAACGTCCGAGACAGACCAGCTAGTACAACAGGCGAAGAAGACAGGAACAACAAGCACGGACGTAGTAGACGAAGAGACGAGAGCGGACGTAAAGATCCTGGAGAATCTGCTGCAGAAAAGCAAGGCCCAGCATGAGGAAAAGTTGCAGCGAAAGGAAGCCGAGCTGGAGCAGAAGCTGCAGTTGATGCAGGTGGAGCTCCAAATGCAGAAGCAAGCCCTGCAGTTGCAGCTAAACGAAGAACGCGAGTCTTTGGAACAGCACGTCTTGTCCCTGAAGGACCAACTCGGGAAATCCGAACTGTTGGTGGTGGAGATGAAGTCAAAACTGAAGGACGCAGAAGGTGGCAAAAAGGCACACATACAAATACCACAAGATGTTGAAGTGCGCGACTTGATGGCAGAGAGGTTGAAGCAGGCGGAGGCCGAAAAGAAAACCGCAACGGAAAAGTTGGAGAGAGAGATTGCGGATTTGCAGAAACAGGTCGTACTCCTTCAGAAGACCGCAGACGAGGCGGACGAGCTGAGGGATGAGGTGGCTGCACTGAAAGCAAAGGCGCCGAGTAGAGATGAGAACACCAACGGAGCTGCTGGCCACGAGAAAGCATCAACTTCCCGACTAAGTGCGGAGACCCTGCTGCAGCAGCAGATCGACAAGTATCAGACGCTGAAAACCGAGAAGCTCGATGTGGACAAGAAACTGCTCGACGTGAAGGCGCAATTTGACGTGAAGGACGAGCAACTGTTTAAAACACTGGAGGAGCGCTATGAAACTGCACGGCTCGTGTCTCTCCCCCTCATTTGTCATGTAGTAACTGTAGGATACAATTACAAACACAAAGTGCATTCTTTGCCTGTTGACAGTGCTTGCATGCCAACAATTCTGGAAAAAGAAGAAACAGGAACAGCACGACCAGAATCCTCTGCGAACCGCCGGCACTTCTGTTGCTGCGGACTACACCAGCCAAATGTACTGATAGGAGGGGGGAGTAGAAGTTTTGCAGTTCCACAAACGTGCGGACTTGCAGCGGAAGGTGAAGAAGCTTGAAGCGAGTAATGCAGTCCTGAAGGAACAGAGCACGAAGTCCGTCATTGATTTGGAAGAAACGAGGGCGGAAGCGCAATCAAAATTCAACATCGAGGAGACGAAGCATCTGTCCAAACTCCGCCGGTTGACCGCCGAGCACGAGGAGGAGTTGAACAGCGTACGCGAGGAGGCGCGGCTGGATTTGAAGCGGTGCGTGCAGCAGAACGAGCAGAAGTGGCGGTCGCAGGTCGCGGAACTGGAAGAGGCGCACGAGCGGTTGCGCAAGATTCACCTGGAGAAAGACCGGCGGAGACAAGAGCTGGCAGCCATGGCAGGGGTTCCCCCGGGCACGACTAGCGCGAGTGATAGGAAGGAAAATGCATCTGGTCTTGCGGGTTCGCGTGCAGCAGCTAACGGGGACGAGCTTGGAGGAGCCGATGGGTCCTCGTCCACCTCAACATCTGCCGAGGTGATTACGCTGAAGATGAAGAAACAGCACTTAGAGACGGAAGTCGAGACGTTGCAGTCCGAAGTCGACGTGTTGTACGAGCAGAACAAGGAGAAGAACTCGAAAATTTTGCAGCTCGAGCACGATCTGGCAACTGCGAAACAGGCGAGCGAAAGTCAAGTGAAACAATCCGAGAAGCAGCGGGAGAAGCTACTGGAGCAGCAGCAGCAAAAGTTCCAAACGGAGAAGGTGGCACTGCAAACCGAAAAGAAGGTGTTGGAAGAGGCCTTCGAGGAGAAGGCGGACGAAGTGCGGCGACTGGAACAGCTTCTCGCAGACAAGGTCCGGGACAAGGAGAAGCAAATCCGGGAGCTGAAGCTCGAAATCGCGAAACTGACCGAGATCGAGAAGGATTTCCGAAGACTAGACGGCGTGTCATCTTCTACCGCTGGGCTTGTCGCGTCCTCCGCGATGGTCGTGTCAGGAGACCACGCGATCGCGGCGGGCAACGTAATCACGGACCCCGACAACTTTCTGAGTCCGCGCAGCCAGAGCAGTGGTGCGCTTGGTCGTGCTGGTGCCAAGGAAGAGGTGTTTACGACGCATTTCCAATCGTCCAGCAGTCGCAGTAGACCGTTATTGCACAGCGAAGAGCATCAGGGTGACGTAACAACGACGAAGAAGAACAACTTCCAGCAACAGAAAAAAACTCTCCAAACTACGGCTGTGCTGAAGAAGTCCCTGACCGACAGAATGGCGCTTCTGCAGAACAAGCTCCACGCGGTCGCGAAGGAAAAGCAAAAGCTGAAGCAAACCAAGCAGGAACTGGAACGAGAGCGGGACGAATGGCGAAGGAACTGGAGCGCGCTGAACGGACCAGGAGAAAAGGACCAGCAACAAAAGACCTCGGAGGAAGTTAAAGTTTTGCAAGCCACCCGCGAGGACAAGGAGGAGCGGATGCAGAAGCTGCAAACGCAGAAACAAATCTGGAACGAGAGGAATCAGGAACTGAATTCGAATTTGAAGCAAACCCGGGAGCAGGAGAAGCGGTATGAGCAACAGAGGCAGCAGGTACTTTCTGAGGTGCAGAAACTGACAAATAACCACCACTACCGAGACGACGCAAATTTGGCAAGAAGACCTGCTCCAGGCGCACAGTTCGACTTTGACCAAGGTGGGATGTTGCTAAACTACAGCAATAAAGTTATCGAGCAGGAGAATTATGCGACCTCCATCTCCGAGATAGCAACGGCCGACGCGGAAGAGATAACGGTCGACCAAGACTTAATTCAGTTGCCCGTGCTGGAAGACGAAACGGTCCAGGAACCAGGAGAGTCGGAGTTTGAGATTGACCTGACAGAGAAATTCTACGCCCAAGCGCCTAGTTCATCTACTCGCACCAGTAACGGCAAGAAAATGAAGACCTTCGAGCCGCCAAGTAGAGAGGGCGGAACTTCGTCGTCGTCCAATGGACGGGGCGGAGCGGCGACGGCCGGGGTGGAAGCTAGAAGTGCTCGAAGAGTACTAGACCGGAACAGCAACAACAAAACGTCAAATTCTTCGTTTCGCACGAAGAGCTTCGCGACCGCACGATCGTACGAACGAGCGACGGCATTGCGGCACGCCCTGGAACAAAAGCTAGAGTACGAGAATTTCGCAGCACCCGGGAGCCGCTGGGATAATTCCGCCCATCACTCCGAGCTCCTTGCCAAGACCGAGAGGCACGAAATTCGCGTCGCAGAAAACAGGCTCAAGGAGTCCATGCGGAGTGCCGGTATTCGCTTTTGCAGTTATTTTTGGAATATGACAGGAGGCTGAAGCAAAATGCGCTTCGCTTCGCACGTAAAACTAAATTGAAAAGCCCGCGTAGGAGAGAATGGACGCGCTGCGTCGCTAGTCATGCAGCACAGTTTTACTACGAATGGGAATGATTAGGATCATATCTCCTTTCACGACAGCTTCCGAGCGCGAGCGGGAGCCGCCGGTATGGTTTAAGGATTCCCTGACCGGTAATATGTCAGGCTTTGCAGGAGGCCCGCATGCGGGCGCAACAACCCAATCGGCTTTGGCCGGTGCATCTTCTGCGACGTTGTCAGGTATTGGGACTTCGTACCAGCACCACATGCATCCAGTCGGAAGCATGAGTCCCCGAGACCGTAAATCCATCGAACACTGGCGAGACAGCCGGCAACTGTTCAAGGATAAGCTCGGCCAGCACGTCTCGTGGATGCAAGGCCTCGCCAATGAGGCCAAAGCGATGAAGCATCGCGCTTGGTCCGCACGAGGGGACCGGTGATAGAAAATGACATTTTTTTGTAAAAAGTAGCAATAGTAGAAGGACCGAAGTACAAGCAGGTTTCGTCATTTTTCCATTTGCATCAATTTCAACACTCCATGATTAAATAAACGTAAGTTCTAGAAGCACTTGCTCTGCCTATGCCATAGTTAGTTTGAAGTATGTACAAGGTAGGACGGTCATCATGATCGCGATGACCGCCCCAGCATGTTTATTATGTCCCCGAATGCATCCTATGCATTTTTGGGTGCCCGGCTTACTTCCTGACGGTGAATCAGAATTCTATCCCAATGCAGTTTTTTAGCAAGATGAGCAGTACAGTAGCTAGTCCGTTTGACAATGATAGAACGCAGTTTCCGGCGTTGTCCTGATCAGAAGTTTCGTTTCGTTTTTATCTATCGCTACCATTAGGTGCAGTCAGATTGTTTCAACGTCGATGCAACTTCTAAGTGCGCTGCTTGAACTTTCAATTTAGTGCAAAATGGTTTTTATGCAAATTTTTTCGTAGTAAACGTATATAATGAACCGAAAACGACGATGAAGATCAACGTGGAGGAGCGACAGTATGATGACAAGAAACGGGAGCGGAGTAAAACCAAAAGAATCTTCTTCAGAATGCAGCCACTAGTTGGCGGGGAGTTAAAAAATAATGGCCCTAGAAGTAGTTTCAGCAGAAATTATCTGGTGGCCGTTTCGCGGCCGCATTGGTGCAGGTACGCGGTCGTGTCGGTCAACTGAAGGCGGCGGATTGTGTTTACATGTGGTATTTTACATAATTTTCGACATGGATGATCGTCGTGACCATGACGTTCGCCATGATTGATCAGCCTCCTCGTGACGAAAAGCCTTTGCGCCTTTTCGTGATAGATGTCAGGTTCCCATAATTCTTCTAAGTGTGCAGCGCATACTTCTACACTGTGAAAGTGCGAGGTAGATCACAGACACGAAGCCCTCCGGGAGTCTTTTTCGTCCATCCGTTGTTGAAAGCCCTTCCTTTCTTTTGTCGTTTCTAAACAGCTAAAGTAACCTCGTGGAGGTGCTTATTTAGCGTTACGTTAGCAGGGTGACGTAGTTGTCTCGATTAGGACAGGCACATGCATGTTTGTCTCAGCGGAACATAGAAGTTCTTGGGAACGTTGTGATTATCGTAGTGCATAGTTCAGCAAGTGCCTGCTTTCGTTTCGCTTCGCGGAGGAGAACGATTCGAGGTGACAAAGGCACCGGCAGCATCATACATTTTGTTGTCGCAAGCAGCAGCATTTCGCACGAAGACGTCGAAGTATGTCCGCTTTATCAGCGTTTTCGCAGCAGCATAAGCAGAAGCAATGGGGCGTGTTCGGCGGAACGCAAGACTTTGTAGATCTGGAGTCTGGCACCTCGCAATCCTCGAGTTCGCAACCACAAAATGCTGCACAGAAGGCGCAGCAGGCCGCACAACAAGCGGGAAGGTTTTTTGGCAGTGTAGCCGGGTCGTTCAAGGAAAAAATATCAACCACGGCACAGTCCGCCCGGGAGTATGCGCCAGTGGATCGCGTTGCGGGTACCTACTTCCTTACTCAGTTAACAGAGCTAGTGCTGCATCATACTCCCGCTGTCTCGAACGCAGGACGGCGGGGCTGCAGCCTCTTCTAGTTCGATTGTGATTCGTATTCGTCCCCTCATTCTGCGCTTGCGATGTTGTGAATAAGAACTGCTTCTACAGCCTTCTGTGATGGAGGAATACTGCGGTGCATCGCACCACAGAGATTGATAGCGTAATTGTTAACGCACGACGACGGCTACACTTCATCAGAGTGAACTTCGCCAACTACAAATCTTCAGGTGCGCTCGAATCCACTGGCTCCAGCATAAGGACTTCCGTCGAATCTGTTGCTCCACCCAGCGCTGAGCGCATGCAGTGGTTTGCGATATTGCTGGTGGTCGGAATGATAATGGTATCAAATGTAAAAATGTCTGGGTCTGGAAGATTGCCAGGTTTGTCATGCACATTTTGCATGACTCCTGATGTCTGTGATGCATGCCCTAGCATCACAGATTTTGTGAGGGCTTCCTGATGCCTATATCGCATGACAAATGCTCTTTCCGTGTAGCAAAACTTGGACTCTCTTTGCTGCTCATGCAATGCAGATTTTTTTAGAATCCAAAAAGAGCATGACAAACCTGGCAATCTTCCAGACCCAGACATTTTTACATTTGATAAATGGTCGGCATGTCCATGATGTTTCTGCCTGTGGTGGTCCTAGCGCCGCAAAAATTTGCGCTTCTCTTCTCCATGGGCTCGCTCAGCATCGTCAGTGCGAACGTCTCGCTGCGGGGAATGGTAAGTACTACTTCGTCTTGGGCCGGTTCACGTGATGCACTCGTTTGAATTATGCTAGCGCTAAGGCTTAGCTCTCGCGAGTAGTTCTTGTTTCACGCTATGCGTATTTACTGTTAGTAGTTTGAAGAACGAATACTGGCTGGTGTGAAGGTAGAACGAATGCAGCGCCACCTAATTCAAATTAAAATTATCAAAACAGAGCGCCTTTCTGTCCTTCGCGTTTGCGTCGGAGCGCGCCGCTTTCGCGGTTGGTTACTGCCTGAGCTTCCTCGGCGTACTGTATGCTTCGCTGGTCCTGAAGTCGTACTTTCTCACACTGTTCTGTGTGGTCGGCGAGCTCGTCTCCTTAGCCTACATTCTGCTGTCCTACGTACCCGGCGGCACGCGGTTTCTGAACCTCATTTTTTCCATGGTCTATTCAGGCATAAAAATGCTCTGCGGGAGCTGTCTGCGTTCCTCTGGCTCGACGTGAAGCACTGGCACAAGTGGCCGCACCACGGCTTTGCCCACTTATGCAAAGAGTCATGCACGACCAGAAGAAAAGAAAAACACGACAATGCCGGTGGAAGCCCTCAGGCTCAATCCCTTTCCCTCCCTCGTGTCGTCTACACTGCTGGAGACGGCGACAGGTGTTTTTGACGTGATTTAATTATGTTGTTGCGCTATCTCTATCTCGTGAGTGAGTGAGTCGCTTGATCATATTAATATCCAGACTTGAGAACGAGAAGTATGCACATCTGCAGAACTTGCTTTTGAGCCACGTGCCAATCAGAAAATTACGTTTTCTGCCACGGTTTGTCCCCTCAACCGTCCCCTTTTTATGTGTCGTTCCTTCTTGTCATCTTCTTGCACAGAGGCAGGCATTTGTCGGTTTTCTGAAGAGGGAAGTCGTTTCTACTTTTCGTTGGGATTATGCGTTGTATACACGAATTCGAATGACTACTAGTACTCTCACCCTTTGCCGTTTTCGTCCGTCTCATGTTTCATCTTTTCGCTGTCCTGCGTGATTAGGTCGCGCATCTAAGTAGAAGTTGATAGGTTGAGCATATTGCAACAAAAAGGAATCTCTACGATAATTCTTGAAATTCCATCAACCAAGAAGTCTCCCTACTTACACCCTCCAACGAGTTGACGTGCCGTGCCAAATAAGTAACACGAGCACAGCACTTCTCGGCCCCATCCGTTTTTTATTCGTTGCCTTACCTACATAACTTAGTAACTACTTTCTGCTAGACCAGCGCTTCCTTCGAGTACGTAGGACGAAAGCGAGGTGGAACAACCAGCACTCGCACACAAGTCGTAAATGGCGGCGCTCAGCAAGCCTTTCTCTTTCCTTCTCAACGCTGCTGCGTTGCTAGGCGGGGCGCGGCACCAGCTGGACAGTACAAGGCAGGACGCTGCGGTTTTATTTGTCTCTGCGGCCGACTCCGAGAAACCGTGGTCCGAGATGACCCCGGAGGAGCGAAAAGCGGCCCGGGCGAAGAAGAAGGAAGAGCACGAGAACCGCGAAAGGATCCGGAAAAACCGCGAGGCGGCGAAGTTGCGGCAACAGAAACAAAAGTACGGGCTCGACAAGCGGCAGGTGGAGCTGGCCAAACGACGCAGCGCCGTGGCGGCAGCGAAGGCGAAAGCGCGGGCAGCGAGGGCCAAAGCGGCCGGCGCCGCAACAGCAGATGACTTGGAGGAAGACGACGACGACTTAGACGAAGACGAGGATAGTCTGCAGGATCCTTCTAGTACAAAAATGAAATATGATGAATAGAGTCGTAGAAGTCCTCTCCTGCTACGTACTGTTGCATGTGTTTAATTGCATTGAAACTGATTGCTGGAGCCAGTGTCTTCTTGTTGTTGAAGTATAGAAGGCATGATCTTCATCAACGAATGTTTCTGCATTGGAAAGTGCAGCCTGGTGGTGGTGACGCAGACGCTTACTTTGGAACATTATCGGGTTTGCCTCTCTGCTCTGTTTGACGATATTAAGTAACAAGAAACAGTTTACAACAGGCGTACTAGGCATTCCGCGACCAGCATGCAGGGGGCTACTTACTTCCGCTAGATTTTTTCATCAGCATAGGGAGCAATTTGGACATTGACCTGGACGATATGGATGACGACTTGTGAAGACAGATTTTCTACTGCAGGGACAAGACTTAGTTGGAAACGTGGCCGGGGTTTCCGTCCGTGAACCAATACCCACCGTGATTCGTCGTTTTCGCCGACCGTAACACTCAAATGTGTGCGCTGGACTGCACCACGTTCCGTCTTTCGCGTCTTTCGTGATGCATAGGCCTAGCGTCAGTCTTAACTGTCTCTGTTTCGTAGTGTAAAAAGGAACCTCCAGCTGGTGCTGGAAGACCTCATCAACAACGTCTTGCTTCAAGAGGACGGAGCAGAACACGTCTGCCAGAAGAAGAAAAAGAAACTGCATTTGTGTTGTCGGTTTTCATGATGCAATGGAAAGAAAAGTAAGTTTTGAATCTCAACTGACTGACACTATATCGGTTTGGATATTATGGTACGTGAAAAATTTTCATCGTTTCTTCGTGTATTCGTGCGCGCTGGACCAAAGATACATCTCTTCAACTTTGTGAAGCAAGTTCGTTGTGCAAAGGCTCGTGGTAAAAAACATTTGAAAGAAAAAGTACTCAAAGACGAGTACAGCATCTGTCGTCGTCCTCGTTCGTGATATCGTGGTCGTACATGTAGTGCGCTTGACCTTGAGTCATTTCTTCCCTCGTGTCCAAGTTCAGGCAAAGAGACTACCTCTTCAATGAATATCGTACATTTGAGTCAGGACTCGACACGACAAGTGTATCTATTCATACCCCGTGGCCCCCTCTTTTTGTAATTCTTGTTGCCTTGTTGTATCTCGAATGCGTACAAGGTCAAGGTGTCAAAGTTTCTGATATGAATTAATAGTTTGCAGCGATTGCACTCGTGAATATTAATTTCGTTGAGGAGATCGATCCAGCAACAGAGGTACATACATAGCGCACAGGAGCTGCACGCACAGAAAATTATATCAAATGGAGGCCCGACAGCGGTATGTGCAAGATGAGGCGCGAACCCTGCGTCGCGTTGGGTCCAAGAAGATAGAAGGGGAGCTCACAGAGGAGCAAATAGCCGACTACAAGGAGGCTTTCTCATTTTTCGACCGCGATGGGGACGGTGTCATCCACAAATCGGACGTGGACACGGTGATCAAGGAGGTCGGGGACCGAACCTCGGAGGGGGAGATGCGCAAGCTCCGCGAAGATCCCTCCTTCGGCACCGGGGAAGTCGGCATCGGATTTGCGGAGTTTCTGTCCATGATTATGCGTCGGCAGCACGGTCCTAAAGACGAGGACAACGAGATGCTGGACACGTTTGAATTGCTTTGCCCGGAATCCCAGCGGGAACTGCCGCTGTCCCAAAAATTTCTGCTCACCGAGCGGGTCCGGGAACTGTTGCAGCCGAAGAGCATGGGCGAGAAGATTTCGCGGCGCGAGATGGAGTCCCTGATGAACATCGCCGATCCGCGTGGCATAGGACGCGTGTATCTGGAGAACTTCGCCGCCCTTTTCCGGCGGCGCCCCGACGATGAAAACGAGGCCGGGCCCCACCTGCAGAGGCACGCAGCCTCGGGGGGATCGCTGCTGTCTGAGGAGGCGGCGGATATTCTGGATGGGAACCTGATGGCGGCTAGCGACGGAAGAGGGTCATCGCCGCTCACCGCCGTTCGACACAGAGCGTAGGAGCGCGGTGCTTGCCATGGCGGTGCGGGCAAGATTATAGTAGAGGCGGCGCCTGCCCGGGGAACTGGATTCCCGCTCGAAAAGCTGCCCCACGCGTGGCAGCAGCGCGGAAGGCCGAGCCCAGAGAACTCGCGGGTTGGGATTACCACGACCGGACCCCACCTTGTGTGTGGGCTGCCACGGTGGAAGCAGGGACCGAATAAACGCGGTAGAAGGGAGGTGGAGAGCTACCTTCACGGCCACTGCTTGGTTATGCGGTGGAAAATCGAAAAGACAGCCCAAGATTTGGGCCCGCCGAAGTCCTGCGCGTGGGTTTTCGTTTTGTCCACTTCTTGAGGGATTTCCTCCCATTTCCGATTGAAATTGAATGTTAATCGTAGCGCAATCCGCCCAAGTATTTGTACTTATTTCTATTATGAAGGTATCAGTTGGAAGCGATGCGGATGCCCTGGTACTTGGTTGATATGCGCTTCCCGTGACGCGCAAGTGTTGAAATTGAATTCTGTCAGGTTTTGTGTGTAATCGTCCTTCTACTTGATGTTGGTTTCATCAGCGACCATTATGTGCGTCGTCCGTGCCAGAGCCTCGAGGTGATAGAGCTCAGCAATACCCTTCCTAGTGATGAAAATGGCATTCGTGTCGTCCAATCATTCATCGAAAAGTTGATCGGTGTGTTTCGTCCAATGTTCATACCCATTTTCGTACCACGCACGAAAGAGCAATTCTGCAAAAGAAAGAATTAAAGAAGCACGGAGCAAGCCTACGGCTTGCGGAATTAGACTTGCTTCCTGCGTACACAATCAATAGCCTGTATCATGATCCTCTTCCACATCTTATCAACTCCAGACAGTTCTTTTTCAAAGCTAGACGTAAGCACCCCCGCCAAGAAGAAGGCCCTACAGCGCCGCGCAGCCGAGTTTGATACTACCTCACGCTCCCCTGTGAAGACTTAAACATCAGCGCTCGCAGTACGACGAGATAAGTGTTGCGGGACAAAAAAAAACCGTCGCACAGCTCCGCCACTTGCAGTAATCTCGCGAAAAGAACAAGTACTTAAATCAAAATGTCCGTTGATCCGCAGTTTGAGAAGAAGGGCACGGCCATGCGTTCCCGCATGGCAGAGTACGAGCGAATTGCCGCGAAGATTCATCCGGGGACCGTGGACTTTTCGGCGTTCGTGCAGGCCCGCGACCGCCGGTTCCTCGGGTTCCAGGGGGAGCTGTATGTGGGCCGCCCCTGCGGCAACGACAGCTCCAATGTGTGCTCGCTGACCAACCCGCCGCAGTACTGGAAGCGGTACTACTACAAGGGCGAGGCCCTGAAGGAGGTGTTCGACGAGGCCGACCAGGTGGCGCTGAAGCGGTACGGCCGCAAGAACGACCCCGTGGACCTGTCCGGGGTCTTTGATTTGGCCGAGAAGCTGCGCGACGACGTGCTGGTCGCGGAGAAACCGAAGGAGGTCAAGCAGCGCCCGATCACCTTCCACTCCGTGCTAGGCGGGAAATACACGGACGCGCTCGGACGACAGGTCGAGGCCGACGCAAAACCGTATTCATGTCTTTTTTTCATAAACTACAATTACTATAAAGTGAAAAAACTACAGTTTGCTATAGAACATCGAATTATTGCGAAGCCAAACTAGTATGGCGGACCATGAAAAGAGCAAGCAAAAGTGAGACAGAGACCAATGATTTATCAATTCATTAGATGGAAAGTAGCTAAGTGTACTCAGACCGAGTTCGCACGATTCCAAAACAGGTACCAATACTGCAAAAACGCGCACCATTCCACGAAATCGGAGCTGCACTTCATCGCGAGCACGATGTTTCGCAAGGATCGGGATCTCATTCTCGAGCGCGACGCCGCCTTGAAGCGCAGCCACTCCCTGGTGACGCACTTTGCCGACTCGATGAAGCCCCCCACGCCGGTGGTTGCAGAAGTGTAAAAGTATATGTCGATGAAGGGTTTTTTTTCGGAAAAAGTTCGGAAGCCGCCTCGTGAAGATGATGAACCACATGAGTGCTCTACGCAGAATAACCCTGTAGTGAATGCAGCGCTACACAATACATAGTTCATGGAGTAGTTCAACATCAACGTAGTATCATGGAATCGAACTAAACATCACCTTTTTTCTTTTGAACAACCGCATCTATCATTCTACAAGATTTTTAGCAGCTTAAACTCGCATCACAGACGTACCCTGTCGTAACTTCTTTCCGTCACGCACCTTTCCCGTTCACCGATTTCAAAAGTCGCATAAATCATCATGCAGCAAGGACTACCCACATGCAACCCATACTTGAGTTTACATACATTTACATATAATTTTGCACCATCAACAAGACACCCACATACACAGATCTCACCTTGATCTGGAGACCTAGAAGTCACCCAGGATCGATTCTGAACATAATTTCTTTGCTTTACCTGATGTTTCAGTTTTCTTGCCTTCTATCTTCACGCCGGCCATTGGACACGCAGTGCTCGTCATGGGAAGTGTTCCAGCAGTTCACGAAACAATGTGTTCTCATGCTTCTTCAAACCATTCAGCGGAAGGGGCAGCAGTTGGCTCTCGCGATTGCACCCGCCGTGTAAGTATCGGTCAGTAAGTATTCGTGGATGTCGTGCATCTGGATCCGCTGTCTGAGAAAGTAGTACATAGCACAGTCTTGCTCCACATTTGTAGAGAGAAACAGGAGCGTGAGTGAAAGTTTTTTTCGTATGGTATAGCAACCGGAATGAAATATGCCTAGGATCCTGACGTCGTAAAGAACAATGATGCCTGCGAAGCAACTTTTTTCTCCTTCCTTTCGATATCAAAACAGTACCCATTCGTAGTCCTGCATCTGACTATTTAGAACATTGGCACAGCATAGCGACTTTACTTCCTTGTTACGCCCTGCATTACGCAACCTTGTCTGACGCTTAACTGGTAGCAATAAGGCTAATTCTGTGTGACTACATCAACACATGGCCGTTTTCTCGCTGTATCGGGTTTTTTTCGTTTCTTTCCTCATCTGCATTATTGCGCTCGATGACTCGTTCTCCACTTTTATGTCGAAGCGGTTGAAATTGAAACTCTTTTCAAGATGATGCTTGTTGAGTTCCCTCTCTGTGCGCATAAAACCGCACCGAAAACCGAAGCCGAAAATGGTTCCGGTCCGACGGATATCAAATGTAAAAATGTCTGGGTCTGGAAGAGTCATGCTGTTTTTGCATGACACAGAAGGTCTGGCATGGAAGCTCTAGCATCACAGGTTTCGAGAACCTTCCGCAATGCCGAATCCGCATGACAGGTCCCCTATTTTGCTGGCAAAAAGTGGGAGCTTTTGCTGCGTATGCATGAGAGACTTTTCTGTGTTCTGAAATACGCATTACAAGTTGCATTCTTCCAGACCCAGACATTTTTACATTTGGTAACGGAGGGTTTGTTCTGGTTTAACATGTATCCTGAGTAAAAACGTACCCACACCATAGTCAAGATGGGGAATCGGCTAGACAAATCCACAAGTTTTGGCTGTTTTGCATGACAAATTTGGATTCGTAGTGTAGTGCTGTTTGAGCTAGCTCAGCAGCATCACAGATCTAGCATACCATGCTGATTGGAGCATGACAAATTGCAAAACACGACTAGAAAATGCTTCTCATGGGGCTCCGCATGAGAAACATTTTCAGCATGCAGATTTGCATTACAACTCTGGTGTGGGTACGTTTTTACTCAGGATAACATGCTGCTCATCATCCTTGCGCATTGTCCCTACTTTGGGCAGGCCGGAGTCTACCTGCGGCGCGGCTACGGGTGGTATCCAGATGAAATGCGTCCCTACCGCCCCAAGAATGGGATGTCGATCTATCTTTGTATTCGTAAAGCTTCGCGATTGATTTGGATAAACATGAAACACAAATGAAGCATGTGGCACTTGAACGTGAGAGTTTGTATCAGCAACACAACTCTTGCAAGATTTCACTGCATTATCTTGGAAAAAGAGAACGACATAAAGTAAAGGTGACGTCGAGCATGTCAAGGCTGGATATATAATAATAAAGCAAAAAGCGGCGCATACATCAAATAGTACAAAACAACAACTTCTTGGAGCGGGGGGGCGCCTCTCAATATGATAGGTGGGAGCATGTCTTCACGTTCGCCTTCGGGTTTTCTTCTTTGTATCAGCGTGCACAACCCCCCCACCTGACTTTTTGGCCATTTTTCAACTCTCCCTTCTGCTGCGTTTTTTACGTAACCGCACTTCTATTCCCGTAGAGCCTGTAGTGGTATCTATCAACAAAACAGTACGGTTATTTTCCGTGCCTCATATTGTGATTGATAATCATAGTTCCTCTTTCGAGTTTGAACAAGAAGGGGATTTGGGGAAAAATTGTGCACCCTGATACGCCGATGCTGCTCTGCACGATTGCGAGCATCAAGTATGACATCGCAAACGACACGGCCTACTACATTGAGGATCTGTATTCCCGTAACCCCGGGCAGAGAGATCTGGACGCGCGCCGGGCGCTGCACGACCTGACGCACCGAAAGCTGTACGGATTGGACGTGTACCAGTGGCGCGCGATGACCCTGTACCTGCTGTCCGTCTCCTTCTGCCACCTGCTCCTGGCCTGCATGAGCAACCTCGAGCGCCAGACGGACCGCTTTCTCCACGCCTGGATCGTCTTCGGAAACTGGTTCCTTTACGTAGACCACACACAGCTGACGGACCCCTCCGATGCAAGTGTCTACGCAGCTGTGAAAGAACCTCGCCCTCATTCACAATGCATTACATACAGTGACCAACCGCTCAAACCATGCTTTCTATAATAAGTAAGTATTTTTGTCCTCACGCAGGCAACATTTCGTCATGGGCTTACATCATGCAAATCGCGATTAACAATTAACAAAATCATCGAAGGCTGCTGCATCAAGTAGGGATCTTCTAGTACTATCAAGAGTAACAGATGAGTACTTAGATGCAGTGGCGAACGTGGAATTGTTAGAGGTGCGAGGTTCCTTTTTCCCGGGATAGTCGGCGCATGGTGCCAATTTTCCTGTTCGGCGTGTTCGTGTGCTTCAAAAAGGCGATGTACCCGGGACGCAGGAAAGTGGAGACGAGCAGCCGGTGGTTCAACGAGAAGGGGCCCGTGCTGTGCGTGTTTCTTTGGCTCTTTTCGGCGGTGAGCAACGTGTTCAGCGCGGTGGTCGAAGATCGAGACGAGTCCTTCATTATGCCCATGTACCTGATCTGGTTTGCCATCACAGGGTGCGCCTTCCTGTCCACCGTGCTGCTCGTGTGCACCGACTACAAGCGGCTCCGCCCGCCCCCCAACAGCTGGCCAAGATGGATACAAAATTCCTTGTTGGTGCGATGTTTACGTAGGTTTCCGGCACTCGAAAGGTGCTGTTGTGCATGTTGTCCCAGTTCTTGCAGGAGGCGAGGAGCAGATGGGGACATTGATAGTACAACCCCACCCCAGGATAATTCGCAAGGAAGGTACTGAAAAGAGAAAGACTCAGACGCCCTGCATAGGCTAGGAACAAGATGAGAAATAATGGCAATTATTTTACCAAAGACAGTGCGAAAATTCGTCTGCGGAGGAAGATCTGGACTGTTCGTTGTTCATCACTGCAGCCCACAATAAAGGTACACTTCCACGCTCGTGTCAATGAAGATAAAGCGTGTCGCCCATTTCATTCTGACCTGAACGTCAATGTCGCGTTTGGCGAAAACTCGAAGTAGTGATCAAACGAGAGACAATACACTTCTCGTCGGTGTTCTCTCGCAAACATTTTTACACGTCGCCACTGCTGCTTCTGCAGCTAGAACACGAACTTGTTGCCCAGTAGATCCTATTTTGCGAGCTGAGCTGCATGTCGCTCCGAGGAGAACCGCACTCAAGATCGCTGCAAGAAACTTGAAGAGATTTCTGGCTAGTCGTTGTGTCACCCTGGTGTGGTGTGGCCGCCACATTTAACTCAGTTGTGCCCGGTTCTCCCGTCTGCTACTGGTTGTGGTTGGTCTGGTAGAAATAAGTTGGCAAAAGAACCGTGTCAGTCCGTCGTAGACGGGTCGTTCTTCGCGTTCATGACGACGTCTTAGGTCGGGCTTCTTTCCGAAAAGACAGTAGCAGGAAGCTGCGCTCGTACGCAAGATGCCACAAAACCAAGAACAACAACAGGCGCAACGACCTGGCGATACCTCCACCTGCTCCACGTGCAGCACGCTTTGCAGAACCAGCTGGTGCACAACTGCCACTACTTGAAAACAGCCACGCGGCGGCATCGCAGTAAGTAGCCCTGTTGCAGTCATATCACCATGACCGTGATTGACCAGCTGACCCCGGGCACCCTCGTCTGGGTTCCGGACGCCGAGGAGGTCTGGGTTGCCGGCGAGGTGTGCGAAAACACCTCCTCTACGGGAGGTGCGGCTGGAGGCGGTAGTAATGTCTCCGGCGGCGCCGCGAGTGAGCAGCAGCTCACGCTGTCCGTTCGCATCGGGGAGAAGAGCGACGAGCCGCGGGTCTTGAAGCGAAACGAGATCGTCCACCTGCGCAACATTGACCCGAAGGAGCCCCAGCGGGACATTGACTCGTCCGACATTGAGGACCTGGTGCACTTGTCGCACCTGCACGAGCCCGCGCTGCTGCACGTGCTGCAGGAACGGTTTGCCAATGACCAGATCTACACCTTCACGGGTGCGATTCTGCTCGCGGTGAACCCCTTCAAGCAGATCCCGAACCTGTACTCACCCGAGCTGATGCACTCCTACCTGACCTACGAGCCCTACGTGGTCGAGGTGGAGCCATCGCACCTGGGCTCGCACGGGTCCTCCGACGTGCCCCGGGTCAGGTATCGAAGTGAAAAAACCCTCTTCCCCATGATATTCGGTAAAGTAGAACTTGTTTTACTAGCATGATTCGTAATCACACATCAACGTGTCCTGGGAAGTAGAGATGCGGACTTGAGTGCTGTCTGGCGTGGAAGGACTTAAGTCGTCAGGATGACAGGGAGCGACTGCACTGCGTGAAAACTAGGGCGCAGGTGTGTCCCTTTGGCTTCCACCAGCAATGCACGTCGATTTGTGTACACAAGTCGCGCATCAAAAACCTTTTGTTGAATATGGGGAGGAGGGATTTTTGCTTACGATATCAGCGGACGGGTGTCGATCAAGATGGACGACCTGTCTTCCGTGCAGTCGATGCTGGCCGGATCGGCCGCGGGCTGCGGCGACCTGAAGCACCACCATCTGACCTCCGGGAACGCCGGAAACGGTGGGGGCGGGCCCATCAACATACGGGCGTGCATGTCGAAGAAGGGTAAGACGGTGGCGAGTTTTTCGTATAGCTTTGCTCGAGAAGAAGTTTTTTCTTTGCGCACCTACGGCTACTAATTTCGGCGAAAACACTGCTGCGAATATATCAACTGTAATACTGACTTCATTTCGACTTCTACGACTTCATTATATCGTTCAATGGTAATATCGTTATCAAGTCATGCATGCACCACCTCCCTGATCGACGATCAACATCTACTGAACAGCCTGGGTTCCGTCTGCCTACGCCACGGCGGCGCGTGCCTACAAGGGCATCCTGGACAACAAACAGTCGCAGGTGATTCTGATCAGTGGCGAGTCGGGAAGCGGCAAGACCGAGACGACCAAGTACGTGATGCGGTTCTTGGTGCAGGCCGGCCCTTTGTTGCAGTGCAACGTCGTGCCGACCGTGGCGTCAAGCGGGAACTTTTTCGGCGGGCTGCACACCATGTCCATCGCGGGGTCCGTGCAGCAGCAGCTGCCCACCATTCCGGACAACAAGTCGGGCATCATCCCGCCCTCGGACATCACGCAGAACGCGACGTTGATGGACTCGATCCACAACAGCAACCGGCGAAAGACGAACTGGGACAAGGTGCGGCGCGCGGTCCAGAGCCTGGGCTCGCACGTGGACAACCAGGTGCTGCAGACCAACCCCCTGCTGGAAGCCTTCGGCAACGCGAAGACTCTCCGGAACGACAACAGCAGCCGGTTCGGGAAGTTCATCGAGCTGCAGTTCCGCCACACGCGGCTGAGCGGCGCCCGCATCCTGACCTACCTACTGGAGAAGGTGCGCGTGACCAAGCAGATGCCGGGCGAGCGCACGTTTCACATCATGTACCAGTGCGCGCGGGCGGCGACGGAAACCGTGGAGATACAATCCGAAGAGGCCTCGACCACGACCAAGCACGTGTACAAGTTTCCACAAAAGCTGTCGCAGCTGCAGGACAGCACCAGCGGGGGCAACAGCGGGGCGCTGGCCAGCGGCATGGACATTTGCACGTCGGACACGCAAGCGTGGGAAATCGATTTGACGCCGTTCGTCGGGGTTGACCTGCAGGCCATGACCAGTTCGAACGAGGGCTACAGCAGCACAGACCTGGTGGACTTCGAGCACACGGTGTTTGCCCTGCAAACGATCGGCCTCGACCAAGGCGAGCTCGAAGATTTGCTGCGCTGCATTGGGGCAGTTCTACGCCTCGGGCTCGTGGAGTTTGAAGGTACTAGTAGAACCGATCTGTTGATGCGTCACCACAAAGTGATGAAGAGCTCGAAGAAAGTCGATTTCGCTGGCTAGGCATCGTGGACAAGAATAAAAATCCGCAGCAATTGGAGAACGATCACGACTGACATCTGTGCTGTCGAGGTTCAAGATGTAAGATGCGATCTAAAGATGTAGACACTTCACATGATGGATCGCGCTAAGAGCTCCGCCGTAAACGACTTCCGTCGGCAAGGTAAGATGATCGAGAAAGGAGCTAGTAGTAGGTTCTTCCCTTAAAATGATGGACAAACATTTAACCCTCTTGCTGACATGCGCCTTGTCCGCAAGGTTCGTGGTTGCGGAGAAAAAAATCACCATCTTTCGACTGATGAAACAAAGAACGCATGCAAAAGTTCCCACTTACATGGCTTACATGATGCTCCACGAATACCATCTTCCTTTCAGAATTTATAACCTCGACGAGATCAATAAACAAAAAAATCGATTTGTATCCTCTCGTTTATGGACGGAGCAAAAGCATCACACGACAGGCGGGGCCGACGACAGTTCCTTTTCGAAGGAAACGAAGAAGCACGGCGACTACATCGCGGAAAAGTGTTTGGGGCTGAAAGCGGAGGACTTTGAGGCGGCGATCACTTCCCAGTACGTGGTCACGCCCAACGACCAGTTCACGAAGCGCAACAGCGTCCAGAAGGCGAAGGAGACCATGGACAGTTTTGCGCGGCACTTTTACTCGCTGCTGTTCAACAAGATGGTGCAGCAGGCCAACAGCAGCATCGGGTACGTGCCCTCCGTGTCCACTTTTATCGGTGTGCTGGACATCTTCGGCTTCGAGTGCTTCCAGGACAACCACTTTGAGCAGCTGTGCATCAATTACGCCAACGAGCGGCTGCAGAAGCACTTCAACAACTACGTGTTCCAGGAGGAGGCAAAGATGTACAACCGCGAGGGCGTCGACTGGCGCAGCCTGGACTTCCCGGACAACTCCGCCAGTTGCGCGCTCATCGAAGGTATCAAATGTAAAAATGTCTGGGTCTGGAAAGTTGGAACTTGTGATGCTAACTTTGGATTCCAAAAAAATCTGTATTGCATGACCAGCAAGAGGAGTCCAGTTGGTGCTACGCGGGGAGTGCATTTGTCATGCGGAAGAAGCATCAAGACGTAGTCAGAAAATCTGTGATGCTAGGGAATACATCACAGACGTCACGGGTCATGTAAAATCTGCATGACAAGTTCCAACCTTCCAGACCCAGACATTTTTACATTTGATAGAGGAGCGCGGGAGCGGGATTTTTGCGGTCCTGAACGACGAGTGCTCGATGGCCACCGGCAACGACCGCAGCTTTGTGCACAAGCTGAAGAAAAACTTCCTCCAGGAGCAGAAGAACGCCCACTTCGGGGAGATCAAGCACAAGCCGGAGTGCTTCATCGTGAACCACTACGCCGGCCCGGTGAACTACACCTCCACTGGGTTCGTGCAGAAAAACAAGGACGGGATCCCGCAGGACGTCTGGAACCTCATGGCCACCAGCCAGAACAAGTACGTCTGGAATCTGTTCCAACCCCAAAGCCACGACAGTACTAGCGGGGGCGCCGGCAGTAGCACGAATGTTAATAAAAGCGCTACCGGGGGCAGTAACAAAACCCAGCTGGACGTGTCCCGGAACGCCCGGTTCGGGAAGAAGCAGGCGACGCTGTGCCACATTTTCAAACAGCAGCTCGACGATTTGCTCAAAACCCTGTCGGCCGCGGAGCCGCACTTCATCCGCTGCATCAAGCCCAACCTGGAGAAGAAGGCGGACAAGTACGATAGGAAGTTCGTGTGCGAACAGCTGCGGTACCAGGGGGTCCTGGCCGTGGTGGAAGCGCAGCGCGCCGGGTATCCGATCCGCTTGTCGCACGAGGATTTCTGGCGCCAGATTCGGTGCCTGGTCACTTTGGAGCTGCGGAAACAGATTCGCGTCACGTTGAAGCAGACGCTGCGGGACCAGAATCAGCTGTCGCAGCTGCTGCTGGCGTACATTGGGGACCACTACGAATTCAGTGGCCTGGAGTTGATGAAGGGAACGGGAAGTGCAAGTGTGGGAGCAGTGACGGGTAAGAATAGCACAGGCATGATGAAAAATCGAAATTCCGGGACAAATAGTAGCGGTCACGCCATCACCTCGTCGCCGGGAAATCTGAAGAAATCCAAATCGCAGAAGGGCGGAGAGGTACGTTCTTGTCGCTGTTTCTAATTCAAGCAGGAGATAAGTGCGTTCACTTTCGCGTTTCATTTCTACCCTCTGAAAGTCTGTCAGCTATCTCTTGAGAACAAACATTAGCCCACTGCCCTACAGAGTCGCTATTCTCGCTTTTTCTCTCATGCGATTGTAGCGCTAGTAGTGCAAAAAGCAAATTGTCGCGTTATTTACGCGCCTCGGGTCTCTGACTACATTGCCCTGGGCGTGATTGCCGCGTTCAGACATGCGAAGTTCATTCTTCAGATGGTTCTGAATCCTGTCGTAGCCATTAAATGGTACTCACGAATTCATTGTGACACGAAACGCTTCTGCCCTACAGAGTCGCTATTTTCGCCCTACTGGAATAAACTTCAGTTTTATGCGATAGTAGCGCTAGTAGTGCAAAGAAAAAAAAGTTGTCGCGTTTTACGCGCCTCGAGTTTCTATTGGTGTCTCCGGGCGTGATTGCCGCGTCAAACAATACCACGAGTCCTTTTTCGTGATTTCCGATCGTAAGATTTTCATTTTTCAGCGCTCGTGACACGCAGGAAGATTTATTCACTTGCTTCGACCAGAAAAATTGTTTCCAAAACAGGTCTGTCCCTACGCCGTCGGGAAATCCTTGGTTTTCTTGAAGCAGAATTTGTACGAGCAGATCCGGCAGCTGTCGTTCAAAGTGCAGGACCGGGGGCAGAAAGTTATCGTCGCCTACCGCAAGATGCGGAAATGCCGCAAACACTTCCTCTCCATGCGGTTCAAGGTGAACAAGATCCAGGCACTGGTCCGCGGCGTTCTCGCCCGAAAGTACGTGTACGGCCTCCGCGAGGCACAGGAGATGGTGCGGCAAAAGCAAAAGCGCGAAGAAACGAAGCGGCGCATGGAGCAGATCAAGCGGTCGGTACAGGCGACCAAAATTCAGTACCTCATGCGCAAGTTTTTGAAGAAGCTAGCGTACAACCGCGATCTAGAATCCGAACTCAAGCAAACCGCAATCAAGAAGCTGCAAAACTTCTGGCGGCACTGTCTCGCGCGAAAGCAGTTTTTGCGAAAACTGAAGGCAGCGGTTTTGCTGCAGGCATTTCTGAGGACGCTGCTGGCGAAACAGCGGTTCAAGCGGGACCTGCAGGTGAAAAAGGTGCAGGAAATCATGATCAAAATGCGGAAAGAGAGAGCCATCGCGAAGGCACACACGTTTGCGCACCAGTGGGTCGCAAAGACGCGACTGCGGATCATGGAGAAAGTCAGACAGGAGAAGGAAAGCGTGGAACTGAATGTGAGCGAACTTAAAGCGCAAATGGTCTGCGAAAAGGAAAAGCTGGAGGCGCAAATTGCCACAGTACTGAAGTTTTATAATATCCGTGTCTGATTCTGGTTTCAGTAGGAAGAAAGCAAAGTGTGTATCTCAAATCTGTCTATTCGAGTGAATGCCAAGAACGTCGGTGTGTGTGTCTTGGTGTCTTGTGAACGAAACGATTTCGCTGATGTGTAGCGAAAGATGAGCAAGAGACTTAGTATTTCATAGTGCAGGGTTGGCTTCCCGTTTCCTTTACTAGCCTGTAGAAGTGCTCCCTAGAAGAGAAAAAACAAAAGTTTGATTCGAAACCAAATCGTGCAGACCGCCGAGCTGCAAACCACGTTGCAGGCGAAAGAAGCGAATATCAGCGACCTGGAGAAGAAACTGCTGAAGCAGCAAACGACAAACACGCAGCTGGAATCGAAACTGGCGACAGAGCAGGATGAGAAACAGCAGCTGCAGAAGCAGCTCGATTTCCGCGCCTCCGAATCGAAGGAAACGGTCGACCAGATGCGGAAAACCGAGGAGCAGCTGATTCGGCAGCTGAAGCAGCTGAACGACGAGAAGCAGGAACTCATGAACGAGCTGATTGTCGAGCGAGCTTTGCTGGTGGAGAAGAGAGAGCAGTGGGAGGCTAGTTTGGAAAAGAAAACCGCACAGCATCTGAAAGACGTGCACGATTTGAAAGAGAAACACGAAACCGAACAACTGCAGCAGCAGCATAAATTTGATCAGGAGCTGAAAGCGAAGGAAATATCCATCGAAGAGCTCAAGCAGACGCTGCTCGGCTCCGAGGAAGCGGTTCGGAATTTGGAGCAGGAGATGGAGCGGGCGGTAAAACAGAAGGAGGAGGAAACGACGAGACGTTTAGAGGAGAACTACATGCAGCAGCTCGAGGAGGCCACGAAGAACGCGACCATTGCGCAGGAGAAAGCGGAGGTCGTGCACCTGGAGATGCAGGTGAAGCAACAGGAATGGCTGGCCGAGAAGGAAAGATTATTGGAAGGCGTGCGGACCGCGGACGAGAAAATGAAGGAAAAGGACAAGCAGCTCCTGGAGGCGCAGCGGACGGAAAAGGAGCAAACGCTCTTGAAGCTGCAGATGGAAACGGAGAAGAACCGCGCCGTCGCGAAATTCCAGGCCCAGGTGGAGAACTTCCACCAGATGCAGCTCAAGCTGGACGCGTTCCAGTGTAAGCTGCTGCGCAACGCGGTCTTGCAGTCGCTGGAAAGATACCCCGAGGTGAAACATCTTGTGTCGCTCGAGCGCGGTGGACCCGACGGTGCTAAAGGCGATAAAGAAGAATCGGATAATTGTCATCGTAAAGCTGGAGGAATAAGAGCTGTCGAGGAAGATGTTCCTGCACTTGAGGCTGGTGTCGAAGACGTGGAGGAAAATAACTTCGAATACGTCCGCGGCACACCGCGCCATGCGGCGCAAGATCAACTTGCGACCACTGAGGACCAAGATGGAAATTCCTGCCCTGGTACTACGAATTTCGCTCGAAGTCCGCAGATGACGATGCGCAGCAGCGTGAAGAACCTGTTGAAGCCGGATGCGATGTTGGATGTGCTCATTGTCGGCGAAAACGTCGGGAAACTGGCGCTGCTTGAGCGGTGCATTCGAGACCTGGCGCCAGACCAGTATGCGCTTTTCCAGTACAACCGACAGAGGATCGAAGAGAAAATGCAGATGGCAACCAGCGGCCCCTCGTCCACACACCACAATGTCAATAAAAATCGCGCCGGGGGCAAAATGTTGAACAATGGGATGAACAGCAACATCAAGCAATCGGCCTCGTCCAGCCGGAGTAGAGTGAACGGGACGAAACGAAAAGTCATTCAGCAGCCAATCGTTTCCTCATCCAGTCGAAGACGCAATTGCAACTTCATCGGCGACCACGCAGACTCCTGCTACTACGAAATTGCCGTGCCCGAGACAAACATAAACACGCTGGTGGGCGGCGGGACCTTCTCGTCAAGCAAAATTACGAACAGCGCAAACTTAGGCTTCAATAGTACTTCCTCTTCCGCGGCCGCCACGTCTTCGCCTTCGAAGCAGCAGCAGCATAAAGCCAAGTATTTGCGCGTCCTGGACTGCAGCTTGCAGGAGCTCGATACGAAGATGAGCCACTGCCAGTACGTGATCGCCATCTATGTATCCTGTGTAAAAACGTCCCCACCCCAGAGTTGTCATGCAGGTCTGCATGCTGAAAATGTTTCTCATGCGGAGCCCCATGAGAAGGGTTTTCCAGTCGTGTTTTGGAATTTGCCATGCTCCAATCAGCATGATGCACTAGATCTGTGATGCTGCCGAAATAGCTCAAACAGCACTACACTACAAGCTGAGATCTGTCATGCAAAACAGCCAAAGCTTGTGGATTTGTCTAGCCGAGACCCCATCTTGACTATGGGGTGGGGACGTTTTTACATAGAATACTATGACTTTGAAAACCAGCAAAGTTTAGACACCGCACTGGAGAGACTGGAGTTGGCGAAACAGAAAAAGTGCCACGGGCTCTTGTTTGGAAACCTGGAGGGCTTCGTGGACTCGAACCATCGGGGGGAGGCGGGAGGACATCTATGTACTAGCGGTCAGAACAATAATTCCTTTTCCAAGAAAATCCGAAGAAAAAGCTGCGTCAACCTGTTCGAAGCAAAGTCCAAGGCCGCGGCGTTGGGCTGTCTCAGTGTGGAAGCGACCAGTCTAGCAGAGGCGTTCCGCATGCTGACCAGGGACTTCGACTTTTTTCACGAGGAACCTGTTGCAGACGCGAATGGAGTCGATGACTATGCCGGCCGAGCAGCGGCCAAAAATGGCACGGGCGGTTCTCCTGCGCGTCAGTATCTTCGCGAGGCCGCAAGCAATAGCACTTCCTCTTCATCCTCCCCTACAATGCCTGCAATGCGTCCGCATGGTATGGGGCACTCGCAGGTGCCTAGCAAATCGTCAACTTTCTCCGTTGCGGAAGACGCCCCAGCTGCGGTGCCGATGACCACGCCTGTGTCCGACACCGGGCCAGCGGATGGACAACTTGTTGCGATGCCACCAAACAAACCGGGTGCTCATCCCAGCAAAACAAGCGGCGAGACTGAAAGCAGGAGGAGAAGCTTCGAAAATTTCAACAGTCCACCTGGTCGTAGAAGTGTTCCTGCCGAGAAAGACTTCTCGAGCAGCTCACCGGACCTTGAAAACGTAGGTTTCTCCTCATCGTTAACCGCGCTTGGTGTAGGTTCCTTTCGACAGCAGCAGCAGCAGCAGCAAACACTACGACAGTACCGGCGCACCTGGATAGAGATGGAACAGCGGCAGTTTCTGAAGCCTTCGCTTGAGGAATACAACGTGTCCCCGAGGGTTTTGGACATTCGGGAGCGAAAGAGCAAGCACCTGGCGAACGTGGGAGCGGACTACGCGATCAAAGCGGAAGAAGAAACTGGAACTCACCCCTTGGTACTGCTGTGCTTCCAGCCGGAAATGAAAACGAATGAATACGGACCTCTCCACAGTTGCTCTTCTTTCGCGCCTGCATCGCGAAACAGGAGCGGGGAAAACGAGCGACGAGATGAGCAGCAGAGATTGAAGGGGTTGAACAAGATGAACGGGGAACGAAACCGAATGGAAACAGGAAAAACCGTGCTCGCGGCGGCCAACGATCAGGGAGAGCTGTTTATCTATCACCTGCCCTGGACGGAGCTGGAGCGAAAGCAGCAGAAGATCTTGCGAACTTCTGAAGCCAGTGGGCAAGATGAGGAACGATCTGGTGGTGCAGGTGACATCTCGGACGGGGCGCCAGGCGGGAGCGATACTGAGGCGGACAGCGAAGCAAAAGGGTCGGTGAGCTCAACCGAAGTCGGTGGAAGAACCGCGGAAATAAACAAGGATGCAATGAGGCCCTCGCTCGTACGGCAGTGGCAAGGCCACACTGCGGGGCAGCTTGTGACAGCTTTGTGTTTGCTCTACCAAGAATCTTCACCTGCATCAACAGTCTCGCAACAACAGTCCCTGGTCTCCGGAAGGAGCGGTCGAAAAAGGGCCGGCCAGAGAAGAAATAATAGTATCGAGCAGAGGCAGGATCCTCATGCCTCGAAGACGAGTACCAGTTTTCCGAAGCTGCAGCTGTTTTCCGCTTCACTGTCCGGCGAAGCAAAGTTGTGGGACGTCGAAACGGGGGAACTGCTGGTTTGCTACGAGGACAAGCACGCCATCAGCTGCGCCTGTTACATTGAGCCCATTGTAAATTTCTACAGTAATCCTTCTTTGTCAGGAGCCCCAGTCGTGTCTACTGCGACTTCTGCTCGCTACCTTATCTACGCCACCACCGCGCCAGCGCTGCGATTGATCACCACGAAGGACCACAAGGTGGCTCAGAAACTGAAGATGGATGCCGAGATCCGATGCCTGGCGTTTGATGAGACGGGCAGGTTTGGCCTCTGCGGCGCCGGAAACGGGTGCATCTACGTAGTGGAAGCGTGGGAAGCCAGTGGCATAGGCACGGGCGGCCCAGCGGCCTCCTCCGCCGCAACGCCCACGGCAAGTAAGGTGAATTCCACGACGAGTAGCAGTAGAGCACATACTACGAACGTGCAGCGATCCGGGTCGGCAGCTGCAACCAGGAGCATTTCGAGCAAGGGAAATCACTACGCTACAAGCTGCATTTCCAGTCCGGCGCGTGGTCGCACCTTTGCAACGGCGACTTCGATCACGACAAGCAAAATCCGTCTGAGGCCGCTGCTGTCTACCCTGCAGTATGCGGGTGCGAAAAACCCCATCACCAGTCTGAGCCTGCAGCCGCGGAAGAGCGCAGTCGCATCCTCGGCCGCGGCTGGGAATACAAACGGCTCGGCTACGTACGCCTCCGCAGCGTCGATAAACGCAACCGCTGCAACAGGCGGCTTGACGAGCGCGAACGCCAGTTCTTTCGCGACAGCGATGGGCGGAGGTTGTAATATGGGCAGCTACAACACCGCGGCCTTTTCCCAGCTCTGCTTGGTGAACGCGCTCGGTGTGGACGCAGTGGGCATTATCGAATTGGTGTTCAAGCACAATACCCTACTGATGCTTAATTTGCTCTACACAATCGTCACTCCCAACCAGTACCTCCCCCTGATGAGCACGTTTTGTTGCGAGTACTTCGCCGTCACAGGCACGGAGGAGCACACGGGCACGGTGGTCGTGCACGACTTGACGATGGGGTCGTCCGATGTGCACAGTTATCAAATGTAAAAATGTCTGGGTCTGGAAGATTGCGAGATTTCTCATGCATATTTCGGATCACGCAAAAAAATGGCGTCTGATGCAGGCAAAAGCATCACAGGTTTTGAGCACGCCTCATGATGCCTCTCCCGCATGAGAAACTTCCTACTTGCGTGCCAAGAAGTGGACAGCTTTTGGCGCTCATGCAACACAAATTTTTGTGTGTTCCAGAGTTTGCATCACAAGTTCCAACCCTTCCAGACCCAGACATTTTTACATTTGATAACAGTAATCTTTGCGCTAAAAATGAGGACGAGCCTTCGTCTGTGGTAGCAGGGAAAAAAAGTGCGATGGTGCTACATGAGCAAAACAAGTCGTCTTCTGCGACCCAGTTATGTCACCAAAACAATAATGGCTTGTCTGGTGCTGCCGCTGCTTCCTCAGCGACCCGGTTGCTTGCGTATGAGAAAAGTTCCGCCGTCGACAATCAGGAACGAGAACACGACGAAAGATCACCAGCGCGACGCCGCACAGAAGACAGTGTACCGACTGGTCACCGCGATGACGCGCGCGAAAGTCTAAGCTGCAGCAGTAGAAGCACCTCCAGCTCGATGGAGGCGAAGGTCGTGCAGCGTCCCTCGCCGCAAGAACGTCTGCTCTCGCCGGTTGATGATGACGGAGAGATCGTGAGTAGGGCGAACGCGCCGGCGGAACAATGCACCGATGAAGGATTCACGACTCAACACGCGAATGATCATTTTTCGAAAGGGAAGGAAGGGCAAAATTACAACATCAGCAGCCGAAACAAATTATTGGGTGAAGATGAACAGAAGACCACAACTACAATAGTACTCTCCCCTGCTTGTCTGACGACGGCAGCATGCACGCCAGTAGAGGAGGAGCCTGCAACAAGGGACGAGCTACACGAAGGAGCTGGAGTGCACGATAACGTCCCGGATGCGCTTCCGAGTAAGGTAGACAGCTACGCCCTGTGCCTGGCTGTGAACGCGATGGAAACGGTCCTGGCGATCGGGGACACGCGTATGGATTGCAAAAGTGTCTGGGTCTGGAAGGTTGGAACTTGTGGTTGGTTGGTTGGTTGGGTGGCGCCTGTCGCCGGTGCAGGTCCCGCCCTCCATCGATTGCGATCCGGAGTAGCCGGAACACAAGGCCCTAGTGGCACAATCGATCGACGATGTGATGCTAACTTTGGACTCTAAAAAATTCTGTATTGCATGACCAGCAAAAGGAGTCCGGTTTGTGCTACTCGTGGAGGGCATTTGTCATGCGGAATAGGTATCAGGAAGGCCTCTAAAGATCTGTGATGCTAGGGCTTCCATGACAGACATTCTGTGTCATGCAAAAACAGTATAACACTCTTCCAGACCCAGACATTTTTACATTTGATAACGCGTGGACACATCTCTTTCGTCCGCCGCACAGCCACGAGGCGTAAAGACGAATGATTTATTCACAAACCAAATGAACCTTTTTTGTCGCACAACATGCTGCGTCGACTACGATTGCAGATTCGATTGATACTTTATGTCTACTCGCCGCGGTTTCTCTTTCTGGATATCGACTTCTGTACGTCTACTTACACCCATGCGCCGACTACACATTCACTCATGTTATTCGAAATTTTGCGAACTCTTGATGGTCCCGGGACAATGCCCCCTCTACAAATGATAGTCTGCTTTGATGTTCATAGCTTTAGCTTGTTCTTTCACTTTTAAATGCCCCAACCGCATATGCATATGATTGCCAGATCCGGAGCTTGTCGTTTTGCAGCCACAAATATGAAGATAAGCTTTTCTCTCCGCTGAATTTTGACGCTGTAGGGTGCCGACGCAATTCTACGTTTAAGTGAAATATGAAAAGTAGGAAAACCGAGACAGTAATTTACTTTAGTCCGATCGCCGCGCATTCTCTCGTTCCAGAGAAAGCCGAATACATAGAGCACCCATTGTGGTAAAGATGAGCACAAGCAAAAGCCGCTGTTTTGAAAAGCCTTTTAACCAAAAATTGGTCATTGACCGCCCCGTTGAACAAAAGTGTGAATTTTATACGAATTTGGTTTAAAAAAGTAGTGCAGTCAGTGACTCTGCTTTTATTGCAGGCATTTGCTCACGCGCGAGAGACACTTGTTCCTGTTCGCAAAGCTGCTATGTTCGTGTTTGCAAACCGAAGAGGATCCGATCCCGTTGTGCCAGAGCTACGTTCTTATTCTTCACTTGACCAAAATAGAAGATGAAGAACGTAGGGCAGCTATCTACGTCGCGATTGCTCCTCTACCTTTCGGTCCTAGTAGGCCTACGGCGACACATTGTGATCCCAGCAGCGACACCGGCCCTGAGGTTTTTTGTGATTTTTGCAGGATGAAGAAAAGGAAAGTATCGTAAAAAGCACCTGCATTTCCAAAGTTGTCACAGAGAACTCATCATGCCGATGCTGCCAACGGACCAGGCCGAAGTGACGCAACCCGCTGCAGCCGAGCTCCCGCGAGCAGCCGACGTAACAAAAGATTCCAAGGAAATGTCCGTGTCCTCGAGCGAGCCTACGCCCGCCCAGATAGTGGAGGGAAATAAAATTGATCTCTCTACTGGAGCGCCGACATCAGATCCCGATGTTTCAACCCAGCAGAAACAGCAGCAGAGCTTCATCCTGCAGGTAAAATGGAAAAAAGAGGTCTATGACATCGAAATCGGGCACGACCTCCATGTTTACATGGTGGAGGAGCTGAAGCACGAGCTCTTTTTATCAAAAGGAAAAATGCCCCCACCCCCGAACTTGGGAGCAGTTGTATTGCAAACCTTTCCAAATGAAACATTCCTTCGCCCTCTTGCATCTATCAGCATCACAAGTTTCCAATCGTGAATAGCAAGAATTTGTCTTGCAAAAGACCCCAGCAAAAGCGGCGCTTGTCATGCAAGCGATGCGATACACGCCTAGACTCTGCAACAGAAAGATTCATACTCCTTTCATGCATGACAAAAAGTTTTCATTTGGAAACTTCGCATCACAAATTTTTGCAATTTCAGGGGTGGGGGGCATTTTTCACTGTAATACTTTTCCCTCACCGAGATTCTGCCGCACCGCCAGAAACTCGTGTACAAGGGTAAAACGATCAAGGAGGAGGAGCTCGAACCGGCGGCCTCCCTGCAAAGCGGTCCACGGAAGAAACCGCTATCACTGGCGGTCTACTTCCTCAGCTTGGTTCCGAAAGAAGAGATGAAAACCGATGGAACACCAGGAGGAGAAACTGCAGCGGGGGCGAAGATCCTAAACCCGAGCTCTCCGGTCATGCTTCTAGGGTCGCCGGAAACAGAGATCAATGCCATGATGGACGTGTTTAACGACCTGGCCAGTTCCACCGTATCCTGCGCAAAAGTCCTTGGCACGACGATCATATGCGGTTTTGAGTCGTGGTCTTTTTGCACCACGAAGGAAGCTTGCCAGCCAGAGATGAGACATCGTTTAATATTTACAGCGTTCTACTCTACTTCACTATTTCTAAATCTGTCTCGTGGCCTTGTGATTCTGAAAGCGGAGAACAAGTCTTCCGATGTCGTGCGTATGATCCTATCAAAAACGCGTATCGTCAATACGTATGAGTACTCTTGCCCGCTGCATACCCCGACACGCTGGACGATTTCGAGGACGACGACTTTGACGACGAGGCAAATAACAACTACAGCTCGTCCACGGTGTTTCAACCGGTGTTGTCAGAAACCGACGACGCCAAGATTGCCAAGCGCGTGGCGCGCGGCAAGGACTACATCGAAATCGTGAACCCGCCGCGGCCGGGGAAGAAGCTGCTCATGCTCGACATTGACTACACCTTTTTCGACCACCGCACCCCGGCAGAAAGTGCGCTGCAGCTTCGCCGACCGTACCTCATGGAGTTCCTCACCGCCGTGTACCCGCATTACGACATTGGCATTTGGTATCCAACGGAAATGAGTCGCCTATTTCTTCATCTCAATGCGTGAAGTAAGTGTGAGGGAGTAAAGAACTATAAGAAAGACCGAGGCAATTATGCTGGAACAATTTTGTATAAGATTTTGCTCAATACTCACATGATTATATTAGCACCTTGAGACCACGTAGGGAGTTGATGGCGTAGTTTTTCCGTAGCATATCTGGTCCGCGACCGGGAAGCAGTGGATCGATTTGAAGCTGCAGCAGCTGGAAATTCTGGCCGCCCCAGCGACCGCGTTCAACCTTTGCATCGTGCTCGACGCGCGGGCCATGATCAGCACCTGGTCCGCGAAAAAGCAAACGGTGGTGAAAGTCAAGCCTTTGGAGGTGATTTGGCGCTACGCCAAGCAGATGAACTACGGCGCAAACTTCAATCCCGAGAACACGATCATGTTTGACGATTTGGGCCGGAATTTTCTGCTGAACCCCCAGCAAGGACTCAAGATCCGGCCCTTCAAGAACGCACTCACAGACGGGAGGACCGACACTGAGCTGCTGAAACTGAAAGACTACCTGCTGAAGATCAAGGACCTGCCCAGCTTCAAGTTCTTAAATCACAAGAAGTGGGAAAAGTATCTGAAAAACGGGGATGGAGGCCTTGCCCACGAACAAAAACGACAGAAAAAATGAACCAAAACTTCTACTTCACTTGTTACGCGACAGCTTTCTTATATCGTTTCCATTTCATCATAATGCAGACTGAAAGAATGCAAGTGCAGGTGCGCCACCTAATATGATCGCAACAAAAAGAGATAGTCGCAAGCATTAAAGACTTCTGTTCCCGCCGTGGTGTTGATGTTCGTGCAGTCGTTTTTTTTTTTGCATATGAATGTACCGGATGGAGAGAGCAGATCGTGAGGAGGGCACCGTGAGAGTATTTGTGGTCGCTCGTGTGATCAAGGGCATCACAGAAATCATGAGCAGTTGAATTTCTCGTTCTCGCCCCGCATGCAACTCCTACGCTACAAGATGGAAGTCTCGTTCGCAGCGGTGGATTTGTTTTTACGCCTCATTAGCGCAGCCTTGCTTTTGACTCAAGTCATTTTCTTGTCTAGCCGTAATGATGAAGTTTGAAAAAACATTTAACGAGTGAAAATAGAAGAACGAAGACAAGATGAGCACCTCTCTTGCGTCGTCTGCGCGCGTCGTCGTGGAAGAAGCAGCGAAGAGTCTGGATCAGCACCTAGCCGCATACGAGTTACCATCCTGAAAAGAGAAGTCCTCCCCAGGTAGATGAAGCATGATACCAAAATAAGAAACAACCTTCACCCTGCGCCGCGCCTTGCGGTGGCGGCCCTATTTAAAGCCTAAAAAATTTATGGCCTTCGCCCTTTCCGGCACAGGCTTTCGCTTCTGGCTTCGCCCCCTTTTGCTCTTCGCGGGTCTCTGCTGCATTGCGGCCGCCCACCTGAGGCACTTCCGGAATTGGGAGAAAGCTGGCGGGGTGTCATCCTTGTGCGCGAGACCTTTGCTGCGCTCTAATTAAGGGCCGCGCCCAAGCTCTTATTTTTTTGGCCCGTTTTTGCGTCTTACTTTTTGGTCTTACTTTTTGGTCTTACTTTTCGGTCTTACTTTTTGGTCTTATTTTTTGGTCTTACTTTTTGGTCTTACTTTTTGGTTTTATTTTTTGGTCTTACTTTTTGGTCTTACTTTTGTTTCTTATTTTTAAGTCTTATTTTTTTCTTTTATTTTTTTCGCCTAAAATAACGCTTATTTTTTCTCTTATTCCCCCACCTATTGCGCGCCCGGCCACGGGCCGGGGGGTCTTATTTTTTTGCTTATTTTTTCTTTTATTTTTTTGCACACTGAAATCGCACACGAAATCGCAAAAAAGGCGCCCGCCAACTTTCGGGCCGTGAAAATAAGCCCGCCGATAGTGGGGCGAATAGGCGGCCTCAAGGGCCCGCGGCCCGGCTCCTTGGCGCCGTCTTATTTTTCCCCGACTCTTAATTTCGCGAGGCCCGGGTGAAGGATGGCGCGTTCGCGTGGACCACGCCCCGGAACACCGCCCTGACCCTTGGCGGGGTGTGTTGCCTTTTCCCCCTTCAAGGCGGCCGCGGATTTCGCTAATTGTGTCCGGTGCCGCGCCCACCTCTTTGTCCGGGGCGGGCGTGCCTGCCCGCTTGGCCTTTGCCGGATAGCGGCCGTCGTTCTGCTTCGATGCCGACCCCCGGGCGGGTAGGCGCGCCCTGAGGCCAACTTTGTGGCCGCTCTCGCCATGTGGTGATCCGGCTGCCTGGGTCCCGGCTTTTGGCGCGACCCGTAAAATTTTTAGGCGTTTTTTAGCAAAAGCCCCGCAGGGCGCGGCTCCGGGTGACAACCTGTTTATTGCCCTGCGAAGCATTGCAAATTAAGACATGAACGCAGACCCTTGATGCATTAATATCAGCCACGCAAACTTTGATTGGATCCAGGATGAGGACGCTTTTCATGTTGATACGAGGTCGCGAAGAACCACAACGCCGAAGTACTGCAGCGCGCTCTGGCAGAAATGCGTACCTTCACAACTGAGAATCGCGGCAACCTAGAGCACGCCCAAATGGAAATTCAAAAGGCGCTCGAAAGTCGCACGGTTTCGAAAGAAAAACTTAGCGAAGACGCAGATCTTGCTCCCCTAGACGAGTACAGAAATAGGTACCGGCGTCCAGACGTTGAAGCCGAAGATTTTTTCACACAGGTCGAGGAATCGAAAAAAGGGATGAAAGAAGCTGCTTTGAGCCTCCAACACGCGCTGCAACTAGACCCGAATGCATCCTTTCTGTAGCACTTGAACTAAATGAAATTGTGTTTTTTTTCTCATAATGTAGAAGGTACCGGCAAAGAAACCACGAGAACTACAAAAACGAGAACACATGCATTGTTCAATACCTGAGGACTTTTCGCATAGTTGGCTGGGCTGATGATGAACCTGAACATTGCTTGCTCAAAACTTTTCTCCTACACAGAAAACGAAACTCCGACCAACGAAAATGACCGGCACTTCCTTAGAATTTAAGGAAAAATCCACATCCATGGATACCATCATGATTCATTTTTGCGAATCAAAATCAGGCATATTCAAATCGAATCATGATTTCTGAATTATCATCATCATTTCTCAGAAATACAAAGAGAAAATTACATATATCCATGGATGAATCAATTCGATTTGAAAAAAAAAAGGATTCTTCCTATGTTTCTTAGGATATTTCTCAGATCGATGAGGAAATGATTCGATATGAAATTGATTGTTGGAAAAATGATTTCTTCTCTCTCTGATTCTTCCAAAAAAAATTCAATGTCCTGTTTTCTCTGAAATTTTTCGAGATTGGTCGATAATTTTTTTTTTTTTCATCTGTGTGTTCGTGGATCGATCAGATTGTTATTTAGTTCATTCGATTGAAATTCTGTAAAATTTTCTATAGATTGATTCCGAAAAATGATAGGAATCCTATTTCTCGAATATTTTCATCGATTTCTGAAAAATTTATTGTTTCGTTTCAATCTTTGATCCGGTAATTCTTCTTCATTTCTCGATTCGATCTCAATAATGTAATATGACACATAGAATAAATCTTCAAATTTATTCCTAACAAATTTATTATCTTTTGCAGAAATTTCCCCAAATCTCTTATTTAATCTTCCAAGAAATAAATATTAAAAATTTCAGTGGGATAACAAATTCCAATGAGTTGTGGGTGTCCTATTAATTTCTCATCCATCCGATCGGATGCCTGATTAATGGGATAGAATCTGAGCCAATTGATCGATCGGATCTTGCTTTTCTTCTTCCATCCCATTAATCATCCCTGCACCCGACCGGATGAATGAGAAATGAGATGACCACAACTCATCAGCATTTCTTACCCCACTCTTCATCTTCATCTTCCGAAATCAATCCAGATAAAATCCATTAAATTATCATGGAAAATTTTCCCAAAATTATTCTAGAACTATGCTTATTATCGAGATTTATTCCTGTCCTGACATTCATCAATCGATCCAGATCCCGATCACCAAATTATTCTCTCAAATTTTTCCAAATTAATACAGAATCATGCAAATTTTATGAGAAACAAAAACTTTGGTTTTTTTTTTGGGAAAGATACGATAATATATTCACATCAGATTATCCTTATCTATGAAAAGAATTTTTTGGGATCCCACATCAATCCAGACTTCAGAATTTTCAATAAAGAAACCAACAGAATCGTGAAAATGACAAAAATTGCAATGTCTTTTTTGTCGATGAATTCTGACAAAGAAATCAAATTCGATTGAGGATGGAAGAATGACCAAATCATGATCGGATTGGATTCTCCAATTTGATTTTCGTGGATATTGTGATCGGGATTGGAATCATGTAGGTAGAGTTTATGCTTAATTCGGCATTCGTGGAAGAGTTATCTTGAATAGTTTTCTGTTTTTCTGTTCGTGGAATTCTTTTGTGTGTGGTTATCGTGTTTCTGTCCGTCAAGTGTCATGTTTTGATGCCACGCAATCTGTTCAGCAGTTGATCGCATGTGTCTACCGTTTGCCGTTTTGTCTCCATCATGTGTTGCATCGCCTGTTCGTTGAGACCGCGTTTCCATCAGAAAGCGCGCACGCAAGTTGCAAAGAGCATGAGGATGGAAAAAAATGTGAATAGTACAAGTGCGCATGATGGTGTTTGTATCTGTATGCTCGTGCACCAGACGATATCGAGGCCTCCACACCTTTGTTAGCATGCAACATACCATTTCTGCGACGAAATACCGTGCATCACCATCTCCATCTACTCTGTCGATTACTACTTTCTGTGGATTGTTCACAGTCATACCACCTCGGGTCTGTTCGTCCATCAGGTGCTTCAGGACGTGTTGGCTTGCTTTCGCGGGCTCGACCTGGTCTGAGACCTCTTCGCGCGCCGGTAATTTCTCTATGACATCGGCCAGAATGCTTTTGTAAAAGCTTGCCACGTATTCTGTCGCGTTTGCCTTCGTGATGCGGGATGAACATGAAAGTTTTCCCTCCTCTTGTGTGATTGTTGTGCCCGTTGTAACTTCGTCCGCACCACGGCAAGCAGAGTGCTCAACCATCCAGTCGCTGAGCCAGTCCATTTGCTGATAAAACTGACCCATGAGGCCCGTCATCGTTTGAAAGACGGGCAAGTCTACCGTGTTTTCACACATCGTCACTGTGCCCAAAAGCCCAAACAGCTTTTCGACAAGCTTTACCATTTCCGTATCCCCGTCGGTCGGGCCGCAGGTAGCGTTATCGTTCTGTTCTTGCTGCTCAATATTCGCGGATGCGTCCAGACAGAAAGTTGTTGCCTCCCTGCAAACAACTGTGCAGCCCTGAAGGTACCGCGCCGGAGGTAGGGGGACGGCCTTGACGATGCAAATTTTTCCTGTCATCATCCCGAGGCTTGTCGATGGATACCTGATTTGTCGATGGGATGTGAAGGTCAAGCTCGAGTTGTCTTCGTACTTCATCGCGGCGCCTGTATGATGCGTTGGCACATTCATCCTTCAAGCGTTTTTTAGTTCAGGCCCTTTTTACGCTATTTTCAGAATTGTAACCCCCACGGGCGTGACAAAAAGCCAGCCCATCTCATCCCGTGAGATGGACGAACCGAGCCCCTGAACGAAAAGCATCGAACCGAGACAGAAGATCATCGTCGCGTGCGCGAAAGCGAAATGTGCCTTTGAATGAACGCGAAAGCGAGATGCCAAAAATACTTTTCAGGATTCGATGGCTTCGCAAGTTTCCAATACAGGGCCATTTTGTCACGCAGTTCCTCGTTGGTCAATGTCGCGACTAGGTTGACAAAAACCAGCGGCACGTCGGCGCTGGAGAGGCCGTTGCGCTTTTCCGTGAAGAACTGCGCCAATGCTTCGTCAACCTGAGGCGGGCGCACGGCGAAGAAGAGCACTTGCCGTTCCATCCTCTGCCCGACTTCGGGGTGGACCTTTGCATGACTGAAAAGAGATTCAACATCGCCCCCAGTGCACGGCGCCGGGGTACTTCCATGGCCTCTGGTGGAAGTCGTCTTTGTGGTATTATCCTGTTCTTCGTCGTGTGTGGCCCTGATGGCGTGTTCGGAAATGGTGGAGAAGACGCTTGCTAGCCCTGGAAGAACACCACGACCGCATCTCGTCGTGTCCACTTCCCCGCCTTCTGCAGCAGGTTGTGTACCAGCCACTTGTTCGTCTTCAAGGTGCGAACAAATTCTCAAAAGCTTATCCCCTTCGCCTTCAGAGTCGTATTTTTTCTCCAAGTGAATTGCGTTCCCACGGTCTGAGAGAAACAGAGGCGCGCGAATGACCAAACCGGCGTCCTTGTCGACGATGAGGCGAGAAACTCGCTCTTTCGCACGGCAGCTGCCGGGAGTCTTACAATCCTGCTTGGCTTTTGTTTTTTGTTCATCATTATCATCAACGTGCAGATGCGCTCGGTCTTCACCGTTTCGGTATCGGAGATATCTTGCCATGAAGCCCTCGACCAAGGCCGTATTCAGGGTCCCGATCCCGACGAAATATAGGCGCACGTGGAAGACGCAGACGGGTGGCTCGCGATCGGGAAGCACCGCCTGGTCGAGCGTTGGGCCCAGGTGCTGGCGATGTGTCGGGAGATCGGAAGTCCCCATCTTTTTTTCGGCGATATGTGATTGATGCTCCGCTTGCGTCTCGATCGATCGACGTGTAGATACTTCAGCAGAGGAGGTACAAACTCAAGCTGTACGTTTTCAAGAGATCTTTTTCAAGTGCTGTTCAACATCCGGTATACGGGATCTTTAAGTACTTGAGGTTGAGGCGTTGGCGGCCTACCATGAATCCGTTGCATGATCGCCCCAGGAAGTAGAACACGCAACCTTTGCCTTTCAGTGCGAGGTCCCGAGCATAAAACTGGGGGTGTAGTAATTGAATTCCACCTTCCTGTCATAATATCTCGAAAAAAGTAAGTTCGCAACTAGTTCATAAAAAAATCGAGAAACAAAGACGGTTTTTGAGTGGCAAGAAAGTTTTGTTTTTCCGGACGGTTGTAACGAAGCACAAAGAAACTTGTGAGGCGGATACCCCCGTTGCAATCACCCAATATCATGTTTTTTCATTTTACAAAATCGTCCTCGTAGACACAAAGTCAAAAAGAGAAAAACTTCAGTCTGGTCGTGGTTCATTACATGGAGAAAAATTCTCAAGTCTTACTCGCCTTTCCAAAAGTTTTGTCCAATGAAATTCTAGGTCACCGCCACGAGCGAAAAACTTGAGTTTAAAAAGAGAGGAAAGCAAATTCATTCACAAACAGAAAGAAACAGATGAAACGAAAAACAAATGAAAGATTGACATTGCCATGCGTCAACAACGTGACGTCAATCAACGTCGCGTCATAACAGAAACATTCTACAACTCATCAAATCCGCCCGGGCCACCGGCCTGCAGCGTCTATGCAGTGCAAAAGATGTATCGCTCAGGAATGATCCATACGTCGTGGGACAGCTTTTTTCAAAAGCAAAGCGTAGGAGCTCAACATTATGCATGGGGCGCGTTTTCGAACGCGAAACGCTACAAAATCAAATGGCCGCATTTACGTGAGCGATACTTTTGCAAAGGATATTGCCTTTTTTGCCACGATTTTCACCACCTCCACCATGTACCTGCAGTATGTTCTTCTTGGATACAAATCATGCACAAAATGATCCAATCTGACATCAAAAACAATGCGGTTTCTCCGAGTACTGTACACATTTTGCATCACGAAACGAAAAGAAGCAAATATTTCGTAAATTTAGTAAAAGTCTTTGTACGCCAGCGGGCCGATTTTGTGCTTGGGGTTGATCCAGGTCATGATGCGGCGGATCTCGTTGGGGCACATGCCCAGCGTCATCTCGTTGAGGACCGGCACGTTCGCCCGGCCGACGGTGATGGTCTGCAGGGCTTTGTCCACGGAGTACTCCAAACCATCCTTACTCTCCGGATTGTCGGTGTACGCGGAGAGCTTGATTTCGATCTTGTCGCCGTACTCCACACGCTCGCGCAGGTCGGCCTCTTGCGGGGGGTTCACGCAGGTACCTAGGGGCGGTGGGAACAATTATACCACGAATCATGATTTGCAAAAAATCGTCGTTGATTGTTTGATGTCACTTCAGACTTTGTCATTCAAGTGGAGCTATGGCATGCCAGATTTACATACACTTACAAGGGAATGCGGCAACATCCGTCATGGACTTTGGAGTGAGAAGCTCTACCTCGAATCGTGTCCGCCATCCCGATTTTCGCTTTGCGGGCCTTGGCGTCAACATGCGTGGAGAGTGCCGATACGGCAAGCACCGTGCGGAAGAAGTGCTTCATCTTTTACAAGTGCGATTTGTGATGACTTCTCGTTCAAGGTACAGTTTGAAACAACTCGTCGGCCAAGTCTTTCGTGTGAAACAAGTAGCTAGAGAGGGGATAGTCTTTTTTTCTAAAATTACCGTGTTGGTCTTTGAACTTTGTGCCTCTCGCTGTTTGCTTCCCTGTGGGGCCAGTTTGCGATACAATGGTACAGAGCCGTACTTAGTGCCGCGTTTTATACCACTCTTTGTCGCTCAAGTGCCCTTTTTCATCAAAACAAGGAAAAGTTTGATACGCAAGCAATTGAGGTGAAGCCTGACAGACTAACTAACACGAAAAAAAGCAGAACATCAAAAAACTTCTCGTCGCTCAACAACAATGATTCTTGGCTTCTTCAGGAACAAAAGGAACCGAGGGCAGATTTTCAGTACGCACTGCCTTTCTTCTTGAGGGGCACAGAGGCAGTGGCAGTGGTGCTTTACCTTCACGAAAAACAGTTCTGCTAGGTAATCGTCCAATTCCAAGTGCAGGAGGTAGCTTGTTCATCCCAGCAAAAAACTTAAGTACTGAGACAATTTGAAAAGCAGTTAAGTACAGGCAGGGCAAGCACCCACAGCAAACACAGCAGGCTACAAATATGAAGGTTCAAGGTCAAAACAGCGTCGAAGCGTCTCAGCCTAGCGTGCCTCTGGACAGGAACTTTGCGCCTGCCATGGCAAAAATCCAGTAGACGAAGATGTTAAATTGCCAACTAGGCACCTTCTCATATACTGCTCTCATGACGATGGAGTCCGCGTGGGCCTCGAAAAAGGAAATAGCGAACTGTTTGGCTACGAAGGCGCCGAGCATGAGTCCCAGTAGGTAGATGCTGAACCGAATCAGCTTGTAGAAGCAGAAGGAGCACACCAGCCCCGGAACGACGGATAGCAGCAGATTCTTCTGTGCGTCGGGCGACTTCTGCAGCAGCTCCGGGATTGCGGCCAGCGCATTTGGGCTAGACGCGGTGGACAAAACGCTTTTCGCCACCTCCGTAGTGAGGAAAAAAAAGCTCAGCAGGGTCCCGAACAAAAACCCGATCACAATCAGAAAGTACTGCTGTGCCTTCGGTCCGAAGAACGCAAACGCAAGCGCCGAGGAGAGCAGCACGGTGGGGCCCAGTTCCTTGATGAGCGATTCCTCCCATTCGGGCAGAAACACGGAGCCGGAACCCCCATCTTTACTTGTTGCGCCGAGCATGCTAGAAGAGGACTTGTTTTTCTGATTCTGTGTGTGCTCCAAAAGAGAGGGTTTACCCTTTACAGGAGGACCGACATCATAACATACGCAGGTCGCTTGCGACGTGACTCTCGTTCTTCGCAGGCAATTGGAGGTTAAGCGGAATGCTCTTCAGACAAGAAAACTCGAGGCCACAAACAATCATGTCATTCCAAAATGAACGGCGCCACATCACCCGGAGAAGTCGCCTTCTAGCTACAACTGCGAAACTCTCAGACCTCGTGACTAGTCATCTCTTTTGCCCGGCTGTGGCATCCATTGCAGTTAAATGGCGATGAAGAGAGAGAATGATGTCGATGAAGAAAATGAACAGACTTCCGGTATTTCGTTTCCTCTGTGCTCCTGAGAACACTTTGCATGCGATTGTCCTGCCACTAGCAATTGTCACTTCGCAATTCTTTTATTCCATTTCCAACATTTCAAAATTCTACATTATTCGAAGACAGAGCAACAGAGCCCGTCATCTGCTGACGTAGCTGCGCGCTGAAGGCTTCTTGCTGCTGTTTTCCTCCCCTAGTCCCATCCAGCCTGCCAACATCAATGCGACTTGTGGACTTGACGCCGTAGCCGCCACCTCCCGGTGTTTCTATCCTCAATCTGGTGCCCCTTGGAACTTTTTCGACGTGTTGCGAAGGTTTCAGCTGAACCACAGTAGGAAGCGTCAGACTCGGAACATCATCGTCCGCTGCATGCCTCTTGGAGCTTTCCGACCTTCCCATCGCGGCCGATTCATCGGGGTACAGCAGAACCTGGCGTCCACTTTGTCCGCTCTCCCCACCCAGGAGGCCAAAGGGTTTCGTCAGCCGCCTTTGGGTCAAAACCGAAATTTCCAAATCTTCCTTTTGGTCGTCGTGGGTGAATTCTAACTCCCGAACGACCCCATCCCCGCCGCGAAACTTGCCCGCGCCCCCGCTGTTTGGCCGAATTCCGAATTCTCGAATCACCACCGGATACTGCGATTCCATGACCTCCACATCCGTCATGCGGGTGTTGGTCATGTGTGCGTGCTTTGCGCTGGTCCCGTGCCAGTGCAGCCCCGCTCCGTGTCCGCCCGCGATGGTTTCGTAGTACCCAAAATTTTTCGTGCCAAAGGTGACGTTGTTCATGCAGCCCTGGCTGGCTGCTTGGGACAGAAACGCTTTCAAAATCACGTCCACGATGCGCATGGAGGTGGTGACGTTCCCAGCGCACACCGCCAGATTGTTGCTCGGGTTGAGCAGGGACTTCTCCGGCAGAAGAATTTTCACCGGGAGCAGGCACCCGGAATTCAGCGGTATGTCCTGCTTCACGAGGGACCGGAGACAGTACATAATCGCGGCCGAAGTGATTGCCGACGGCGCGTTGATGTTCGAGTCGGGGCGCTCCGGACCTGTGCCGGTGAAATCAAAAACCGCTTGGAAAAAATCCTGACCTCCACGACTCTGGTCCTGCTTTTCGACACCAGCAGGGGACCCCTGACTAACTTTGCGTCTCTTCGCGGCGGGAAGAAGTTGCAGGTCCTTGCGCTGCGGACTTCCTGTTCTTGGGCTTGGTAGTGCGTGATTGGAAGTCGCGGTGTCGTGCTTTTCGCTCGCGTCTCCGGGAGGTGCAACAGTATCACAGGGCTAAATGATTCATTCTTAAAAAATTCATTTGTCAAAAAAAAAATTTTTTTTAGTGAGGTTTGATGGTGTTGTTTACAGCATCATCTGCTACGTGTCGACGACGGCGATTGCGGTACCTGCACCTCCTGGACCAGTGGAACGACGACTGAACCTTGCTGCTGGTTGATATGAAAGTGTAAAATAACTAGAATGGAGGCACAGCTAGTTAGATTAAATAACATCACTGATTTTGAATAGAAATAGCGGACCCCTTTTGTAAGCTCTGGTGTACAACTGCGACTGGAGCTGCGGAGTCGACGGCCGGTAAACGGATTGGAGCTTGTGGATCTCCGGCAGACGCTGCAAAGGGGCATTCGTGGTGGAGCACAGCTGCTTCGCCACGATGTAAGTCCGTGGATTCGCCCGAATCCACGGACTTACATCGTGGCGAAGCAGCTGTGCTCCACCACGAATGCCCCGGTATCTCCAGTAAATGGGAACGCGCAGACACAGCCACGATTCCCCGTTGACCATCAGCTGCCTGACAGCCACGTTCTTCCTGTCTCGTTTGCTGAGTTGATCCTTCATTTACATCTTTTGAATGCTATTGAATTATCTAGCTAGCTGTGCCTCCATTCTAGTTAGTATTATCATTCATAAAAATCAACAAACCATCCTGCCGTTCTCCTGGAGTACATCTGCCCCGTGGATTCGTCACAACTGCGGAACCGGTGTCGTGGAAAAGGCGAAGCTTCCTGTGCATCAAACCTTACTAAAAAAAATTTTTTTTTTGACAAATGAATTTTTTAAGAATGAAGCGCTTAACCCTGTGATAAACAGAGGCTATCTTTTCATAAGGAGAAGCTGAACCACAACCAGCTTCATCACCACCATGCACCTCGCGATTCCTCTCCTCCATGGTGATTTTCAACTGGATTTTCGTTCCACAGTCCATGTATTCCTCCGCGGAAAACTCGTTCTTGCCGTACTGTGAGCACAACTGCTTCAACATCTGCTGCACCGCTCCCTTGGCCCACTGCTGCACATGTTTCATATACGCCAGCACGGTGTCCCGCCCGTTCTGCCGCAGCAGACTCAGCAACAGGCCCTTCCCCCTGAAGTTGGCTGCGACCTGCGCCTTCAGGTCGGAAATGACGTCGTCCAGGTTGCGGGATTCGCGGAACAGCGCCCGCATTTTCTGCTCCTGAAATTCGTTCCCCTTCACCAAAAATTCAGAGGTGATTAGCGCCCCCTCCTCCGTTATCTTGGTAGACCTCGCGGGCATCGAACCCGCGGTAATGCCCCCGATGTCCGCGTGGTGGCCCCGGCACGCAACGAAGAAGAGGAGTTCACGATGTGGTTTTGTAGCTCGTGGTGTGTTCACCAAAGTTCGTGCGTCTTCCTTTTCGTTCGCACTTCTTGTTGTTGACAGTGCTCGTACTTCGGCCTCTTGATGCTCACGCGTTGTACCGCTTGTTGTTTCCTCGTCCTCAAATACCGGCGTGATCACCGTTACGTCCGGCAAGTGGCTACCACCGAGAAAGGGGTCGTTGGTTACCCACGCGAAGGTGCTATCCTTGTCGGGTTTTATTTTGCAGCTCCCAATATTGCTTCTTGCCGCAGCTGCTGATTCTGTTGCAGTAGAACGACCTTCTGGTGCTCCTGCTGTGCTGGTACTAGTGGTCGCACCGTTGCGCGCATACTCCTCGAGCTCTCTTTTTCGCAGCAAAATCTGCGCCTTAATGGTCTCCGCCATGGCACCTAAATGCACGGGCACGTGGGGCGCGTTGGCAACCAGGTTCCCGTCCTTATCGAAGATCGCACACGAGAAATCCAAACGCTCCTTGATGTTCACCGACACCGCCGTTCGTTGCAGCACCCGACCACACTGCTCCGCAATCGACATAAATTGGTGTCCGTAAACTGAGAGGGTGGCGGAGTCCGGGCGCAGTACATGAGTGGGTGAAGGTGTCTCACTACTTTTTGCAGCTGTTGGCGGTGATTTAGAAGCCTTCTCCTTTGTTCGTACTACTTGCATACAACCAAGTGGTTGTACTCGTTCACGCTCTGACAACACTGTTTCTCGCGCACCAGCGGCTGGTGCTGCATCTGGCTTGCTTATTTGTTCCGTCACTTCCCTTCCCCTCTGATCCTGCAAGACGTCGTCCCCCCATGCCAATATACTCTTCCCGCAGTCGGTGGAAAGCGTCTGCAAGCTGCTCAGCTCCGCAGGGGTGATTGTGGAGTCCACCGCTCGGGGAATCGTGAGTTCGATGCTCGACTCGGCGTTTATCCTGGCGAAGCAGCCGGCGTCGACGACGCACGTGGTCGTAGCATCGAGGATCCAAGCGGGACCCGCTATGAGGTCGCCCGGCTGAAGAGTTGGAGTTTTTGTCGAGGAGGAACTAAGCAGATGAGTATCACTCGATCTTCTTCCCGACGCATGAAGCTCGTCCAACAGAAGATTCGGATTCTTCATCAATTTCTCCTTTTCAGAAGCAAATGTCACGACCGTTCTGTCCGATGACACAGTAATTGGTTGCTCTGTGTCCATGTGTGCAGATACTTCTCCCAAGAAGCCCGTCGTGTTTCTGCCGGTCGCAAGAGGATTTTCCTTGGGCGGTGAAACGAAGAATACCGGCGCACTGACGTACTTTCTCCCCTCCGCATCGTACATTTTGTGGACCGCGGCACAGCGGGCGTGTCTGCGCTGCGGAAACGGATCGTCGTGTTGTTCTTGTTTCACAGTTTTCATGCGCTTCGGAGAAGATGAAGGCTTGTTTTGTTTCCGTTCCGTTAGTGTATCCTCGACGTCGGCCTTATTTTTCGAGGAAGCATGAGCTGCGTCCTCCTTCCTTACCAGTATCTTGTCCTGAATCCTGCCCGTTCCCTTGACGCGGAAATCCTCGACAAGAATTTCGCGCGTGTCGGCCAGCGCGAAACCATAGGTCTGCGCAAATAACCGCTTGAAGGCTCCGTGGAAATCGAAGAGCCAGGGCCGCGGTGAAGATTTTTTCGAGCTACTCAAGTTTATGGTCTCCGAAGCTCTGTCCAGTCCTGGTGCTGCTGGTGCAGTTGCTTCTACCATCAGCAGGTTGTCGTTCCCCCGGTAGCGCAAGTGCAGGTAAAACTGGAACAGGCAATCTTCGTCCTTTTCAAATCCCGCTTCGCGCAACACCTGGCGGCATTGTCGCTCCAGCTGCTCGAAGGTTTTCTCAAAGAGGCTGACTTGCTGCGCATAGGGGGCATCGTGGTGAGTAGTAGTCGCACGTGTCGCGGGTCTGCTTTTTTCACGCAGATTTCTCGACGGCAACGAGGAGGAAAAATCACCAGGCTGCTTTTTCAGGACGCAATCCAGACCCTCGACAGTCGCCGCTGCGATCGAAAACTCCTTGCTGACGTCCGCCAAGCCCATCCCGTACGCGGACAGAATCCCGGAGTGCTTGTGTACGAAGGCCTTCTCGATGCCAAGCTGCTTCGCGATCTGACACACGTGCTGCGGGCCCGCCCCGCCGAAACAGGCAAGCACGTGCGCTTTAACGTCGAAACCCCGCGATTCCGCGAGCTCCCGAATCGGGCGACACATCTTCTCGTTCGCGATCTTCAGAAACCCCGCGGCCGCGTCCTCGACGGGGTACGCGGAAATAGATGATTGTTTCTCCTTATTACCGGAAGAAATCATTATCATTTTCTCGAGCTCTCCATACGCGAGCTCCCTGTCCAGTGCCTCGTTCTCCTTTTCCCCGAAGATTTTCGGAAAGTACATCGGCAACACCCGGCCGAGAATTACGTTGGCGTCGGTGACCGCGAGGTAGCCGTGCTTTTTGTAGCAGACCGGTCCCGGGTGCGCCTTCGCGGATTCGGGGCCCACATCCATGATGTTGTTCCGGAACCAGAGGCGGCTGCCACCGCCCGCCGCAACCGTGTTGATGTCCAGCTGCGGGGCCTGGATGGTGTACCCGGCAATGGTGGTTTCCAGCACTTGGTCGAAGTTGTTTTCTCCGTTATTCGGATCGAACCGGGACACGTCGGTAGAAGTCCCGCCCATGTCGAAACCGATGATAGGGAGGTAGAGCCGGCGGTTATTTTCAAGAGGAGGGGCAGATTTTTCTTTTTTCAGCAACACATCGTCCTGAGTTTTTTGAGGCTCCTCGTCGCCGTCGTGGTCGCTGTCCCTCCTGAACTGAAATCTCGGTGTCGTCCGCGAGAAGCCCACGCATCCGCCCGCCGGGCCGGAGACGATGGCGCGAAAACCGGTGAAATTGTCGATGTTTGTGAGTCCCCCGTCGGACTGCATGAACAGCAGCTTCTTCTCGTAGAATTCGCGGAACTCGTGCCCGTTCTGCTTGTCGAACCCGTCGCAAAACTGCTCTACGTACTCGAGGATTTTCGGCGTCAAGTAGGCATCTACGCAGGTTGTGAAGCCTCGGGGCACGGCTTTCTTCATCGGACACAGTTGCGAGGAAGTTGAAATGAACTTCTGTTTCAGATTTTTTTTCAAATACGCGGCGAGCCTTTTCTCGTGCTTCGGGTACAGGTACGAATGAAGCAGGTTTATCGCAATGCTGGTTGGCCTAGCTGGTGTGGATGTCGAGGCCGCACGCGCAGGTGATTTATCTTTATTTCGTATTCTTGTAGTCGTAGTGTTATTTTCTGTGGTTCCTGCGTCCTCGTCATTCTCAATCTCAGCACGAGATTTTTGAGAGGACTCGATGTTCTCGACACCTTCTCTGCCGGAAGACATCAAGGCCGATATTTTACTTTCCAACTCTTTCTGCAACTCCAACTTCCGATGGTCACCGTCTTCCAGGTCCAACGGCAGTGCCTTCTCAACAAAGATTGGCAGCTGTTTTTCACTGGACGACGAAAGAGATTCTGCTGGTGCAGAAATATCTTCGGAGACCACAGTGCTGGCTGCTGTAGATTTCTCCGCTTTGACCTCCTCTACTGCTCCTCGCCGTCGTGCCAGCGATGTTTCCGACATCCTCTTCTTCGCACAATCGACGGAGTCCCTCCCCACGACCACCCGTTCGTCCACTCCGACGACATTCTCGTACAGCATCCCATGCGTTTTCACTTCCAAGTCGAAGATGTCCGGCCTGCTCTGGTTGCCGATCTTGAGCATGTCTTCATGTCCCTTGGTGGTTATGTACAGCACCCGCGCCCCCTCCTTTTCCAACAACGCGTTCGTGGCCACGGTGGTGCCCATGCGGATCGAGTTGACGTACCTCGGCGGGATCTTTTTGCCCCGCGGCAGTTTCCCCCGCAGCTCTGAATCCGGATGCGTGTCCAGGGTGCGGCGAATGCCCTCGATGGGGGCATCGTCGTAGTTCTTCGGGTCAACGGACAACAGTTTCAACGTATCCAGGGAATTGTCCTTGTGATTCAAAATCAGGAAATCCGTGAACGTACCCCCGCGGTCAACGAAAAAAGAAAACTTGGCTGGTGGAGAGGGGGCGGGGGTGGTAGGGGCCATTATGTTGTAGTTCCAGGGTTTTGATATAAGTAGTTCAGCCTCAATCGATTCAGTTTTTGTCACAGGAGAAAATGAATGACGTGTGCGCTTCTTAAGGTGAGCGGGAAAAATCCTCTCGCATACTATTGAGCAATCCTGAAGGTAAGAATATCTGCAAACAAGATGAATCTCATCTGCACACCGGGTGACGTTTCACCGCCCGTTTTAGCAGTGACCGGCCACCCAGGAGAAAATGAAAATCTTCGAAGCACGGCAATGACAAGCTCAAGTTGCTGTGTCTGTACTAAACGGGGTAGATAGTATTAAAAACCAAAAGATAGCTTTAACTTCACGGAAATCAAACAATGTAGAAAAGAAAGAGCAAAGAGCTCAGAAAATATGGATTGAGAGATTCACATTGAGAGAGGCAAAGGGGTAGTACAAATTCACGAGACAATCGCGCCGTAGTAGATTCGAAGACGTTATGGTTCCTGCCTCTGGGGGAATGAAGATACGAGGATAACCGATTATATTCAATGCATAATTCAAAACAAATAAGATCTGCATCTGCCTGCACTGGTCTCCTGCGTTCTTCTCTTGGGATCTTTTCATGAATGTGAACCGACTGCGGAAGAATTCTAACACGGTAGCTTTCGTATTTCATGCTCGTCGAAACCAATCAACACAAAGGACTGCGACTAAATCTATGTGCTAATACCAAAACTGGACTGCCTTTCCCCGACAAATGCTATGAGGACACATATATCAACAAGAGGGTGCACACATGACGAACAATGTAGCTGCACGGTGCCACATCAACTACACGATGGATGAACAACGATGAACTTGATTTGACATCACGGATCCAAAGACAAGACAAGGAGAACAGAATCCGAACCACGATTGGTTTTATTCAAGTTCCGCAAGGAACGGCTGTTTCTGCATGCGTTTTTGTATTCATTTTGAATTTCTTCGTCATCGTCTCTACTCATGTTAGGGAACTACAATCTCGTATTGCAATGTCTAAGCTGAAAGATTGCTGTCTGAGAAAGATACGAAGGAATGCAAGGAATCCGCTACTTACCTTGCGCAAAAACTCTGCATGGTTTTCAGAAAAGAAAAACTAGAGCGGTGCTAAAAATGGCTATAGAATTTGTGCATTGGAGTTTCAAGACGAGCGACTTCGTTTTGTCTGGAAGATAGAAGTCACATGACGGTACTGTTGCTACTAATTTGTAAGTCCAAGGCAGGGGAATGCAGAAAAAAGATAGACGAGTACAACAAATGGCTCAGCAACAGCAGCCGTATCTTACATCAAGTTTTAATTAGCTTGCAACACCATACTGGTTTACGTTTAATTGACCTACGCAGCCGTAGCGATAGAAGCATCATAGACTTAATTCTTTAACTTATTCTCTAGCGCGAAGCCAGGTAGATATTATGAAATGGCTACTACAAAGAGCAGCTACTAGACCAAATTTTGACTTTGTTCTCAAACTTCGATTTCTACTCAACAACATAACGCACCTACAACTTTTTTTGGGCGGGAATGTATTTCAGCCTGTAACCGTGTCCTGGTTTGGGCCCCAGCTTCTCCCAGATTTTGCCCCCCGGGGTCTTCACCAGATTGGGGCGAGTGGAATAGGAAGCCGGCTGCGAGGCGCTCAAGGTGTTGAGAGTCGACGCGAACTGATTAGAAGTTGCGGTCGAATGCATCAAGGTAGCGGCGCTCGCACTGATATCTCTGGTGGCCTTGCCTGAGTTCTCTGGCGGATTGACACGTACCTCCTGTCCCCGACGCAGAACGCCACGACGCATCGGACTGGCGACCTCAGCGATTTGCTCGGACGGGGCAGACGCACCCAGCGGCGTTACGCTTCTGCTGCGGGGCGTGCGGCCGGAGGACGAGGACCGTGACGACGTCGCACCTCGTCTCTTACTCAAGCTTGTTCTGCTGCGACGCGCGGCGCGGCCATGCGCGCGTTTGGCGGACGGAGTCTGCGGGACGCTGCCAACGCCGCTTTCCGCACGGGAGGCAAGGTTGGTATTGTCCTCGAGGTAGAGCGCAACGTTTCGCCTGGTAAGACGGGAAGGGGACGGAGGACGAGAATCTGGGCGAGCAGCCGGGTATTCCACCATGGACGCGATAGACTGCGGCGACCCGGCGGCCATAGACTGCGGCGACCCGGCAACTGGCACGGCAAACGTTGCTTCCGAAGTAGCCGGACTGTTGACGTGGCCATGTTCCGCACCATTCAGACCGCGGGGAGACAACAGGGTCGCGACCGAGAGATTGTCGTCATTTTCCTCGACCGCATGATCCACAACCGGAACAGGTAGTTCCTCTTCCGTCCCAGCACCCGCGCCGAAGAGGCTCCGGACCACACCTTCATCGCGCCCATTTTGCATAAGGTCCTGCCGCCTCGCCTCTCGCTCCCTGAACCGCCGCATCCGGTCCTCGTTCACGCCCAAGAGCGCCCACGGGGTGTCGCCCACCCGACCATTCTGGTCCTGCGCCCACCGGCCCGGCCCAGGATTTGCGTTCCGCAGTGGGGTCTCGAACAAGTGTTCGGCCTGTTCCCGCTCTCTTGCGGCGATGAGGTCCGCTTGAGGCCTTTCCAACTCCTCTCCGTAAACTGCCTGGAAGGCGGGATTGACATACCGCACCATGGATTGCGGCGTCTGCTCCAGGTTGGTGTCCTCTGGAGACTCGGGCAAAAACTGCAAGATGCGGCGTGGTTGCGGCTGTTGCAACTCCGGCTCCGCGACGATTGGTGGTATGTAAGCACCGTAGTTCTGCGGTTGGTCGGTTAGGTTCGACGGTCCGAGAATACGCTGCGGCTGCGGTTGCAGCAGGTTCGCGGGGACGACGGGCGGAATGTAAGCGCCATAATTCTGTTGCTGACTCACGAGCGAAGTTGCGGCGTCCATCACGGGGCGCGGCGGCACGTCGGTGATGGTGTTGTACAGGCCATTGAAATTGTTCGTGGGCTGTACGTTGCGCACCAAATTTTGGATGTCCGCGGCGGTCATGGGACCGAGGCCCTCCGGAAGATTGCTGGGAGCAGCTCCTCCGGTTGTACCATTTTCGGGTGGTGGCGGGGCAACATAGTTGTTTTCAGGTTCTACTTCTCGCCCATGCATGCGCATCAGGTTCCATAGCAGCAAGGCTCTGTCAGTCTCCGACAGAGGATTGTCCCCCCAGATGTCGTGCGTTTCCGAGCCCGAGAGGTTCGTGCCGGGAGTGCTTGGAGTCGTACCCGTACTGGCCGCAGCGGCGTTATTATTTCCGTGCGGCGGGGGGGTCTGCGTACCAGATCGCAACGAGACGGCACGGGACAAAGTCACCGCGACCGCGGTGTGAGCAAGCATCTTCGACAACACAGTCATTTTATCGTGCGTGCTTTTTTGTGAGTGAGGAACAACAGAACGTGAGTACTTATGCAGGTTTGTCTTCCAGTAGCAAAAAACTGAGGACGTCGACGGAAAAGATATGGTAAGTGCGAAATTTGAAGCAGAATATGCAGGAAGTCAAAATATGTCTGTAGCGTGGTCGTGGTTGCAAATTCAAATTGATGCAGATGATGCAAAGTAAAGAACACTTTTCGACGGATGTGCAGGGCTAGATTCAATACACGAAAGCGATATTGGAAATCCGAATTAGTTTTCTAAGTTGAAGTCTACTAAGTTGTTCAAAAGAGGCTAGCTGTCGGGTTGCTGGTTATTATGTTGAGGGGACTCCCCGTCATTTTGCACTCTTTTTTGAGGAGGATGCATAGTGATCGAATTTCGAATGGATGTTGTGTCGCAATTGATCCGAATTTCAAAACCGAGTCAGAGATTCCTCATGGCGCTTGCACCGAGAATTTATTTTCCGCTATCTTCCGAGAGATCTTTTTCAAAAATAGCGCACAAGCGACCGACTTTCGCACAGAAAACTCGTAGCGACGGTCATTTAGCTTTAGCATTGATTTCTACATTGACTGATGTCGATGAACTTCGAATTTTCGGATCACGCACATCCACGCTCCAAGAATTTTACTGACAACATCGCCATCTCTATCACCTTGTCGTCAGTTGTGTCGCATACCGAAAGAACTTCCGGTGTTGCAAATTTTGACATTTTTCTTTTGGTGTTTCCTGTGTTGAAACCTCCGCAGAGTTGCATCGCGACGATCCTTGTTTACGGGTGACACAGCAGAAGCCCCCGACGGGGGGCCTTGTTCGTTTTTTTTGCTTCTTATTCCATCCTTGGATCTGCGCACCTGGTGCACCGCACAAGAGCCCGCATATCGGAAGGTTTTGGAAGATCAAGATGTGATACTTGAGATCTTTACATTTTTGTACACTTCAGACCGATTTTCGCTCGAGCTGCTTCTTCGTCTAGAAAAAGTTTCGAGCTTGAGTTTTCGTTTTCACACTGCACGCACTACAGAGCGGCATAACTTCCTAAAGGATTCAGCATTACAGGTGGGGTGTACATTACCGGGTCTGTGTTTACCTCGGTGCCTTGGCGCTCTATACCGGTCTCTCTTTCGGTCACCATGCTGCTCCCCGCGTCACTTTGAAACATGCTGCCAAAGTACGACGAAAGCCCGGTCGATTGCTCCACACGATTGCCATAAGCGTCGATCGGCGCTTCCTTCTTCAGCGCGGCTTCGTGCCATTTACGATACCTGGAGTTTGAGTTTATTTACGGTTTGCGGAAATGAGTAAATAAATTCACTTGATGCTGTTTTTATCTAGTAGCCCTGCATGACTTTGTCATGGTTTCGTACGCGCCGATAACACGTCAACACGAACACAAGCAGATCGATCCCGCCTAGCATAAAAATTCAGTATACCTGCTAAAAGCCTGGACGCTGCTTGTGCTTATCGAGCCTCCCAACCCGCTTTCTCCGGTGTAACTATTCGATGCCGACATCTTCGCGCGCAGCTTCGCCTGCTCCTTCGCGACGCGCATCGCCTCGATGCGGTTGTAGGAACACTCGTGGTCGTTGAAGGAAAACTGCTTTTTCGCGGAGCTACTGGCGTCGGTGAACTTGTTCAGCTTCTTCAGCGGGGAAAGCTCGTCGTACCGTGCGGTGGAGACGTCACCTGTGACCAGGTAATCTTCCAAATTTTGCCGCATCGGCCCGTCAATCACCTCGAGGAAGTAGCTGTCCGTGTTCCAGTGGAGCACCACGTCGCGGCCGCGGATGCGGTACGTGTTTGCTGCCGGTGCGGTAGTTGCCCGATGGTCAGTGACGAGACCTCCTCTGGAGCCTGTTGTTCATGATCGTGCAGATGAAGTCGTAACGCATAATGATGCCAAAAGCATCTATGCACAAGGTTCCGTTCTTCTACTCGTTTGGAATAATTATCATGCTATTTTTTTACGAGCACTCAAACCTCCACAGCACGAGATATTCCGTTTTGAAACGAAAAAGGAATCAAAAACGACAAATCCGGATAACTAGTTTACCGACATCGGCCGAAGACGACGCCGCCGACGGCAACTTCACGATTTCCGTCTGGTAGTCAGCAAAACGCGCGAGAAACTTCTCCAGGCGGGCGTCAATATCGGTGTTCGTCGACGAGGAGCCTGATACCCTATTCTGACTACTTCCGGTTACCCCATCATCTGCGCCGGAGGAGCAGGTCGCGTTTATTTCCTCATCCCCCTTCTCGTACCACTCTCTTTCTATCCGCATCACGGCAGCGAACTGCGAGTTTGAAGGCGGTGCAGGGGCGGATGAAAGGAGCTTCTTGTTGCTCGACGGCGGCGGGTCGGGTGAAAAGGTCGTTGAGGTAGCGCGGCCCGCAGCGGGCGACGCAATCATTGCGTCGGTGCGTGGCGGCGTGGCTGCTGAGGAGCTTGACGAGTGGGATAATTTCGGCGACTGCAAGTGTTCCGGCGCACCTCCCGGGTGCGCTATGTCATCTGGTTCCTCCTGTGCAACAGGCTGTCGCTCCGGTGGCATTGGAAATAAACCTTGCGCTCGCAGCGGGTCCGGGTGGGGCGCGGGCGCGCTGGTGTGGGTCATCGGTTCGTCACTCGTCGCGACCCTCGTGAAAAGTGCGGACCCCTGGTCGTGGTGCTGCTCAGGTGGTCTGCTTTGTCTCCTGTTCGCGTTACTGCTACTGCCTCCATCCGTCCACTCAAAGTCGCCGCTGACCAAGCTGTTGAACAGTCCCGAAGCAAAATCGAGGAAGGGATTGTCTCCTTCCTGTTCGGCAGTTGTCGGCGCCCGGCGCCGTTGAAGATGCACTTGCGCATGATAAGCCGCTCCGTTTTCGGCACCACGAGAAGATGGGCCCCAGGCCGAGGTGCCCTGCTCCTCACCGGAGGAGGAGCTGGAACTCGAAATGTTTCCGGTGATTGGAGCGATTGCATATCCCAGAGAAAAAAGCTGGCTGTAATGCAAAAATAAATAGACAAAAAAACTTGTATTGCATACCCGAAATAGCATGCTACGAGGTCGCCCATGACAGGTTTTTCTGTGTATTTAAATTTATTTTTGCATTACAAATATGCCCTGCCAGCTTTTTTCTGTGAGATATTGCAGTGCTGCTAGCAGATTCCGTGCAGGAGGAGGACTCTTGCTCCCGCAGTTGTAGTACCGCTGTCGCTCCTATAGTCGGGTGCTGTGCAAGGTCGCCGGTCGGAGAAGATGTACTTCCACTACTCTTTCCGCTTTTTCCCTTTAGTCCCTCAAACTGACTCACCAGCTCCGAGACCCTTCCGTAGCTGATCTTCTTCTCCTTGATGCTTTCCGCCTGCTTGAATTCGGCGGGCTTCAGGGCATAATCAGCCGAAAAGCCCTCCACCAGCTCCGCGAAAAACGAAGCCATACTGCTTTTCTTGAGATTTTCACTGTGTCGTTGACATCAAACCGGACTTGACGAGGGGGAGGGACCAGACGAACCGCAACTAGGCTAGAAGATTGAATTCTCTCTAGAGAGTGCGTAGGTCTTCAAAAGATCATGTGCGTATTTCAGCGTCGATCGATGAGGAGGTACGCTCCATACCGGCGACAACCAGAGACATCACGGCGATCTCTTCAAGACGCGACTCAATCACACTTCATTTCTGTCTGTGTCTCTCATCCAACTAAACTGACTCAATGAGGTACCGATGGGTCGTCCTATGCACGGTCAGAAGAACCTTGCACTCTACATTGATGTGTGGGTGTGGAAGCCTATGTATAGCAATGCGATTCCGAAGACCACGCTACCAGCGAACAAGTTTTTCTTGCCGCTTGCCTCTAGCCATTCAATGCGGCGTTTCCAGACGACATCTTACTTGATTCCGCTAAGAAATCAAGCAAGCATGCTCGGTCGTGCCCTCCGAGTAGTTTATGACCCATAGTTGTTTTACGTGTTCACATTTCCCGTAAGAACTAGCAACGAAGCTGCACCACCCACAGGGCGGGCTGACGTGAGGTGTGTTTTTTTCAACTGAAACGCGACCAGCTATTCCTGTACTTGTTTAGTTCCCTTAAACATTCTAGAAGTTTTCCATGCGCCGTGTAGTGATAAATAACATGTCAAGGGCAGGGTGAAGGTCGCATCAAAAATTGCGAAGTCTATCTCGGGGTCAAATCTGTGAATTGAAATTGAAACCATGCTCCGGTGCAAAAAATAGGTCGTAACAAAAGGCTGCGCCCATCGAGAGTGCGGCTCTGGCCACACAGGGAAAAGGTGGAAAATTCACTTTTGCAAAAAGTAGTTGTGATACACAAAAAAAAAAGGTCTGTCGTGGCTATGAAAAAAACCCTCCCCGGAGTGATTGTTATTGATACTAATTCCGTTGGTGATGTCAATGTCTTTGAAAATAAATTGTGATGTCTTCGGGTTTAGATACTACCCTCACACTATCTTTTTCTTTACGTTGATCTTGATGTCAAAGTTGACAGGATAATGAAGTCAGGCCATCCTGGTTATGGCGATTCTGTTACCCATGCGCAATTGTGTCTGTGCTCTGCGGAAAAGAAGTTTCAGTCGGGGCTTTTTCTTGTTAAAAAGTAGCACTGCAAACCACAAAAAAACGCCACAAAAGATGTGGAGCAGGTACAACATATGAATTTGCAGAATCAAGCCCTAGTATTCACGCTCGAAAACCCCGGCCGCGCCCATGCCAGAGCCGATGCACATCGAGATTACGCCCAATTTTTTGTTTTGTCTCTTCAACTCTGGCATCAGTGTCGCACACATTCGTGCTCCCGTGGCGCCCAATGGGTGGCCAAGTGCAATCGCGCCGCCCTATTTTTTGTTTTGAAGCACCAATCAATCTATCATTGAACGTGTGATCATCGACCTGGTGAATGTATTGTTCTTTTGCTGAGTGTACACATCTAGTTCTAGTATGATCATGATGATCCACAATAAAGGACGCAAAGTACGTGTACGCAACGGCAAGAAGCTCCTGGTTTTCCGACCATGAATATATATATAGCTGCGCCAGGACCGCAATATCATATATACGAATTCCAAAGCGTATATGAAGTGCTTACCTTGGGATTCAGTTTTGCGGCCGGAATACCGAGGTGTTCGACAGAGTAGGTCGCCTGACTGGCGAAGGCCTCGTTGACTTCGAAAATGTCGATATCGTTCACGGTGAGTCCTGCCTTTTTCAGCGCTGACGGAATAGCAACAGCTGGGCCGATTCCCATGATGTCCGGGGGACAACCCTCTACGGCGAAAGAAATCATCTTGCCAACGATTGGAAGTCCGAGTCTGCAGTTTTTTTGTACCGTTCGGAATTGCAAATAATAAATTTGCAGCTACTCGCAGCACAACTACGAACTGCATCCATGTATGAATACTCACCTTTGTTAGAGCCTAGTATGAGTGATGGGGAAACAGCAATAAATTCAAACTGTATCTAAGTACTCTTTCGCCTTTTTTCTTGATGCGATGAGGCACATCGCGGCCCCGTCGGTCGTCTGGGAACTGTTCCCCGCGGTTGTAGTTCCGCCCTTCTGGAAGGCCGGTCCGAGCTTTGCCAGGTCCTCGATCTTGACGCCCGGTCTCGGGCCCTCGTCCTTGGTGACCGTAATCTGCTTTTCCGTGCCAGCCTTCTTGTCCTTGAGTGTCACCGTAACCGGGATAATTTCTTCGTCGTAGAGACCTAGTGTTTATAGTATTGTGAGACGATGATCAAGAAGATGATGACAGAGGACTCGATTTTGACGCACGAAAATTTCCGCAATCGTTGTAAACGCATACTGATGGATGCTGCAGAGCTGCAGTCGTGGTCCACACATGTTGCTGAAAATTATGTGTTTCTCACTATTCGACGCACTGATTCTATTTCACCGAACACATGATCATATATCAAAATCATCCCTTGTTGTAGTAATTACCTTCCGCCTGTGCCTTCAACGCTTTTTGGTGACTGCTCAAGGCGAGCGCGTCCTGCTTCGCGCGGGGGATGTTGTACTTTGCCGCGACGTTTTCGGACGTGATGCCCATGGGAATGAGGCAGGCCTGCGCCCCCTCCGTGTCGAAGATTTTCTCCGACAAATTCTTGGGGTTGATCGTGTCCATCATGCTGTTCATGCTCATGGACTCCACGCCCCCAGCGATGGCCACGTCGTAGTGTCCCGCCGTGATGGCGGCGGACACGTTGGCGATGCACTGCAACCCGCTGGAGCACTGTCGGTTGACCGCCACCGCGGAAGTGTTGGCCGGGTACTTCGCCATAAACTGCGCAATCCTGGCGGCCATGGCGCCGGCGCCGCCCTGCAAAACGTTCCCGATCTGCGCATCCTGGATCAACGCCGGATCGATTTTCGTCTTTTGCACGATGGCCTCGTAGCAGGCCGCAAGCAGCTCCTCCGGGGGAGTGTCCTGAGAATTTGTTTTAAGAAAAATTGATGAGATCCATCCTTTATCGATGATGAAGTAGATGGTGGAAAAACTAGAAGTACTAATGCAACCAACTTCTTTCCATTTTGTTTTGCATATCGCTTTTTGATAAACCTACCTTGAAGCTCCCCTTCTTGTTTTTGCACAAGGCCGTCCGCAAAGTGCAACAGATTACAGCGTCGTTGTCATTCTTCTCGCCGACTTTTGCAGAAGCGTGCCCCTGGACACCGTGCACCGAATTGGGCGCGACCACTTGATTAGCGATCGCGTTGGCACGGTTCATTATCTCAGTGATTTCTTTCCCTACGACGTCAAAGTAGACTTACTTTGTCTTAACCTAAGAAAGGGCGGTACGCTGCTGATGTTCAGTCTAGATCTATTGTGGTCGTGGTTCCTCTTTACCTCGCCGTGCTATGCGGGAGGATGACCAGGAGGACACTGTGCGGGAGAGGGAGGAAGGTTCGTATTGCTCAGGACAAAAAATTCGCTCACAGAAGAGAGACAGACCACTCTCAACGTTCCATATAATTCTCGCAAGAAACAGGCAGTCAAAGACTACATGGCAAAAAAACCGAGTATGCAAGTATCGTTGCTCCAAAAAAAAATTCTACCGAGCGAAAAGGCCTGACAACGTACTGAAACAGGTCGTCAATTCATCGGACCGATGGCGTGAAAACGTTTCACAGAGGGCTCAGAGAGGCTGACTTCTTCTCGTCGACAAGTTTAGTGATGTACTGAAGCGCATGACCGCAAGCAGAAGCCAGATATTAGGTAACGCCAACCTAAACATTCAACAGAAGCATTGCGTAGTAGTGGTCTCCGCATGAGGTCGAGGAATTCCTCCTCTTGTAGTCATGCGACGCCAACCGCAACGCCAAAAACGAGGACATCTGAAACTTGACACAGGCTGCACACACCATTTTTAGCAGAGAAAAAAGGGCAACTTCTGTGACTTCATGTTTGTGCTAATCGGATGAAAGTTATAACATCTTGCAGCCCAGAAAATGCGTCCAAACCCAAAGTCGGTATTTTTAGGGTCGAAGTGGTTCGCAGAGGTTTGATAATCTTATACTGTTCGTTGCGCAATTGGTACTGAGAATGTTGCTGTAGTAGATGTAGTTGGCGAGTACAGTAGAGTCGTTTCTGGTAATAAAGAGCGTAGTTGTAGTGGGAACGAGTAGAAAAAATTTCCTTTGCTCTGATGCGCAGTTCTTTGGGGTAGCAACAGGTGTTAGGTTGTTTTTCTTTTTCCGTACAAGCGTCCCTTAACGAATAAAAACGGGTTCTGAAGGGCAGGTGCATGAAAAAATTTTTGCTCATACAATCGGCTTACGTTGATTGTATAGTCAGTCCAGTGCCTTCTTCCGTCGCGCTGTTAATAAGATGGAAAATTTTGAAAGCGTCTCAATAGATCAGCACCTCCTCCTTTCGAGAGCGCCTCGTCGCATGAAAGCTCTAACTCTGTGCATCTCCTAGTACTGCCTTTCTCTTCCAAGAATTGACCATTTGGAAAAGAAAGCATCAGTATCAGATTCGCATAAGTCGCTGAAAAAAACAAAAATCTGCATGCTGGACAGAGAACAGAAGCAAGCGCTACTTGTTCTGCTCTGTATTTCTTCTATTTCTGCAAGAAATTCCGTTCAAAACTTCGTTGAAGCGTCCAGCAGCATGGAGTTGTCTTCAAAACAGGTTAATACGCCAGAAAAATCAACACGTTGAGCCAATATATTCTTTTTGAGACTTCTTGCCTCGTCCACTATGTCCTTGATCGTCCCAACTCGGAACTCTATTCCGTCTTCAGTCCCTCACCTGCCGGCGACTCGCTGGCGGTCGTGGAGTCCGTGTCGCGCAGGTCGAGCGTGAGCTGCTTCGCGAACTCCGGGTGCGTTTCCCCGTAAAGCAAAAACTTCCAGTTGGCGAGCAAGCCGTAGTTCGGGAAGTTTTTCAGCACCTGCTCCTGGAACAGCTTGTCGGTCCGCTTCCCCGCCTCGCGGTCGGACTTGGCGTCGCAGGGCGGGCCGTCGTAGCAGGCCTTGAAGAGCTGGTCCCAGAGCTTGATGAAGAATCCGCAGTGGTAGGGCCGCGACCGCGTCCCCTTAGCGTGGTGCACGTAGTGCTGAAACGAGGTGTTGATCCACGGGTGGTCCGACGGAAAAATCCAGTCCGCCTCGTACCCGCAGTGCAGGTAGATGCCCCAGCTGTAGAAGAAGAGGGTAAAGGTGAGGAACAGCGTGTTCAAGTTCAGGGTGAGAAAGAGCGGGAGGAAGAACAGCGGCGACGCGCGCACGCAGTTGTCGAACGGCTCGTCGGCGATCACCGCGAAGGGCGTCGGGTTGCAGTACTTGTGGTGATGCCTGTGTATGTTCCAGGCGTGGTCGAACTTGTGCCCGCACCAGTGGTAGAAAAACTCGTAAAAGTCCGTGATGCCGACGATCAGGACGAATTCCCAGCAGTAGCGGAGAACGGAGAAGTAATACTCCTGGTCCGCTTCCCCCGTGACGTCCGCCGGGCAGTAGCCCTTCATGTAGCTCTCCTTGCGCAAGTGCATCGACAAGGCCGGAAAGAATGTCGCGAAAAATACCCCCTTGAACGTCTGGTAGATCTCCTCTCGGACGTAGTGGGCGCTGGGAAACTTGCCGCTCGACTTGTACTGCCACTTTGTCAACGTCGGGTTCATGTACAGAAACCGGAAGGCCGAGGTCGACAGCAGCGCGACCAACACCGCACCTGCAAGGCCAAACATCGCCCACGTCGCGAGGAAGTGCTCGGGCAGGTAGTGCAGGTAGCTACAGACCACCATTTTTGCAATTCGGTTGTTCGTCGGTTATATGCTTTAGAATTTGGCTAAGCTGATGATAAAATGATTCTCTGATCGTCACCAGGCAGATTTGTATGGACTAGTCCGCCGGAGCAGGTAGCCCCACGAATAAGCCTTCTCGACGCCCCCCTGTAAGTTTGTCCCCGAACGACGGTAATCGTAATATTGAAAATTGGTGGGCAAAAAAAAAAGTAACTGTTGATTTTTACCAAGGCAGATTTTCACAATGATTCAGCAAGTCAAAATTACTTCTGCAGCAAAGTGAAAAAACTTTCCCGGGCCCGTTGACAAAATTACCTGCTAAGTGGATACAATGGTGCAATCTATTCGTTCTCGAGAATGTGCTTGGCGGAGGCGGTAACTAAGGGGCTAGTACAGCTCAGTTCTTAATCATAATAAACGCAACTGCGACTACAGTCTTGTCTTCAACGGCGAGTAAAATCATACAGAGTGTAGCTAAGGTGCGAGAAAAGAGATGCGATAGGCGATATCTTGGGTTTGGGGTATGCGAAGAGTAGATTCGAAAAGCAAAAGCCAAAACAGCACCCTGGTGTGATAAGTTAGCATATGCAATTGCAATTGCATGCAGCACTTACTTCTTTTTCCTGGCTCTTCGATGATTACGACATCTTCTGGTCGCGCATTTTCCTGCTTTTGATCTGTTTTGATATTTTTATTTACCGTCTCTTGATGTTCTCGGATTTGATTTACGAACAGATCACAGAGAGCTACATTCCCGATTTGTTTGGTCACAATTCCCGACTAGCCCTTGCTTGGACGTGGTGTAGATGCAGCTGCAAAAAATACTTTAAGTTTAATATCGCTCGGTCTGTTCAACATACAATTATGATAGGTCCTCTCTCTGCTGGCAGCGGGCCTTGGCTCTCTTTCCCTCTCGAGAATGAATCCATACTAAGTTTACCGAGCTTTTTACAAAGCAAATCTCTCTGAACAGCAGCTTTTTCACAAAAACTTCAACGACCAGAGAGCTGCGTAGCTGTTGCGCAATATTTTTTTCATTTTTATCTTGCAGGGTAAACAGATGACGACATCTACCTCTACGGTTTATTTTGGTGGTCTCCGTCAGAACTGTGACCGTTCCGATGGAGGGACGTTCTGCGCAGCCGGCACTTCTCCTCCTCCTTCACGCCTCAAGTCTTACTCGTATCCTGCGATAAAATTGGCACGATGGAGATGCCTGTCCTATACAGATTAATAGCAAAAAAAAACGTGCCCGTGCGAACTGGAGGTTACAAACGTCGCAACCGCGTTCTTGATCTGGTTGTTTGGGCGGCTACAGCAAATACAGAACTACTTGGTGAGCGTGAGCCACATACTTTACTACTTTGCGCGGAGTAAATAAGTAAAGCGATTGGCTGCAGCGAAAGATGAGCATCCAGAATAGCCAACTCATATAGAGCCATCAGGATAATTCGGGTTTCTGATACTAAAAAAATCCTGTTCTCATAGAGCTGCGCCGAGCTGCGACAAATTGTGTCGATAGCCGATGCGACACTACTACAACCGCGGACAAAAGCTAGTACTTCAACAACTGTAGCCACTCCATACTTGTACGAGACTGTAGAGCGAATCAAAAGTAATCAAGAGAGAGAACATGTTGACAATCAAAAGTAATCAAGAGAGAGCGAATCAAAAGTAAACAAGAGCTGCGAATAGTAGAGCACAACATGCGCCGCGCGTAATTTTCGTGTACGTGTACTAGAACATCATCATCAAACGCTTATTTCGTGTACAACTGCGTAAGTATTTTTTTGTCTTCATTTATTCTTGATGTTCTTCCGCCGTTGTCATCATAATTTTCTGACGTCAACTGGTTTCGTCTCTACTCCGTTTTCTTGGAACCAGACAGTGATGCCACGACGTTTCCGTAGGTGTCAACCTCGTCATCCGGGAGCGCAGACAGCGAGGGCAGCACCGGGATGATGCGGTCGCGCGCCGCCTTGTCGGTGTACTCCGAACTGGGGCGTTTCCACACGAACTGGCCCAGTCCGAAGTGCCCCGTGATGAACTCCGCCTCGCAGTTGCACAGGTAGAAGTCCCACATGCGGATAAACTTGCTGTCGTACTTCGGCTTGCCCGTGTTCTCGTCCTTCAGTGCCATAATCTCGTCCAAGTTGCGGTAGAAATTCTCCCGCCAGTGGCGCAGCGTCGGCGCGTAGTGCTGGCCAATGTTCTCGAAGTGTTGCAGCTCAAACTTGGAATGACCGGTGGCGGCCGCCACGATGGCCCCGACCGCCGGAATGCAGGCGCCCGGGAAGATGTACTTCTGGATGAAACCGTAGGTCACCTTGTGGTGCTCGTACCCGAAATCGTTGGACGTGATGGTGTGGACCACCGCCGTGCCGCCCGGCTTCAGCATGCGGTCACAGGTCTCGAAGAACACCACCAGGTCGTTGTGCCCCACGTGCTCCAGCATACCGATGGACACGATCACGTCGTACTGGTTCCACAGATTGCGCGCGCTCCCCGTCTTGCGGCGGTCCGACAGTTCCGACTTGACGCCGTCCCGCAGTACCTCGTCCTCCTTGGTCGGGTAGTAGTGCACGCAGGCGCGGTAGTCGTCGTGCATGTAGTTGATCAGGTGCTCCACGCCCGCTTTCTTCGCGCGGGCGCGCGCGAGTGCGAGTTGCTCCACCGAGAGGTTGTAGCAGTCCACGCGACAGCCCACCTGCTTGGCCAGTTCGCAGGAGAACCCGCCGAACCCGCACCCGAGCTCCAGCACGCGGTGGTGCCTCTGGATGTTGTATGCAAGAAAAAAACTGTGTAAGTGTAAATTTGTGTTGCAGAAGATGCAACAGAGTTACGCCTGTCATCCCAGACAGCCATGAAGTCCTCTTTTCATGTGTATTTTCCCTTACAAACCATGCATGACAGGTTTTCTCTGTCATGTAGAGCAAATTTGTGATGCTAAACCGACCGAAACCACAAACGCAACCCATAGGGCACCTTTCCGCAGATGGTCAGGCCACCGGGTCGCGGAGTCAGGCGGACCGAAGCCATCACCATCACACTCGGAGCAAATTTGTGATGCTGTTCCTCAAAGAAAGTTACACTTACACAGTTTTTTTCCTGGATATGTTGCCCTTCTTGATCAATAAATGGATCTTGTTCAGCTGCGCCTGGTCCAGCGAAATGGACTTGTAGGCCTGGTGGGTTAATTCGTTCTTCCCGGACATGTCCTTGCCGAACTGCGAGGCGGCGATAAAATGCTGGTCCGCGAAGGGGTTGCGGTACAGTGCGCAGGTGTAGCTGAAGGTGGACGGGTCCAGCATCCGCTCGTACAGGTCATTCCCAATGTCGTAGTGCTGCTGCACGTTGGCAAGCGAGAACTCGAAGTGGTAGCCCGCGCGGAAGAGGTAGTTGTACAGGGAGCGCACCTTGATCTCGATCTCCTTCACGTAGGGCAGCCCGACGAGGACGCCCGCCTTGTCCTGCTCGAGCACCAGCGCCACGAAGGACGTCAAATCCTCGCACGTCCAGTCCCCGTCCATGTAGGACTCCGCCATGCCGATGCTTTCCCCCAACAAAAACCGGCGGAACAGCCGGGGGCGGAACACCTGCAACTCGCACTGCAAATCGCTGCGGTGGTCCCCGAAGGTGTGGAGGACGCCGTTCGGCATCCGGATCTTCAAGAACCCCTTCTGGAACCGCAGCAGAAATCCCCAGCTGACCACGTACCAGCACACCCAGTCCACCCAGGTGAAGGGTTCCGGATCTTCCAAGCCGTCGTCGGCGCTCGCGGTGGTGGACGCCTCGGAAAGAACGCCCTTCGAAACCTTCTTTTGCGGAGCTGGTTGTTCCTTGGAAGTTTCGAACGACTTCTTGTCCGTGACAACTATGTCGTCGTCCCTTTCGGTTTGCTGCTCACCCAACAACATTTTCTGGTTTTTCCCGCCGAGTGACGTTTTGCTGCTCCTGGTCGTGGACCGCTCCAAACCAATATACAAATGAAATCGAGTTACTACTTGATGAATCAGGTTACTTACTTTGTCGTAGTTGTCAAGCGACGCTTATTCGTTAGATGGTGAAGAAGTATACAAAGAACCACCTTGTCCTTGGGGCACCAACAACTTTTATTGATGATGAGCCAATAAAGAAGGTGATATGAGAAAAGGTTGGTGAGGTAAAATTGGTGTGTCTTCGACAAAATCAAACTGCCTATCGTAGAACAAGACGAAGCTACAGAGTTGAAATCTTATTTACTCGACTGCTGTTGTATGTTTGAAAGGCATACGCAAAGGTGAGCAACATTCGGCACAGAAGAAACTGCCCTTCCACCAAAATGGTTGAATGCGGGGCAACAGATGTACTGATCACCACTTCTGATTCTTGTAGCGCCATTTTCGCTTACATTTTGCGATCCATGATCACGGCTTGCATTCGGGAACTACAATATCATTCGTTGATCTGAATCTTCCGAACTCTTTCCCTGAAAGATAGAATGGAGATTGCGGCCGAACAAGCCATTTTCTTTAAGGTTTCACAACTTGAACTTTTCCTTTTTTCCTGTAGAAGCAGGGGAACTCCTGGCCGGGTCGAAGAATGTGGGCCGCGGCCCCTGGCCACCAAGCTGACAATGCCGTAGGTTCTACTTAGATTGTTCTTTCTTTTTCTTCCCTGATTTTCTTTTCGTTTTCATCTTCTCCTTCGAGGTCCAATGGTACGGCTTCGGCTGAAAACTGGCAAAAGTTGTGGAATCATCAGCAAAGAACTTGTCGTCGGCTATTCAAAAAGAAAACCTCGAACCTCAGTTCGCTCGTCACCGCAGCGTGAAGAAAGAGAAACGAAAGCTGCTCTGCTTCCAGCGCAGAAATAGTATACTTTGATCATAATTCAGGCTGGAAATCAATCCGTTTGTGCATTCCGCAGCACACAGCTTCTGAAAATTCCGCGAGTATTACTCTCGGCGTCCCGTTCCCTCGACTTACTTTAAAAAATTCCATGAGACGACCGCAGCGATAGTATTCACTAACAAATGCGCGGCTTCGCCTTCGTCTAATTGTTTTTGTTTTCCGCCTGAGCTCCTGCGATACTGACGATGATGTAAACCTGAAACTTAATAAGTAAATCTGTTGTGCTTTCTGTCCTACTAGCTGGACAGTCGTTTTTGTGAACTTTCCGTAAAAATCTTGTCTTGTGATGAACTACGCGGAGCAATAAACGGATGAACATAGAGCATCTTGATGATGGATTAAAGAACGTCGGGTCGCGCAGAAGATGTCGCGCATCTTCATCGTCGGAAGTAGAGCACGAGCAGGCTTTGCTGCAGCTCTATTACACTCTTTCCCTTTCGGTCGGTGAAAAAAACTTGTGATCTTGGCTCAGAAAACTGGTGCAGCCTGGAGGAAGCTGTAGTTTTAAATCTCGTCGTCGTCGACGTCGTCGTCGATGTCCATAGCCTGGGAGCCCGCGCTGTTAGTCAATTCGATTTTTTTTTCGTATTCTGCATATGTTCTTTCATCGAATGAAAACGACATGTGGTGTCTTGTAAGTCTAAGTATTGGTATTGAGAAAATGCACGAAGGTTAATAAATTTTCATATTAATTAAAAAATCAAATCAAAATACTCGCTCTCCATGCCAGCGCTCCCCGGCGGTCCAAATCGTGGGCGAACCCTCTGCCTGTGCGCGCTGCTCTCGACGACGGAGGGAGCCTGAGAGACGTTTATTGGAGCGCCGGTGCCCTGCGATGCTGTGCCCATCGAAGTGAATTCCATTCCTTGAGAGGACATATTTTCGTCGCCTCGTGCCGATCCGCCCTGCGCACTCTGGTCCATAATGGCGAAGCCTAATGGCATACCCTCGGTACCAAGATCCGCAATGTCTGAATGAAGGCGCTTGATGTCCCTCTTGAAGTGGAAAAGCTTGTCCTTCCAGATGCGCAGGCCTGTGGAGGTTTGAGTCGGATTGTTCTTCCTCTTGCAAATTACTACTTATATCAATTAGACCGCTTTCTACGACGAGAACGAATAAAAGTTCTTGCAGAAGAAAAAATCGAAATGATCTAGATCTTCGTCGTGGATAGTATTTTCTTCTAAAAAACACACTAAGTACCTGCTTTGACTATGGCAGCGGGATGCTTCGCGCCCGTGGATTCGACCTCGAAATGGAACCTCCTGGGGTGGTGGTCAATCGTGACGTAGCCTTTTATGTTGTTTTCTGTACAGTAGTCCGTGCAACTGTCGCAGTGGATACACCGGTCCTCGTTAGCGACAACCAATTTTCCCATATCTTCCAAGTCGAAGACCCCTTGCGGGCAGGACTTTGCAATGTCGCGCTTCTGCTCCAGAGTAGGGTGGAACTGTGAGAGAATTTTCGGCTTTTGAAACTCTTCATACAACCCCACACTTCGCCCTCACGGTTATGGCGAACTACTTACTCTACAGCGCATCTAGTTGGTTCATTCCATCGCTGTACTTAATTCATTTATTTTTCCACGATCACGAACTTGGATCGCGCGCCGTCGTGAAAAAATGAAACAAAGCTCTATACCTTTGTGTTCTCATTTATTCTGACGTCGGCGTCCTGCTTCATACACACTGTCCCTGTTGGATTGTGCTTGGCGTGGAATTTGGCGTTATTCTTGATGGCCGTGGCTTCCAGCTTCAACTTCTGCCCGTGTTGGAGCTTCACGATTTTGATGCCTGTAGTTTTTGGTAAGATAGGGAATTCAAGGAGCTTTGTGTTGAAGCTGGGCGTAACACTCATCTATCAAAAAAACCGCTGCTTTGTCATTGCACATGAAGTGGTAGGTGCAAAAAAATTGTACGACTTACCGTTTCTTTTTCTGTCATCTTCTTCACTGTAGAGGGGATCCCTTTGCGGCATTGGAAGGACTTGGAATGCCCGCTGGCTGTTTTGAAATCAATTTTTTCTGTAAATAAGCATCAGGTCTCTTTCCACACTCCTTGACGGTTGTTCGTAATGCCGAAAAAAGATGCAAAGAACACTTCAAACAAATCTCATTTACTGTGTTAGGGAACAGGTGAACATATCTCCAAAACGGTCTGAGGTTGAACGCGAACAGTTAAATGTCTTCTCTATACGGTCTGAGGCTTGTCTCGTCCTCTGCAGGATTGTGCACCAGTTTCAGGTCGAAGTGCGTGACGTCCATCGGGTGCCCCGAAAAATTCTCCACGTCGATCTCAAACTTCACTTCACACCTTGGGCACCCACCGCTGCAGTCACAACCGCCCCTGCTTGGGTCATCGATGGATGCAACCGCATAAGTAATCCCGAGATCGTTACGCGCGCTCTCAAAGGCTTTCTGTTCTGCAGCTGTTTTTAATATTTTCATCTTTATGTTTCAGGTGCGCGGCTCATTGTCGTGTTTTGAAGTGATGGTTGTAAAGACGCAGGCGTTAACCATGACATGTCAGAAAGTGCATAATTGCCGGAACACGACCATTCCATGGTACTTGGATTAATGCAAAGCAACGACATAAACGTAATCGAATGAAGGACAAAGGTCTGAATCAATTTAACATTTGAATACTCAGATTCATGCTGTTGTGTATTTTTTGTGTGATCCGTTTTCGCTCCTCGCCGTGGTCGGAGAGGATGTCGCCGATCCCGTTGGACTCGAGCGGGATCAGGCCGAGCCGGTGCGCTATGAATTCGTCGAACAGGACCGAATTGTTTTCGTAGATGGTGACCAGATCTATTGCCATGGTGTAGATTTCCGCCATCAGTATCCTGCGCAGCGCGTTGGCCGTGCTGGTGTCGCAGCCCTCGAGCGTGAACGTGATCGTCTTGTCGTTCACATATCCTGTGTAAAGACATCCCCACCTATGAGTTCTTGTCATGCAGATCTGCAAGCACAAGAGCATTTGTAATGCGCATCACCATGATAGGCATTTCCAATCGTGTTTCGGACTTGTAATGCTGTAAACTGCATAAAGCAGCTGGATTTGTAATGCGACTTCCCTTGCTAAACTGCACTACAATACAGCCTGCAATTTGTCATGCGTGGCTCCCAAAACTTCCAGGTTTGTGTTGCAAAATCCCCATCTTGACTTTGGGGTGGGGATGTTTTTCCTTAGGATATCACACTTGTGATTTTCACATCCACATCGTCGTAGTCGACCTTGTAGCTCGACTATCCTGTGCGAAAGTATCGTACTCGTACAAATGCAAGTCTTGCAATACAAATCTTGTTTCCAAGGCAAATCTGCATCACAAATTATATTTCTCATGCTGAGGAAATTTGTAATGCATTTATACGAGTACGATGCTTTTGCAATGCATATCGACTCGAACAGGTGGATGTTGTGGGGGGGAGCGAGGGGCGGAGACATCTTGGACTTGGTCGTCGTCGTCGCGGGGGGCTACTAGGAGGAGCGTTCTTCGTCTACTAGGCGGGTGACTACTTGTTACACTGGTGAGAGACACGTCGCAAGTACTCAAGTTTAGCTTGCTCGCAGTAGCGCGGGATCAATTTGTCGAACCGCAAGAACTGCACTTCTGCTGCTACTGCTTGGACGACGGAAGTCGGCGGACAAGCTTGGCGAAGATATTTCGAGAATTGCGCCGGCTGTTGAGAATGAAAACTTGCTTCCTAGTACTCTACTGCTGACGATTGAATATCTTTCGCCGACTTGCTTCGTTGTTTTTGAGGTCGATCGCCTGGTGCTAAACAAAGCTCAGATTCGCTTTCGGTCCCGTAGCCACACACATTATCCTTGTCGCTTTTTTTGCTCTCCTCGTCTGGATGTTGATCTCTCCGCGTCGGGCAGAGCAGGCGCAACAACTAGGTCCGGGGCGCAATCGGTCGCGGTCGTGGCTTTTCGTTTTCCGCAATTTGCCTCTAGAGGAGCATGACAATGAGTTTCATTTGAGGATACAGGTCCACCTTAAATCATCGTACATGTTTGCGAGGAATCTTGATGTCTCTGCATCTCTTGGTGCCTGGCGTCAACATCACAGTATAGGGGTTTATTTTAGCTTCTAGTATTCCGATTTCCACTAAAACTAAATTCAATCTTGTTCTTTCCAGGAAGTAGATCCCAGCGACGTTGAGAATCTACACCTTGAATGATCGGAGTCGTCAGACATTGGAAAAGAACAAGAATCCGTCGTATGCTGGGACCCGCAATAAGCCGATTGTGAAGGATCGCCGGCTGAAGATCTGAATTTTCATTCTTATCCGCACAAGTTTTGCAGTTGGAACTTGTTAGTTGCGCCAAATGTTAATTACACGGAGTCTCGATGGTGCATCCAAAGTTTATCGAAGCCATTTTTCTGTGCTTTTTACTTCCATTTCTGTGAGTGAGTGTTATTTTATTTCGATCAAGCAAGGCAATACCAATAGAAGACTTTCTGATCTAGCGAAGTATATCTGGATTTTTGTTTGAAGTATTCAAGCGTTGAGCGAATGGAAACACCTAGTCTTGATCTGCTTGATCCAATGATTCGTATTTTTGTATAAATATCTAAATTCTTGCTGTGAAAGTGTGAAGTGAAAAATATCATGCCCATGCGCGCAGCGTTTCATGCGGAAAAGAAAACATACTAACTAAGGGATGGCAGAAAGGAGCATCGGTTTCCGCGCACGACGTGATCATTTACAATCATGATCATCTCAAATTGTGAAGAACCCGAGCAGCTTGGCGTTTTATCATGGGCAGGGGGGACTCGCTGAGCTCGAGGATTTTCGGTCCACAGATACCGAAGATCTCGCTCCGCGCTTCTTGCAACGTCGCGAGCGTGCCCAACATATCAAACGGAAAAATGTCTGGGTCTGGAAGAATGCAACCTGTCATGCTAAATCTGAAGCATGCAAAAGTCTGTGTTGAATGATTACCAAAAGTCGTCCAGTTTTGACCAAGTCGGGAGGGAGTTTCTCATGCAGGATAGGCATGAGAGAGATCGCACAGAATATGTCATGCTAGGTCCTGCATTACAGACCTCATGGCTCATGGAAAAGCTGCATGACAAGTCGCCCATTCTTCCAGACCCAGACATTTTTGCATTTGATACAACACCCGTAAGCATTCGGCCGCAGTGTCCGCGACGTTCAGCCGGCTGGCGAGAATTTTCACGCTGCCGCAGTCCCGCAACATCCGCACAATCTGGTCGGGAAAGTAGTTCTCCGCAGGCACATCGGTCGGCACGCCCTTCGGTGGATCCAGCTCCGGCTGCGGTTGCTTCCCTCGGCTGTCGACCGCGATGGACTTCTCGGTTTTACTTCCGAACAGCGGCGGATGCAGCAGAAGTTCCAACTCCGCTTCCTTCAGGGTGCGCGCGTAGATCCGGAAATCGGCCAGTCCGCCAAACGGCTCCTGTCCCGCGGTGTCGTTCCCCAGCAGATAAAAGTCGTTGCGCAGAAACGTCTGCGGCGACAATTTTTGCGTCCAATCGTCGATGTAGATCGTGCACCCGTTGTACGCGTTCGCGTACGCGTCGGGGGTAGAGTATGGATTGCAAATATGTCTGGGTCTGGAAGAGTGTAATCTTGACATGCAGGTTTTCCATGACCCTTGAGGTCTGGAATGCGGGACCTAGCATGACAGAGTCTGTGGGGTCTCTATCATGCCTATCCTGCATGGGAAACTCCCTCCCAACTTGGTCGAAAGTGGACAGCTTTTGGCACCCATGCAACACAGATTTTCATTTTTGCATGATTCGGATTTAGCATGACAAGTTGCAATCTTCCAGACCCAGACACTTTTGCAATCCATATAGAGGACACCAGCGCAAATCGGTGCCACCCTTGCGTCAATTTCGGCTGCACATCGACCACTTGCTCGCCCCCGCGGACGTCTTTCAGAACGATTTTCAGCTGGTACTGCTGCTCGGGCTGCTGGTTGCCAGCGCGGGAGGACCCGAACCCAAAGAAGCTGCTCGACGTTTGCAACCCGGTGGATTCTTTCGCGATCGCAAATTTTATCAGCGTCTGGTGTTGCTTCGGGTGCGTTTGGAGCAGCACCATGGTCAGAAGATAATTGCCTGCAGTGGTTGTAGTAGTTGCGCCACCAGGATTACTACCTCCCTGCGCCGTTGTGGCTGCACCACCCGCTTCCTCCGGACCGTCGTCCGCACCCTGCGGCGGGCCGGCGTCGCGCAGCATGTCCACCGGGTCCCAGTAGAACCAGCAGTGCAGGGTCCAGTGCCGGTTGGCCAGGTGCGCCGTTTTCAGGTTCGCCTGGAGGAGCGTTCCAAAGCTGCCGTTTGAGTTCGTAAAGGTAGACCCGGGGCTGGCCGACGTTAGGGCCGCGGGAATTTTCGTGGGCGACACCGTGGTGGGGTGCAGTATGATATCAAATGCAAAAATGTCTGGGTCTGGAAGAATGCAAGTTTGTCATGTTTGTCTGGCATGACTCGAGAATCTGTGTTGCATAGGCACGAAGAGGGGGCCCTCTTACCTGTCATGCAAAAGCGCAGTTTGCCATGCGGAATACGTAAGACATGGGAGCCAAAAAATTTGTCATGCATAGCTGCGTATTGCAGTGCGTCTCCCATTCACTTTTAGCATGAGAAGTTTCCAGACCCAGACATTTTTGCAATGCATATATGATCGCCGAGCCCTCAACGAACTCCGTGCCCCACGACCGCCGGTACATGCCCCGGCCGAGCTCCAGTGGCCGCGGCTGGCCAATGGTGAGTGGATTCAACACCCCGCTACTGTCCACGCCGACGTTGGTGGGAGAGTCGAACTTCAGCCAGCAGAACAGGCGCTCGCACCGCATGTCGCCCATCCAGCACAGGTTCGCGAGCGTCGCCGCAGCCTCGCGGGCCTCGGGCCACGTGGCCGTGGCGACAGCGCAGAGGAGCAACCGCACGAAATTCGTGCCGTGCAGGCTGTTGGGTATGATGGCGTGGTACCGCGGCTCGAAGAGAAAGATGCGCTTCCACCTCGGCTCCAACACCAGCCGGGAGAGCAGTTGCAGAATCAAGAGCGATTCGAACACGCTCGTGAACCGGAAGCTGTCCTGCACGGTGGGCGCGGGGACGTGCTTGCCATCGATAAACCGATTTTGCAGCGTCTGCACGGAGACGCGCTGCATCTTTTCCAGCATATCGTCCGCCTCGGTGGGATCTTCCGCGGCCATCAGATTGCGTTTGCCGAAGAAGTCCGCCAAAACGTGGTCCACGTCGTACACGTTCAGCCCGGTGGTGCCGTCCTCGTTGCTCTGCTCGCCTCCCGTCGCGATCAGCTCCTTTTCCTCCGCGTAGCGGAGACTGGAGTTTTCTCGCCACCAGTGCAGGATGCCGAGGAATTTCTCGATGATCTCACCCGTGAACGCACCGAAAAGCGTGTCCTTCTGGAGGATCGCCGAGCGGGTCAAGGTCAGGATCGTGTCCAAATTGTTCCCAAAAGCTTCCTCCCGGACCTGCGCCGGCGTGAGCTGACGGGCCTTCGCGGGCTTGCTACTAGTACTCCCACCACCCCCGGCGCTGTCGGTCGCCTGGTCCTGGCTCGCGAGCTGCTTCAGCCGCGTTCGATAGTCCGCCAGCTTGTCCACGGTGCGGTCAAAGTCTTCCGGGGGCGGGTAGTGATTGTTTTCGCCCCCCACCGACTCCGAGGCCACACACCAAGGCAGCCGGTGCCCCGGGTGGCTGGCGAGCAGCGTCATCAGCCGCGTGCTCGCGAGCAGCGAGCGGCCGATGGACCCGAGGCCAGTCTTCGCCCTCAGCGCGCCAGGATTAAAATTCGCTTCGATGATCACATCCTGGAAGTAACACAGCTTCGCGAACAAATCTTGCTGTGCGAATGACGCGCACACGTCGCGCCGGAAGGCGGCCAACGAAATGGACTCCAACAGCTGGTCGCAGACAGTGATCGGAAACCGCGCGTACTTGTCCAAGTTGATTCTCTTCGGCCCCTTCTTCTCCTTTGACGCCAGTGGTCCGCCGGGTTGAAGTGGATCTCTTGCCGAACCACTGGCTCGGGAAGATGCCGCAGAGGCGGAGCGCGCCGAGGCTGCTGCACCGCCCGGTTGCTGCTGCGACCCAGCTGCCGCCGCCCCTTCGCCGAGAGCGCTCGGGTCCTGTTGCTGCTGCCCTCCTCTACTGCTGGAGGAGGCACCAGTAGTCCCGGATTCTAATTTTGGCTTCACGACGGCGGACAACTCTGCGTGCTTGTCGACTAAATAGACAAACATCTGCAGCAGCCGCTCCGCCAGCCTGCGTGCCAGCGGCTCGCATTCCGAACTGTCGAGGACAAATTTGGCGGTTCGAAGCGTGCGGTCGCACAGACTCGTGTTAAAAAGAGCGAGGTGGTCTACGACGGTAACCACGCGCTGTTTTCAAGTTTTGATACTTCACTGTCGTTCTGTCTCCACTGTGATTAAGTCAACAAGCTGGTGCACAAATCAACGCAGGCTTTTTCGTCATTTCTTGCCTAATTTTTACAAAAACCCGTTGATGCATGGCACCCACCTACTGCAAAACAGCATACCGTGGCCGCTGCTGCTATGGCAGTCGTTGGTTCCCCACCGCCCCCTGTATCCGCACTCGCACTCGACGATGCGGACGGGTTGTCTTTGATCTCAAGTTTAACCATGGGAGGTGGTTCGATGTAAAGCAGCTCAAATATCAAGTCCTGGCGCTCCAGCGAGTTTCGCTTCATCAACCAGCGGAGCTGCGAGTCGGGGATCAGGATCCAAAACAGGATGTTCATGTTGCACACCACCTCTTTGCGCTGCGCCTGTTCTGATTCCCCATCCTCTTTCTTGATGAGCTGCTGCTTCTGGGCCGCAGGAAGCTTGTCGAAGTCCCGCAGCATCTCGAACGACGGAATGCAGTGCTGTCGCCAGTAGGACACCTGTGACAATGATAACATCCCGAAAAAGTGCACGAAGAAGAGTAGCAGAGGAAACACCTCTGTACGTAAATGCATGTCTGAGCTAGAACGCACAGCCACACTGTAATCACAACTGTAACAAGTACCGTGCGGACGAAACTCCGGAGGCACAAGACCGCGTGGCACTTCTGTGCGGGAAAAGGTGCCCGCTCAAGAAGCAGTTCTTCAGATGAAATCAAATGCAAATCGATAAAAAAGTATAAATCAAATACGAGTATTTGTATCCCCGTGCCCAATTGTCGGTCTGGCGCGGCCTCCTCGATGATGTCCACGATGCCCCGCGTGGAATTGCGGCAGTGCCAGTAGAACAGCCGCACACACTCCGCCATCAGCTTTTCGGAGACCCAGTAGGCCAACATGGTGTCCAGCTCGCCCTGCCGGCCGGCGTCGTGGTACACGGCGGCCTGCATCAGGGAAAGCACGATGTCGTAGTCGAGTTGCATTTCGAAACCGAACTTCAAAAACTGTCCGAGCGTGAAGGCGCAGTTGGCGAAGGCCTTGGACTGGTCCGCGGCCACGTCCGCCTCGGTTTCCTTTTCCAGTTGCGCAAACGACAATTTGAAGTAGGACTCCAGAATGTCGCCCACCGAGCCCTCCATCAGGATGATCAGGTTCTCGGTGCGGCGGGAGAGCTTCTTGAAGGTGAGCGTGACCAGCTGCTCCGCCTCCTCCAGCTGGTTCAACACGATGCAGAGAAAGTTCAGCACCGACCCGCTGCACAGGTCGGGCTCGAAGTCCTGGTAGTCCGCCATCTCGCAGAACAGCTTTGCCGCGAAAATCTGCAGCTCGTCGACCTTCTGCTGGCTGACCGTGTCGCTGGTGGTTTCCATGGTCAGAATCAGCACGGCGGAGACAAAATCCGCCCGGATCAGCTTCTTTCGGGCCAGCTCGTACGGGAAAAAGGTACGCGCGATGGCCACGCCCGTCACGCGCCACTCCAGCTCAGGCGAGTGGTACTTGTGTTCCAGGAGTTTCATGACCCCCTCTTCGAGCAGCTGGAGATCGAAGAATTCCGACCGCCGGTCCTCCACACCCTGCCACAGACCGTTCCAGTAGTTTAAATCGTTGGCATTCTCCTCGAGCGCCTGGACCAGCTCCGGCGCCAGCATTTTCTTGGCCGCCGCGCTGGCGGTGCGGTTCGCTTGCGCCGCCGCATTCCCCATGCTGTTCCGTACGTCTCTCCGGCGGGAGCGGCTGCGGACGCGACTAGGGTGCAACTAGGAAAGGCTGTTCTGGTGCGGATAGTGGTTTCGCTGCCTCGCACCGCATCCTTACGGTTGGAGAAAGTAAAGTAGTTCTACTGTCTTCCGCAAGCAACCATCCGACAGCCAACTACCCGGTCGGGCGGCAGACCTGACCGGCGCTTCGGTCCTCGACTGGACGAAAGAAATTCGGGGGCCACTGACATTTTTTCGATTGCCAGTGGCGAGCATTCATCAAAGCTAGATTCGCGATGGAGACGTTCTTGAAATGATCTTTCACAGTCATACAGTTTGGTACTTATCTTCTATTCTCCCTCACTGATCATGTGTATTCTGTAAGCGACCCTCACTGGGATCCAAATTAATATGCTCGCTCACCACTATCGCAAAATCGACTCAGAAACCTGCCCTGTCGCACGCGCAGCAGCACTTCTGGAGCTGGACGCTAATCTTCGCTCGACACTCTCGCTAGATTTGCGCACCCGTCGTAAAAGTGTCGTGGAGACTGACAAGCAACAGAGACCCCCCAACTCAAGAACAGAAACGAAAGAACGCAACTGGTCTGCTGGGTGCTTTATTATGCACATTGAGCGCTGTTTTGAAATATGTTCGCGCAGCTTCGTGAAAGAAAAAAAAACCGTACGCACGGGCTTAAACATGCTCCAGGCATGCATATCTATTCCGAGTTGACGGGCACGACGAGAAGCTGCCTCTCAGCAGAAGCAGGAACTTCAACTAACAGACATCATGGAAGATTTACAACGGAAACGATGATCGAAACAAGGTAGACAACAGAGAAAAATAGCTTGATAAAAGGATAGCGCATATAAACTTGTAGCCTGCTCCTGCACACGACGACGACCCCCGGGCTCAGGCGTGGCCGACGGTGAGAAACTGAATGCGGGTCCAGTAGATCTTGGAGCCGTGGAAGACGTCCCCGATCGCCTTCTGGGTGCAGTTTCCGAAGAGGCGCAGAAAGTGGGGCTCCCACTGCTCCAGCAGGTCCCCGTCGTGGAAGGCGTACGCGTCGTTGAACATGTACTGCATCGTTTGCACCCGGCTCATATCAAATGTAAAAATGTCTGGGTCTGGAAGAATTCATGTTTGTCTGGCATGACTCTTAAATCTGTCATGCACGTTACCCAAAAGCTCCGCTTTTCTGTGATGCAGAAGCGCAGTGTGTCATGCACAATAGGCAACGCCTAGGAGCTCAGAAACTTGTCATGCTGAGCCAGCATTTGTAGCCTCATCCTGAGACGCTACCCAGCATCACCAGTTCCCAGACCCAGACATTTTTACTTTTGATAGCTCACGTCCCAGCTGTAGGAGCTGACTTTCTGGTCGAACTTCTCCGCGGCCATGAACATGGCCTTCATCGTTTCCACCGAGGAAACGTCCCAATTGGACAGGTCCTGGTTGTATCAAATGTAAAAATGTCTGGGTATGGAAGAATGCAGCTTGTAATGCTGTCTGCGGATTCTCAAAATATCTGTGTTGCATGAGCAGCAAGAGGAGTCAGTTCTTGGCACGCGAAGAGGGAATTTCTCATGCGTAATTAGCATCAAGAAGCTCTCAAAAAATCTGTGATGCTAGCACCAGCATCACAGACCTCACGGGTCATGCAAAATGTGCATGACAAGTCCCGACTCTTCCAGACCCAGACATTTTTGCAATCCATAGGTTGAACCGCAGCGCCTCGTGGAACATGCCCGCCATGTCCACCACCTTGGACACGTCCCAGTCGTTATCAAGAAGAAAAATCCCCCCTCCCCATATCAAAACGGAAATCTTAATCTGTGTTGCTGTATTTGAGTACACAAATCACGTTTGTCTTGCAGTAAAGGACTGCACGCAGATCGTAACAAGCCTAAGGGGGGGCCTCTTAGTGGAGGGGCCTAGCATGGCAGACGTCTGCCCTATCGGCCTTGCAGCATTACAAATCGCCTGCATACCGTGGCGGAGTCTCTGAGTTTGCCCTCTTGCAAGAGAGACAGGATTTGTGGTCACAAATCAGCATCACAAATTCTTTAGAAACATACCTTTTCAGTATGGGGAGGGGGGATTTTTCCTTTTGATAATCGTTCAGCGGCCGGTTGAAGCTGAACGCCCGGGAGAACATGCAGTGCATGTCCACGGCGCTGCTGGTGTCCCACCCGCTGATGTCGCAGTTGAACAAGGGCCGGCGGGAGAACAGGGAGGCGAAGTTCTGGATCTTGGACACGTCCCACACGCGGAGCGGCCCGTAGATCTGTTGAAATTTCGCTTTTTCCTCCTCAATCTTCCGCTTCTCCTCCTCCGAGTATTCGTCCACCCGCTGCTGCATCAAGTCCACGGGGTCCTCGCGGTCCCAATAGGGCTCCATGGGGTCCCAGGGACCACGGAAGGGTTCGAGGGCGGCATTCAGCTCCGCCCGGGACTTATCACGAGAAAAAAGTGATACAGTTACACACTTGTTGGAGTTTCTGCACCACAGATTTTCTCTGTGTGGCAGAGAAAACTTGTAATGCGAAGATCATAAGGGAAAACAGGAAGGAAACGAGCCTCCCAAGCATTTCCTGCATGCGACTGGTTGTCTGTGTTGCCGGTCTTGCAACACAATGTGTAACTGTAACACCTTTTTCTTGCGATAGGATTCAAACTCCTTCCACTGACGGACGCAGTAAGACAGATGGAAAACGGGAGGTGGTCCTAATTGTCGTGCGGGTGACAGTACAGCAGGAGGAGGAACAGTAGACGACGCTGATGCAACTATTGCACTTGTGTCTTTCAATGATCCAGCAGCCAGTCTTGAAGTCTGCTTGTTGTTTTCGATTTCGATTTCTATTTCTCTCCGCTCTGCGTCCGTCTGCGCAACTGACGGCGCGAGGAGGATGTTGCAAGAACGGGAGGCTTTCTCTGCAGCCCGACCACCGGCCAACTCCTCTGTCTTGTTCTTCTTCTCGGAGGTGCCGACAAGCGCGTCCTTGGTACTTCCAGACTCGTCTTGTTTTCTCTTGCGCAAGGCGTCGCCGGTGGTCGTTCTTTCTGTCCGCGCGCCGTCGACGGGATCTAATTCTTCCTCGCTCGAAAGCGTGAGCGAGGAGGATGGAGAAACTTTAGTCAACGACGACGCTTCCACGATAGCAGTCTTCGGGCTGCTGCCGGAGCTAGTGCCAGCACTGGTGGTGCATGTTGCAGCACCCTCGCTTGAAGAACCACACTTCGTCGAGCAGGACCACGGCTCCGAGAACTTTTTCAATGCCCGAACCTCGTTTTTTCTTTCTGGCGCTGCAAAATTTGTGTCGGGCTCAAGTAGCAAACACGACACGGCGACGGCTCCAGAGTGCAGTACGTTCTTCTCGGTTGCCGCCGATATGTCCGCTCCTGGGTTGTTCTTAGCCTGATGTAGTTGACAAACTGAACCACTCAGAGAAAGCTCACCGACCGCGGTGGAATCCACTTCCATAGAGTCGACGACGCTGGAGCTCTTGTGACGTGCCACCTTCATTCGCACGTCAGAACAATCTATCGATGGCAGTTGTACCGCTGCACCCTTGCTCTTTGAAGATGAAGTCGTTGTTGTCCACGATAAAATCCAGTCAAGCAGCTTGCAATTGCTTTTCTCAGCATCCATCGCCTCCTGTTCTCCGAGTTGCCGCAATGCCGAGCCTACCTCGTCGCTTGCAGAGGCAGGACTGTCACTTGTGGTCCCTGCATGAGCCGCTTTTGGCCCGCCGCTTTCGAGAGCGCCGTCACAAGGCGTTATGAATGATCCGAGGTCGCCAGCGTCGTCGACGGCACGTCTGGGCAGAGAACTACTCGTGATCTGTTGGTCTTCTTTTTCCGAGGAGAAGACCGAGGAGATATCCTCATTTTCAGAGAAATCTTCGTCAACATCCCCATCTTCCACCTGTTCCGTGTCATCCTGGTCCTCACTTCCTTCCGCAGAACCGGGTGGAGCCATGAGCAAAATTATGTGCTCCCAGTGGATTTGTCGCTTCTTGTACGCACAAGACTGCTCAACATCGGTGCCGGCCGGACAATCCTGCATTTGCCCCGTCGTCGCCCGTACAGACGAGGAAAAAAATCCTCCCGAAGCCGGACGAGAGGACGGAGTGGTAGTTATTGGTGGACTTGACACGCTGGAGCAGCTCGTGTTGGTTTCAGTGGAAGTAGGAGCCACGGTCTGAAAGGTACTGGTATCCTCAAGCGGAGTCGAGGATCGCTGCCAGCGGCCACTCGGTGAAGAAGTGCTAGCACTCGGGGAACACGTCGGTGAAAACTCTTTTCCTTGCGTGACCCGGAGCTGCTGCTGCGCTTTTTCCTCTTCCAAGTCGAGCAGCGCATTCCGGCGGTTCAGCTCCTCGGCGATAAAGTGCCGCAGGTCCTTAACAGTAGTGGCAGAGCTTTCCCAGACCTTTTCCTCTACATTGGGCAGTAGGTCCCCGGTAACCATATTCGCGACGGACACACGAAAGGAGGGGGGAATCAGAATCGCGGTGGAATTATGTGAGATATTGATATCGTGATTTTTAGAATCCGCACCGTGCATGGCCGTTTGAGGATCCTCCTGCAAGGGAAGGAGACTCTCCGAGGACCCTTGCTTTTCGTTTTCCATCGGCGTGCTGATGTTTTTGGTAAACTCTGACGTCGGGATTTGCTCCTGGCCCATCTTTATTTGTCGCAAACTTCAACTTTTTTTAGCTGCACCGATGTATCATCTGAGTATTTATGATTCATGGATACTTTCGCGTGACCTCGACCTCATCACGATACAGCACCAGTGGGTAGAATTATACTTCTACTTTCAAATATACTTATACCGAAACAGGAAAGCAGTGTGCAGTGAAGGGATGCCTGCGCTCTTGTGTAGTGGAATGAAGTATGGACCAAAATCACTCACCCAGCACCAGCTGCAAGTACGACGTGGACAGGAGAAGCACGAGAAGAGAGCGATTACGTGTTGAATACAAAGCAGACCACTGCATAACAGACAGGGAGGACGAGGAAAAGAGCGCGAGAAAATGTACGAGCACAGCAACGAAGTACGAGGACAACAACGAAGAACGATGACCACGATGAACGAAGTGCCGTAGGTGAACAAAACAAGTACGATGATCGCATCCGCAACCAGAGAAGAATCTTGGAACAAAAATGCAAATCGGACAGGCATGATAGACTTCGCCGATCATTCGCTTAGCAGTAAGAAAATTCAAATACTTGGGCGAGTAAATTGATTCTTTATTCTTTTCAAAACGCGATTGCAGAATACTGGAAGATTGTGCGGTTTCTAAGAAAGTCAATTGTTGCGCAGAATAGGTGTGTGCAGTTGTCTGTTCATCTACGAGCGTGGAAGTTTCTCTAGTATGAAAAAAAGTTCGCGGGGCAGCATTACACTGGATTGAGTATTTCCGAATCACTAGATATCAACTCTTTACTTTGTTAGGTTTGCGCCGTTTGTTTCGTTATCGATTCGGTTTCGGCCAAAGAGAACAAGAAACTATATCTCCTTTGAATTTTTATCTGATAAAAATTCAAAGGAGATATAGTTTCTGACAGTTGTAATCACTAAATTTTGACATAGACGGACCACGTCCAACGAGGCAGTAGGATGCCGCTATCGAGGCCACAAAGTAGCACCGCGCCTTTCCACAAAATTCCCTTATACGACCGCGCCGACGCGCGTGGCTTCTGCCGGCAAAAATTCTCTCACGAACTCCTGCATCGTGTTGGGGATAACGTAGAAGTGCGTGGCTTGGTGGGGCTTATCTTTCCTACTGGTGGTTGTACTACGGCTACTAGAAGTAGGATTTTGCTCTTGATTTGCCAGTTTTCTGTCTACTCCGGGCGGGTGTAGTGCTGTAGTTGTGGCAGAATTTTCGTTTTCGTCTTCTTCACCGCTGTAATTGACAAATCTCTCCACGTACTTCTCGTACACTAGGACCTTCTGCTCGCACCAGTTTAAGTAATCCCACGTAATCCACTCCCACTCCTGCTGCTCCTTTGCCACGGCGCTTCCAAACGAGCTACTGCTGTAGCTCACGTTTAGCGGCTGCGATGCTGAACCAAAGCCCCTGCGCATTTGCTGCTGTTGGTTTGTCTGATGCTGTTGAGCACAATGATGTATTTCCCAGCTTGTAGCACTAGAGAAAGATGATGAACAAGCAGAAGCAGCAAAAGTGCGCTGGTGCTCCTGCATTTGGTTGTACGGATATTGTTGATTTTGGTCATCGTGCACCATGGCAGAATCCTCATCCCGAAAGTCGTTTCTGACGACGCTGTTTTTCACGGTTTTTCGCTTGAAAAACCACCGCTCTCGTTCGACGTGGTATTTCCAACCGCGATTATACAGTTCCTCCGCCGCGTACGCCTGCATAATGTCGTCGACCAATTGGTAAAACACGTAAAACAGCGTCTCCAGAGAAAATTTGCTGACCTGCTGTTGCCACTTCCAGAGCGTCCGCACTGTGTCCTCGAAATCTGCGCCACTACTCGAGCCCGTGCGGGAGAAGGATGTTGCGGGGCCACCCGTCGTACAACTACCTCCGGGGTTAGAATTGTACTTGTTGTAATTTGGCAATAAATCGTATGCGTGTTGTAGTGGTCCACCGTCGCTGCGCTGATGCTGTTGTTGTGTACTGCCTCCAGAGCAGTTCCTTGTGTTTTGCGAAGTACAACCAGTTGGTTGCGAATGGTTGCGAAGATTTTCGTGTGCTGCTTCCTGTTCCTCAAACATGAGCATGGATGCGGTGCTCGATTGCGACTTTTGGGAGTGCCGCGCGGACGTGGAGATAGAGCTACTGGGGCCACTGATCTGCAGGTTGTTGCCAGTCTTGTTGTTGCCAGTGGTCGTGGTATGATCGGAGAGAACAGCCGAAGTACTCGTCGACGAGAAAACCACATCGCGTTCGCGACTGCTTGTGTTCACTATGTGATTATTCGCGGTGGAAGACGTTGCGGCCATACTAGTGTACGACCACGGCAGGACGGCGTCGGGATGATAGTTTTCGTAGCAAGCCACGTTTTGCAGCTCGTTGGATTCCGGAAACGAACGTGTGGTGTATGGCAGCGGAAGCTGGCGGGATTTTTTATCAAAGAGACATCACAATGTTCTGACAGTACGGGCTGAAGTGTTTTAGAAATCATGGATCATCTCTCTCTCTTTGCCCCAAAAACTCCTCATCTCTTCAGATAGGTGCGCCGTAGTTGTTGACCGAATTCTCTGATACTTCGTAATGGAAATGAGTAAATTAGAAGCACAAATTTTTACCTCGAGTCTTGGAGTAGCTTGAACTTGCTCAGGAACAGATTCCTTCTTCACATTGCCACCACAGTCTCGCTCCGACTGCCCACATTTCCCGTCTGCAACGTCGGTCCGCAGCCCTCTCTCGCCTTCTTCTGTAGGATTTTCCTCCGCGGCGATTAAATTGCGATCATCTTCACCACTGAGCGCATTTCTTACTCTTTTAGCTTTGCTCCCGTTTCTGCAAAACTTGTCAGCAAGAGTGTGCGGCGCATTCAAATCGATATCCAGTGTGTCTAAATCGAACCCGAGGGACAACGACTGTAGGGTATAATGGGTAGTAGTTGCAAAACTTCCGCTTCGTTCTAACTCCTCTTCGTCTTCCTTCGCTGCTTTGTTTGGTAAGACAGTTGTATCTGCATCCGCCGACGTGCCGCGTCCTCCTTGACTATTTCTGCTTTTGATGTCAACATATGTGATCTCATTATCTTCATCCTGACCAACCGCACGAGTTGTACTCTTCTCGACAAGGTCTGCACTCTTCTTCTTGCTGCTTTTGCGAGCCGTTTTTTTGCTTTTGCTACCGCGCCGGTTTTTCGTCCACTGCTCGGCAGAGAGGCTGATGGGAGCCAGGTCAGATTCTTTTGCCTCTCCCCCTACCTCCACATCCACTAAAGAGCTGGCCATGGTGGTGGCGGAAGTAGCTTCAATTTTTTTTACCGGGCGATTCATGTTACTAGCATCAGCGGTCTTGCTACCAACGGATTCAGTTATCTCCTGGACCTGAGCCGGCGACGACGGATGGCCAGCGGCCGGACCCGCTGCATTTTTCACAGTCTCTATCGCAGGGGGCGGCTGCAAATACGGTGGCGCAGAGGGGGGCGACGACGACGGCGGTCCTTTGGGCGGGGGACCTTTGGGCAGACAAAACTCCCGTTGAAGACCCATGATGAAATGCAAAGCCTTAGTCGTTGGACATTTTGTGAGTTTTGTACATCGAACGCACCATATTTTTTCGTTGCTTCGGCTTCCTGGAGCAGGCTGTGACTAGCACAAAGTGATACTGTAGCTATACGCCACAAGACGCTGCTGCATTATTAGGAAACCAAAACGCAAAACCTGTTTGGATTTGGAGAATACAAGGCAAAATCTATCGAGGTTGACATCAACTCAGACTCCACTTTTTTGGATCGATCATGCACGTCCGCACGCAAAGGAACCGATGAATAGATCTGTGGCGAAGTAGAAACTTTCATCAAAAAAGTGCAGAAAGTTCGGTCGTGATCGAAAAAGAACCAAACGCAAGTAGAGCCGCTGGCGCCACGCCGAGAGATCGCGACACGCGCTGCTAGGTCTGGAAAGAATATGCGACGTAAGTAGGAGAACTGGTGCGCAGCTCCAGGACAAAAAACAAGATCACATCCACACACACGCTGGTGGACGAACGCCTGAGGCGACTGTGGAGTGTGGGATCTCTGAGACGGTTGATTCTTGACGGTGAATACTTATGGATCGGGACAGACTAGTGTAAAGACGATGAAAATTATGAACCTGGCGGGCATCATCTTTAAATCCTCGTGCAAGGACCAGAACAAGTTGTCGACCATATTTCTGCGTGTTAGCGGAGCCTGGAACGTCGGCCACGGAGCGTACATACGATTTTTACATCAATGTGGTACTTACTGCGTTGTGGCTTGGTCTACTTGCGAAGCCATAGGATTGCTGTTCGATGTCGCTATGAAGGTGCACCTGAGGATTCCGTTTTTAACAACGCAGCGATGCGTTGAAACCGTTCTTCTGTCGCTGTTCTCATTGTCTGATGTTCGCTCTTGTCAACACTTCTACTTCCAAAGCTGCTTTCAACCCGCTTGATCTGGTCCAAATAGTAGCCCCTGCGCATTGGATCCAACTCAGAAGCGAGTTTTCTATACAGGCTTGCCACGTCTTCGGTCGATATATTAGGAGGTCCGCTTTGACGCCCTTTTTCGCTAGTCGCCGGTTCCGCCTGCAGTTGCGCACTGCTTTTACAGTTCTTCTCCTCCCACAGAGCCTCTAACAGCCTTGCCTTCGCCAGAACGGCCAAGTAGCAATCCGGTTCGAGCTCCAGCAGCTCGTCTATCCGTTCGATTTCGGTCTGAACAATCTGGGAAGACACGTTTCGGGCGAAAAATTTCGATTGCTGCGGTTTTATTTCACGGCTGCTTTCTGCAGAGGAGGAAGTGGTCTGGAACAGGTTTCTCACTTGTTGTTCCGCTAGTTGTGTCGTCTCGGTGCCGGAATCAACTACACTCGTGAATTCCAAATCTACGCAAAACACGTAGTCAAGCGACTCGTCTTGTTTCTCTTCACCCGGAGGTCCAGGCTTGGTCAATGGATGATCGGCAGCTTGCATATTCTCCATCGCTGCTTCGACCACACGCGCAGCTCTTACATCGATCACCTTTATTTCAGCGAAAGAACCTCCTCCATCCTTGCCAACTAACAGCTCCGGTGGCAGAAACCTTTCTTCGAAATCCTCCTTACTCAGAGAATCTGAGCACAGCAGACAGCAAGAAAATAATGTCCTCCGCGCCGCTCCACTTTTAGCACAGTCGGACAACATCGCCGCTTTGTTATTGGGAAAAACTTCGCAGTGCAGCACCTGCATCTCTCTGTTTTTCAGCAGTAGAAACTCGTGGTAGAACCAAATCGACTGGTCGTTCGGCTCCGTAAAAATCGCCTGCTGGAGCCACTCGAGTTCCGACTCCAGGTCAAAATCGAAACCGCTCGCAACCACCTTCCCCCGCAGGTACCAGGCCGAGTAGTTGCTAAAATTCTCCAAAATCAGCTCCTCGGAAAGTGCAAGGTCTTCCTCCTTTTGCTGCTCGTCGTGGCTTTTGGTGCCGTCGTGGTTTGCGCTTTTCTGTGCAGAATCTTCTCCTGTCAAGGATCTAGTGTACAAGTACACTTCTTCCTTCTCCAGAAGCCACTGCCGGTAATTCCACGCGTGGAAGTTCCGCGCGTCGAGCTGAAAGAATTGTCGAATCTTCTTTTTCTCGGCCAAAATCAGGTCAATATTTTGTTCTTCACCAGGCAGTTCCATCTTCTCAGCCGTTTTCCGCTTTAAGATCTCGTCCACGACCCACCTGCGGTGCGTCCACAGGCAGTAGCACTTCCGCCCCTGCTGCATCGCCTTGTCCAGGAGCAGAAGCTCGTTATTTAGGGCCTCCACGATCACAGAAGGAGGTTTAACATTTTGGGGTTGATGCGGTTCTGACCCAGAATCTATCTCTGCTTTAGTAGGAGATCTTAAATTGTCGCTGCTCGGAGTAGTTGTTCCTTCTTGCCCTTTCTTATCGCTACTTGTCGCGCTGCTGGCCATCTTCTCGAGCTTGTAAAAGGTTTCCCGTCTGATGTTCCACAAAGTCCCGAACTCGAGCTTGTACTCGATATACCGGATTAAGCGTCCCAGTTCGAAATAACAGATTTAAGCGGCCAAGGTTATGCTCATGCGTTCTAAAAACTCGACGAATTTTTGAACATTTTTCTTTTCGTTCAGGCAACAGGATAGGCAGCGGGAGCATTGTTGGTTTTATATATTAACGCAGGCCAGTGGGGAAACGGGGCCTACGCATTAATTTCCGCGGTGAAAAGGCGACGCGACCGGGGAAGCTCTATCTTGGCACCCTTCCCGCGCCGTGTGCTCCCGTATACCGCAATCGCGCCCGAAGGGTGCCCGCAACGTCGGTTCTTTCGAGAACAGAAAAAACGCCACTTCCCCTGAAAACGAAAAAACGAAGGGGGGCCACCACCGGCCGGCCAGGATGCATCGGCCGGGCGAGCAGGGGCCCGCCGCGGGGCGCAAGGCGCGGGGGCGGGATCTCGCGGGGCGAAGATCCGCGCGCTCCGGCCGTTTTATTTTTTCAAACACGGTCGGGGGGCGGGCATGCAAGATTTGGCAACAGGCCGCCCCAAATCCCCAAACCCTGCAGAGCTGCCGGGGGGTGGCGAAAAAAACCTCCCCTCCCTCAGTCCAAACCCAAAACCCGAATCCCCAAATCCTACGCCCTCAACAAAAAAAAACCCGCCAAGGGCCCCGCGCCGCGACCGCGGCCCCACCCCGCGCCCCGTTGCAGCTGGCGAGGTGCCACGGGGAAAACTGCCGGTGGAGGCGCGTCCATCTGCATTTTATTGGCCGCCGAAAAGTTTCCGTGATCAATTTCTTTCAGAGCGGTTTTCGGCTCGACCGATAAAATGCAGATGGACGCGCGTCCACGGTCATTTTTTGCCGCGACCGGGCAACAGCAGAAAAACTTCTGCCACCCGGACACCCGGGAAACACACCCGACCGGTGGCCAGGGCCTGGCGCGCATCCCTTCGTCCGGCGCCAAACTCCATCGCCGCCCGCGCACCGTGTGCTGCGCCGACTCGGCTCGGGGTCGCGGCGACTCTAGTGCCCCCACCCGCCGGCAAAGCTGCAAAGTCAGCCTACCGGGAGACCGGGGGCAGGCAGGCCTACCCCCCTCGGGGGCAGGCGGCGCCACGGTTCACTTGCTCCCAAAAACCCCGGGGGTCCCACGTAGTCTTTGCCGAACACTACGAGGGCCCACCTATACGCCCTGGTAGAGTGCGAGTTTTCCTATGCGACGAAAAAACTAAACGCGTCTTTATCTTTATACACTTACTTCGTGTTCGTTCTTGCTGCAGCTGCATCCATACAAATACAAAACGATAAACATAAAGCATGTTTTTGCATCGGGTGAGGAGTAGTCGCGCCCCGCCCCCTTCTTGAAAGCCGAAACCAGTTGGCTTGTTATTCTCATTCATCATTCGCATTCATCATTTGAGTTCATCACTCGCATTCCTCATTCGCATTCCTACTTAGAGCAGCAAGAGATACACACTGAAAACAAAAAAAAAGCCTGCCGGACTCGCCTGGTTTGCCACCCCCTAACCTGTTTCATAGCATCACCGCAATGCTTATTTCGAACTGGGACGCTTATTCCGGTTATTGGAGTAAAAGGTTTCCCGTCTGATGTTCCACAAAGTCCCAAACTCCGGGTGCAGCATCACCGCCTTCTTCGTGACCTCCAGCATCTTTTCCACGGGGAGATTCCGGGACAGGACAATGTTGAACAGCTCCCGGCCCTTCTGCACCATCTTCCGCTCCTCGAGGAGTTGCTCCTCGGATTGCTGCTCCTTTTTCCGGCCGTGGCCCAGCATTTTTTTCAAACCGAAGAGTGATAAAAAAGATTTTCAGGCAAGACTGCGCGAGGTCGCGGCGACTAAAAATGTCCAAGTTGAATCTACATGATGCCTCGTATCAGCAACTTTGTCACGAATTTGAATTTTCACAACTTGTCGATTCGCCTGAGAAAATTACGTATCAAAAAAGTAAAGAAGTAATACTTGTCGGTGTCAGGACAAAAAAGTGCTGTAGCCGAAACAGAAGGATCTTCACGTTCATCATTGTTTTGTGTAAAATATGCCAATGCAATGAGGAGATCTTAATTTTGTTGTAGCAGACCGTTGGGCGAAAAAGGAAGAATTTCTGTTTGAAAAGGTCAGTGCACATCGAGTACAGCTTTTCAAAAAGTAGCTCGGGATCTCACCTGGTGCTGGTCTTTGTGCTACAAAAGAACGGTCACACAAGACAGGCCGTCAACAGCTAAAGATCTTCGATCGCCCTAACACCCCGCGAAAAGGGAATCCTGCCAGCACATGCGGACTTGCCACAAGCGGGACTCTGCAATCAACTGCAATTGCGCCATCGAAAGCTGTTATCTTAAAGTTAAACTGAATGTTGGTCTGCTTGTAGGCCTGATAAATCAGTCCGTTTTTTTGTCCGCAGTGCTGTCTGCTGCGTTCATTTCATCTGCTACCACAGCGGCCGAGGTAGCCGAAGATTTGGAAACGATCTTTTCCACCGCCTTCAGGACGCCCGTTTTCGCGAGTGTGCGGTGTACAATTGGGACCAGGGCGAGGGTGAGTGGAACCCTCACAGGAAGGCTCAGCTTGTGTATGGCGAGGGCAACAACGAAGTCAGTACCTGTTGGGTGATATAATTTCTGTATCCTTGAAGGGGACAATCTGTAAGTGTAATCTGTAATCCACAGATCTGTAAGTGTAAAGAAAAGCATGTTGTCCCTGTAGAGAGATAGACGAAGAAGTTGTGATAACATATGCGTAGGTGTCGGAGCTATAGTTGCATGAAATAAATCGCTGAGGACAGCACCGAAGAACCTTGTTGCGGCACGTAGCTGGGCAAGTAGCTGAGCAATTGCTCTCGGTTGCTGTACACCGCGTAGTAAATCAAGCCCAGTGCCGTGAAAGAAACAGCGTAATGCGTGCAAAACCCTACCGGGCCCCATTTCTTGATGAACGAAAGCCCCTCCTTTACGGAGGACATCACCATTTTGGACAGAAAACCGTCGATCTGTGACACCGAAAACCGAAATGGCGCCTTTGATGGCTCGCAATAGAAAACAAGATCAAAAAAAGGTGAATATCATTCAGGATCAAGATTAACGCGGACGTCCGCTAAAAAGATCTTATCAAATAAATTGCGTGCTGGTTCGGTTCAAATTCAACACGACTGAAGAAGAAGAGTCCTGGTCTGAACACGATATTAAGCAGCTCCTGGTCGGCTTCTACAGTCGAGGGTCTCATCCTGGGCTACGAAGAACGACGACAAGGATAAAACTTTACTCCATCTTGCTTTCCTTATTTTGGCACAATGACTATGACCGTCGCTTGATTTTACAATCATTACACGTACAAAAAGTTCGTTTTTGGATCATAGTTTGCTGTCATATAATCGGAGCTTCTCTATCTTCATTCAGGGAAAATATCGTGGCAGGGTAGGCAGGTGGCGGGTAAGACTTGCGTTGTACGTCAGCTTTCTGGGGTATAGAGAGACGAGGGCCGAGTCGAGGAAGTTCATCCTTCCTGCTAATGTAGATGGTCAAACTTATCTTCACAACCAGTTGGTGTCAGTCGAAACTCACAACAACAGGTGATAGCCAGCGCAGTCCAGGGCAGAGCTGCTGTATGGCTATCCTTGAAAAATCGATTGAATCTCTGAGGGGGCTATGTCACGATGGTAGCGCAGGGAAATTGATGTAGGTATTCCTTTTGAAACGAGCGAAAAGGTATGATTCACATTTTTGAGTAAAGAAGTGTTACGTAGTTGACCGCACATTTTACAATGGGTAGCTGTGAAGCATTTTCAGTACTAGGGTAGCCTAAAATAAACTGTAGTTATTCGTAGAGAAGAGGATGTGTAAAAATTCTCTCGCTATATTCTCGACTGAAGAAACCGATAAAGGGGACGTGCTTGTTTATGTTTTCGGCGTACGTACATTAGTTCACAGGTATTGCTGTTTCTTTCGCTGCTGGATGACACTTGCTGGTACAAGGAAGTCCAGGTGATGAACTAAAAACTTCGAATTGATTCACAGCTGGTAAAACGCGGGTCGATCCCCCACGTATTTCCCGACAACCGTTGCTGGCGGAATGCTCGTCAGGACGCACGGCGCTCGCACTTGGACACTGGCGATCAGATCCGACTGCTGCAACGGCTTGGGTTGCTGACTGCTGATCGCCTCGGGAATGCCCCTCACCGGTTGAATGTTCGGCGTCTGGTACCAATCTGTACGGTAGACCGACCTGTTGTGAACGTGATCATCTTGATGCAAAATGATAACATACAGGAACAACAATCATGTCGCCAGGCCCCAATGTCAATGAATCAATATGCAAGAAAGCTCTGGCGCTCCTCCTACAAATCGGAATCCTCAGAATCAACCACAAACCTCAACATCACTTAGAACGAGGACGCAAAACTTTCTACTTGAAGTGGTCTTGGATGTGGGAGGCCAATGACACTTGCTGCGGCGCGGGCGGTGCGACCAAGGGATGGACAAGTTCCGGGAGTTGGCGGGCCATCATCGGCTGGCTTGCTGCTCGGTTCAAGCAACCCCGCGGAGTTCGGGCCATCCTGAAAGAGTATTTTGTGCGAGGGACGTAAAGGTGTGCTTAGATTGATAGGTATAATGCGTCATCAACGAGATAATTGCGGATGAGACACAAGTGTTTTCTACTCACTTCTACATCGGAGCAACACTTTCAGTGCGGCGCAAGTGTAAAACTTTAATTCTGTCATTGTAAACTTCTTTACCTCTTTGAGAACGCTTGCGCCACGTTTGGCACCCTTGCGATTTTTGAGGCCATCAGGTCCGGAACGTGCTGGTCCTTAATGGGCTCGATTTCCGCGATCACGTCGCTCCTCAATTTTTTCAGTTTCAGCTGTTCCTGCCTTTTCAGAAAGTGCTGCTCGATCAGCTTCTGCTGCTCCTGCTGTAAATCCTCGGGTAGCGGGATCTGTTCGGACCAGGTCGTGAAAAAGTCTGGGTTAAATTCCTTGACCGTACTGGTGCAGTCCGGCAAAAGTTCCAAGTCACCGTTTTCGAGAAAAGAGGACTCGAAGATGTCTTCCATCGATCTTCCCAGCAAGGCCGAGGCGTCGACGTTTACGTTGCTTCGCCCACTGTGATCTCTTCCACGGGTCTGCATCTGGCCGGCCAGGAAGGGGTTCTGTTGCCCGGACCGCGAGCGGCCGCGCTGGACGGCGGAGTTATTTTGGTTCTGCTGGTCCATGACGGTCTGTACGGTCACGGCGCTGCCGGAAATTCGCGCGGAAGCGCCACGGGCAGCTGCGTTGTTGCCCCTGGCCAGATCGCGGCAGAACTACGTTATTTGAGTAAGTATACATAGGCTCTATTTCTGCTGTTGTTAAAAAACGCCAGCAAAAATGTGAAGCATTGGTTGTGACATTTCTAGGTCTAGTATGTTGGCTAGACGACTTTATTGTTCAAAGTCGGCAAATATTTGTTCAACATCTTCAGGAGAAAGTATGTACTGTCAAAGCCGGCGGCGTTAGACTTCGCTTGGTTTTTGGGAGTAACGACTGCGGATTCACACCGTTTGTAAACATCGACGTTGTGGGCGGCATCAGCAGCATTTGCGGTCCATAATTGCTCCCCGTCTCCGTTTCGCCGTCACCAGTGGCACCGCCGAAGTTTGGCATGAAGCACCCCACCGGACAGCTGAGCGCCGGGCCAGAACCTGCCCCAATCAGCTGGTGCGGGGTTGTGGACCGGGAGCGTGCCCTTGCTTCTGTCATGCCGATTCCCGTTGCGGCCTTCAATTGTTTCCGCAGAGATTTCACGTTTTCCGAGATGGCCGCGCCGTCCTGCGTCAGCTCGACCTCGTCCACCAAGTCGCGGATATGGAAGCGTCAGGATTGAAATCGTCAAAGTTGAACTAGTTTGTGATGCATATATAAAATGCTAGACGCAAAGTGCCTGTCTTGCAGAGCACGCAACTGAGGCCGATTATAAGCCTGTTTGGATTGTGAGATAGAGCTGCTAAAATAGCATGAAAAAAGCAGTCTTCTCTGCTCAAACAGCGCGACAAATTGGATTTCCATGCTGCCAAAATTTGTCATGCGCCACTTGCAAACTGGGCGCCAGCTGGCATCGCTTTCTTGCATTGCAGATTGTTTCAACTTTGACGATTTCGATCCTGACACTCCCATAGCGGACTTTCTGACCGTAATAATTCTCGTCTCCGCCGAGAATCCGGGTCCCGATCTTTTTGGGCTTCTGCTTGAAGAGCCGATGGTTGTCATATCCTGTGCAAAAACATGCCCACCCCAGAGTTGTCATGCAGATCTGCAAGCACAAGAGCATTTGTGATGCGCATCCCCATGGGAGACATTTCCCATCGTGTTTTGGAAGTTGTAATGCTGTCAACAGGATGAGGAGATGGATTTCTTATGCGGCTTCCCTTGCTAAGAACCTGCATTACACTACAGCCTGCAACTTGTCATGCGTGGCTCCCAAAACTTTCAGGTTTGTGTTGCAGAATCCCCATCTTGACTCTGGTGTGGGGACGTTTTTCCTCAGGATATGTCACACGCGTGCATCATGGCGGCCATGTGCACCGGGATGTTCGTCACCTGCTGCTATCAAAAGGAAAAATCCCCCCTCCCCATATCAAAACGGAAATCTGTGATGCAGATTTGTTGTCACAAATCAGCTTTGTCATGCTACACGGGAAAAGATGCGGACTGTAGTGCTGGGTGGCGTGGGGGAGCCTTGCATCTTCAGCATGATAGGAGGCAGCTGAGAGTGGGAAACAGCATGACAAATTGCCTGCAGACGAGACCACGACTGCGGCTCTTGGCCTTCTAGCATTACAAGTCGATTTGGTAACTCAAATCCTGCATCACAGATTTCCACTTCGATATGGGGAGGGGGGATTTTTCCGTTTGATAGCTGCTGCTCCACCGTGGGAAACTGCTTCTGTTGGGACTCGTCGATCTGCAAGGAGCAGGAAATGACTTTTGCTTTCAAGAGTGTAGTTCCGATCGATCCTTATCGATTTTGAGTATGACTACTAAACGAAAAGCAGCACAACGAAAAATAACGGTCTAGATCAAGCAGTACACTACCACAAGTGAGAACAACGAAGATTGGATGAAAGTACTTTATCACATACCATTCGTGGCGGCGGTGCTCTGGTTTTCAGTGGACTCGCAAATCGGATCATCGGCGCTTTTAACGACTTGATAGACTCGACTGCCATGTTCGCAAAGTTCGCTTCTGGCGCCGTGTGCAGATATGCTTCCGGCGCGGCGGCGGGCTGCTGCGATTCAACCATCTGGTCAAAGTTCAGCGGTGGCGTCTTTTGGTGCTGTCCGCTGGCCTGCACGAACATTTTTCTTTCCTGCTCTGGCAAAACGGTGGACGGCGCCGGGGCGGCGGGAAAAAAAAACTTTTGTTGCTGTTGCTCTGGGACCTGTGGCTGGTGAAACACGGGTGCTTGCTGCAGTTGGGTCTGCTGCACAACAAACTGCGGGGGCTGCGCGGGCACGAAACTTTGCTGCTCCATTAGCTTTTGCGGAGCTGGCTGTGCAACCTAGTGAGGAGATTTAAAGCATAGTTGTATCGATACGTTTCGATTTTGAAATTAAGTAGTCAAAAGCGATGCCTACCTCGTGTGTGCCGAAAAGAAAACCAGCACAACAGCAAGACTTTGAGAACCTGTCCCCGGCAGCGCTGAAATCGTTCCATTGCCGCGTCTTGTCCCAACCGGGTCGCGCAGCTGGCACTTCTCGCCGCCGCTGCTGGGTCCTCTTGTTGGATCGGCGTGGTGGCGTTGCTACTGAATCCAAAAAGACCGCTACCACAACTGCCGTGGATTTTACTACTGCCCTTATTGAACTCGTTCATCATATTCAGCTGCCCAACCCCGCACACCGAGCTCAGCATCAAACTGGAATTGACTTGGGACGTCGGCGTCGGCCGCTTGCTATTGTCCGCGGTTGTGATTGCCGTGCTGGTGGAGGAAAGGTTCGGGAGCTTTTTCATCGCGGCAAAATCATCTTCCTCGGCCGGCGGAAAAGTCGTGCTTATTTGGTTTGCTTCACCTTCCCCATTTGGGTTGGCGTTAGCCTGGTGTAAATGAGGAACTAAAAATGCAGGCGCCGGCAGCTGGTGTGGTTGTGCCCCAAATGAGGGGCCCGAGCTTAAAAATTGGTCCTGCATGTAGTTCGGCAGCATACTCGGCGGAAAAGTTTTGGTGCCCGTCGACGTCCAAATAGGCTTGCCTTGCACGACCTGCTGCTGGTGTTCCTGCGCGGGTGGAGCGGCCACCGCACTATTCTGATGTGTTCTGGGTTGTGAAAGCGAACGATAGGAGTCCAACCCGAAATCCTCCGCGGAAGGTTGTTGGTGCTGCTGCAGTTCCTGTTGATGAAAGCTTTTCTCCTCCGCGCTCATCTCTTTCGGACTGCTAAACAGAAACCGCTTTTCCTGCACTTTTCTCTGCAGCGCCTCCAGTTCCCGCAACTGCGACTGCAGCGTGTTCGCGACACTCGCGTTCTTCCGATCCAAAATGCTCATCCGGTTCTGCTTCGATTGCTGGTACTTCTGACTCAGTTTGTCGGTCAAATTTGCATACGCCTCGATTTTGTTCTCAAAGGGCGAGGGGGAGGAAGCCGAGCTGGTCTTCGGCAGTCCCTCCGTGGAGCTGTTCGTCTGGCTCAGCAGTTGCTGCTGGTGTGCTATTTGCTGCTGCAACTGCTGCGTCAAAATCGTCGTTTGACCACTTGCTCCCGGTTGTAAAAGTTGCCCTCCAGCCGGAAGAGGTGGGTGAATAAACGCCATCGGGCTGCTGGACGTATTTTCTATCGTCGCGATAGAGTCCCGCGCGCGGTTGTGCACGTAGTTCTGCTGTTCCTGCTCGACAATGGAGGAAACAATCTCGTTGCTGCAGTCTCCGTACAGTTGCGCCAGAATCTCGCACGCCTGGTTCTCCTGCGACACCGAGTCACCTCCAGAGCTGGAAGAATGTTCTCCGACAGCAGCACGACCAGCATCTTCTTCCTCTTCCGGCCCCATCTCCTGTTCGCTTGCGTCCTGGAAGATCAGCGTCGCGTCGTTCTGTTCCGCTCCATATGGATTGCAAATATGTCTGGGTCTGGAAACTTGTAATGCTGAAAGTGAATCATAGACGCACTGCAATACGCAGCTATGCATGACAAATTTTTTGGCTGCCATGTCTTACGTATTCCGCATGGCAAACGGCGTTTTTGCGCAACAGGTAAGAGGTCCTTTTCGTGCCTATGCAACACAGAGCCTCGAGTCATGCCAGACAAGCATGACAAATCTCGCAATCTTTCAGACCCAGACATTTTTGCATTTGATACTCCAGCTCCAGCTGGGTCCACAGGAAACACACTTTCGGCCCCAATGATCGCGGCGCTGCAACGCGGGGCGGTGGTTCCGTTCGGCACATTCTGGACGACGGTCAGTGGGAGTTGTTTCTCCAAACACTCCCGTAATTCCTGTTCATTCACGGAGTTCATGGAACTGACCGTACCGGACCTCTCCGGCTTGTTTAAGAATGGCGGTTGATGTTGCTCCGGGGCTGCTTGCGGCGACGTAGCGGTTTGTTCGTGCATGGACTCCACGGAAATCGTGTTATTTCCGTCTTCCGGAGACGACGAACTTCCTCCAGCAGTCGCCGTTACCATCTCCTGCTGCACGAAGCTCTGCGCCGCATGCTGCCCGCTCGCGCCCAGCGTCACCTCCAAGTCCGTATCGCTCGTGTTGGGCCAGGTCGCTACGCACCGCCACTTACCGTCGCGCATAGCCAGGTGGAGCTTCGCACCCGGGGGAACCCCGACTGGGACCTGCGGACGAGAAGATTGCAGTGTGCTTGAACAGACGCAGAGTGCAAACGCAAAAATCGCAAAGTCGTGGCAGTTCTGATTCTGATTCTACCAAAAAGGAAAAAGCATCCATTCCCACTTTTATCTTTCTGCATGAGAAACGAACTTCTCACCTGTAGCCGCAACTTTTCTCCCGTGCTCGGAACTTTCACTGCGATTTTCTGTGCCTTGACATCCGGCACAGTGACCGTGAAGTCACTTCCGTCGGAGGCTGGCATGATGTAGTTTTTGCTCTCTGTCTCTGTCAATTATGCAATTACAATTTGCCCGCTCAATTCTGATATTCATATTTTTGAAACTGGTAATTTATATATACCACACGAGGCGAGAAGTCAAGTTTGATGTGTTCTGTATTTCAGTGTCTGCCATGGTAACATCTGTTGTAGACTGCAAGCGCGGCACGTCAAATCTCAGTACAGGCCAGCAAGAGAGGTTGTTCCCTCGACTCTGTGACCACATTGCCTCTGCGAACCCAACCTCGTCAGTCGCACAGGCGCTCATCTCCGTGCTCTCATTCTCTACGAAAGCATACGTCGTGGGGCCACCTCTCCTTCAAAGGCGTATCGCCTCAGAGAAATCTTTGCAAACATCAGGCCTCTCAGTCTCCACGGACGACAAGGAAGAAACAACCAGAACATCGAGCTTTCTGTTGTCAGCTGCTTCTAAGATCGATGCAGGAACTTCGATATCGTGCTTTTTTCCGAACGCATTGAAGATGGCGTCGCTTAGCGGCTTTGGTTGCATCATGCAGCTGCAGTCTAATTGTTTTTTTGATTTGCGTATGTATCAGATATGGTGTAAATGGAACAATTCTTGTCTCAGCGAGTCGTGTTCTTCCGCGGTGAGCCCCATGTCGTCCAGGAAATACGTCGTGATAATCATAACGCTTATCCCGACAAAGGCGGCGAAGAAAGAGAGCAGAAGCATACTCTCTTCCTGTCGTGTGCGGATTTCCAGCAACTCCCATATTTTCCCGCGGAGCGTGTTGCGGGGTGGGTAGAATCTGTAGTTGCCTGTGGTTGATGTAGTATTTTGAGCCGTCACACGACCAGGATCATGCCTTCCAGTCCCAGTACCGCGGTCAATTCGTTCACTAGCAGCTGGCACTGGCTCAAGATTGTTCGCGTTTCTCATCATTTCGCTGCTCTCCGTCGCTGTATCCATTTTTTGGTGCACAGGTTTGTACGCTGGAGGAGACGGGTATGAGAGTGCACAACTCCCCCTCCCCCTCATTTGTCGCGCAAAATGCCTAATTTACGCCTGGCCTGGGCTCTTGGCACTGTTTGCATGACAAGTTCTGGCAGCCCAAATAGCACTACACGCCTGTCCAAATTTGTGATGCAAAACCTGTATTCTTGCTGACGCTTGTATTGCTGTTCATGCAACACAAATCACGGGGAGGCGGAGAAGTGTGCACTTTCATAACGAGCTCGAGCTAGCCGGGGTCCAACTCGCGGAACCAGTAATGTTGGACATGATCTTTTGCCCGCTTTCTAGAACGTGATCCGAAATCAGATCAAGAGGTGCTCCAAGAAAAACCAGATCGAGAAATATTCCGAAAGAAAACGCGTTGCGAAACCAACTGGGTTGAGTGAGCTTGACCTTCAGGTTTCCTCGGTTATTTTTCGAGTGGTACAGCTCAGCAAAAGAAAGCTACCAATTTGATCAGGATTATGTTTCAGCGTTTTAAGAAGCGACTACGTGCTTCGAGGGAACCGAACGAGAGAAAGAGCTATTCTGTTTGGATTTGGTAGAACACCGAATTATAAACTGCTCTTCATTATGCTTCAGCAAAATGGGAGGATCTCGGGGAGGTACAAAAAGAAGAACAAGAGGCGTCTTCACTGTAGTGGGGCCTGCACCGAATTTGATCTCATAGTGAATCGTACAAAGCGCACGACAAACTACTTACCTGTACTTTGTTTGCCATATGCACATCTTTACGCGTGGAAACTTGTCCTTTACCGGAACTTGCTTCAAGTCACTGATCATTATGACACACAACTTACTGATTACTGGTGCAATCAAGCGCTCACATAATTGATTCTCGTCTTCCATGTGATAGAATGAATCTTGTCGTGGTCACTGCAGCTCTTACTTCTCGAATATTTTCCTTTGTATCCTTTACCTTTCAGCTTTTCGTCTCATCGCCCAGAAATCTGGGTTTCGATGGATATTGATGACTGTTTCGTAGTTTTCAAAGCATAATTTGTAGGTCGTGCTTTTGCAGCACAAGAATTTGCCTCAAAACTGTCGCAGTTCATAGCTCCTTCCTTTCAGCTGTTTCACGTCGGGCAATCACGGCATATAAATTAGATGGAAAACATCCTACACTACGAACTTGTTCTGTATTGAAATTGAATTTCACTTTCAGTCCGTTCGTTCCTTCCTAAGCTCCTCGACAAAAAAAAACTGAAACTCAGCCACAGCAAGCACGTAAGAATTCGTTCTTAACTAGCGTAAGACAGGCTCACGCAGCACTGCAGCGTAAGAAAAGACCAAGAGGTGAACAACAACGAAAAAGTTCAAAAAAGTAAAAATGGAAAAAAAAACACAACCTTCCTTTTTACACTTTTCGACTAAGTGCAACAAGATCTTTCGATGACTTTAACTGGAAGCTTTCTCTTCACAAAGCCAGCTTTTCACAGCGACAGCTTATTTTTCTCTTCCTTTGATAAACCAGCTCAAGCTCTTTGTCACTCTTTCATTTTTCTTTCACTCAGCGACGCTTACCACTAAACTTTTACAAACAGGCAAGTTCTCAATTTTTAGACTTTCGCCTCCGATTTCATCTTTTAGAAAAAACGAGAAGGTTAGAGTAAAAGCAGTTCTGTTTTTCTCAAGAAAGAGCTCAAAGATGCTCTATCTAACTGGTATTTTTATTGAAATAGCGCTAGAATCACACGAGAGAAGAAAACCTTCACCCGGATTCCGTGTATCCAATATGAACAAACAAACAAACAAACACTTTCAGTCATCCCCCATTAATTATATTGATAGCAAACCTCGTTGAAGAAATAAGCATCGGAGATGGCCCTCCTTCACCTCACACAATCGGGGTCTTTAGCACGTCTTCCCAGGGTTCCAAACTTCCGCTGTCGAAACAGTAGTAGAACATCTGTTTCCAGCCTATAACCCGCTCAGGTGTTACAATCTCAAACGTTACAATAGAATTTGGAATTTGTGTTGCAAAATCCGCAACATCTGGCCTACTCCCACTGGAGCGCGCATGACAAGTTTCGGAGCTCCAAACCCCATCAGAATCTGGCGAAATTTGTATTGCGAAAAGCCCAAGTCTCTGTATGGTACTCATGCTGTTCATGCAAGAAAAATTCCAGATTCTATTATAACGTTTGAGTTGAGATTGTAACAGCTGAGCAAGCCATACAGCCGACGCTGGTGTCCGGGCTGTGCCCGTCCCCGATGGGGAGCACGTACTCGTACGCCCCATTCGACGCCGCCGCCGCGGCCGCGGAAACCCCCACGGACCCGAAGGGACGCAGCTGGCCGTCGAAATTCCGGCGCCACACCTCCGGGTCCTGTCCCGCCTGCACCGTGCCGTGGGGGTAGTTCAACTTCTGCACGCCCTGGAACGGCTTGAACTTAAACTGCACGGCAAACAGCCCTATGAACAGGCCGTAGGAAATGATCGCATAGCTCGTCTCCTATGGAACCAAACAATTTCCTTCTTCCCCTGCTGGTATAGTGGGACACTTCAACAAAACGCAACAAATCCGGAGCTTTGTAGCTGCGAGTGCAAGACAACTTGAGATTGGTACTACTCACATTTTGCACCTTGATATCATGATGCCACACGCAGCGCAGAAAGGCAACCTCTGAAATGACAATCGCCGTTCAAAACCCACCCGAAAGCAAATCAGCCAGAGGGAGAAAAGGAAAACAACGAGTGTAGTTTTCATTTGCATAGTTTCGGATCCTTCACCAGCAAATAGTAGAAGTAGCGCAATTTCTGGACGATTCCGCCTTGACAGCTCCGCGCGGCGAAGTACGTGATTGCGATCCATTCCATATCCCCCAGAAAAAGACCGACAGGTCATATTTGTAATGCAAAAATAAATAGACAAAAAAATCTGTATTGCATGCCCTAAACAGGATGTTATGGCTTCGCCCATGACAGATTTTCCTGTGTATTTATTTCTGCATTACAAATATGACCTGTCGGTCTTTTTCTGTGGGATATTCCACAATGTCCACGAAGAGAAACGAAATGCCGGCAACCACGTACTTCTCGGATTTCTTGCCGATGTAGCCCGGCTCGTCTGTCTCGAACAGCGACACAAAATTCGGACTATTTTTCGTATTCCCGAGGACCTCGCAAATCAGCGGGATGAAGACAAACACCAGGCTGTGAATTTTTATTCACAAACGGTACTTGATTGTTCTTGTTGCGCGTTATAGATGCTGCTATTTTTGCCTCAATATTGCTCCATGAGATGGACAGGATGTTAGGGTTCAGCATCTTAGCAGCCCATGCGGGGGAACAAAACTGCACAACAAGAAGCGAATAGATACCTTGTCAAAAGTTTGGCCGCAGCTCGCACTTGGAAGCGCATGAAGACCTGGGTTTGCACGAAAGAGATCACGTACTGTAGGCGCACCATCTCGCTCGGCGCGACCGGCTCCTCGTAAATTGGCTCGAGGATGGTCCCGGTCCCGGGCATGGGTTTGTTCTTTTTCTTGTTGTTTCCGCTGCCGCTGCTGGCCCCCCGCCCGAACAAAGAGCCCGCCTTCTCCTTCCTTTCCTGATCCCGATCGGAGTACACGCCGAATTTGTCGTCCCCCCGCTCGTCGTATACCTCGTCCATTTTGTCGACCTTGAAATCCTGCATGTCCTGCTTCAGTTCCGCCGGCAGGTTGTGGATGCAGACCGAGACATTCGCGAACGTGAGCCTTAGTCCCAACCCGGTCGGGTCCGGGGCCTTCACCAGCTTCCCGCCCATCGAGGCCCCGAGGGCCTCCGCCATGCTCGTACGCTTGCCGATTTCCAGGGGGCTTTGCTTGCCTTGCATGAAATTGGACACCTGCAGCATGTCCTCCTCGTCGTCCAGCATGGACTGATCCACCTCCAAATGCGTGAAGTCGCACAGCGGCTCCCACTGCCGCACCAGCATGCGCGGCACGCCCATCAGGTACACGGTGCTCTCGATGGTCTTGATCATGTACTTGTAGGTGGGCGACAGGTTCGCGTCCGCGAAGGAATTCCCGCCGTTTTTGTTGAAAATCTTCACAATCAGCGCGATCACCCACCGGTCGAACTTCAGCATGAAGTGCCACAGCGCGTAGCAAATGTCCTTCCACATAATCCCGAAGAACACCAGGTAGCTGGACACGTTAAACAGGACCATGCGTCCGTATGAGAACTTCAGCACGTCGAAAAAAAAGTTCCACTGGATCATAATGCGGTCGTACCTGAGAGGATTTTTGCATGTTCTTGCAAAGTCTGGGCTTAAACAATATTTTGCCATTATGCAATACGAATATCGTCATCTGGTCTGATGTTGAATAGTTTTTTCTTTTTTGGTAGATAGAAGAAAGGCAGCAAAAATTCTACTGCGCCAGATTTCTCCTCCCGTCCACTTCGTATAGGTGCCAGTAGTGGGTGAGGGTTTTTGCCAAAGACCGCTGGTAGATGGGGATGATGATGCTGAAAAACAGAAGCGCCAAAAGGCACTCCGCGAACATGAGGACAAACCCCTCCCTGTAGGAATCCTTCACGGCGTTGGTCCACGTCTCGTATCTGTCCGCAAAGATCATGCATGCCATGTACCCTGCAAACGCCGTTATCCCAATCTGTCGTGTTGTTCATCATTTTATACTTTTTTTGCGGTGACGTTTTTGTTCATTTCATCATCAATAAAATCGGTGCTAATGTACTTACAAAGTTTAGAAAATCTGAAGTCGTGTCCGCAACAATTGCTGTCTGTCTTTACCTTGATAAACAGCAGCGCCTGTATTTTGTTGTGTCTCCGGAAGAGTGGTGGATCCACGCCGCGGGGGCATTTGACTCTTTTACCTTCCCTGTGGAGCAGATAAGCGCCGAACCCGAACATGAAAAAGACGAAGGGCAGACCGAAAGCGGCATCGGCGTCCGGTTTCCCGGTCAGCATCGCCTATGGAAACGGAAAGCTCTGATGATGTCCTCCCGGCAGCAGAAAAAAAAGGCTTGGCTTTGTGAATCGATGCAAACTTGAGAAATTTACCACATCGCATAGTGAGGTTCTGACACACATCGACGTGCTTTTGTCCTTCTTCATGCAAGACTACATAACGTATACAACGGCGGCCTTGCGGAGGAATACTTATCGTCTACATTCTGGCGCGAGGACCACGGGGACGCTTTTCCTTTTGATAGCACTCCGACGCTGGACATGGCTCCGAAGGGGATCATGAAGCTGCCAATAAAAATCGCGATGTTTTTCATGCTGTTTAACCGCACTTGCGGGCGATTGATCGTGTATATGCTGACGACGAACGAGTTGACCACCGCAAAACCCTTCAGCAAATAATCGATCACCATTTATGGTCCGCGCAGGTGTTACAAGGTGCTAGATCGATGTGCACAATTCTTTCTGAGGCAGTTTGTAAAATGTGAAGAGTACTGAACGATCTTTCGTACCCACAGCGCATGACCAATTGATTCCACATGTAAAGCGATCTCATACCTTGCTTCTCGAATAACCCTCGCATCACAAACGTCAGTAACCCTAGAGCTTGCAACATCTCAACGGGCCATACCAGATGTACGTAGATTCTTGGTATTTGGTCACAATTGGGACTAGAGACCGGATTGCGGATCAGGCAGTAGATTAGCACGATGAAGAAAATGTAGAGAATCAGCTTAAACAAATGCTTCAATGCTATCAAACAGAAATTCTACGGTATGCTCGTACAGTCGGCGGCATGAATGAGTTGCCTGTGGTCCTAGGGTCTTCGAATGAACCGCGCACGCTAGTAGTTGTTTCACTACTTACCAAGTGCCGGGTCTCGTTGTCGCTTTATTTCAACTTGTTCCATCTAAAAGCTTTCTTTGCATGACAGTACTAGACTAGACACGCCATACATAAACAGGCTGGTGGCTTTTCTGTGTTTGATAGTCACCCGCCGCATCAAGAACGCGGATTCCGACTTTCCGAAAAAAACATTGTCCCTCCTGGCCGTGTGCCCGTCGTACTCGTGTGTGACCTCCGGCGCGAACTGGTGGGACTCCGCGTTTTTGGCCGCCAATATGTCGATTTTCGCCTTCAGCTGGTCTTCCCCTACCGAAGGACGCTGCGACTGTTTGCTGTTCGCTCGCGAACCCTGCAGACCACGACCTGCCAGAAGCGTGTTGTCAACCCCGAGAAGCAGGTTATTGCCATTTTGGGTCGGCGACACGGGAGAAAAACCATCTTCGTTCTGCCCAGCCAGCTCCGATGTCAGCTCGCTCGCGGCGAGCAGCTGCCGCGGCATCCTTTCTTGCTGATGACGCCCGGTGCTTCTATGATATCACCATATTAACACAGACAGGAAAGAAGGTGGATTTATCTTATCCTGAATTTTTGCATTCGGACGATAAATGAATCTATCTGCAGATTGCTAGATTCGTTTCACAGCACAATGCACGGAAATATGAGTGGACACCTCCCATTGCGTCACGAATCAATGCGAAAAGAAACCCTCCGCAACAGAAACGCAGACACGACATTCAGACACAACGGAGAAGACGTTTCGCTTAGTTCTCGTTCCATCATCTGCAAAAACTGTCGTCACTCTCGCACTGGGTAAGAAACTGGGGCAATTCTGCAGCTTCGTTGCAAAAACTTAATCAGTACCTAATCCCGCCATCGCTCTGAAAAAAATGGCAGAAAACAAAGGGTAAAGTGAGACGAATGTCAAACAAAGGGTAAAAAAGTGCGGTCGAGCTTCGTCATCAAGGAACGCGAAACCGTAATCGGAATGAAAGATCCAAACCGGTGGTTGCTGCAGACGCAGAGCACAGATGCGACACAAGCAGCAAAAGCAGTATCTTGTCAGTTTCGCGCAAATGAGAATAGAATGCTCTAAAAATCGAGTGTAGTTTCATCTTTATCAATGGGTCTTAAAGGATGGATATAAAAGCTGCAGTGAAATTGCAAATACTTTCCATTCTTTGACGATGAGTCGCAACATCCGCAATAGAAATAGCGAGCCTTTCGCAATTAGCGAATTTCGTCTGCCAGTCCCACAGACACACTTGCTAGCGTCGCCTGCAGCAAGACACCAACCCATCGTAAGACTTGTTCTCCGCTTCAACTGCGCCTGAGGGTGGCGCGACGTTGCGCGGCTTTCCAAGAAGCGTAAAGGTGCGGTTGCGCTCAGGCCTCATCAACGACTGGGACATTCGCATACACGTCACCAGCGTCGCTTTCGCTTTCCTGCTCTCCACCAGCGCTGCCCACCTCTTTCTCATCGCCTGCCTCCTCTTCATCGCTTGCATCCTCTTCATCGCTTGCATCCTCTTCATCGCTTGCATCCTCTTCATCGCTTGCATCCTCTTCATCGCTTGCATCCTCTTCATCGCTTGTTTTGTCGGTAAATAGATTGGTGAAATCTGTACGGTCCGGCACCCAAGCAGCTTCACAATTGAAAGCTTCAGAAAATTTTTGCTTGAAGACTTTGCGGTTTACCTTGCTGCTTATCTCGTTATAGAAACTGTCATCAAGCCCTAGATGTTGAAACAGTGATGCTCTGGTTTCGCACCGTGCAGCATCCTGAAATTTCTTGAGCATCTTCGAGGGCTGTATTTCACCCATGGGACTTTCCCATTCCTTGATGAATTTTCGCATCATTCGCCAAAACGCCACACCGCTCTTCAGACCGTCCCGGATTTCTCTAGCGAACCCGTTGAAAGACCTGTCAAGCCGCTTCCGAGTGCGATATAGGTATTGTAGGGGTGCTTCAGTCAGGTCCGGATAAAAGCCGTTGTTTTCCGGGTACTCCCAACCAGAATCGATGAGGTCGTCTACCGTCACTTCGGCTTCGAGTTGCATTGCCTTCCGCCAAAACCGCTCGAAGTCGCGAAAGAGAAAGGCCTCCGCTAAAGGTCGCGCAAGCTCCAAGATTTCAGCTTTGGATTTGGAGTCACGGCTGGCCAGATGTTCCATAAACATTTTCAGACAGCCGACTTGGAAGAGACTCAATACTGTTTCCCCGTCGTGGTCCGCAATCCTTTCGCTCTCGTCCTTCCTCCAGATGCTTATGGCTTGCGAAATCAGTTTTGAGACGTCCTCGCTTGTGACCGGGTAGATGCGCAGGGCCTGTTCGAGAAGCTGCAATTGCTTCTGCTTGGCGCCACTCCATTGGTAAACAAACTGAACGACGCTCCAAGGAAACCTCTCTCGGAACGAGACGGCAAACGCCTGCCCAGAGCTGCGCGCTTCGTGCTTTAACCAGTCCGCGGCTGAAAGTGCCTGCGCAGCACATTCGAGAAGAGTCGCTCTCTCAATTACTCTTTTGGTCAACGGAGTGTCAGGGGGAAACATTTTGAACGGCGCTGCAGTATCTCCGAAAATGTTTGCGCGAGAATCCTCCGGCACGGAAAGGTAGCACTGTTGATAGAAGAACTCCTGTGCTCGCTCGGGAGAGTTCAGCGACATCGATAAAATTCGCGAGACGCGGCGCCTGTACTCAGCACGCCCTTCCCCCGGTAATTGCTCCAGGTCTCCAAATTGTCTCTGGACTACTGCAAACTGGTAGGAAATTTTCGCATTCTGAAGCTCGAGCGGAGCATCTGCGGGCAAAAACTCGCCTGGATGGTCGCCCTTTTTGCTGTTTTCGGAGTCTTTGCCTTCGGTATTTTTCTCGTGCTGGCTCTCTCGGTCGTTCACGTCGGCCTGCAACAATTCTTCGCCATGAGTGCTGGCGGCCTCTTCGTCGCTCTCCACTGCGCCCTTTTCCCCTTTCGCGTCATCCTCATCGTCGCTCACCAGAAGCCACTTAAAGAGCGACGCGGGCGGAAGCAAATCCTTTTCAACGTCGTAAAACAACTCCAGCAACTCCGGGCTGTACAGGTCCGCGACCGTCTTTACTTTTTCAGGATCGACTGCGAGCACATGCTCCTTTCCGCCCATATTACGAATCCGCAAGCCCACCTTCTGCACGCTCATGCTTTTCAGGTGCGACATGGCCATTGAGAGCTCAAGTGTCGATTTCAAGTTTCAGAGTGGATGTAGTTCAGTTTTTGTTCGGAAAATGTGTCTCTAATTCTGAACTTCGGTCTTCAACAAATCAAACTAAGTAAGTAGCCGTCAATCTTGGTTTTTTCCGAATTCATAATCGGATCGAAAAACTCGTAGTCTTCCATCGTAGTTGGAAATGACGCCTAGTCAGCCTGTGCCAAGAGTGTATACTTGTACGTAGAGCCTTTGCATTGCGCTTTGACCGTGAGAAGCAGAATCCACTTTTTACGCGGCTTTCTCTATATTTGCCATGTGAAGAAAGAACACAAGTACGCGACACTAAGCAAACTTTCGTTTCCATCTTCAGCATGATTGTCATCCATGCGATATGCTACGGCGGTTCTTCCGGTCTGATGTTCATTAGTACGGACAGGGGTATGATCGAGGATCAGAGGCAGGACTCCTACATCCAGAAGCAAATGTTTCATCCTAGGTCCTCACACATCCATGATATACGTTGTAACATTTGTAAACGCCACTCAGCAAAAATCTTTTCGCAGTACGAAGCGAAAACGCCCGAGGGCCGGAAAATATCCATGTACATGTTTCTTCAGCACAGCCAAAGCAGCTCAAGGAGCGCGAATCGACGCAACATGCAGTGAGTCTGCTCAGCATTTCTATCTCGTCCCGCAGGTCGCTGTGACCAGAAGTAGAAAGTACAAGTAGGGCTACAAAGCGACTCGTCATGACTTCGCTGCATTCGCGGCCGCAGCTCGATTCCGGCGCTTCTGGAAGGCCTCGTACTTGCGCTCCAGCTTCATCACCGACGTGCATGCGGCTTGGAAGACCCACATGGCCCACATGGCAACGACAAACGCCAGGATCAGAACCACAACGAGAGTACCTGACGAGTCGGGTGAGTGGGTTTGGATTTCCTCACATTCGAAGGAGCCAAAGAGGCATGCGCATGAACGACATGCAGCTGACACATGACTACAAGTACAAACCTGTGTCGTCCTCTTGCTTCATCTCATCCAATTCAAGTATACCTGGCAGCAGTCCCGGCACGATGAGCAGCCACGCGAGCACGACCAGCACGTAGCTCACCGGAAAGAAGCTGAGCGCCAGCTCCCCCGACTCCGCCGCAAATGTGGTCAGAATCAGGTAGATGCCGTGGAACACCTCGTACAGCAGAAAGAAGTAGGTCTGCACGCAGAAACTGGTCATCAGGTAGACACCCAAATACAGGCAAAACACGATAGCCTGAAACCCCGGCTCCTGGTAGATTTTCCAAAACGTTGCGAGGTTGCGCAGGATCTGCACGGACACCACCGCGGACAGGGTGATAATCGCAATCAGGGAGACTTGAACGCCGTACTCCTGGACGGTGGCGCCTGTTATCAAATTCATCGCGCTGTGCTTGAAGCATGATCAAACATATCATCATCATCGTCATCAAAGTTGATTGGACGTTGTTCCTCCTCCGCGTAAAGAGTGGATCTAGCTGCGCTCGCGCCGTCTGCAAGAAGGGTATGCTTTCAGTTTGCTGTTTCACAGAATCTCAAAACGCGGCCAAACAGCACCAGTACCTAGATCGCCTGAAACTGCGACGGCGCAGGCTATTTTCACCCCCCGACTGACTTCCTTCCACGAGGAGCAAGACAGAAGTTTTCCCGGCCCAAGATCCCCCTCGGAGGAGCTTGTTGTCGCATTGCTGTTGTGACTAGCAGAGGAGTCCTTCGAGACGGTTTTCTTCGACAATGTCGCTGTCGATCCCGCCGAAGTGGTGTCATCGGCGAAGTCTTGTGGCTGGTTGCAGCTTATTTTCTCGTCGATTTTACCGTGGTCGCGAAACCCCTCAGTATTCCTAGCGGCGGAGGGCCTGCTGGTGCTGGATGAGGACGCACTACCACTTGTAGCTCCTGCGATTCGTGGAGAGAACTTTTGCGGCGATGTTGCGCTTTGATGTTCTGCCTTCTGTTTCCGCCCTGAGCACCCGTTTCTAGTACTAGTGGTGGCATTCCGCGTGCTGCTGCTGCTCGCCCTCGAAAGCAACGACGTTTTTGGCAACACAGGCGAAAGGAGCTCGTGCAATTTCGACGCGCTCGACTTCCGCCGCTCTACTGGAGGGACGACGTCGCCAGTGTCGACGTCATCCACCAGATTATTTCCGTCCCCGTGGCTTCTCCTGCTCGAGCTTGAGGTCGTGCGGCGCAGCTCGAAATTAGCAGGTGCTGGTGGCCCGGGCGGCTGGCCTCTTCTCAAGTGACTCGACGATGAGGATGTTGAAAAGTCATTGTCGAGAACAGGTATCAGCTTCATGCCATGGTCTGCCAAAACTGCTGCGTCTGGACTTTTCGAAAAAGCTTTATTTTCATCGACCGGCGTCGCTTCTATCACAGACTCCGCCTCTTCCTTTATGACCGGTTGGGACCCGCCAAAAAAAAAGTACGAACTCGAAGACGAAGACGAAGATGTCTTCGCTTGTTGATGTCCTCCACCTCGTGCCGCTGTACCACTACCATCTGCTCGTTTTTCATTTTTTCCAGGCGAAGCAGGAGGTATCGCCGATGGTATGTCCACGAAGGGATTGCTGTGGGCGGAAGATATTATACTCTGCTCGCCGTCGTCCACACTGGTGAAGTGCTCCTCATCTTCTGATGAAGATGTTGACTCTGAGTCCTGCTCGTCTGGTGCGGATGGCACTTCGTCATAAACCTCCTGCAGCTCCGTAAAACCGGTAGCGGCCTCTTGGTCGTGGAGGTCTACATTGCTGCTCGTAGCAGTTGCGCCTTCCTCTACCTCTGCCACACCTGGTTGCTTGGCTCGTGATAAACTCGTCCAAAATCGGTACATAATGCTGTAAACGTAAAGTATTTTAGACTTCCGCTTCTCCGCTTCCGCCTTCCGGGATATTTTGCTGGTTTTATTATTTCCGCTTCAGTTCATACATTTTCAGTAGCAGACTTTCTCTGTCTTCTAGTTACAGCTTTTCGAAGATCACTTCAATAGTTTTCTCATTCTACATTTGCAAAACGTCTCAAAAATGTGTGGCTTCCTAGTGTTTTATCTGAAACTAAATCAAGAAAACCCATCATGTATGAATAAGGCAGTGCTGCAAGACGTGGTTCTCTCGCATGTAAACCGTTTTTACGATATCTTCAGATAAAAGCATGTCCTTTCAAAGTTGTTGCTGTTGCTGCGGCTCAAAAATCACTCCAGTCTTCGTTTTGCTACGAAAGAAGCTTCATGGCAAAACCTTGATACAGGTGCCTCCTCCTAGAAAACTCACAACCTATTCAACATTCATGAACAATAGTTCAGAAGCAATAGGCCGAGAAACAGTGGTCCTCGTGGTGCATGCAGCATTACTTGGTAGAATGCAGCATCGCGTCAATTTTATTTTCGCATGCGTTCATTAGATGCCTGTTTCGCATGTGATGAGACCGAGTTTCTGTTGTGTTGATTTCTTCTTCGCTGCAATGTGGAGCACCCTTACGCTCAGCTGTCACTGAAGGCAAAATTTCGGCAGGATGTTTTTTTTTTTTGAAAAAAAAGGATGAAATGAGGTGATCATGTTCATGAGGACCATACGAAAAAATAAGAGACAATATACATGGGATTCATAATTTATGATAGAATATGTTATCGAATGCTTCTGATGCGAATGCGTGCAATTCATTTGCAACTTTTTACCCCGTTAAGCTAAACCGGAAACCGAAAACACACCTTTCTGCTTTCTTCGAAAGCTGTCGTCTTTTCCACTACCGGAAACTCGGCGACTCCACGTCGTCCAGGTTTCCATCTTGTTCGTACTTCTCATTTTCGTCAATAGCCGAGATCTGCGACAGACTTCTCGGTGTCTCGCTCGTACTGAACCCGCTTTCCTGCCTGTTCAGCGTATCGAGGAACGACGGCTGCGGTTTACTTCGGCTCAATCCGTTTTTGAAACCGATGTCGCTACCTCTTTTGCTCCCCCCGTCTGGTGCACCCAGAGAACCCACGAAATCCCCCTCGAGGTCCACATTATTAGTGTTGCTCGACCCGCCCCCGGAGTGCTGGCGTCCTCGGTGCAGCGCAGCGGCACCCGCCGAGGCAGAACCCGACGCCGAGGCAGCAGAGGCAGACGAGGACGAATGGTAGGTCGCATGCTTGTTCGTCTTGTTTTTATCTAAAGCGGCCGAAGTTGAGGTTCCGGAGTTGGAGGATTTCAAATTTTGCAAGAAGTTTTCCGTCGAATTGAAGATTTCGACGGACGATTCAGGTAGATGTTGACGCGGTCCACGCACAGGTCTCGGTGCGGCCATAACTGCGCTGCTTTGGTCTACTTGGAAAGGGCTGGACTGCATCGTATTACTCTGCATGTGATTCGTCCTGGATGAGGAAGTCTTTATCACAGCTGGAGGGTGATTCAACATCAGGTTCACCTCAGTGCCGCTGATCATGTCCTGCCTCTTCACGTTGTTCAATCCCGCCGGCGTGACCGCCCGCTCCTGATCGCTATCAAGAACTACAACAGCACCAGTGCTAGTACCGCGACCGCCAGCGGACTCCATGCCAGGGGTCGCGCCCGGAGTCGCACCCGCAGTCATGCCGGGGGTCACGTTGAAGTCGAAAAGACCGGTCAACCCTTGTTGCCCAACGGACGTGGAACTCGTGACAGCGCCAAATACATCCTGTTCCTGTAGTTGCGCGACGTTCCCCTTCGGGGGTTGCGACGCGGACGGGGGCTTCAGGAACATGTTCGCTGTTTTGTGAGTGATAGATTTTATGTGTCTCGGAATGTCTTGTTTATCGCAATAAAGTGTTCTCTACTGAAGTCCTACTTTTTTCCGCACAGAATCGTAGAAAATTATCTACTCCGAAAAGTAGGATCTGAAGATCTTAGTATGTGTATAAGTACCTTGATCCTTCCCGTAGGTGCGATTCACGTCTTTGTTGGCGGCCCAACCAAACTGTCCGCGAATCCGCATGGTGAGCATGAGGTCCCGGGACATGACCGTCTTCCGCTTTCCGTGTTTCGCGCACACGTTGCAGTCCTCCATCACACCGGTTAGAAACCTCTCTCCCGCCTCCTGCAGCATCAGAACGGCCTCCAAATTCAGCTTGTACAGTTTGGTGTTTTTCGTCTCCTTCAGAATGGAGTTTTTCAGCATCCGCTTGAAGCACGCCGTGGGCACGCAAAACCGCTTCTCCGCCCAGGGGTCGCGCCGCTTGACAAACTGCGCCTTGTTCTTCAGCAGATTCACGTTCGGGTTAATCTTCACGGCGCTGGGCGACTGCGGCTCCGCGTTGGCGAAACCGTTCATCATGGACGTGTTCTTCGTTCGCATCTTCAATTTCAGTGGATGCTTGTCCACAGTACCAGGTTTTTCTTTGCTAAGCACCGGGCTCTGCATTGCAAGATCGTCGTTCTCAAGAACATGTTCGGGATCATTTTCATTTTCGTCCGGATTTGACATGATCATCGGCGATGCCAGTGCCGCCGACGTAGAGGAAGAGTTCTTCTTCTTTGATGCTGTCCCCGCGTCTGCAATCATCGGCCCCTGCTGCTCGGGTACGAACGGCAGCAATGTGGCCGCGGGCATCTTCGAGTCACTTTTCCTCCCAGCGGTAATCGCTTGATTCTCTAGCTTCCGCTTTTTCGCGGCTTTCATGGCTACCGTTGATGGCGATGCAGGGTTCTTGTCGAGGACTTTTTCGGAAGTAGAGGCGGATTTCATTTTGTTCATCTTTGTCGCTGTGCCTGCTTTGGATGATGAAGATGATGCTCCTGCGGTTTTCATAGGCTTGCTATTCCCGCTCTCGGAAAGCAAACCCGCAGTAGCAGATGGTGTCGCACCTGAAAGATCCATCTTGTTTTCATCGTGCTCACCATCTCCTCCCTCTGCTCCACCGGTATTAGCCGCCCCAACCGCGGAAGCCAGGAGCGACGAGCTCGCGTCGCGTTTCGCCTGCTTTTCCGCTTCGACCCTCTGCAACTTCAGAAACTCCTTGTTTTTCTTCTCGGAGGTAGCCACAGCGGCGCTCTTTTCCTTCTGCTTCAGCAGTTCGATCCGTCGCAACTCTGCGTCCACCTCAGCTGGGTCGATCTTGTATGTGACCGCGCACTGCCCGTCGAAAGGGGAGAAAAACTTCTTCCGCGGCACCTGGTCCTCGCTTGGGTCCCACAGCCCCGGAACCTCCCACAGGGGAAACCGGGTGCCATTGACGATGTGAGTCATTTTTTCTTCTGCTTTTTTGTTCGACAAGGAAAGGCCTTCTTTTGCACCGAGTTACTTACGGTGGAGTTGAAGTGCCACTATACCCTCTAAGCAGAAACAAGGCTGCGGGACCGTTGCAACACTTGCTAGTAAAAACGGGTAGTACGAGACACGTCTTTTATCGCATAACAACGCAAAAAGACCGTACAGAATCGTCGGACTATCACCCATTCAGATTCAATTGTTGCACCCGCATCTTTCATCACTCCCATCTCTACTTTGGAATCTCTCTAAAGCCTTGCCCAAGTGAGAAGTGCTTGTTGCTTGTGAAGATCAGAACACTATCGCTGCTCGTCCCATGGTGAACCCCAAGAAAGAGCATATGAATATAGAGAACTCTGCTTGTCGAGTCTTTCGTTCTCAAACTGCCGAAGAAGAAGATAAAGTAGAAAGATGAAAGGGCGTTGCGCGACAAGAAGAACTTATCTGTTCACAATTTCACTCATCTACTGTTTCTGTCCGCCAGCAAAATTATCGAGTTCTACTTGCCCTCGGGACTCTCCGGCCGGAAGCCTAGCGTTGTCCTCGCCCGGGAAGTATCAAATGTAAAAGTGTCTGGGTCTGGAAGATTGCAACTTGTCATGCTGCATTTGGATTCCAAAAAAATTTGTATTGCATGAGTACCAAAGGAAAGGAAAAGCAATTTTTGCTACGCTGAGGAGGCATTTGTCATGCGGAATACGCATCAAAAAGCCCTCAAAAAATCTGTATTGCTAGGGTACGCATCACAGACATCATGGCTCATGCAAAACGTGCATGACAAGTGTCAGAATCTTCCAGGCCCAGACATTTTTACAGTTGATAGGAAGTTTCGTTTCGTTGCCCCCATCGTGGTGTACATCGAGGGGTGCATAAACCTTATCGTCTGTTCCCCGGCCACGCCCCATTGCTTAGCCAATTCCGGCTCGTGCATCGCCATGTCGGCAACCATAAACTGTGTCTCGCCGAAATCTCTGCGGTTAGGAACGTCGACGCCGGCGGTCATCATGCTACTGATCTTTCCTCCTTTCTGAGTGATGAAGTTCTGCGAAGACATCGTGGAAACTGGCGCAGTCGCCCTTCCCGACTCGTATTGTTGCGGCCACATGGAGGCGTTCGGGCTCGGTGTCTGCGCGGACGTCGTTGCTTTGTCTACTCTGAAAGACGACGTTCCCTTGCTTCCCTTTTTCCCCGTGACCGGGAGGGTCGCCTGGTGTTTCAAGCCGCGCGGAGCGACCACCTGTTGCTCGGCGAGAACCGCTTGTTTTCGGTCCTGGTTTTTCTGCGTTCTTGCCTCATTCGCTGGCACTATGGTTTGCTGCGCGTTAAAACCCTGGTGCGCAGACTCCGCGCCAGCGGTCGGAGCGGCGGAAAAGAAAGAATCGCTGCGGAAAGATTTGTTTCCTCGACCCTCGCAGCAGCACTGGGCGCCCATTCGAAATACTAAGGTCTGTAGGCCGTTCTGAGCTGTGATATGATTCAGAGGATGTGATGAAACCCAGCCAAGTCGAATTACCAGCAACTCTTTTGATGGGATGACATAATGGTTGGTTGGCAGAAGGAAATCTTGTTACTACGCAGGAACGAGGGGAATGCTTGCCGGGAGAGGAAGTAAAGCCTGACGAACGATAAACAAGCGAACAGGAGAAACGTTGGTGCTTATTATAGCGCGAAAACCAACAAGCAGGACACAGCATTCAAAACGACATTCTGTACGATGCGCCATCCCCGAATTTGTGAAAGCAGAGTCCAACGCACGACTTCTTATTAAGAAACCAAAGCTATCTTCACGATTGAACAGTTGAACGACGACGACACCGATAAAACAGAACGACCTTACAGAAATTGCAGAAGTAGAACCATCTCCAGTCGACGACTAGAGGCAACGCTCGTTGTGCTGTGTGTGACAAAATAAAACAGAAAAGGCGAAGAGTGAGATGAATAGTCACATGATCATGTTGTGTCTTTTTCTTATCACCAAAAATATCGGTCACAGGACAAGTTTTCCCTCGGTCACCATCCATTGTTGGTCGAACGGGTGCCGCCAGGCGGCGCACCGGTAAAAGTGGCTCCTGCGAGTAGTTGTAGCTCCTGCTAGCTTTATTCTAAACACGGCCTGAATGCGATCCTTCTGCAAGCTTCCCGACTCGAGTATAAGTTGGAATTTATCACTTGCGCCATCTGCATCTTCCTGGTGTGACGTCGGAACTGGTGCGCCACCAGCAACAGCAGCTTTTCTCGACAACATTCCGCTTGCTAAATCCGCCGCTTTCCGAGTGGAAAAAAGGGACGAAGAAAAGTTCGATCCTTGGTCGTAATTTCTCTTCCCCATTTCCTCGGCAAAGTCGAGCGGAAGAAACCTCGACCTTGCTGACACGCGTGACCTTGAATTAAGCGCTGCTCCAGATGGTGCGCCAGCACCGAGGGATGTTGAGGCTCCAACAGCACCGGGGGGAGTGTGACCAAAAGTAGAAGCTAGATTTTTGCCGAGATTGCTTTTGGTCAACGGAGGTGCTATCTCCTGTATCACGTTTGTCTTCCGCAGATACTCCTTTACGAACAGCAACGCCTGCCGTCGCGCCCACGCATCCCGCAGCACTGAGCCCCACGCGAATGCCATGGCTCCCACTGCGAGGGAAGAGCAGAGAAGCGCCAACTTAGAACTCGAGGTGAGTGGAGCTGTAGAAACAGCTGTAGAAGACTCATCTCTCGCATGCTGCTGTCCCGACGGTACCGCCGTGCTCTCCGTAGTTCTACTTTCCACTTTTTTTACTTTCCAGTCCGCAACCAAAAAGGCTGCTGGCGTCTTCGGTAAGAGTGATTCTGGAAGCAATTCGTTTCTCAGAAAAAAGCCAAAACGAGATCCCCAGAAAGTGGTTCCGCGGGTATTCCATTCGGCGTCCGATGTCCTGCGAATCGCAAGCAGTCGAGAGTCGCGAGGGTATGAAGTAGATGTTGCGTTTTCCGCATTCAGACTGCCACGCTCCTCTCCTTTTCCTCTTTTGCCGGGATCCTCATTCGCGACTCGGATGCTCTCTTCGGCAAACAGTCGGACTCCATTGCTGAACGTCCAGACACCCGTGCGCGCGCCCGCGCCGTCGGTTAGAGTTGCGAAGCGGGGATAAGGTCCTGTGAGAATTTGTGACCAGAAGGGCAGCAATGAAGGCCTATCTTCTGCAGATCCGAATCCCGTGAAAGTCTGTTCGGGATCGCTGCTGCTCGAGTGCTCAGCAAGCAGCAAATGCCCCTGAAGAACCACGTCTCGCTTTCGCTTCAAGTACAAACCAGCAAAGGCAACAGAACTGATTGCCCAGCAAGGAGCAACGATGGACAACCCGTCCGCAAGCTTGTCCAAACGATTGACGCCATGTCTCAGAGTCGCACGAAAGTGGGAGAACTGCGACATCGGCAATATTATTATTTCTGCACAAGAACCGAGTCGACACGCAACTGCGCACCGTCAATCAACTCCGTACGCTGCTCATGTTCGGCTATGCGCTTGCTGGGGCATTTCGAAAAAAACACGCAGCACTGCAAAAGAAACGCGAATTAGAACACTTGCCCCCCAGGAAGAGGCGCCCGTCCACTATATGTTGCGCGCAGATAAGCTGAACCGCCGCGCCACCCTGCAAACAGAGAGACACGCAGATCACTCAATGTGGAAAGAGCAAAGTAAAGCGCTAAGCCGCGCACCACACGGGCACCCACACCATGGTAGTCGCGGCGCACTGCGGCACATGAGCAGAGCACCAACCCCCCTCCGGCCGGCGGCATGGCGCCCCGGAGGGGAATATCCGGGCGGGCGCGGATCGGGCGGCGGCGCCCGAGCGGGCGGCCGCCTGCTGCGTGCAAGAAATGGGCGCGGGCAACCCCCGGAAGAGCTGGGGCCTCCCCCGCCTCCGGGTCCGCCCTTTACCAATTTTGCCAACCTTTTCAAAGGCGGGCCATTTCTCGGCCGGCGAGGAAGCGAGCCGAGCAGACCAAGTGGATTGCGGCGCCGCAGCGCAGTGCCTCGGCCTTTTCTTTTCCGTTCACCTTCCCCGCCGCCGCCGCCTCCACCATCTCCCCTACCATCTTCTTTTCCACGCCGCCGCGTCGACGTAAGTATCCTAGCCGCAGCGGTTCGCGCTCATCGCGATCTTTTCGCCGCGATCGAAGAAGTCCCTCTGGTCGGCTAAAGCAAAGAAACACGAGCAGGATCTCGGATTGCTGGAGGAACATCGGGCGGACCGGATGAGGACGAAGGCTGTCCCGATGAGGGCGAAGGTTACGCGGGCGAAGTACTCCGCCCGCGGGCCTTGCTTCGGGGGGGCACGCGCGCGGCCCGAGGGGCCGGCCCAGGCGCAAGCCCAGCGCGGGCGGGCCCCATAATACGCGCCGGCTCTTTCCGGCGCAGTGGCGGGAGCGGGAACCTCGTCCGGGGCTTTTACTCTGCTACGCGCAGCCCGCGGGGCTGGCCGCCTTCCCGCGCCTCCAATCGGCGCCCGCCATTATCCGCGAGCGCCCTTCTTTCTGTAGCAATCGCGCTCCATGCTGCCATCGCGTGCCAGCACTGTGCGGGGCACCCCGGAGAAAAAAAGGACACACCAAAGCGCTGGCCGCTTGCCATTGGTGGCTGGGAAATCGCCGGCGGGCGGCCTTGGGGGAGAAGGCCAGACGGCGCGCCCCGTCCGCAAGGGTGCGGCCCCAGCGGCATTTGTACGAGATGGACCAGCGCGCGAAGCGGGCATCTGCCGGCGCGAAGCACTCGCGGCGCGCGCCTGCCTGGCCGGCCGGCGCCTTGTTCTGCCTACCGCTTGCTGCTTTATGGCCCGCGAGCAATGTCGCAGCCCGCCCGGCCCTGGGCCCCCTCCCTTGCTGCCGTCGCCACTTGGGCAGGGCGCGGGCATGGTCATTGGATACAATGTCGCGCGCCCGCTGGGCCGCTTCCCTGGCCCACCTCCCTGCCTTCCCCCGGCCCCGCCGGGCAACGCTTCCCCTCTCGGTCGGGCCCTGCGTGTGCGGTCGTCGCTTTTCTCCAGCTTTGGCCCCGGTCCGTTCGTTGCCGGGGCCACCCGGAGCGCCCCCTGCGAGCTCGCTCCACGGGTGGCTGCCCGAGGCATTGCGGGCGACATCCCCAGGCTTCCGCAGGGGAGAAACGCAGAAAATACGCGCGCCCAGTGTCCCGAATTTCATCGGAATACTCTGCGCTACCGCTTTCAGGCCCGGTAAGCTCTTCTTCCGGAAAGGGCCGGGCGCTGCCCGCCGTCTTCGGTCCTTCCCGCGCTGCCCCCATAGGGCCCGGCGCCGGACGAAGCGCCTACTCCGGCCCGGCCGGCGAAGTGCGTGGCCATACGGCTGCAGAACAAACACTCCACAACGAGCCGCATGCTTTTCATGCGCCCGGGACCTATGAGTGCAAGCGCGCGGGCAGGCGCGACGACCACAGCAGGCCACCGCGCCCCCTGTGCCTGGGGCCGCCGCGCCCGGCCGCCTTCTTTTTGGGGCGCGTTCTCGGCGGTCGCTCTCCCATCGGTGGCCGCTTTTTGCAGCGATTCCAAGACCTCGCCCGCCTCCGTCTCTTCCTACCGCGCAAGGCTGAAACTGCGCCAGCCTACTCCGGGGCAACGGCCTGGGGATCCCAAAGCGCAAGGGCTTCGCTCCGCCACCCGGCCCGCCGGGCCAGGGCAATCAGAGCGCCCGCAGGCAAATTTCCACCGACGCCAAGGCAATCCACGGCGGCGCCTTTTCTGGAAAAGGTGGACCGAGCATGCTCGTACTGGCATGGAATTGCGCCAGAGAAGTGCATTCGCCGACGTCGGTAAACAGTCACGAAGGTCAAACGGGTCAGAGATACGAACACAACGGCATCGCCATACGACCTCCCGAATGTCATGTTGAAGAGGTCGAGCTGTTTGGCCTCCTCTTTGTTTTCCGATTCATTCGTATACACAGGATGCGCTTTCTGCATCTTGACGAGCAGGAGCTTGATTGCCATACACGCTCAGACCATAATCGATCATCCTTAGTCGAATTGACCACGGCCAGTCGCTAAAACATTTTATCGCAGAAAAAACTGCTGACTTCGCTTACGAACAACATCCTCCTCTAACTTCTCCACCTCAACGCCACTAACTTCATACTCGATGTCTATGACCAGATCGCGGTAGTTGTTCTCGTAAAATTTCCGCAAAGAAAAACTTCCCCTGATCAAGGTCTTCTCCGGCAAGGCCAGGCTTGCCCTTGCGGGTCCGTGGTCCAAGAAGAACAAGACCTGACGCCAATGCGACATCGGTGTGAGCGGCGATGTGTTAAGTATCTCCTGGTGCACGAGAGGCTCTTTGGTGGACGATGATGTTGACCTGCTAGTAACGGAACCCGGCCCGGCATCCTGTTTGTTAGATGCTTCGTCGTGTGGGTCCACCTCCACTTGCTCCAGACCAGTTTCGATCTCGCCGAGCAGCGCGACGTTGGCCAAATCCGTTTCGAATAAAGCCTCGTCGTCGAAGATCGGGCCGTGCAAAAACGCCTCCTCCACAACCGACGTCGTGCGCATGATGTCGCGCGTTTCGTTTTTCGCTTTTCTACCGCTCCCCGCCTTTATTTTGCTACTCGACCCTGCGAAAGGTTCTGCCTCTGCGATTTTCCTCGGCAAACAGCTGTACCCGCAAGAGAACCAGGCGCAAAAGCTGCGCAAGTGGCGCGTTTTGTGCTTTTCGTCATGCTCGCTGCTGCTTGTCGGAGCGACGACCTGCAGTTCAAAGGCGGTTTTGAAATCGAGCTCCGGCACCGTTACCGTCCGCAAATCGATGTCGAACACTCGCGCGGGCGTCGAAATCAGCTCCCGGTGCTCCACTTCCGCCACGATCGCGTTTTTGAAAACCAGCTCGGAGGTGAAAGGCGCAAAGGAGATGGGAGTGGGGTCTTCAAGGTGCAGCTTCGAAAATTCTTGATGTACTTCGCCTTCCTTTCGTCCAGTGAACGGTCTCGCACTGTTCTTGTCGTCAGAAATAAACTTGGCTTGGCTTGGCTGATTTTTCTCCAAAGCTTCTGACAAAGGGAACTTCTTTTGGACCTGCTCATGGTACTTTTTCGCGTCGTCGCAGCCGGCCAGGTAGATGCAGCACCGGTCCGGAAACATCAGGCCGTCTGGCTTCAGGTACAGATCCCGGCAATTCACAATCACGTCACACATGCTCTCGTACAGCAGCAGGTAGCCCATCCATTCGCTTATGATGATGTCCACGGAATTTCGATCGATCGGTAGCTTCTGCGCATCGCACTTGAAGAACTCGATCTTCGACCGATAATCGTGGTGCAGGGGTGATGATGTTGTGTCGTATTGGCTTTTCGCCTTCTTCCTCCTTCTTTTTCTACCGCTCGGCATTCGATAATTCCCGCTTTCTTGAAACTGGTTCCTCGAGTCGCCCTCTTCATAGGTTTTGCTTGAATTGAGCTCGACTATCTCCTTTCCAATCTCGATGATATCCGACATCTATCAATTGTAAAAATGTCTGGGTCTGGAAGAGTGAGCGGTTTGTCATGCAGCTTTTCCATGACCCATGAGGTCTGGAATGCAGGACCTAGCATGACAGATTCTGTGCGATGTCTCTCATGCCTATCCTGCATGAGAAACTCCTTCCCGACTTGGTCAAAACTGGACGACTTTTGGTAATCATGCAACACAGATTCTTGCTTGTTGCAGACTTAGCATGACAGGCTGCATTCTTCCAGACCCAGACATTTTTACATTTGATAACATCTCCACCGCGTAGACCTTGGCCGCGCCGGCCTGCACGGCGAACATGGCGAGGATTCTATCAAAATGAAAAATCCCCCCTCCCCATATCAAAACGGAACTTCTGATGCTGGATTTGTGTACACAAATGCGCTTTGTATTGCAAGAAGGCACTGCGGCCAGATACCCAGCCTAGGCAGAGGCGTCTGGGTCTAGTTGTTCAGCATGGCAAACAGCTCCCCTTTAGGCCAAACAGCATGACAAACGGCTTCCATAATGG